GCCTTGTGCTAAAGCTAATGAAGGAGCTAAGGGTCCCTCATAAAGCCATCTATGTAGCCTTGCTATCTTGACTTTACCATTTGGTATAAACTTATCCTTATTCCCTTGCTCAGACATCAAAGAAAAGACAGTTTCACACCCTGTTGATAGATTGTTCTTAGTGTCTCAACCAAATGAACTCCAACATGCCCACAGGAATTCATTAAAACATTTCTCATTTGTTCACTCTATGATGTACATGCATCATTTTTGTATTACAACACTTAATTTCATAAGTGTGTTTCATACAGAAAATGGACATGTGGGTGCATCAACAGAAACGTAACAAGGAAGCTTTTATCTGCCGAACTGGTCCTGTTACAGGTGCCAAATAATACCTGCTCCTCATATGTAATAAATCAATCTTTTAGTGTGCCAGCACTCACTGGAACTCCTTGCCTCTTGATATTGGCAGGCACCTTCACTGTACTATTTTCACTCTACTATTTTGCTTAGACAAGTCTATCTGGATATTTAAAACATTGATGCGTATTTTTATCTTCTTTGTTTATTGCTGATTTTAATATTTTGAATGGTTTAAATTGTTGTTATTCATTGTTTCATTTTTGGGGGGTAAACCTGGACTGGGAAAGGCTTGCCACAGTAGTTCATGCATTGCTTACTTCAAGACTGGATTACTAAAATGTGCTCTGTGTGGGGCTTCGCTTGCCCTTGATCTGGAAGCTGCAGTTAGTGCAGAATGCTGCAGCCTGGTTGCTTACAGGAGTGAGGTCTTGTCAGCATAGAACAGCTGTGCTCAGAGATCTGCACTGGCTGTCAATCTGATACTGTTCCAGGTTCAAGGTGCTACTATTCGCATGTCAACCCTATCTGTAAGACCTCTTTTAGTGTGACAGCGCCTAGACTTTGGAAATATCTGCTGATTAAGACCAATCAGGTGCCTTCAGGCGTGCCTTTTTCAGCACCTGCTAAAAACTTGGCACCTACCCAGATGCTTAGAAAGTTGAGGTAATTTTAATCTGCTTTTGTATGTTTTATAGTGTGGTTGTTAATCTTTCTCAATTTCCCCCCCTTTTTGTAAACTGCTTTGAGGTGGTGGTGGTTTTTACAACCCAGCAGTGCATTTATGAAATAAATGAATAAACTAAGAAAATAAATTGGTGAAGGGAGGAACTGATTGGGCAGCTTAGATGTGGCACAGACCCACCAGGATGAGATTCTCAAGGAATAAAACTGGGGCATCTGACATAGACTCACAGTGGAAAATTGATATGTCTGCCCAAAGTACAATAATGCCAAAAAGTTCTTTTTAATGGTGACTGACATTTTGTGTAAGCATGCATGGGCTGTCAGCCTGAAGGATAAGATAGGGAAAATGTGGGGCATTATTCATACCCTCCAACATACTTTTGCATGTTAAGATTTTTTATAAAAGTTTTTCATGATACAGGCAACCCTCCCTGGCTAACTCCAGTACCCACGCTCAACCCCCATAATCTCCTTTCCCCTGCCCACCAGGCCTGCCTGCACCCTTCCCCACTACTCAACCACCCTAAGGGCCTGCCCAGGATCTCCTCCAGCTGCTGCCTTCTCTTCAGGCCTGACTCATTCTTCTTGCTTTTATTTGGCATGGCTGGCAGGATGGCTGGCAGGGGAAGAGTGCCAGCCTCCCACTGCAGGGATGGTTGCTGTGGCATTCCTATTGCCTCTCTCCCCCCTCCTTCTCTTCTTCCCACTACTTCTGCTGCTACTCCACTGGCCAGCTGGCCGGCCTTCCTATTTCCCTCCCTCAGACCCAGTGCAAGACTCTTCCCCCCACACGCTGGCCTTCTCCAACTCCCAGGAGTGGTGACAAAGGAGGTGGTGGTGGTGAAGGTGAAGGTGGTGGAGTAGTCCTCAGTCAGCAGCACTCTCTTCCTCCCTGCTTCCCCCAATGTGGAGCCATTTCTGGTTAGCATATCCTCAACAATGATGGGTATTTTTGCATGAACAAGTGAGAAGCCATGTCAGCTTAAGGTCAGCAAACTTTTTCAGCAGGGGGCTGGTCCACTGTCCCTCAGACCTTGTGGGGGGGTCCGGACTATATTGGGGGGGGATGTATGAATTCCTATGCCCCACAAATAACCCAGAAATGCATTTTAATAAAAGGACACATTTGACTCATGTAAAAACATGCTGATTCCTGGACCGTTTACGGGCCAGATTTAGAAGTCAATTGGGCCGCATCCAGCCCCCAGTCCTTAGTTTGCCTACACATGGCTTAAGGGTTTCCGTGACGATCCCAGCATTTTCAGGGCAGTTGGAGACTATGCTAATAGAATCAGCTAACCATAGGACTGTGAGGAGGGCAGGCAGGAAGCTTCAGGAGCTCAAGGGTACTGTCTTTTCTTCTGCTCACTCAGGGACCCTGTACAGTAAGGAAGCAGACCTCTCAGGGTACACAAGTGGGATGGGTGCCACTATCAGGGCAGATGAGGCCGCAAGGTGGAGGCTGCCATATTTTCAGAGGTAAAAACCTGGACAAAAAAAGTTGGGATGTCGCCGAGCCCGCACCAGAGACACCTGAAACAGAGCCCGAAACAAAGCCCAAGATGTCCATGTCAGAGCCCAAGACAGAGACGAAGCCCAGGTCACCTGAGAACAATCCTGAACCTGAGCTGTCTGCATGCACACAATTATTTAACGCCTCCCTACTCAGACATTTACTTAAAATTGTAAAATAAAACCCAGGTGGGCATGCAGGCCCCCCAAAAGAGGACATGTCCCGGATTTCCTGGACATATGGCAACCCTACAGTAAGGGGGAGGAGGATAAGGAGGAGGATGGGGAATGAGTCCTCGTGGGATGCCACTGGACAGGACCAGCCTATCAGACAAAACAGCAGTGGATAGTGGATTGGTCATATAGATTGTTAGGTGGATCCAAAGTGTTGTGTTAGTCCAGCCTTCCTCAACCAGGCACCTTCAGATGTTTTGGACTATAACTGCTGGCAGTATGGTCAATGGTTAAGGGTGATGGAGTTGCAGTCCATAACATACGAAGTGTAGCGGGTGGCGGAAGGCTGGGTTAGCCCACGCACGGGCCAGTCTATTGCTCCATGTGGCATTCATCTTTATTTTTTTGTGAGTGGATGTCTCCTTACCTTATTAAAGGATTAGATTTGAACTTTGGACCTTGTGCATGTAAAATGCAACCTCTTCCAACAAGCTATGTCTCCTCTTTCAGGCCCTCCGGTTCTGCTATGCCTTAATGGAGGCAGCCCCCACAACAGCAGAAATTGTTGGGGAAGGAAAAACAAGGATGATTGAGAGTAATTATCCTTGCAAATTCCCCCCAGGGATTGGGGGGGGGAATGGGCTTCACTCACAGTTTGTCTCTGTACCTGGCTCTCGCTCTGGCATGGATTGTGAGAGGCAGGGAGGCACTGAGTGCAAAAGCACTTTGCCTGCCAATAACTCTCCTACACTGCCTTTAAGAAGCAGAGATTCTCCTGCTAATTAGAGTTTAATTTGGACTAATATACAGGCACGTGCTAGAAGAGATGAGATAATAAATTGTGGAACTGAATCAGCTGCAAGGTCATTAAGGTTTGAACTTGAAAGTGCAAAAGACAGTGAGGGGTGAGGGGAGCTATGGTTTCTTTATTTAAAGTTTTCTTCTCTACATTTATTATTTGGCAACCCTCCTCTGAATCTTAGTTCAGATTATATGATAATAGTTTTTACCGGCAATAAGTTATATGTAATTGAATTAAGGAGTAGACGGGAGGTCAGGTCTGTAGTCAAAAGACTTCTTTTCTTTTTGTTATAATGCTTTGTGTTTGTTGTTGTTGTTGTTTACTTCACTTATTATTATTTCTACTTGTTTTTTTGTTTAGTTTTGATGTATGATTTTTCCCATTGTGCATTAATAATAAATAAATAAATAAATAAATAATTTTTAAAAGTAAAGAAAAAAAAGAAAGAAGACTCCATTCGGTGTAAAAGACGGTGTGTTGAGGGAGGGGAGCCTACGGCTTCTTTATATAAAGTTTTCTTCTCTACATTTATGATTCAGCAACTCTCCCTTGAAATGCTAGTTCAAGTTATGTATGTACAGGTTAAGAGAGATGTAACTGGATTGCAGTTATGGAATATAATGTTAAATGGAACTCTGTGTGTGTAAAAAAAAAAAAGGGAAAAGGGAGGGAAGCTCTATTTTGCAAAAGGTTTACAAAGGAAACTTAGAGTTGATTCTTCCCCATCCTCTATTATCCACGGACTGAATTGAATAATGCTGAAAGGACTTGGAATTTAATTTAATTGGAAGTATATTTTCTGATCTTTGGCTGAATGGAGGGATGAAAGGAATCTGCGAGCTTGATTGTGGATGGAGGACTTGACCTGGCATATGTAACAGAGACTTGGCTGGATGAAGCAGATGGGCCAGTCTTAGCTGCTGCTTGTCCACCAGGTTTCTCTTACACACAGCAATCCAGGTCATGTGGGTGGGGAGGGAGGGTTGCAGTGATTTTAGGAAGCCACTAGCTTGCATCAGGCGTCCTACTGGGAAGACCCAGTTCTCTGAGTGCATGTTCTGGAAGTTGGGCAATAGGGGCAGTACAGGATTCCTTTTGGTGTACCGACCTCCCTTCTGCACCAAGGATTCCCTGCCTGAGCTGCTTCAGGCCGTGGCAGATGTTCTCCTGGAGACACCTAGTTTGGTTGTCCTAGGGGATTTTAACATCCATGCCGACACGACCTTACAAGGGGCCGCTCAGGACTTCGTGGAAAGCATGGCTCCATGGGGCTATCCCTGAATAAGTTTGGCCCAACTCATAGTTACCGACATGCCTTAGACCTGATGTTCACCTCTAGTGACATGAGTGATCTGACACCAAGTAAAAGTGAAACAAAAGAAGTGCCATGGTCAGATCACTTCCTGGTGCAACTGGACTTCTCCGGTGCCCTTCCCCTCTGCAGGGAGGCGGGACCAATTCAGATGGTCCGCCCCCGCCACTTAATGGATCCAAATGGTTTCCAGAGAGTGGTAGGGGATGCTTTATCCCATGTTGATGGCCTTTCAGCTGATTCCCTGGTGGCTGGTTGTGGGGGAGAAAAACTTCTCCGCTCCCCGCACAAATTGTTTCAACTTCTTTTAGAACGTCGCCAAGTTCCGCCGCCAGCCCCGCTGCCCATCATGGGTGCTCCACCTCGCCCCGAAACGAAAAGGTCCCCAATGTTGTAACCTTGTGGCTTTTGGTCGCCATCCTCTGTTAGTGGGAAGGTGGATGGGCGTGGGGAGGGAGAAGGCGGCAAGCACGGCGCTGCGTGGCGCCCGGAGACCAACGGGACGGGGCGTGTCCGCGCCTCTGGCTTAAGTACTCTTTGGGAAGCCTGGGCAGCAGCAGCAGCAGCAGGAGCAGCAGGAGCAGGTGCCTGGCTCAGTGCTGTGGAAGCCGTCGGAAGAACTGCTGCGCCGCCGCTGCCCTCGAGGATTTCGCTGCCCAGCCATGGCTCCTTCCCCGCAGCAGCTCCGCGGGCACACACGCGCCGAGATCCAGCGGCGCTGCGCGGCGGGCGAGTGCCTGGTGCTGGTGGGCCCCCGCCGCGTCTACGACCTGTCAGCCTTCGTGCGGCTCCACCCGGGCGGACCCGAGCTGCTCCTCCAGCGGGCCGGCACCGACGTGAGCGCCCAGCTGGACGGGCCGCCGCACCGGCACTCGGAGAACGCGCGCCGCTGGCTCGAGCAGTATTACGTGGGCGACCTTGAAGACGACGACGCGCGGCAGCAGCAGCAAGAGGTAACGCGGGCTCCTCCTCGAAAGCTTTCTCCACTCTTGGCTACGGGGCAGGCAGGAATCCAACCGGGAAAGCCGCCGCCGCCGGGCAGCTGGTTCTTTCGGAGGGGTTAATCAGTGGGGCGGGGACGGGCGCGCGGATTACAAACCCCAGACATAATTAAATCTACTCTTTCTTTGTGGATGTTGAGTGGGGGAGTGCCTGAAGAAAAACAAGGGGTGTGTGTGTGTGTCTATGTGTGGGTAGCCTGGAAAGCCAAGTGGTGGCTGCCAGGCACGTCCACAGGTGTTCAGCGAGCTGGGGGCATCATCATCATACCCACCATCACTGCAGTGGGGTGTCTGTGTAGCAGCACCTGTTGCCCCAGGTACACCAAGGTGGAACCATCAGCTGAGGGAACATGAGCAGTTCAGTTTTGCTCTTAGCTGTAGCCAGGATTTGTAGGGGGAGGGCATCATCCCTCATCATCCTCTGTCCGGCTCTGTCTACTAGCAGATTCGAAACGAAATGTCTCAACAACAGTTGTTACATTCTTTTGACCCCAAGTGTTCAGAAAAATATCTCAAAATCTTCTTACGATTTCTACTTTTAGTTAAGTATTTTTATTTATTTACTTGATTTAGTGTGGGGGGGTAGCTGCTATCCCCACCACCCACTGGCTACACCCACAGTTGTGCTGTCATTGAATGGTGAAGGGGGAGGCTGAGGGGGCAGAATGAACCCTCCCCCCTTCCCCATCCTTTGATATTTTCCCTCCAATCTAGCCATTATTTTCCCTCCAGTTCAGCCAAATTGTGGTCCCCCACTCCTAGAAGCAAGAGCTAAGGGGGCGGCTATCCCAAAAGGCAACTGGGGGCTCGACTGGCTTGGTCTGGTCTGGCCTGGCCTGACCCCCATCTGGCCTTCCTGTAATTTGAGTGTGGCTGGATGTGCATCTTTCACAACCCTGGAAGAGCCTGTGTTGAAGCAGGCAGGTTTACTGGCAATGGGCAGTGCCTGTGCTGGGGCTGTCTTGCCCCCTTCCCCAATGGGGTGTGTTTGTGTGTGCTGGTTGAGCAATGCTGCAGGTGAGGAGCAGGAATGTGCTTTTACAAGGCTGTTCATTCCATTTTTGAAACATTTCCCTAACTGTTTATTTCCACATTTTATTTGAGCTTTCTCGTGTGCCTCTTCCGGAACTATAGTGGAACGTAGTGCAAGTTTGGTGCTTATTGCCATATTGCTTGCAAATGGATTGTTTCTGGAAGCAAACGACACGGAATACCAAACTTGCACTATGTTGCAGTTCCAGAAGAGGCTTTTGTGTCATATGAAAGCTCAGATATAATGTAACGCAGGTGTGTGCTGTGTGAGGTGAGGTGCCATGGAAAGCCCCCAAACTGCTACATGAATTGTAGAGTTGGAAGGGATCCCAGGGGTCATCCAGCCCAACTCTCCCTCCAGAATGCAGCCCTAGAGCTCCAGTTGGGGCTTGAAAACCCAGCTGGGCTTGGCTATGTCTCAATAGCACACGGTGACAGTAGCTCTAAGCAGGGCATTCCTTGATCAGGAGAGGCGTTGGCAAGTGCAGAGATTGTGATGCCATCAGCAAGGGTGGGTGGAGGCCACCTCCTGTGCCCTTGGGAAACTTTATGGTTGGTGCTTAACTAACTCGAGGAATTCACCTGGGCAGCTTGTAGTGCGCCGAAGGGTTAGGAAACTCAAAAGGCCTTCCCTGCTCCCGCTGCTGTCACCCACCCCACCCCAGATCCCTCAACATGGCTGATGGTTGGGGATAGTGGTCAAGCAATATTCGGAGGTCCTCCCCCCATGCACCAGAGAGACTTTTTGTCTGATTCTGTTGGGGCATGTGCTTACGCTTGCACAGCGAGTGAGGTCCCCCCCCCGCTCTGAACCTCTGATTTGCCAACGTCTATGGGGTGTGTGCAAGGAAGGCACTTTTGAAGACAATGACTGTCTGCTGTCATGAAGGAGTGGCGCTTATGAAACGATATGTAATGCATGATGCTGCTTATCTCCTTGTCTCTCCTCCCTATTGCAGATCATGCCCCTAGTCCCTTAGTAAGTATTCAGCCTCTTAGGGCCATGATTGAAATGATGAGATAAACTTTGCCACAGTGTAGTATGTGTTTCACAGTAAAGAGAGGTAGCTCCCCAGCGAGGCTGCCCTTTTGAGTAGAAGACCAGCATTCTTCTGCTTGGTGCTTTCCGCTCTTGTCATTTTCCTGCTGAAGATCACCCTCCCTAGACTGCTTTGCTCAGTGAAAGAGTCCCCTTGCCACGATAAAAGCACCTTTGGGAGGGTGCATGAAAACATCCACACAAAGAAAACATACCACCGCAAGTTTTTATTTTACACAAAAGCAGCAAAACGAAGGAGAGGATCATTTTGGTGTGTGATTTTGATCTGAGAAAACGGCTCTTTCTCCACCCACCCACCCACTGATTTTTCTGCTCAAGTCTGCAGCCTTCTGGGGCAGATTTATCTTTGTATACATTTGCGAAAAAATGGGGACAGAGTAACCTGCTGCTATGCAGCTCGTCCTCTTGGTTAATTTAGTGTTGGTTGCCTTTAGGGCACAGGTGAAAGGTGGGGCTCAGTGGAGGGATCCACCTGCAAGCTGGATGCCAGAGCAAACAGGAAGCACCTTTGTATGAGCCAGCATGGCCAGGCCTGGGCTGCTAATGATTATCTGGGATATTTTGCCTCCCATGCTTGGGCTGAGCTCCCCTGCAAAGCTACACACTCTCCTCCACCTGCTCCCCCCTACCCCGACTTAATCAGGTTTCTGAGGAAGGACAGCATGGTGTGGCTGTCTGTGGAAGACCCAGCCTGGCGATATAAAAACTGAGCTTGCTGACTTGAAATGACAGGTACGCACAGATGCAAAACCAACTTTTGGGAATCTTAGGTGCTTTTGTTTTAAATACATTTGTTCAGTTTCCCAGGATGTTACATTGCAACATCAAAATGCATGACAAATGGACATTGATTGCAATCTTGCAGCAGGGAGGAGTCATGTTCTTGAGAGTTACTTTCCATATTAATTCATTAGCAGAAGGCGTGAGCCTCTGAAAAACTGAAAAAACATCGTAAAAGCCCTGTTGGATCAGAACTCTGGCCTACTTAGTCCTGTACCCTGTTCCTCACAAAGGCAATCAGATGCCCATTAGAGGAAACCTGCTAGGATCACCATGTGTCTGGAATTTCCCTGACGTAGCTGGGATCTGGCCATCAAAAACGGTGTTTGGGTGGAATTTTCAAAAAGCGGCTGAAACGTCCAGGAAAACCCAGGCACATGGCAGTCCATATTGGAAGTGTTAATTATTTGGCGATTTCCCTAAAAAATAGGTAAAAAACTCAACAACCTTTGTGTCCGGATTTTCACTTTTTCAAATATGGCAACCCTAAAACCTGCAAGCCTCACCTGAGTATAAGAGGGCTCTCCCTCCCTACCCCTGTTGTTCCTAGAAAATGAAAAGAAATGAGCCTGAAAGGGCAAGGCGTGGGACAACCTTGTTGGTGTTGTCCCCCACCCAAGACATTATGGCCAAGTGGTCCATGCCAAGTGGGTGGATGAGGCTTGGAGGGCAGTTTCTTTGAGTCTGCTCCTCCTGTATGACCAGTCTTTTAAGGGCTTGCCCATCGGTGGGTGTTATGTCCTCTCTCCCACTCTTGACAAAATGTTGAGGTTTAGGAAAAGGCAGCAGAAGTGTTGTGTTCCTCCTGCAGGGAATTTTCAAGGTTCGTTAAGATGCCCTTGCATTGAATGGATAATGCTGCATTTGGGGCCTTGGTGTGAAGACCTGACTTCTGAAAAGACCTGTGGCCAAGCACCAAGGGGCCTTGCAGTTTGGAAAGCTCAGTTGCAAATAAAAATAATAATGATGATGATAACAACAACAATTGTACCTCGCTCATCTGATTGGGTTGCCCCAGCCACTCTATGCGGCTTCCAGCGTATATAAAAACAGAATAAAACATTAAACATTAAAAACGTCCCCATACAGGGCTGCCTTCAGATGTCTTCTAAAGGTTGTATAGTTACTTATCTCCTTGACATCTGATGGGAGGGTGTTCCACAGGGTGGGTGCCACCACCAAGAAACACCTTGCTGGTGTGGGAATGCTTACCTTTGGCTTGTGCGACCAGAAGAAAAGCAGCCAGGGAGGGACTGGCATGCCTGATGGCGTGGGGTGCCAGATCCACAGGTGGGCTAAAGCTGAGGTGGTGGTGAGCCAGATCATGGAACTGGGGATGCTTTCTGAACTGGGGGACCAGGGGTTGTGGTGGAACTCTGGACTTAATAGACTTTTTTGCTGGGGGACAGTGGTCTTTATATTGTCGTGTGTCTTCCTTTGCTTTCTCAAAATGTGCAAACCAGGCCTGCTGCATTTGGGGGCCCTCATTCTGCTGAGCGGTGCCCTTGATCTCCACCTCTAAAGTCCTGCCCTCAAAGTTCCAGAGAGGACAGGAGTTGAGGTCAAGGGTAGCTAAGAAGAGTACTGAGTTGGGGGAGCTAAGTGGTCTGTCCCAAGGAGCAAGGAGTACAGCTGGGATGGAACTTTCGCTCCAGGCAAAGCAAAGTTCTGGTCAAGCAAAAATCCAAGCCTGACCTGGAAGTACTTGCAGCCATGCCAGGAAGAGCTGCTGGCTGCTCTGGGGCTTAGGGTCATGCTCAAAATTAGGAGGTCACCTCAGGCTCCTCTTCCCCTGAATCCTTGAGTGGCTAGAGTACACCAGTTGCTGGAAACCACAGGAAGGCAGAGTGCTGCCCTTGTGCTTGGGCCCTGCTTGCTAACTCCCCACAGGTATCTGGTTGGCCACTGTGAGAACAGGTTGCTTGGGGCTGATCCAGAAAGCTCTTCTAATGTTCTTATGGCTAACGCTCAAAGAAGATTTTCTGTGCTCCTTCTAGGAGACTTGGGCATATACATCCTTGATTTGACTCAAGCTCAAGAAGCATGCCAATATAATGTGGAGACGGTAGCAGTTGTTGATGCCCAATTCTGGGAGAAATGTGTGTTTTAGTCTTCTGAACTGTTTGTGTGTGGACAGAATAGGTGCTTTATTCCTCCTGTGTAATGATTTATCTATCATACAGGTGTGGCCTTCCCTGTTTCGCCATCTGAGGCCTTGCTTACCAGCTGCTGCTGCTGGGGATGGGGCACTTATAGGGACACTGCCCCATGGCATCTCACCATCTGAGGCAGGTGTTTCTGTCCACCTCATGGGTGGGCCGGCCCTACTGCCATGTTTAGGAGCAAGTTTCAGCAGCAACTTGACCTATGGCCAAGGTCTTTATGAAGGCTTGTACTCAGTGAGGCAAGAGCACATGGCAAAGCACCTTTCTCTAAAATCCATGTGTGGTAATACAGGGCCTTTGTTCCCCTCCAGGGCCTTTTGGGAGCCTCAGTCAGTCACTCCCTCCTCTGGGACAGAATTAGCTCCCTGCTTGTCTCAGCGCACCAAGGTAGCTTTGCAGTGGGGCCCGAGGCACAAGGATGAGGCAACCACGCTTCTGTGAGACAGTGAAAAGGAAGCCCTCCTTCATGCAAGCACGTAGTTCAACTATGGAACTCGCTCTCACAGGATGCAGTGAGGGCCACCAACTTGGATGGCTTTCAAAGAGGGTCAGGCAATTTCCTGGAGGAGAGGGGCTGCTGATGGCTGCCTCTTGTTCTGAGCCTGCAAAGTGTGTAACTCTGCCATACAGATTAAATAAGAAACTTAGCAGCAGAGAGGGAGCAAATCTAGATGATGTCAACCATTGGGAAAACCGAGGGATTTAATCCAGAAGTGGAAGGATGGCAGCAAGACTCGGGCCAGTACCATTTTCTGATTCTGATTAAAAATGTTATTAGGATTGGAATAGCACTTGCAGTTTACTGCTGAATTTTGGATATAATGGAGATGTAAAAGATTTGAATTATTATAAAAGAGGCAGGAGGAAATGATTAACAATAGGACCCATAAATTTAAAAAAAGTGTGTGTGTATGTAAAAAAGTTTGGGCCAGTACCTCTTGGCTAATGATGGACAAAACGCAATCTTTCTCAATGTTTGTAGAAGCAAGGCTTGCTTCATTTTATGAGGTTCAGTGCAGCCATATAAAGCCTCCCCCCACTTTTAACCACACCCAGACATTTCTTTGCTTGTAGGGCAAATAAAGAGCCCAGCATCTTAATTTCCTAGAGGTGTTGCCCAAGCAGCCTCCTCCAAGGTCTCAGCCACCTCCCGGGGAGTGTGGAGGTGCTGGGCTCCGACCCCCTTCCTGCTGGCTGCCTGCTCGTGTCTTCTGCGCCTCTCTCTTCGCCATCTCCTTCCGTGCCCCTCGGCTCTCCTTGTCCCTCCACAGGCAGAACGAGTCCAGCGAGGTTTCGGGAATGCGCCAAGCCAGACAAACGAGTTCTTATTCTCTCCCCTTTGAAATGCCATTGATGATGTGTAAAGGCAGGCGATATGGGGAAGCAGCCACGGAGGCAGACCGAGCACAGCCTGGCACCAAGGGAGCGGCTCGCCAGCGGCGCTGGGGGCCACTGGCCTCGGTGACAATCGCCTTATCTTGCCCTTGTCAGAGCCCGACCCAAGAGAAACACTCCGCGGTGACATGGGAGGAGAGAAAGCAAACAGGGACCTCCTGCTGCTGCACAGCTAGCCTCAGGCGGTGCCTTGCCATGGAGCTTCTCAGTTATTCTCTGGGGAAAGAGCCAAGACGAATCAGAAATTAGGATGCTTGCATGTGCCTGCGAGTGCGTGCTCTCACGCTGCTGTCGGCACAGGGGGCGCTTTCAGTGAAAAACGACTGAATGAAACAAAGACACATTTTTAAAATACACATCAGAAGTCAGGTGCGGAAGGAAGCAGGTGTGCTGACAGGCGAGGGGAGGGGTGGTTTGGATTGCATTTGAGCCAAGCCAAGCTGCTCTTTCCGAAACGACACAGGCGTCCTTTGAAATTTGTACTTATCGGAATCTTGCAATGCAGAAAGATGCATATCTAGGAAAACAAGTGTGCATTTTAAAAAACCACAACCCACAACAATATTAGTGAAATCAATCAGTCAATCAGTTAATTAAATTTCTATACCACACTTCCCTTGAAGATTACAGGGTGGTTTACAATACAAAAACAACAAAAATACATACCATAATAACAAGCAAAACCATACTCCCACAGTTTAAAAGGCCATAGATTGTTTAATTAGCCAAAGGCCTGGGAGAAGAGGAATGTTATTGTCTAATGTCTAAATATATGTAATGAAGGCACCAGGCAAGCCTTCCAGGGGAGAGCAATCCACAAACAGTGCCCCTGATGATTAAATAAGGTTAAAATGTATTATATTAGGGATGTCAGCCTTGCAAAAATGTGTATATTAAGAGAAGTTAACACAAAAAATGTTGATGAATTGGCTTTTTTCTTTTTTAAATCACAAACTGATTTATGGTGTTTTTTTTGGGGGGGGGGTTTGGTAATTCTGTCACTTTTCATACCACAAATGTTTTCAGGTCTTTTTGCTGCACATTCTTTGTGCTACAGTGCAAGATGACAATAATGTGCTAAGGTTAGGGAAGCATTGAAGAGCAACTAATAAAGCACAATGATGTGTGGATGGTCCAGTATAATTCCACCATTGATGTACTATAATTGCATCAGTGACACACTGCAGAATATACCCCTTCCCCTCGAAAAAGCCTATAATATGAAAAGTGACAGGATTTCTGCATAAAATTGTGGGATATTGCAGTGACTGGGAGTGAAGCTGTATTTGTGCCCAGAAACAGGTGCAAAGAGTATTGAAAGGGGAATTGTGTCTAACCACCTTGAATACCGTCATAAATACCAGTAATCACAAATGCACGATAAAAAGAACCTCTGGAGGGATTGCTTACTGCAACATTTCCAGAAAACTCACATTGTTGGCTAAATGAATTGACCCCCACATTGTTTGCATTAAGGGGCTGTGGCCGTCCCATTGCTGTCCTTGATGCAATAGCCTGGATGTTTGAGGTAGGGGAGCTTATGCAGGTAGCGGTCTCTATGTGAGTCAGGTGCCTATACACAAAAGCTTCCTGTCCGTTTGATATGATGCAGCCTTTCACCCGAATAATGTGTCTGGAGAGAGAGAGAGGTGGTGTTGGCAAAGGAGGATCCCTGCTGATCAACTGCAAATCATTTGCAGGTCTCCCCAGTGCCAGATTTATGTATAAGCTATAGCTTAGGGCCCCAGTCTCTTGGGGCCCCAAAAAATTTTAAAGGAAAAAAACCCCTGGATGTACATTTCCAAAATATAAGATAAAAAACAAATAAAACTTACATACAGGTAGAGCTTAATAATTATTTCACTATTAATATACTTCTTTCTTGTATTTCAGTTCAACAATTACTTTGATAAAATACATATTATGTTATGTGCAAATGGCTTTAGATGCCTATGAGGTCCATAAATTACCATACAGCATATATCCAACACAAAAAACAGTGACAATTTGTTGTTGACAAAGGACAGCTGGACATATAAAGGGCCCCATTACCTTCAGTAGCTTAGGGCCTCATCAAACCTAAATCCGGCCCTGGTTCCCCCAGTCAATCCTTCACACAAAACACCTAAACCTAAATACAATAACAATACATAACAGGACACATAATATCCTTGCATCGTAACACTGAAAAGTTAATTAACAACAACAGCTCATTCGATTTATATTAACATTTAAGTAAGTGTGCAGTTTACTAAAAGGACACGTCAAAGAATCCCTTAAGCAGCTGGAAGGTTGGGTAAAGCATGTGAAAAAACGCCAACACTGAGCCTCTCCTTCCTTTGGAAACAGCTCCCTTCCACCTTCCATAGTCAGCTTGCGAGATGCCAGTTGGCACCTCCTAGCCCAGGGCTTTCTAGACGACATCTGCAACCTCACCTAACTCCAGGTTAGTTACAGTACTTCCTGGGAACATAGAGCAGGGGTTTTGCAACCCACAGCCTCCTAAGTTCTCCATCACCGGCTGGCTCATCCGGTTGCCCATTGTGGGACTTTGTCAACCCTAGCTAGATTTGCTTGGCTGCATTCTGACCATGCATTTAATTTTGATATAAGAAACCATGCAGTAAAGAGGCAGCAGCCACACACCCTCTCACACCCTTTGAGAGAAGTGAGCGCTGCTGAGTAATCCACTTTTGCAACAGGGTTGATGAATTGTTGGTCATGCTTGCAACCTGCTCTTTCAGCTCAAACACTCACAGATTTGTGTGTTAGTGTGGGCTGAGGTTGTACCTCACACCCTCTCAGTCAACTCGACAGGACCCAGGATCAATATTTACGGTGTTTGACTCCACTCCTTGGTCGCGTTTCGTCATTCTGGATAGTTTTCAGTAGCAAGCATGCGAACGGTGCCTGGTTCTCTTCCTTGAAAAGAGATGTGTACGTGTGTCTGCAGGGGTCCCTTATATTGCTTTTTATATTGCTTTAGTTTTATTAGTGCTCAATTACTTTTTAATGATGGTATTTCCTCCCCCCCCTTTTGCTTGTGATTTGTATTCTTTTTGTAAGCCAGCTTGAGTCCCAGTCTGGGTGAAAGATATGAAACAAAGAAAGGGAGAATGAATGAATGAATGAATGAATGAAGAGCCTATTGGATCAGGCTAATGGACCATCTAGTCCAGCCTCCTGTTCTCACAGTGGCCAGCCAGATCCCTCTGGGAAACCAGGTAGGTGGGTGAGGGAACATCAAGCAGCTAACCTGCCCTCACTGCCCAGCCTTGCCATCAGGCCATGTCCCTCCCCAATGTGCTTGCCCCTCCTGCTGCTTGCTGGTGGCTGCTGGCACTAGCTGGTAGCCATTGGTAGCCTCCTCCCCCATGAATTTTTCCATGCCTTTTTAAAAACCCATCCAAGATGGCGGCCATCACTGCCTCCTGTGGGAGGGAGTTTCATATCTTAACTCTGTGCTATGTGAAGAAGGACTTTATCTTGTCTTTCCTGAATCTTCTAACGTTCCACTACTAGTATTATGGGGGGTATTTTTCTAGCCACTTTACATATGCTATACATAATTTTATAATATTTTTGAGCTGTGTCTGAGACCTGCGGTGGGATTCTTGTTAGAATAAAGTTATAAACTCAAACAGAAAGCAGCCAATCCCTGGTGCCCCCTCCCTCCGCCAGCTTACGCTCCGTGGCCCAGGGCACGTGTACCTGGCTGCCCCACCCCCCACACTTGCTTGTTTCCCCCCTGTGGCTGACTTACCGGTAGCTCTTTTCTAGGTCACCTCTAGATGACCAGTTCATTGAGTACTCATCATGATTTGCTTTTGGGAGGGGTTAGATGAGGCAGCATTAAGCAAAAATGTCCAGGTTTTTGGGGAAGTGGGTTTGCTGCACAGGGAGCACAAAATCCACTCCAATGGCACCACCTGAATTTGCTCTGGTGCGCAATGGAATCCCACCCACTAAATAGGGATGGTCAGGAATCACCCTCAATTGAGTAGCAAGTGTCCACTCCGTCGATGTTACCTGCTGGTTTTAAGTGGTAGCTATGAAAGTTACGAAATTGAGAAAATAAAAGTTACGAACATAATAAGCAATACATAAACAAAAGGACAAATGAAAATGGCACAGAACAACATACCACCTGTTGAGTTCTCAGGACCTGGCTCTTTAGGATGTTAAGCAAAACCAAGGAGTGGGTGAGAAAGTGAAGGCCCAGAATTATGCTGGAGCCCAAAAGTCTGCAGGTGCATCAATATGATGATGAAATGCAGGAGCAGTTCGACCAACTTAATTGGATTAGTCTCTGGTAGGTGCACAACGATTTCAGAATCCCCTGAAAGTTGCTGCGGTAAAGCGAAACAAACCTTTATTGTTACAATTCTCGCCAACACGGAGAAAACAAAATGAGAAGCACATTAAAAATGCTATCCTAATGTGTCCAATAGCATAAAGGAGAATCAATTAAAATGAGTTAGATTAAAAAATAATAACATCAAGGAAAATAAAATAGACATTGATGTCTTGGCTCACCCCAGCTAAGGAAGACACCTGTCTGATAGTTAAGTTTTTATTGACAAAAGAAGCACTTTCATCAGCTTCCACATTACTCTGGCTGCACATGTGCACACACACATGCTTCTAGTCACTAGGCAGCTGTGCCTTAGACCGTTCCCCTCTTCTGGCTTATATACCCTCCCCGAAAGATTATGCACCTGTAACCTGAGACTTCTCCTGCACAGAAGTCTCCACTGCTCTTCCCACTTCAAGCCCCTCCTGGTTCTAGGAGACAGTGGGGTGGGGGAAGTTGAGGCGTCTACTGACCTGCCTGTTGCCAGAACAGCATCTTCTTGAGCCATATCTGGCTCATCTTCCTCCTCCTCGGACTGCCCTGACTCTTCCTCTTCCCCCTGCCCTCACTTCTGCTTTGTGCCACACCCCCTACATCACTAGTCCCCTCTCCTGGGTCACTCCCCTGGTCCCCGGCCTCCGCCACCCACTCTTTGGAGCCCTTACAGACAGTTGAGATGAAATCCTGTCGCCAACTCCAAGCAGGGAAGCTGCAGAAAATCTGCAATCAGTTCTGGCGGGTTTTGCTCACTGAAGAGCCCAGTCCTTGGCCACACTGAACATGACAGATGCATCCTGAGCCAAAAGGCATAGATTAGGAGGTTATAAAATGCACCTGATCATCCTGGCAGATTTGATCAGAAGGGGTTGATAAAGATATTATGCACACAGTAAAAGGACTGGTCCTCTCCAGAGTCTCGGGGACACTTGTGTCCATGGTGGTGGTGGAGTTATTTGTGTAGCTGAGGTAGAGAAAGAACAAAACTGCCCCCCCCATATTTTGAGGATATAAAATTGTCCCTTGCTCAAATGGGAAAACTGACTCCTTTGTGAGGCAGAGAGCAACACCCAAGGGAAACATGGTAGTTTTTGTATATATTTGCAAAGTTTGAGGTTTTAGGTAGAGCACCAGGTAAAGGGGCAATGAAAGCTGACGTGGGTAGCACGGCCTGTTGCTTGGGACCTTGTAACTCCCACCCCCACAAAGTAAAGATCTGTGTTCAAGTGGTAGAAGGCATATTCTGTCAGCGTTACAATCCCATCTGTAGCCAGCTGAACTCAGCAATTTCATAAGCTGTAAAAATAGGGAAGATGCTATGTTTATTCATTAGAACATAATTTTCAAAATCACTATAGCGCAGTAAGTGTTGTGATGCCCCCACCCCACCCCATGGACCAGCACATCTGCCTGGGTTTATGGTATAGAAAACAGCAAGTTTTGCCTAGGATAATCTTGAAATCTCTCTTCAACCTCCTGCATCTCTTGACCAAGACAGGGCAACTTGTCACCCTTCAGATCTTACTGGACTCACAATTCTCAGCAGCCAATGATGGGAGTTGGGAGGGATGATGAGAGTTGTAGTCCAACAACACTGCAAGGGTCATGAGTTTCCCACCCTGAGATATACGTTAGATTCCCCACTCTTCCCTTATATGTGAATAGGGCAGATCAGTGTGAACCAATAGGTGTGGCTGCTGATTGTCCCAGCTGGTGTGACCCTTAGATAAGATATGCAAACCTCTTTTTTGAAGGAGCAGAATCTGGGCAGAGGGGAGAGGGTTGGGCACATGGCTGGGGAGAGCTTTGAATGGGAGGACAAGGAAGCAGAAGAAGTGCAGCCTGAGTCATTTTGTGGCCTGATACAATTTAGCAAATGGCTCCCCTTACCCCCAAGGCAAGGTGCAGTGTTCCCAAAGCTCCGTGAGAATCTCACGAGTGCCTCTCTTTGGGAGTTAAAACTCAGTACTAATTAGATTACTGTTGGAGAAAATATACAGAAAGGGTTTTCTCCCTTTCTCCGAACACTAGAAGTTGTGGACATCCATTGAATTCTGGATGATTCAGGACAGATAAATAGGAGGGATTTCTTCATACAGAGCATAGTTAAACTATGGCACTCCCTCCCACAGGAGGCAGCGATGGTCACAAACCTAGATGGCTTTAAAAGAGGATTAGACAAATTCATGGCTACTAGCCATGATGGCTGTGTTCTCCCTCCACTGGAGGTCCATGAGTTCTAGTGCTATGAGGCAGGTAGAAAAAGCATTCTCTATCCATTTTATCCATGCAATGCTTAACTTTATAAACTTCTATCATGTTACTTTTTAATCACCTTTTCTCTAAACTAAAAAGTTATAGATACGGCAACCGTTCCTCACACAGGGGTTGCTCCATTACCTTCATCATTTTTTTGTTTCCTTTTCCAATTCTGACGTAAACCTTTTGAGAACAGAACAGGACTGTATAAAGTGTTCCAAGTCCGGTCACATCATATAGGTTTGTCTTAACAGCATTATAATATTGGCAGTTTTATTTTCAAGTGCTGTTATTTTCAACAGCCAAGTCCAAAACAGGCTGGATTATTTGAAACCTCAGAGAAAAGGGAGGTGCCGATGGCCAAAATAAACTCTATTTGGCTGTTCCTGGTGATTAGCTAAACCGAGATTGCAAAGCTTTAAGGCTTGGGAAACGCTGCTTGTTGGATGAGGCACCTGCTGGCTAAGGGTATGAGAAACCCTGCTTCTTCCTTGGCTGCCCAGCATTGGCCAACTTCAGCCCTAAGGGGCAGGACAAATGTTGTAACAGTTGGAACATGTACATAATTTTAATTGCTTGGACTACTGCAATGCGCTCTATGTGGGGCTACCTTAGAAGGTGACCCGGAAACTCAGTTAATCCAGAATGCGGCAGCTAGACTGGTGACTGGGAGTGGCCGCCGGGACCATATAACTGAAAGACCTACCTTGGCTCCCAGTACGTTTCTGAGCACAATTCAAAGTGTTGGTGCTGACCTTTAAAGCCCTAAACGGCTTCGGCCCATCTCCACTCCCATCGTTCAGCCCGAACACTGAGGTCCAGCTCCGAGGGCTTTCTGGCGGCTCCCTCCCTGCGAGAAGCGAAGTATAGGTTAATAATAATAATAATAATAATAATAATAATAATAATAATTTCTTTTCCACTTTTCCTCTGAGGGAACTCAAGGTGGCAGACACACTTCTCCCTCTCTGCACATTTTATCCCCACAGCAATTCGCAGCAACAGTAGGTTAAACTGAAAGGCAGGGACTGGCCCAAAATCACGCAGTGGGCTTCATGGCTGAGTGTGGATTTGAACCCTGGTCTCTCAGCTCCTAGTCAAGACTTCTAGCCACCACTCCACACTGGCTCTTGTAAGTGTTGTTTGGTCAGCTTCGGAGGTTTCTGCTGTTGTCTTCAGTTGTGCCACTTCTGTACACATTAGCACATTTTTCATGCTACTGAAATATGGGGCAGGAATCTAGAAAGAGAATGAGGATTGCTCCATGTGTAGGCAGTTGCGAAAGAAAAAAAAACACCCAAAACGTTCTGAAAGAGTTGCTGAGTCAAGATTTCTGATCAGGTGATCTGGTACATGAAGGAAGGGACTCATTTTTTCCCGAAAAGATGTGAAGGGGGCAGAAAGGTCAGGATGGAAGCTGTTTTTTGAATTATTTTATTGTTCAGTACCATGAAAGGATGAGAGAGAACCATCACTTGGGATGAGAGGCGTGGGGGGAATTCTGTTCAGTTGGCATTTAGAGGCAAACCCACTTAATTCGCACTTTCGGAACAATGAGTGAATCGAAACACAGCCATCCTTTTAAATTTGCCCTTTCCCAAAATTTGCAATGCGGAATTTCCAGCCAAGAAACAAGTGTATATACTAGGGAAAGGCATGCAGAGGTCAGTGAACATCATACAAGAATAGATTATATTAAGGAAAATTGCTTTGCAGAAATGTGTATACCAGGCAAAAGTATGTACACAAAATGTGTCAATTTTCCCAACAACTTTCTTGGGTTTTTTTTTTTTTAATTGTGATCGCAAACTGATGTGGAAATGTGAAGAACTGGACTTAAGATGGAGGGAATGAGAAACGGACAGAAACTGAAATTGTCAGGTTCTGCCATCTCTGCTGGGGAGTGAAAGGGAAGGTTGCAGTTTATGGCTAACCAGCCTGAGGGCTTTCCCTCCCTGCTTCCTTTTGGAGAACTGGGCTTTGCTGCTATGAAAGGAGTGCTGTTCCAATCCACACCCCTTCTCTGCCTGTCCTACAACTTCAAGGGGATCAGTTGCCTAATTCTATGGTCTCTTGGAAATGATGCTGTGACTCTTATGAAGGCAATTGTGGAACTGCCTTTCTATGAGTCATGTTGGTACCACCCCAGAAGTCAGAAAGGTGTCACGGGATAAATTTCTCTGGTTTCCATTTTGAAATCTTTGCCTCTGGGGATAGGAAAAGTTCTTGTGCCAGTAGTTTGAGCTCGCTTGTGTAATGCAAATGATGAGCCAAATCATGTGTCTTGAAATGCTGCGCTCTCAGAATAGGGATGGGTTAAGAACTGGGGTAAAAAGCACATGATTTCCTTGCAGATGTTGCTTCCTCCAACCTGTATCACCTCCTGATTGCCAGTATTTTGCGGGAGAGATTCAGCCACATACCAGAAATTTACATTCGTGCAATTAAAGTAGCCTGGTGCAGCAAATCCAATTTTCCTTTCCTTCCCTTTTTTTTTTTAAATGGACTTTTCCCACTTAGGAAAGTGTCAGCGATAATAAATAACTTACGAATGGGAAGACATGTGTGAAAATCACCTGTGTGAAAATCAGGGGGAAAACTCCTACCCACAAACCAACTGGAACAAATGCTCACTAAAGACCAGACATTGTCTTGCCTTCACCTAAGCTTTGCGCAAGCGAATCAGGGTGAATGCTCAATAAGCAGGCTGTCTGGAGGAACCCTGGAAGTGCCCCATGGATGGTTTGAACTCCAGCTATGATCCTCCACAGCCAGCATGACCAGTTATGGGGTGGGGTATAGTTCCACAACATCTGGAGGGCCATAGTGTCCCCATTCTGGCTGTAGTGACTCACTGGACACATCTGCACTAAAAACATAGTGTTAAGAGTTGGGGTTTTTTTTGTTTGGGGGGGACTAGGTTGTATGAGAGCTCCTTCTAACCCCTGGATCCAGAAAGTGTTAAAATATAATCCAGGCTTGCTTCCTCTGTTGAGGTGATCGCTTGGATGATGGGCCATTAAGGGAAACAAAGGAAAGAGGCTCTGTGTGAGATGGCAAATGGGTGCTCTCCCCATCAGCTGGCTAGCAGTTAGAAAAAGACAAAGGTGAGAGTTGGGAGAGGGCAGTGAGGTGAGCTAGGTGTAAAGCAGCAAGCTGGGAGAAAACGGAGACAGAACAATGTTTGAATCTGAGGCTACGGCTATGGGAGAAACAAGACCCCTTTGGGGTGTTGATTCTATGAGCCCCTGCATCGTATCAAGAGGTGTCAGAGCTCACCATGAACGCCTCCCTCATTCTCTTAGAATGGCAATGGCGCCCACTGGAGAGGTGCTGGAGCTGAGTTCCAGCTAAAAAAAGCCCTGTATATATGTGTAAATAAACCATATATTATAAAGACATCTCAGTCGCCGCTGTGCCTCATTTCCAAAAGGAAGCATGAACCCTGGGTAAGTGCCTGGAGCTCCTGGTATCTCGTACCACTCAGAGATTGGGGTGGCAACAATACTATCTATCAGTTTTGGAACAGGTGCACTGTTGTGGATTTCCCTTACAGTTCCTTAAGTCTCAATTTCACAACTTCTGCTTCTAGAGCTTCCTAGCAAGGAGCTAAACGATGATCGATCCAATTTGTGCAGATAACCTCTCTGCATTAGGGCCAAGATGTTGTCTCCCTCCTCTAGGCATACAGGTGACTAAACGGCTACTGCAGGGGTGCTCTCCAGATGTTACTGGACTACAACTCTCAACAGCCGCAGTAGCCAGCCAGCATGATCAAAGGGTCAGAGATAATGGGAGTTGTAGTCTCAACATCTGGACAGTATGTTGGCTATCCCTGAGCTACTGGAACCATTGCAGACTGTTTCTGCAGGGCTGTTTTAATTCCAGTTCAGAGAGAAGCGTTTTGAGAGTCCAAGAATGTCTGGAAAGTACCTAGAACTTGCCCAGGCAAGAGCAGTTTTATATAATAATAATAATAATAATAATAATAATAATAATAATAATAAAATTTATTTATATCCCGCCCTCCCCAGCCGAAGCCGGGCTCAGAGTGGCTAACAACAGTAAAACGATAAAACATTCTAAAATCATTTCACTATAAAATTAATTCCAATCAAATTAATGGCAACCATTGGGCTAGAAGTTCTGTGAAGATTGCCAAAGGAGAGAGTCAGGCTGTGCCCTGGCCAAAGGCCTGGTGGAACAGCTTGTCTTGCAGGCCCTGCAGAAAGATGTCAAGTCCCGTAGGGCCCTAGTCTCTTGTGACAGAGCGTTCCACCAGATCGGAGCTACAGCCAAAAAAGCCCTGGCTCTGGCTGAGGCCAGCCTAACCTCTCTGTGGCCTGGGACCTTCAAGATGTTTTTGTTTGAAGACCGTATGTTTGAAGTGGATGAAGACAGCGATGGATGTACTTTAAAAGATTAAAGCGTGAGAGCAAATGATACCAGGGAAACCAATAATCCCTAATAACTTTGGTGATTGCATATATTTAACACACAGATGAGAGGTGCAATTAATTTATATGAGTTTTCCTGAAGGAACCACCCACATGCTTTCCTTAGAAGTTTAAAGGAAGCTCAATTAATTATTAGCTTAATTTAATTTATTCAGTGTTGGCTAGGGTTTCAATATTTCCAGAGGTAAAAATCTGGACAAAAAATGTTCTTAAGCTTTTTTTGGGTGATCACCCTGCTCAGCCCCTGGCTGTCCACTGCTGCCAAACCCAAAACAGAGCCCAAGACAGAGAAAGAACCCAGGTCACCCAACCACAAGCCTACGTACACACACACTTTAAAAAAACCCCTACATACCTGGGCATTTGCTTAAAATTGAAAAAATCCCCCCGGATGGGCATGTAGGCCCCCCAAAAGAGGACATGTCCAGGATTTCCCAGACATATGGCAACCCTAATATTGGCTCCCCAGCTGTTGTAGCACTACAACTCACCATTCCCAGCCAGCTTAGCCAATGGGCAGAGATGATGAGAGCTGTAGTCCAACAGGTCTGAGGAACACTCCCCCAACCTTCTGCCCTCCAGGTGTTTGGGGAACCAATTCCCATCAACACCAGGCAGCATGGTCAATGGTCAGGGATGAGGCAAGCTGCAGCAGAGGCATAGGAAGGGGGGTGCGGTGGGTGCAGACTACCCCGGGTGTCATGGGGGGGTTGACATTCAGCACACCGCCTGCCCGCGACTCCTGAATACAAATATGAAACAATATCTTCAAGGGCAGCCCCATAAAGAGCTCATTAGAAGAGCAGGTTGTGACGGGTGGTTTCTGAAAGTGCATCCTTTTCTGAGAAGGAATGTGGCTGGAATACTGGATGCAACTGGTCAGTGCTGTTCAGGGCTACTCTTGGGCTCTCTTTCTAGTCCATAGAAATCTAGAAACATGGAATGGTAGAGTTGAAAGGGACCCCAAGGGTCATCTAGTCCAACCCCCTGAAATGCAGGAATCTCAGCTAAAGCATCCATGACTGATGGCCATCCAACCTCTGCTTAAAAACCTTCTCTCCTGGAGAGACTTGAAGTGGACCAATTCTTTGTTCTTCACCTTCTCCTGATGCATTGTGAAAATAAGGGTCATGACACCAAAGGAACTATTGTGTACCAGACAAACCAGACCAAATATGACTTCTGTGTACCGCAATGACATGTTGTTATACGTGAAAAATGGAAGAAAAGCACTCACATGCAGATGTTCCTCAGCATTCTCTCCAGTGGTGCAGCTTCATTAGTTTTTCCAGAATAGAACAGAAATCACCACCCAAACCTTCAGCTGTGGTGGTCTCATCAGGACAGCCTAGCCATGTGTTTTGCCAGCTTTGCCTTTACTGGGACTTGCGAGGCAATGCAGAAGGGAGCAAGGCCAGCTCTTGCCTTGCTCTGCCTTGTTGTTAGTAGCTGGAAGAGATCAAACACTGCTGGTTTCCATTCCCATGGGCAAGTCTGAAAGAGGAATCTGTTCTGTCCTCTTGTGGCTTCTGCGTTGCCCTGGAGGATGCCACTGAGGGGCATTCAATGGGATTTCTGGCCTGGCAAGCAAGGCCTTCCAACTCCTGAACAAAAGTCCCCTTGAAACTGCTGCCACAACCTCCATTTTTATCACTCCTGCCCAGCGAAGGCGTGGGTTTCTGCAAAAGCAAGATAATTAGCCTTGGCCAAGTTAAAACTGGAACTGCCTTTGTGCTCTTATGGACCGAGGGTGTGTGTGTCTGCCTGCAAGTAAGCCTTAATAAAAGGCATGCAAGTTTGATCTAGAGTTGCGTAGGTGAAGAATCTGAGTAATGCAGGAAGACCAAGGCGCAGAAGAGAATTTCATTTGCTGCTACCAGCTGGACCCGACTGCCTGGTGTTCTTCCTGGTTCTGTCCCCATATCATATCAGCAGCTGTGGCACAGCTCATGTCCACAATCTTTCATGATAGACATCCACACCCACAGTGCTCCTTCATATCCAGTCCCTCTGGGTATTGCTAGCTGCACCCTGAGGCTTATTGTCAGGGTTGGAGTGAGGCGTAGGTCACCGACAAAACAACAAATAATCTGAGGCCAGTGAAGTTAATTCTTTATTCTTTAGGAGGCCTAGTGCTGAGCTTTCTTTCCCTGGGGGTTCCCTGTCTGGCATCTCCCACCAACTCCTCTGAACCAACCAGTCCATGACACAAAGGGCTGTACAACTGGGACATTTACAATTTGCATCCCAACATTTTTAATTTTTAAGACAACAACTCTGGCACCTTAAGGTGAGTTCATGCTGAGTATAGAATCATATGTGCTCCACCCTCCTTAAGGGGGATGAAAAGCTTTGTTCTCTCTCTCCCCCCCCCCCCCCCGCCTGCCAAGAAGGACCAAACACCAAAGTCTGGCTTGGAAATGTGAGGCATCTCAGCCCCCTTTGCAAACAGGAGCCAGTAATGTGGGCAGGGAATGGCTCTGAGTATGGACAGAGTGTTTCTTTCTCTATGTTTTATGTATTGTTACAAGGGGGCGGGTAGTCCACTGAGCCACTTGGTCAGTGGTTTGAATCCCCAGAATTGCTCTGTCCCAGTTCCTGCCAACCTAGCAGTTCGAAAGCACACCAGTGCAAGTAGATAAATAGGTACCACTGTGGCGGGAGAAGGTAAATGCACAAGGGCACGACAGAGGACGAGATGGTTGGACAGTGTTCTCGAAGCTACCAACCTGAGTTTGACCCAACTGCGGGAGGCAGTGGAAGACAGGAAGAAGAAGAAGAAGAGTTTGGATTTGATATCCCTCCTTTCACTCCCTTTAAGGAGTCTCAAAGCGGCTAACATTCTCCTTTCCTTTCCCTTCCTCCCCCACAACAAACACTCTGTGAGGTGAGTGGGGCTGAGAGACTTCAGAGAAGTATGACTGGCCCAAGATCACCCAGCAGCTGCATGTGGAGGAGCGGAGACGTGAACCCGGTTCCCCAGATTACGAGACTACTGCTCTTAACCACTACACCACAGTGCCTGGTGTGCTCTGGTCCATGGGGTCATGAAGAGTTGGACATGACTAAACAACAAATTAACTATGGAGTAAGGCCCAGAGGTTTTTAAACTGTGGTTGCCAGCCTGGCGCCCTGAAATCACCCCATAGTTTCAATTGGACCCATGCGAGTAGCAAAATGTGCCTGGCATGTGGCTAATTTTGAACACTGGTTGAGAGTACTGTATGTCCCAGAGGTGTGCTTCATTTGCGCTTTGAAAATGGGCTTTTAGTATTGCAACTCCATCCATCTGGGATAAATTGCCAACTGAAATTAGGCAAGCATTGTGGCATTTAGATAGCTAATGAAGACATTGTTTTTCTAAGAAGGCTTCCCCTGAAGCGTGACCCAGTCATTTTATGGAATATAAACTGTATGAATCGTTTCACGGTATTACCTTTAGTTTAGTGAGCTGGTAACCTTTTATATTTTATCTTTATTCTTATCTAATTGTATAGTGCTTGGGTAGCTTAGGTCTTTGAAGTGGTTTTAAAATCTGCAGATAAATAGCAAACAGATAGCATGAATACGACAGGCTCTGGGGGCATTTCCGTTCCAGCAATTCTGTTTTTAAAACTTTGTTTTAATATTTAGGTTATAATTAGGAAGGAAGGAACTAATGGGAAATAAGGTGGAGATGTGAAGTGGGGGGAGGGAAAGTAAGAGAAGTTGTGTTGTGCTGGCAGATGGAGGTACAACAGAGTACCGGTAGATCCTACAGGTAACTCGTCGTCAAGGAATGGGAATGCATCTATAATGCATTTCCGGCACTTATTTAAAACATTTTTGTTTAGACAAGCCTACCTAGACGTGTAGAATGGGGATGTATTTTTAAAATATGATTTTAGTTGATTGCTGATTTTATCTTTTGAATGTTTTAAATAGTTGTTTTCTTGGTTTTCACTGATAATTTTGTCGTTTCATTCTCTTTGTGAACAGCTTTGAGGTTTTGCAGCCAAGCGATGTAGGTATTTTATTAAATAAATAAAACAAATAAAACAAATAATATAACCCTGTCTGCTGGATCCTGTCCCCTTGCTATACTATAAGAGTGGATACCAGGCAGCCCCCCCCAGATGTGTTGGACCCCAACCCCCTCCCCAGCGGCCCCAGCCAGCTTGGGGTGGTCACGCAGAGACCTATTGGAGTAACATTTACCATTTGTTCCTGTAGGTGAGCAGATGTGGGTGCCTTCCCTTTCTAATATGCCCCCCAAATGTTACATATTCTGATATCTTCCTGCTATTAGTGCCTTTATTCCCCCCCAATCACCTTCAGTTGCAGACATTTCCCTCTTTTATTCCCTGCTGTTTTGAACCCAGAAGCTGCTCAAAGCGGCTCATAGCATCATAAAGATACATAGTCAAAGCAATCAAATCAATTAAAGACTATGCAAACCTTCCTCGGGTGTGTGTGTTCACATTGCTGCCTTAAAATGCAGTGCAGTTGCCCCCCCTCCATCCCGTGCGTTTCATAGCCTCCCGCCATCCCAGCTGTTCACATCAGCACAGCTTAATTCGTGTCAAATTCATTTCTGTTTGTGTATATCCTAGGGAATGTTGAAGGACAGGGCTGTCTTTACCATCTGCAAAGATATTTCACACCTTGGCTGGAGGTGAATTAGGAACCGCTTAAGGACTCCATTCGGTGTGGTTTGAGAAACAACACATCCAACAGTAGCATTTTATACAAAGCACAGGATACGTAAGCATAACGTGAAAGGGGATTAAAAACCCAGAAGCGGAAGGGCAGTGAATGCACAGTAGATAGGACTGTGTGAACATGGGGCACTTTGGAAGATGGCCGACAATAACATCTCTCCGGCTCACACGAGGTAATTAAGAGGCTGACGATGGGAGTAAATCAGCCTCCCTGGATCTCCCCAGGGGATGGGGAGATGCTGCCTCGTGCGCAGTTGCCAATAAATCATCCCCGAGTTCGAAAGAAGGAGGGGGTGGGGACACCGGACGGAAAGCCCTTGAGTGAGTTTTTGGATCTCCTGGACGCTACTTCTAATGCCGATCCTGGTTGCATTGCTCAAGTTAAATAAGAGAAGAGTAAATGCACATGTTTCGAGCGAAGGAAAGGCTGTATTGATTGCTAATTAAATCGACCACTGAGAAGCTGAGTGACGGGTTGGACTGAACAGAAGACTACATCAAAGAATTACAGCTATGTTGGTATGTTGAAACAGATCGGAAAGGGGGGGGAACTTTTCTCTTTTTTAATATGATTTACCTAACGACCCCCCCCCCCAAGAAGAACCGCCACATGATTGATAGCAAGTGAGATAGGAAAATAAACTGTGTGGAAACAAAATTATTAACCAAAGGCTTTGTTTTGCGGAAGATCTGGAAAGGAAACGAAAGGCTTTTGGTGTGACGCAGTTCTAATTGGGAACCGCCATTATGAGACAGACTTGGTTGCAAGATTTGCAGTCAAAGGGGGAGAGGTGCTACGGTTTTGTTATCATATCTGAATTCCATGGCTGAATTGGCAACAACTCCCCTGGAAAGGCTGATTTATGGAGCAACTGGTTTGGAAAGTTAATGAGCAGGCGCTTAGACTGCATTTTATGGGAACTGTCGAAATGACGCCTGCCGTTTGAACAGGACTTTTGGATCAGCGTGAAAACCCACACAGGACTATAATAATGTTTGCTTCAACTCGCTTGTGGAGATAACTCAGAGGTTATTAAGAAGAAAAATGATAACAATAAGAAGATTGGAAGATGGGATTTGTAAAGGATAACAACAAAGAGATGGAAAGATGGGACTTGTGAACATCAAAGCAGCAGAAATATGAGATGATTGGACCCTTTCTGAACTCGAAGCATGGGTACCCCAACAAAAATTTAAAATTTGGCTAAATATTTAGAGTTTATTATGTATTGGTATAATTTGGAATTAATGTGATATGATTGGTTTGTTAATTGGAAATTTAATAAAAATTATTTGTTAAAAAAAAAGGACTGTGTGAACACATCTGGAGCTCCCATCCTCCCCAAAAAGCTTTCTAAAAAGGAGCAAGCTTTGCCTATATGTGAAGCAACTGACTGAGCCTCCCTAGCAAGGAGGGTATTCCATACCCAGCATCTGAAAGGCCCTGCTTCTGGTGATCAGCTTCTGATAATAGTCTCTGAACACGGAGCATGATGCAAGGTCTCTGGTGGAGGACCTGAGTGTGCCATCAGACAGAGGGCCTTCTCAGTAGTGGCACCCTCCCTGTGGAATGCCCTCCCATCAGATGACAAGGAAATAAATAACTATCTGACTTTTAGAAGACATCTGATGGTAGCCCTGTTTAGGGAAGTTTTTAATGTTTGATGTTTTATCGTGTTTTTAATATTCTGTTGGGAGCCGCCCAGAGTGGCTGGGGAAACCCAGCCAGATGGGCAGGGTATAAATAATAAATTGCTATTATATTATATTATACAGTGGTACCTTAGGTTAAGTACTTAATTCGTTGCGGAGGTCCGTACTTAACCTGAAACTGTTCTTAACCTGGAGCACCACTTTAGCTAATGGGGCCTCCTGCTGCTGCCGCGCCGCCGGAGCACAATTTCTGTTGTCATCCTAAAGCAAAGTTCTTAACCTGAAGCACTATTTCTGGGTTAGCAGAGTCTGTAACCTGAAGCGTATATAACCTGAGGTACCACTGTATTATATTATATTATATTATATTATATTATATTATATTATATTATATTATATTATATTATATTATATTACATTATATTATATTATATTATATTATTATATTATATTATATTACATTATTATATTATATTATATTATATCATATTATATTCATCATGCGAAAGGCTGGGCTGGATGAATCCCAAGCTGGAATTAAGATTGCCGGAAGAAATATCAACAACCTCAGATATGCAGATGACACAACGATGGCAAAAAGTGAGGAGGAATTAAAGAACCTTTTAATGAGGGTGAAAGAGGAGAGCACAAAATATGGTCTGAAGCTCAACATCAAAAAAACGAAGATCGTGGCCACTGGTCCCATCACCTCCTGGCAAATAGAAGGGGAAGAAATGGAGGCAGTGAGAGATTTTACTTTCCTGGGCTCCATGATCACTGCAGATGGCGACAGCAGTCACGAAATTAAAAGACGCCTGCTTCTTGGGAGAAAGGTGATGGCAAACCTAGACAGTATCTTAAAAAGCAGAGACATCACCTTGCCAACAAAGGTCCGTATAGTTAAAGCCATGGTTTTCCCAGTAGTGATGTATGGAAGTGAGAGCTGGACCATAAAGAAGGCTGATCGCCGAAGAATTGATGCTTTTGAATTATGGTGCTGGAGGAGACTCTTGAGAGTCCCATGGACTGCAAGAAGATCAAACCTCTCCATTCTTAAGGAAATCAGCCCTGAGTGCTCACTCGAAGGGCAGATCGTGAAGCTGAGGCTCCAGTACTTTGGCCACCTCATGAGAAGAGAAGACTTCCTGGAAAAGACCCTGATGTTGGGAAAGATAGAGGGCACAAGGAGAAGGGGACGGCAGAGGACGAGATGGTTGGATGGTGTTCTCAAAGCTACAAACATGAGTCTGACCAAACTGCGGGAAGCAGTGGAAGACAGAAGTGCCTGGCGTGCTCTGGTCCATGGGGTCACGAAGAGTTGGACACGACTAAACGACTAAACAACAAAATATTATATTATATTAATCAGGCTCATCCACTCCCCTTATCTTCTCCAGTCCCAGTGGTCACCTGGATCACCAAGAGGGAGTTCAGGCCACGGTGATAACAAAACAAAGGGTGGAGCAGTTCTAAATCATTACACAGGATATAAAATAAATGCATGCTCTCATTTTTATTAGTAATAAATATGATAATATTTCTTGAGACTATTCATATCCTTATGACTAATTTCAATAGTATCATTGCCCACACGGCCGTTGCTGAACTAACTGGATAATTCAAACGTTAAACTTGTGTGCGTAGCAAAACACAACGTGTATCGCCAAGCAACAGTGTTGCATTCACACGATGTTCGCATACGAAAACCATACAGACACACTGCACATAATATGGTGAGGCTGCGCTGCCATACCGTCAAAGTGCACCAGCAAACGTTCATAGAGAGTCAGAGATGCTTGGTTAACGGCAGAACTTTACAAGTCTTTGTTCAGAATTGTGTGGCGTTGAACAGGAAATGCATATATTGTTAAGAATTACATTAAAATTATGCAAGGTAACCGAGGCCCCTTTCAGACCATCATGCCCCGGCAATTTGTATCAGCTTCCTGAGGCTCACCCTGCTGTCAGGTTAATGAAGCAAAGCCCACTTGACGAAGCTATTGAGGTGGTTGGTTAACAGGTGACTCTCAATGGGTCAGGGCACTTGGCTGTTAACCCAAAGGTTGGTGTTTTGAGCCTACCCAGGGACAGCTGTGGGCAGGATTCCTGCATTACAAGAGAGTTGGACAAGATGTCCCTTGGGGTCTCTTCCAGCTCTACAGTTCTTTGAGTCCATGACTTTGGTATGCGGTAGTTGCAGACAGAGCTTCTGCATAGATTGCTGCCCTCCACGAGAACTTTTGGCAGTAGCTTCCTTGGACTTTGCCTGGGGTCCAGATGATGTCTCAGTGGCATGAGTTGAGCATGCTCACTCCCCAAGGCCTGGGGAAGAGGCTCCTGTTGGTGCAGACTCCAGCAGCATGGGCCTTATGCACAACAGCATCACAATGAGGGATGGAAGAGGAATCCAGCTGGCTTCACATTTTAATATCTGCATGCCCCAAATATTGGAGAGAGCGCCTCATTCCCTGCAAACTCTCTTGTGTTAAGACTGGCAAAGGGGGTCCTCTTGGTTGTCACCAGAAGTTTGAGGGGGTGGCCCAGGAGAGGGCCTTTTTGGTGGCAGCCCTAGGTTATGGAATTCCCTCCCCAAAGAGGTGTGTCTGGCAGTTTCACTGTATAGCACTTTGCAATTGCCTAAGACACACTTCTTTGACATAAGAACACAAGAAGAGCCCTGCTGGACTTGGTCCAGTGGCCCATCTAGTCCAGCATCCTGTTCTCACAGTGGCCACCCAGATCCTGAGTGCAAGAACAGTCTCCTCTGCCCTTGTGGTTTCCAGCAGCTGGCATTCAGAAGCATACAGCATCCAACCATGAAGCAGAGCAGAGCCATTGCAGCTGGTAGCCATTGATAGTCTTCTCCTCCATGAATTATCTAATTCTTTTTTAAAGCCATCCAAGTTGATGGCCATCACTGCCTCCTGTGGAGCCAGTTCCACAATTTAACTGTGCGTTTTCGGGACCTGCCCAATTCCTAGAACTGTAATTTGTTTTAACCGCTTTTAATTAGGGTAGGGCATTTAATCGTTATCTTCATCTATCTGGTTTTCCATTTTCAAAACAGTACATGAACCCAAACTGTGCTCTCCTCCCAAGTTCACACGCCTCTGAAATTTGCAATGCAGCTCTTTGAGTAATGTGTAGAAAAATGTGCATATTAAAGGAAAAATTGTAAGAAAAATATATATTAACTAAATAGCATTCAAAAATGCAACAACAGAGCACACATAAGCCTGCTCCTTCTTGCTGTGCCCCCTTTTTTGGCCCCTTCCAGTTCACTGTGTAAAATGTGTAAAAAAGATCAGGAGTGATACCGACTGCTAGTGACTGGACAGAGTGAAAATGTGGTAGTTTGCCTAAATGACCAGTTTAAGGGATTATGTCAGATTTAACGAGAAATTGGCAGGCATTATTGACTCTAGCAAAGATGAAGGGTTAATTAAAACCTATTGAGTTTTTGCACTGTTTCGTAGTCAGGTTTGTTGAGGACAACTCAGTCTATTATGTGGTGTTATGGTTAAGAGTGTCAGACTAGGAACTGAGAGACCAGGATTAAAATACCCACTCGACCATGGCTCTTACTGGGTGACCAGTAACTGCTTCCCAGTCTAATTCATCCCACAGGGCTGTTGCCGGGATTAAACGAGGTCCTTCTGCTAGCCAGCCAGGGTGGAAACCGGCAACTAAAGTGAAGGAGTTTGGCCTTGGGCAGTTGCACATTTGCATTCAAACGTCTCTGCTTCTTTTGATCTCCTAGGACCACTCCAAGGAACAGAACTCCTCCAGTTTTCCAGCAGTAACGAAGGACAGCAAGATGGACCCCAGGTGTAAAGCAGTAGATGAAGACCAGGTAAGAGGCAGAGCAGAAGGTGTGCTTCAAATGGTTGGGGGTGAAGAGCCAATTGCAGAAGGATTTGGAGACACCCCAAAAAGCATCTCAAGAAGGGCATGTTCAATCAGTCGCATGTCGCAGGAGTCGGTGGTAGCTGCTCAGACTTCCTTTTCAGGTGCCTTTGCAAGGGTATTGTAAATTTCATTCAGGATGATTTGTGCTCTTGACGCTATCTGTGGTGTCTTAGGCATTCCAGCGTAGGGTTAGCAGACCTCCAGGCTTGACCTGAAGTCAAGGTGAAGTGGCAGGTACGGTGCTTGAATCTCCAGGGGGGCTAGGGTGCCTTTAATAAACAATTAAAAAAACATAATAAAAAAAATTAAGAAGACTGTACATGCAGCTTGCAGGCATCAGCCTGGTATCAGCTGGCTGCAAATTATTGCATGGAGACACTCTGGGCAGAGTGTGCAGAAGGCCTGCCTGGCGGCACAGTCTTTTCCCATGAGTCAAAACCACAATGGTTTTCTCTTGTCTTCCACACATTTAATTATGACTTGGGCATTTTTGCCTTTCATGGTGAGCTGCTTCAAGATGGCTTCCAAATGTGGACCGTTTAATCCGATGGTTGCTGTTCTGGTTCTGAACAGAAGCAGAAGAGCAACTCTGCACTCAGACTTACATCACCCTGTGGCGGAGGGGGTAGTCTGCACATGTTGGAGGGGGGCAGTGATTATGTGGGTGAGGAAAGGGTTAAATATTCCCATCCATCCTCACTGGAGTCGCAGTCACGATTCCACCCCACACACTGCAATTTAGGAGGAGAAAGAGGTGTTGTCAACCTGGCACCCGCAAGTGCCATGGGGCCTGTAAAAGCCTTCCTTGAAACCCCCAGGCAAGAGGCTTCCATTTAAAAACAGGGTTAGTCTCTATCCCTCCTAGAAAGAAAGTTAGGAATCAAAATGTGCAGGTACCCATCTAAACAATTTCTGTGAAAGTATCAAGCCTGGTTGCTTCCGCATGTGTGGGGTTTTTTTTGCCAGTGAGTAAAGTAAGAGCTGTGATTAATGAGTGAGTTTTTTGGACACCATGCAATAAGAACCCACAGTGTCTGAAAGAGCTGCTGTTTTCCCCTGCCCTTTAATTCACTTTTCCTGTTCCTGTCTTATTTTCAACAGAAATTCAACAAGTTAAGCCTTTTCTCCATTATGAGAAAAGCTTCATTATGGTTGTATGCTAATTTTGTGTTATGCCATGCTCCCCATTGCAGCCATTTTCTGATTGGCACTCTCTCAAAAATCAAAATGTGTCACTGGCTCAAAAAACGTTGACAATCCCTCATGTAAAATGTTTTGAAGGACAGGAGAGAAGGGACACTCATTTTCCATCCTGGTTATATTCTAGGGATGAGGAAAAATCCAATTCAATTTGCAAATTTGCAAATTTGCATGCATTCACACTTGCTGAAACAAGTTGTGAACCAAAACACAGCCATCCATTGATATTTGCACTCCCCCATAATTTTGCAATGCAGTCCTTGAGCCAAATAACGTGTACAGGCAACTCCCAACTGACTCAAGAGTTATGTTCTGGGGATCGTGTGTAAAGTCAAATTTGTGTATTAATCAAAGCAAATTGTGTTCAATGGTGGATGGGATTCCCAAAGTCATTTTCCCTGCAACCCCGCCCCTTTTACATTCCCTTTAATTTTTTTCTTTATTCTCTCCCCCCAAATGCGTAAAGCCAAATATGCACAATTTAAATGCATGTAAGTTGTGCGTTACCTGTACAAATATCCATACATTCTATGATTCTTTGATTAGGGTAAAATGCTCATAAAATGCATGCAAGATAAGATACAAAAATGCATTTCATTAGGGGAAATTCCACACAAAAGGTGTATATTAGGAGAAATTCACATTAAAACACTGAAGTGCATGAGGACACGCTTTCTCTCTCTCTCTCTCTCTGCAATGTGGAAATGTCAAGAACTTAACTTGCCACATGCCCACTATGGAGAGAGAGAGAGAGAGAGAGAGAGAGAGAGAGAGAAGGGATTGTGAAGACTGCCACAGCTGCTGCCATCACCTCATAAGGAAGAAGATGCCTATTTCCATTTCTCTGTTTATCATTTTCTCCATAAAAATGGAAATAGCAACAAAGCATTATAGAATTTTAGAGTTGGAAGGAACCCAGAGGGTCATCCAGCCCCTAAGATCTTACTTCCCTACTGGATGCAGTTTTGTTCTGCTGCCAAGCACCCACTCTTTTTAAAAGTTGGGGAGAGGGTAAGAGGGCAGGCGTTGTGGTGAATGCTGCCACCGAATTGCAGTTGTTTTTGTGGGCTGAGGTCAGTACTAGAATGCAGTGCGTTGTTTTGTTTTGTTTTCTTTGAAAAAGAAGAAGCTTTAAACAGGCAAGAGTAGGATTTAATACATTCTAGGCTGTTGGGTTTTTTGTTGTTTTGTTTTACATTCATTATTGTGTGAAACACTCCTCAATCCATTGCTTACTTTCTTCCTCCCTTGCTAATGTTCTTCTGTACTCCAAGTCCCTTTTATGGTTTTGTGACAGAGCACCTGCCTTGCATGCAGAAGGTCCCACATTCAGTCCTTGATGACATCTCCCTCTCTGCCTGAAACCCCAGAGAACCACTACTGCATTTGTATCTCCCGCTTTCTCCAAGGATCTCAAAATGGTGTGCATAGTTTTCCTCTCCCCCCCCCCCATTTTATCTTCACAACCACCTTGTGAGGTAGCTTAGGCTGAGACGCAACAATTGGCCTGAGAGCTTCATGGCTGACTTAGGGATTTGAACCTGGGTTTCCCAAGTCCTAGTCTGACACTCTAATTTATGCCGCTATACAAATGTATGGTGCAACTTAATTTGGAATACGGTGTACAGTTTTGGTTGCCTCACTTCAAAAAGGATATTGCAGAGTAGAAAGAGTCATGGCTGTCAGCGTTTTCCTACTTCTGCAAAGTCAAGGCAGTGCCAACCCAGAGGTTAGATTATTTTCCCCCAGTGTCTGTCTTGAAATCCAGCCAGCTCCACAAAATGAAAACCAGAAAAACCCGCCTGATAGATTTTGAGTAGCAACTCCAAGCAAGACTTCCAGTCTTTGGAGGATCCCTGGAAACAACCCAGGGCTTGTTTCCAGGTGTCAAGCAATTCAAAACAACTTTCAAACACAGAAACAAGGTGGCTCCAGAAAGATATATAGCTATGACTCCTCATAAATAAATACCACGTCTTGGGTTTCAAAAGTCCGGATAAAGAGGAATTGGAAAAAGGGAAAGCAAAATGAGCAATTCCCCTATAAGGAAAGCATACAACATTTGGGGCTTTTTAGTTTTAGAGAAAAGGTAAGAGGTGACATGACAGAAGTTTATAAAATCATGCATGGCATGGAGAAAGGAAGCAGATATTTATTTATTTATTGAGCTAGATGGACCAATGGTGAGACTCTATGTATGTAGGCAGCTTCCTAAATACAGTTTAAAGATGAGGAACCCTAATAAGAGAGATCTGAAGGGGTCATGGAGTTGCCCGTCAATTCAGAGTACCTGGACACCAGGTAGACTGAGTAGACACAGATGTCTGTCACCTGGTCACAGTCCTCTTCACTATGGTGGCATGTGCTCTATTTCAGTGGATATTACAGATCTTATTCCTAAATGTTCATCTACGTGTATGCCCATTTTATGCAAACCTGTGTCCTCTTTCGCCCCTCTCATTTGGCAATGGGTAAGTGGCCATCCTAACTTGGAAAGAGGGAGAAAAGGGGAATGTGATGATTTGACAGCATCTGGATTTGTGAGAACAAGCCAGTGAGTGGGTGGTATGAGGCCTGGGAAGACTGTCTCCCTGTGAAAGCAACTTAGGTGAGTGACATAAATGCAGTCAATAATCATCGTGGGAGAAAACCATCGGTCTCAGCAAACCTAGAATATAATAGGCCTGCTTGCTTTTCTATTCCCCCGGGCGGCATTAGATTAAATTGTCACTCGTTTGGCAACCACCCGGAAGAAACTGAGGTGCTTATTAGTACCTCTAACTTGAATTTGTTTAACACATATCAAGCTAACCTATCGTCTTCTTTAGAGAACGTAACCATTTTAGGGTTGCCATATGTCCGGGGAAAATCCAGACATGTCCTCTTCTGAGGGCCATCATGCCCATCTGGGCATATTTTTACATTTTAAAGGAAATGTCCAGGGGGGCTCAGGCTGTCCTCTTTTTTGCTCTTCAAGATCTGGCAACCCTACCATTGCTGACAAGTAAGAGGGAATCCTTTGAACACAACTTGCCTTTTGCAAGGTTTTGATGTGGTTCTGCACAATATTCTTGGGCAGTGCCAGATTTACATATATGCTAAACAAGCTATAGGTTAGGGCCCCACTCTCTTGGGGCCCCCCAAAAAATTTAAAGGAAAAAAAACCTGGATGTACATTTCCAAAATATAAGATAAAAAACAAGTAAAATAAAACCTATATACAGCAACAGTGTTTTGTGTTGTGTAGGCTCCTGTGATGTAAGTAATGAGCCTCGCCTGCTAACCTGCTCCCTAAAATATCACTGGTTTGCTCATTTCTATATATAGAGTGCCTACATTCTGCATGGACTGGTTGTATGGCAACATGTGCAAATAGCTTTAGATACCTATTAGGTCCGTAAATTACCATATAGCATGATGTATTCAACACAAAAAACAGTGACAATTTGTTGTTGACAAAGGACAGCTGGACATATAAAGGGCCCCATTACCTTGAGTAGCTTAAGGCCTCATCAAACCTAAATCTGGCCCTGTTCTTGGGAGTTACCCTAATTGAAGAAATATTTATTTCTTTAGAACATTTTGGGCCAGCCAAAAAGTCTCCCAGAGCACAGTCACTTCAAAGAAGACCATCCCTGTCCGCAAGCTTGCAACCTGAAAAACACCCACAACAGCCACAGGGAAGGGGACAGGGAAGGGAGGGAGGGGTGTGTGCAAAATCACACTCAATTCCTCTTCACAGGGAACTCTAGAAATAGATAAGAGATCAGTAAATTCAAGCGTGTACTGAACACGCTTCCAAATCTGAGCATATCAAAGGGCTTTGCCCAACTCCTAGCAGAAATGAAGACTAGCTCCAGGTAATCCCTGTGAAGGAGGACACCCGTTAATAAGCAGCAGCCACAGTTGAAAGAGCCAGCCTCACTTGCTTCCATGGCCAGAACAAAATTTGATACAGACCCACTTTAAACAGTCACAGTGGTATCATGGTGCTTTAAATGTATGGTGTGGATGTGGTCTTGATGTCCCACCGTTTGGTGGTGTGTGCCTTTGCATCTCTTAACTATGCCCCCCTCCCCTCTTGAAGGAGGTTCCAGCCTTTTTGCCTTTGAGGTTTCACCCATTTAGCGTGCGCATAGCCACAATGACTTTTTCCCGGCGAGGTTCGTACATTAAAGCTCCGTGACTGAGCGCCGCCCCCCCCATTTTGTTTTTGCTCTGGAGCTTCCCCCATGAAAAGCTGCTCTTTAAAGCTCAATCAGAGCACAATTTGAAGAAAACTCAAACTGGCGTTTGGCTCAGGGCAAAGGAAAAAAATGCTTTACATGGACCTTTTAAGTGTGGGCTTGTTCCTGGAAAGAGTGGGGCGAAAGGGCGATAAGCCCTGACTTAAGGAGGCAGGGTCTGAATTTCTCCGGCAAGGTTGAGCTGAGTCCTCCATTACCAGTATATGGGGCAGGTGGGAAATATGTTGTTGGTATAGCAATAGGAAAGATGAGGGGGTTTTGGCACAGAAACTGCTTTGGTCACCCTGTAGGATGACCTCTATCAGGAGAGAGGCATGGAAAATGCATCTCTGTTATTTCTCCTCAAGGTCTCAGCAGCTTTCAGTATCATTAACCATAGTATCCTTCTGGAGCAGCTGTCCAAGTTACTGCTGGGTGGCACCACTTTGCGGCAGTGCTTCCAGTAGTGCATGGATGGACCAGAGGGTGTTGCTTGGGGAGTGTTCTTCAGCCCTGTGGAGCCTTCACTATGGGCTTCATCAGGGTTCAGTTTAATCCCCTATGCTGTTTAACATCTACATGAAACTTCTGACTGGAGTTTTGGAGTACGTTGTCAGCAACATGCTGATGACACACAACTCTGCTTCGCCTTTACATCTGCAGGTGAGGCAGTGGGTGTGATTGTCTTGACATTGGTAATGGACTGGATTGTCTTGTCTTCGTAATGAATTGGATAAGAGTCAACAAACTGAATCTCAAATCAGATAAGACCGAGACACTGTTAGTGGGCGGTTCCCTAGACCTGCTTTTGATGGGGCTACACTTCCTCTGAAGGAGCGGATACATAGCTTGGGGGAACTCCTGGATCCTTTGCTGTCACTTGAGGCTCAGGTGGCCTTGGTGGCATGGAGTGTCTTCCACCAGCTTCGGCTGGTGGCCCAGCTGCACCCCTATCTGGACAGGGATAGCCTAACCTACATTGTCTATGCTCTGGTAACCTCTAGGTTAGATTAGTGCAATGTGTTATATGTAGGGCTGCCTCTGAAGATGGTTCTGAAACCAGCTAGTGCAGCTAGTGCAGAATTTGGTGGCAGGCTGCTCACCAGGGCAGGACTGTTTGAACATATTACACTAATCCTGGTCTAACTGTTTTTGACCTATAAAGCCTTAAATGCCTCAGGACAGGAGCTTAATACCTCAAGGACTGCCTCTCTCCATATGAACCTACCCAGACCCTAAGGCCCTTCTTCACGTGTCTCCTCCATGAGAGGTCCAGAGGGTGGCAACACAAGAATGGGATTTTTCTGCAGTGGCTCCCCATTTGTGGATGGCTGTCACCAGGGAGGTTTGGCTAGTGCCTTCATTTTGTTGTTGTTGTTAAAGATTTTATTGATTTTCCATTTTCAAAACAAATATCCAACATTAGTTTTTCACAACCTCCCCCCCCCCCCGTTGACTTCCCTCAGCTTCCATTTCTGGTTTATTACATCAAATGATATGTTTATATACCTTAATATGTTATCACAGTGTTATATTCCTTGTTTATGTAAGTAAAATGGTAAACGTTTATTTAAATCCTGCCAATGAGTCCATTTTTTGGTGTTTCTTCAAATATATTGTAAAAGGTTCTCATTCTTTTTCAAAGTCCCTGTTGTCCTTTTCTCGCAGTTTGTCCGTTAACTTTGCTAACTCTGAGTAGTTCATCAATTTTTCTTGCCATTGTTCTTTAGATGGTACTTCTCCAGTCTTTCAATTTTGTGGTATTAGAATTTTTGCTGCTGTTGTAGCATACACAAATAATGTCCGTTTTTCTCTCAGCTGCTCTTGTCCTAAATACCTAACAAAAAAGCTTCTGGTTTTTTAACAAATGTTATTTTCAAAATTCTTTTCAATTCGTTGTATATCATTTCCCATTTTTTAAAAAATAATCTTGCAATCCCACCACATATGATAAAATGTACCTTCCCCTTCTTTACACCTCCAACAGTTCTTTTGTTCTGTTTTATACATTTTTGCCAATTTTACTGGTGTGATATACCACCTTTAACATCATTTTCATGTAATTCTCCTTCAACAATATATAATCGGTAAATTTCAAATTCACTTTCCAAAGCCTTATCCAGTCCTCAAATTGTATGTTGTGACCTACATCCTGTGCTCACTTAATCATTACTGGTTTGACTTCCTCCTCTTTGGTTTCCCATTCCAACAGTATATTATACACCTTTTTTTAATAGTTTTGAATTATTGTCTATAATATCCTTTTGGAATTTTGAAACCATGTAAGTAAATCCTTTCTTATTATCTTCTTTGAAAATTTCATTTAGTTGTCTTTGTTGCAACCAACTCTGGAGATTTTCCTTTATCTCATCATAGCCTTTCCATTTTAACTTTCCTTGTTCTGTTAGTAATTCTCTGTAAGTTAGCCATGTTTCTTTCATTGTTGATGTTTTAACTGCTAATGCTTCAATAGGTGATAGCTACCACGGAGTTTTGGGTTCCAGTAATTCTTTATATTTTTCCCATACCTTTATTAAAGATTTTCTTATATGATTATGGAATCCTTTGTGTACTTTAGCTTTTCCATACCACATATGCATGCCAGCCAAATCTGTTATCATGTCCTTCCAACTCTATTGCCTCTTTTTCCCCAATTTTATCCAATCCTGAATCCAAGTAAGGCATGCTGCTTCATAGTAAATTTTAAAATCTGGAAGGGAAAAGTCTCCTCTTTCTTTTAAGTCTGTAAGTATTTTATGTTTTATCCTTGGCCTTTTCCCAGTCCAGATAAATTTTGAGATATATCTTTGCTATTTTTTGAAACAGGCATGATTACTTATTATTGGTATTGTCTGAAATAGGAGTAACATTTTTGGTAATACATTCATTTTGATTGCTGCAATTCTTCCTAAAAGGGAAAGATTAATCCTGTTCCATATGTCTAGATTCCTTTTTATTTCATTCCAATTTTTTCATAATTATCTTTGTAAATATTAATGTTCTTTGACGTCAACCACATTCCTAAATATTTTACCTTTTTGTGGGTTTCTGTGTCTATAGATTCTGATAATTCATTTTCTCTTTCTTTAAGGTTTTTAACTAACAGTTTAGTTTTGCTTTTGTTGTTTGAATCCTGCCACCTGTCCAAACTTTTGATTTTTTTCTAGTACTCTAGGGAGAGAGTTCTTTGGGTCTTCTACTATAATTACCAAGTCATCAGTGAAATATTTCAATTTATGCTCATTTTTCTTTATTCTTATTCCTGCCGCCTCTTTGTCAACTCTAATGTTTCTTGCTAATACCTCCAGGACCAGAATGAACAAAAGTGGTGATAACGGACATCCTTGTCTAGTTCATTTTTGTATTTTACATTGGTTTGTTATCACCTGATCAATGATTAATTTTGCATTCTGTTCTGAGTATATAGCTTGGATTCCCCTATTGAATTTTTCTCCAAATTCCATTTCTTCAAGAACCCTTTTCATAAAGTCCCAAGAAACATAATCAAATGCTTTTTCTGCATCTATAAACACCAATGCCACTTGCTTTTCATTTTGGACTTCCAGGTATTCAATTATATTTAAAACATTCCTAATATTATCTTTCATTTGTCTACCTGGAATAAATCCTGCTTGATCTTGATGTATATATTCTTCCAAAACTATTTTCATTCTATTGGCTAAGATATATGCAAACAGTTTGTAATCATTATTTAATAATGAAATGGGCCTATAATTTTTAACTAAAGTTATATCCGAATCTTGTTTTGGAATTAACGTTATAAACGCCTCTTTCCATGTTTCTGGTAATTCCCCTGTTTTTAAAATCTCATTCATCATATCCTTTAAGGGATGCCTTCATTATACACCTTTAGGCACCAGGCGAAAATGTTCCTATTTAACCAGGCCTTTGGCTGATTGACATCTGATGCACTTTTAAATGTGTTGTGGGAAAGGGGATTATTGTGTTGATTTTGTTCATATTTTTATTATGTATTTTATGTTTTTTATATTGTAATTTTATGTTGTGAACCACCCTGAGATCTATGAATAAAGTGTATTGTGCAAATGTTAATAATAATAATAAAAAAACAATAGCTAGACCAATTCTTCCTCTGCCCTTCCCTCCTGGGGATTTTACTCAGCCTCCTGCTGATCCTGATACCAGTTGCCAACTTACAGCTATCAGGACCCTTAACAAACTACAGCTCCCAGAATTCTTTGGGGGAAGCCGTGACTGTTTCAAGTAGCACCATAATGCTTTTAAATGCATGGGGTGAATGTGGCTTTGAAATGTCATGACTTATCTGAGTCCCAGGAGGAGGTGGATAATTAGCAAGACGGAGTGATGCTTTTTGTAGCAACCTCTCAGCTCTTGTAAGCATCTAGTTCTTCCTCCAAAATGCCAGACTTCTCAAGATGCGACTGTCAAGATAACCAACCCAGGTTCATAGCATTATCCTCCTCCCTTTTACAAATGTACAGGTTTTCTGCTTGATTCTTGTCTGCACCAGTTGTCATAGTATCTGTCCCTGCAGCATGGGTGGAACCTGGCAGAAACTGATCCTTATCTCCCCAGACTGAGAAAGGCACTTTGAGGGAAACACTGTTATGAAGCAGGTGGAGGGGGTGTTAGCAAGCTCAGGGTTAGGTGATGTGGCTGCTTTCTAGGCAGAAATGTTGCCACCCCGAATTCCATTGCAGCTTCAGAAGGCAGCCTTCTTCAAACTAGAATGACAGCTACGTTTAAAATGACTTATTCCAGGGTGGTGCAGTCGTTGGTATGTTGAGGTCCCAACACAGCCACAAAGCTCACTGGGTGTCAAGGCTTGAGTCAGGCGTAGGAAGGGCAGCAAGAAGAAACAACAAATCACCCAAGGCCAGTGAAGTTAAATCTTTATTCAAGGAAACAAACCACAGTTCAGGCCTAGTGGTCTCAGCAACTCTTCCTAGAAGGTTTTGGCCCGATAAAGCAGTTGTGAGGACTGAAGGTCCCTGCTTTCCCATCCCTCTCTAAGTCTCCTCTTTTCCCAGGTTTTCCCCATGCAGACTCAAACTGCGCCCAGCTAATCTCTGTTCTGCTCTTTCATTTCTCTGTGTGTTCCTGGATAAGAGGGGGAAGGGGAGCTGGTTGCAACAGGAGGGGGAGACTCCCTGGATTCTTCAGCAGCCTCTTGACCGCCCTCCTCTCCAGCCTCTGCTCCAGCCTCAGAGTCTGAACTGCACTCTGCCACAGACCCTTTCTGCTCACAGAACCCTGTTGCCCCTACAGCTTCTAACACCTCCTTCCCCAGCCTTCTCCCTCTGGCCACTCATCATTGTCTCACCACCAATCCCCTCACTCAGAGCCTTCTTCCCCTGGGGCTTCCCTGGGGGGGGGTGTGTCCCTGGCTGGTGCCTCCCACCACTCCTCAGCATCCAGTCATTCCATGACACTGAGTGACCTTGGGCCAATCACTCACTCTCAGCCTAACGTACCTCACGTTATTAAATGAGAGGGAATCAAATTAAATGAGGATGGGGGAACCATGTACACCACTTTGAGCTGTGTATCTGGCTGTGTTGCACGTATAGGAGGGGGTGGGGGGCAGTTGCCCCTCGATTTGCGGCAGATCAATTAAAAATACTTAACTAATTGAGGTTCTGCATCCTGGCTACACCCATGGTTACACATCTGCAGCATCTCTCCAAGGCCTGAGGCATGGCTTGGTCCCTGCTGCAAGAGCATTATCGCAGGACTGCAAGAACATTTCTCAGTAGGTCTCGTTTTAGGTCATGACTTAGGTCAAGTCTCCACCTCACCTCAGGCACTGGCCAGATTCTCCTTTGCTCATTAAATGTGGCAATGTGGTTCTCTGTAAATCCAGAGCAACCTGCGTTCCTTACGCCCTCTTTATCAACCAAATGAAGCGTGCTAATCCTTGCTAGATTTCCATGTGAGATTTCAGGAGATGTTCATTCTTCTTGGGAAGTTCCTGCTGACTAAACATTGGACGCTCTAATATCAATAGGATAGCACTCAAAACTCTTGTTCTGTCATTGCATCATGGGTAGCATAGCATTGGGCATTTTGGGTGTGCAAGTTCATAGTCCTGGCTTTACTTGTTGCTTTTTCTTTAAACCGCATCAAGTGCCTAGTACTCAATGACTGGCCTGAAAATGTGTAGGCCCAGTGGTGGCCAAACTTGGCCCTCCAGCTGTTCTGGGACTACAATTCCCATCATCCCTGGCCACTGGTCCTGTTAGCTAGGGATGATGGGAGTTGTAGTCCAAAAAGAGCTGGAGGGCAGAGTTTGGCCACCACTGGTGTAGGCAATGCCTGCAGTCCAGTCTGTGCTGCTACAGCAGAGACAGCTGGTAGGTTGAGGTTGGTCAGGGCAATACGGAGAGTTGTGGGGGGGAGGAATGTGAAATGTGGTTGGGGGACGCTAGTTGGGGGGCAGCTAAAAGTAGGGGGTGAGGGAACAACTGGGGACTAAGTGGGAGTTGAGCGAGAGGGGGTGGAAATTTCCCCTGAAGAAGGGGCCGTAGGTTAAAGTGGTGGGGAAGGGGGCTTTGGTGTCTGGGAAGGATACTGGAGGGTAGGTGTGGGGCTCTAGGTGGCCTTTCTCTCCCCCCCCCACACTGGGTGATCTTAGTACATTGAAATTTCTTATTGTGTTTTTTGAAATACAGTCATACCTCAGGATAAATACGCTTCGGGTTGAGCACTTTCGGGTTGCCCTCCGCAGTGACCCAGAAGTAACGGAGCCCGTTACTTCCAGGTTTCGCCGCTCGCGCATGCACAGACTGTCAAAATGATGTCACGCGTATGCACGGAAGCGGCAAAACATGACCCGCGCACGCGCAGACGTGCTGTTGCATCTTACGTTCCGTTTGGGATGTGAACGGGGCTCCGGAACGGATCCCGTTCGCATCCTGAGGTACCACTGTATGTAACTCAGTTGTCAGCTGTCTTGGAAGGTTTGGTATGGCAAGGAGGGTGTCAGAGCAACTTATGGAGCGTGGTAAGTGGGCATTAATGGGGTTGAGGTGGTGAGGGGGCAATCTCTGTGCATTGAAAGGAGAGTTTGAAAATACAAGAGAAGCATTGCTGGGTTTCAAATATTCCTGCTCTCAAGCCTCTAGTACAGAGATTGGCAAAGAGAACTGAAGGTGAACAGATTGCGAGGCACCATGAGGGGAAAGATAGGAGGCGTGATAAAGGATTGGGAGGTGGTAAGCCAGCTATGCAGGGCAGCTGGAGTTGAAACATGAGGGCCAGCTAGAGACTTCCGGGTTGGCACCTCCAGGCAATGGCGGAGTTCCTCCGATCGGGAGGAATTTGCTCCGCGGAAATTAGGGTCTGACCGCCACGGCGAAGGCGGAGACCCACTGAAATCACAGGCGGGAAAAGCCTGTGAACTTGGGATTCGGCTGGCACCCTTTGCGCCTCCCCTACTCACGGGGAAACCCTGATTTGGGGATCCGGAGCGAAGTGGGGTGAGTGGCGCGGTGCTTCGAATTGACTGCTTCTTTCACGGAGTGAAGCCGCATCGCTGTTGCCGGAGAGCGCTGACTTTTTCCTGTGGACAATTGGATTTTAAACAACTACCCGTGAGTAGAACGGAAAATTAGATCCTTAAATTCATTAATTTGGCATCAAAAAGGGAAGGTTCTAAACAGGAAGTCCGCCTTCCTTTTTTGTAAACAGATTGAAGCAAAGAAGTTGCAAGTTAAAGCCTTGGAAAGTTTATTTTTGTAAAGGATTAAATCTCCATCGGTTAAAACTATTAAACCCCCCTTGGAAGCAGGAGAAGAGGGGGGAAATTTTGGACCTAGTGAGCCTGCAAGAGAGAGTGAAAAACCAAATTACCACTGCTCCGAACCTGGGAACGGGCCGCCAGAAAGAGTGACGTTTTTTGACAGCTAGCAATAAGAGAAATATATTCTTTGCATTGTACTCATCTGCGTTTAAAAAGTAGGAAAAGAAACTATCTTTATAGTTTAAACTGTGTTTGAAAGGATCGATACAAGTGGAGACTGTTTCCCTCTAGAGGGAGCTTTTGAAACAGTTACAAGAGTGGAGCTGGGGTTTTTCCAGTTGCAAGATAAGAACTGTGTGAAATAGAGATCGACCTTGGACTTTAAGAATGTTGACAGAAGGAGACTGTATTATGTAAGATAAGCTATTCGTTGGAACAGCTCCACAAGAAGACGGACGCTATGAATACCAAACTTGAGAACTTGGGACAAAAAGTGACTAATTTGGAACAAAAAGTGACCATTAATACAGAAATTGTTCAGGATTTGACACAGGAACCTACCTTGACAGGACAAACTGGGGAGAAGACGAAGGAGAATGTTGGTGTTGTAAAACCTAAAATAATACAGGTGGAAGCCCCAGTTTTACAGAGGCAAACTGAGGACTATATGTGGAGGCCTTTTATGAATGAATATAGAAAAAGTCAGAATTTGAAGATTGGAGCCCTGTTTGGATTGAAGAAGGAAGGTTGGATAGACTCTTTCATGCAGAGATTTACTGACCTTTGGGTCGTGAATCTGGGTCAGGAGGAGATTGGAGTTATGGGGGCCTTTGGATCTGGAGGAGCCTTGAAACATGATTTGAGATATTTTATGGACACTGGTTTTAGTTGTGGAGAGTTGGTTGGTCTGTCGAGAGGGAATGGGGGCATGGTTGGGTCGGGCCCCCCCCCAAGACCTGCGCTTCAGCACCCTCAGCATCAAAGAATATGAAGGAAAACTGCAGAAGGGACTTGGAAAAGATTTAAGAGCCTCGGACAGAAGATCTCCAGGTTGATGAATTATATGGAATGGACAGAAATGACTGGCAGAATCCGAGACCAGGGAGAAGAGATGGTGGAAGAAGATTGGGAAAGTTTAAAGTTTATATATAGAAATATTGTAAATTTAATGAGTGTTAGAAAATTGTTGGAATGAAATTTTATGGCTTTAGCAGAAATGTTATAAGGAGTTAGGTATAAATAAGTATTTCAGTATTAATGGAAAATAAGGTACAAAATATGTTAAGATATTCATAATGATAAAAATAGAGAAAGATGGAAAGGACACGGAGCAATGGATCCAAACTACAAGAAAGAAGATTCCACCTAAACATTAGGAAGAACTTCCTGACAGTAAGAGCTGTTCGACAGTGGAATTTGCTGCCAAGGAGTGTGGTGGAGTCTCCTTCTTTGGAGGTCTTTAAGCAGAGGCTTGACAACCATATGTCAGGAGTGCTCTGATGGTGTTTCCTGCTTGGCAGGGGGTTGGACTCGATGGCTCTTGTGGTCTCTTCCAGCTCTATGATTCTATGATTCTATGAATTGCTGAAACAAGTAATAGAAGTGGAATACAAAAAGGGAGGTGAGAGAAGGTCGATGAAATAAGGGAATGAAAGATAGAGTAATGAAATGGTATGATATATGTTTTTAAATTGTTGTTCTTTTGCTTTGTTTAGTTTAGTGTGTTAAGGTTGTGTTTTGTATTGTTTATTGTATTTTATTGTATTGTTTCTTCTTTTCTTTCTCTTTTTTTTCCTTCTCTGTTCTATTTTGTCTTTTTCTTTCGCCTATTTTCTTCTTTCTTTTTTTTTCTTGTAAGTTTTAAAAGCAATAAAGATTATTTTTTAAAAAACAAAAACAACGCAGGGTTGCAGTTGTTGCAAGGTATGCGTCTGAACCCACATGTGTATTTATACACATGCTACCAAGAGGTTTTGCTAGAGTTATGAATATGTGCATACACCGGAGCTTAATTACAATTTAAGCAGGCAGCAAATTCCGCAGCACCTGCACACCTTGATCTAAAGAGTGAAAGGATTCCTAACCATTCCCTAGTAGCCTACAGAAAGTGAGTGTGACCATTTTGCCATAGAACCCACACCAATAGCAAGTTAATAAATGGCGGGGGAAGCGGGTAGCTGCCCTTAAAGCGATGCATGTGTTGGTTCCATGAGAGTGTTGATTTAGGATCATTAACTACGAACTAATGGGATGGAGATGTTCCTTGTTGCAGCTTGGAGAGCAAATTAACTACTGAATTATTATTGGGGGGGGGGCGTGTTGTACTAATTTAGCCAATGCATTCTAATGGACAAGGGAGAAGGGCTTTGAGATGAGCACTTCCTATAATCCCAATATTTCCATTGTTCTAGTGTCTCTTTCCTGCCCTTTTCTCATTTTGCTTATTCTGCTTAATTAATTTTGGAATTACAGAATGTGTCCACAGCCCTGACTGTTGCTTAACCCCCCAAAATGGCTAAAACCTGAGAGTGCTTCAGGAGAAATCCCGTGGCTCTGACCAGCCAGCTGGGGAGGTGAAAAGGCTGCTTGATCTTGCTGAAACCTCTGACTCTTTGCACTCTTTCTGTTCTCTAGGAGCTCGTGGACTGGCGTAAACCTTTGCTGTGGCAAGTGGGCCACTTGGGGGAGAAGTATGATGAATGGGTGCATCAACCAGTGGATCGTCCCATTCGCTTATTCCACTCGGATTTCATTGAATCTCTCTCCAAAACAGCATGGTGAGGCTCTGGGGTGCATCAGATAGCTGGGAGAATATTGGGTGAAGTTGTGTGGGTCATGTTGCGTTTTGGCTGTCGCTGGGCAATCCTCAATAGGTGGGGCGCCAAATTCACTGGTTTGGAAGTGGGGAAAGAACTGCTACCAGTCAAGAGTTAGCCAAAGTGGTCCCTCCAAACATTGCTGGACGATGACACCCATCATCCTTGGCTGTTCGCCACACTGGCTGGGTCCCCAGTAACATGTATAGGGGACCACATTGGCTCTGCTCTAATCCAATCTAAATAATCCACCCCAGCTAAGGAAGCACCATTCATTCATCACTACAATTGGTTATATGGAATTAGGAGTGGTACTAGAGAAGACATTATTCATCCAACTAGAAATGGTGTGTAGAGTTTTCGCCGGGTGGGAGGGGGACTGCAGCCATTTGTGGGTGAGTGAGTGATCTGGATTGAGACCATGTTATGGAGAAGATTTAGTCCTTTGCCCTCACCATAGTCCTGATATGGATCAGGAGGGCATCATCATCATTTAAACCATGGGTAGGCAAACTAAGGCCTGGGGGCCGGATCTGGGCCAATCGCCTTCTAAATCCGGCCCACGGACCGTCCAGGAATCAGCATGTTTTAATATGAGTAGAATGTGTCCTTTTATTTAAAATGCATCCCTGGGTTATTTGTGGGGCATAGGAATTCGTTCACACCCCCCCCCGAAAAAAATATAGTCTAGCCCCCCACAAGGTCCGAGGGACAGTGGACTGGCCCCCTGCTGAAAAAGTTTGCTGACCCCTGACTTATTACTTGCTTTTTTTGTTTGTTTACAAAAGCAACTCAAAGCAAGTTACAAGAAATAAATAATGCATCCATTAAAACCAGAATAAAACAGAACAAATACCTAATAACAGGGGGCGGGCGGGTGTGGGGGACTCCCTGGTCCTGAATGGGGTAACTGTACCCCTGAAGGACCAGGTGCGCAGCCTGGGAATCATTTTGGACTCACAGCTTTCCATGGAGGCGCAGGTTAATTCTGTGTCCAGGGCGGCTGTCTACCAACTCCACCTGGTACGCAGGCTGAGACCCTACCTGCCTGCAGACTGTCTTGCCAAGATGGTGCATGCTCTAGTTATCTCCCGCTTGGACTACTGCAATGCACTCTACGTGGGCTACCTTTGAAGGTGACCCGGAAACTGCAATTAATCCGGAATGCGGCAGCTAGACTGGTGACTGGGAGTGGCCGCCAGGACCACATAACACCGGTCCTGAGAGATCTGCATTGGCTCCCAGTACGTTTCCAAGTACAATTCGAAGTGTTGGTGCTGACGTTTAAAGCCCTAAACGGCCTCGGCCCAGTATACCTGAAGGAGCATCTCCACCCCCATCGTTCAGCCCGGACACTGAGATTGAGTGCCGAGGGCCTTCTGGCGGTTCCCTCATTGCGAGAAGTGAGGTTACAGGGAACAAGACAGAGGGCCTTCTCGGTAGTGGCGCCTGCCCTGTGGAACGCCCTCCCTTCAGATGTGAAGGAAAGAAGCAGCTATCTTATCTTTAAAAGACATCTGAAGGCAGCCCTGTTTAGGGAAGTTTTTAATATTTAATGCTGTATTGTTTTTAACACTCAATTGGAAGCCGCCCAGAGTGGCTGGGGAAACTCAGCCAGATGGGCGGGATATAAATAAATTATTATTATTATTATTATTACCCACTGATGGCTACTGCGCTCTCTCTCTCTCTCTCTCTCTCTCTCTCTCTCTCTCTCTTTTGGGGGGGGTGACAATTGGTTGTGGGGCCTGCAGCTGGGAGAGAGACACCTGCCTCCTCCCTCTCCCCAGCTTAGATTTTCCCAGAATTTGCAGGGCTTCCCAAAGGCTCTTCTTCACCCGCCAGGAGACAGCTGATGTTATGAACCTAAACCAGTTTTTCCCCTCTTCCTTCCAGGTACACAGTATGTGCCGTCTGGCTTCCGCTGGTGCTTTATCTCAGCTGGCATAGCTACACGTCGCTTGCGAAGGGAGAAACCTGGCTGTTTTCTACCTTCACAACAGGTGCCTATGCTCAATCCATCAGCCTCTTTAAACAAGCTTCTCAGGACACTACAAAGCTCTGAGTGGGGAGAGGCAGGTCTGCACCTGGGCAATGGGGCATTAGGAAAAGGGGCATCTTTCAACTGGTGGGGCCAGTTTGCGTTTGTGTCAGCTGAGGAGCAATCCTGCCTGGGAGCCCTGTGCCCTGTGCCCTGAGCCCGACCCCTCTGTTTTCCATGGAGAGAAAAGGCAGGACGAAGCCTTATTCTTGGCGGGCCAGCAAGACAGTGCATCTGGGCAACTGTGTAATGGGAAATGGAGGAAAGGCCTTCTGGAGAGAAGATAAGCGTATACCCCTTTCATGGGCTGCACACATGCTTCAGCCTTTGAAGCACTTTGTTTTGGGGTTTTTGAAAGCCCTTTTGTGGGGATCACTGCAGGGGCCCATATTTGCACTCAGTGCAGGCACCATGAGCAGCTGCTAAATCTTTGCCATATGTACGCATGGAGGGGGTGCCCTCTGTGCCTGGTGCACATTAGTTTCTTTCTGTTGGATCAATCCAGGATTGATCCAACACTTTCCCCTTTCAGTGCTCCCAGCACACACGTCCTGAAAGTTTATTGCCGTACCAATAGCACAGGCTGCACAGGCTGAGCTAGTTAAAGTGTACTCAGGCTTTGCTCCAAGGAGGCAACTTTGACTACATTCCTCCTTGTGGCTGGGTGGTGAGCCACAAGGAGGTGAGCCGCAAGGAGCCACTCTGAGTTCTGTCTAACTAGTGCCTACTTAATGGTCCTGAGTCAGCCATGTCTATTAATTTCAGCTGGTCTGCTCCTGAGTATGAGTTACATTGGGTGCAACCCTCTGTATGTGTCCCGAGGCTTCCTTTCCTTGCACCGTGCAGGGAACTTCGTGACCACATGTACCTTTTCTTTTCCCAAGGCACTCTTGAGTATGCTCAGGCGCTGCCGCACATGGCTAATTACTGACTATGTGATTTAATGCAAGACACCCAGAACATAGTGTGCTCGGATTCTCCCTGCTATGACACCAGGCAAAATTGATTTATTCCAAATTGATTTATTCCACGAGGATTGCAACACAGTGGTACCTCTGGTTACGTACTTAATTCGTTCCAGAGGTCCGTTCTTAAGCTGAAGCTGTTCTTAAGCTGAAGCACCACTTTAGCTCATGGGGCCTCCTGCTGCTACTGCCGCATGATTTCTGTTCACATCCTTAACCTGAGGTACTATTCCTGGGTTAGCAGAGTCTAACCTGAAGCGTATGTAACCTGAAGCATCTGTAACCCGAAGTACCACTGTACAGTGATTGTATCAGAAACCATACCTCATGCCACCACCTCAAAATATCGGCGGTTTAAGGAGCGCAGCCTCCAGGCAGGTTTCAGCAACAATAATCAGGAGTCAGGAATGGAGAAAGCAGCTATTGTCCCGAGTAGCTCCCTCCGCCTCCACGCCACCCACAGTGGGCCCTGCACAGAGAAGGGCTTGTGCTGAGCCAGAATCTCACTCAGTCAGACTCCGGCTTGCGGCACCTGCAGTCTGAGGCGCATGGCCTGCCCCCTTGTTCTCCATTGGCTGGCTGTCTTTTTCCCTCAGAGGTGCCATTCTGTGCCAGCCTAGGCTACTCCTTGGGGAGCAGGGGAGCTTTCTGTTTTCTGCTCCTATCACACCCAGCCAATAATAATGCCAGCAGGCTGACACAGTGTTAAAACAACATTCGGGACAGATAAAAGAAAGTACCTCTCCACGCGGCGCATAGGTAAATTATGGAACTCACTCCCACATGAGGACAGTGGTGGCCACAAAAGAAGACTAGACAAATTCACAGGGGAGGAGAGGGCTGTCAATGGCTACTAGTCATGATGACTCTGCTGTGCCCCCACGGTCGGAGGCAGTGATGCTTCTGAATACCAATCACAGGAAGGGAGAGGGCTCTTGTGCTTGAATCCTGCTTGCTGGTTTCCCACTGGGGCATCTGCTTAGCCCCTGGGAGAACAGGATGCTGGACTAGATGGGCCATTGGTCTGATCCAGCAGGCTCTTCTTAAATTCTTACATTCTTATTCCCACCTGGATCCTCTGGGGTCTGGTGAGAGGGGTGTTCCCACCCTCAGATTTTTCTCAGAGGGAAAGGTTGGGTGAAAGGATGAGGTCTGTATCTCCCAAAGCTCTTGGAACATGCTGAGGATGTTACCAATTTGTATAACTGGGTTTCTTTTTTTTGGGGGGGGGAGATCTTTGCCCTCTTTCTGATTTGACTTGGATCACCATGCAATGTGGCCAATGAGATTCAGCTACCTGATGACATTCGAAGCTAGCTCAGAATGAGGGGTTGCTCTCTATCTTCACTCTAGCAACTTTGGATGGGTAGGGGGAACAGTGCACCCACTAGAGAGGGTGGCATCCCCAGCGCACAGAAAAATCGAAATGACAACCCCTGGGCTGGCCAGTGTTGGAAACTAGCTGCTGGGCTGAATGGGGCTATGTTGGGTGCTGTGTTGATGTCCTTAGAGCAAGTCCTCCTCAAGGAATGAGGAGGTCCAGACTGTAGGGCTTGCTGACCTCTCGTCTTCCTGCTGTGTAGCATATTCCATCCGTGTTCAGAAGACCTGGTTCCCGTTGCTCTTCATTGTGGGGATGTGCATGTGGTCCTTAGTCGAATATATCATCCATCGCTTCATCTTCCACATGAGTCCGCCGGCCAACAACTACTACCTGATCACACTGCATTTCCTGCTCCATGGTCAGCATCATAAGGTAAATGGGCCACCACACGATCTAGTAGCCTCTTGGGGAGAACTTTCCCAAAACTGATTTGGACTGCAACTCCCATCAGCCTTGGCCAGGATAACCGTGTTCCCTTGGCCAGCATGACCATTGTGGAGCCTTTCTGACAGGGGCTGATGGGAGCTGTAGTCTGAAACAGCCAGAGGGCACCAGGTTGGGTGAAAGCTACCCTAGATGGATGAGGGTCCCTTTACAAGGTCATATTTTTGGAATGCAAATGCCATGAGGCAGCAGCTGGAAAAAAAGAAGGCTGTCACTCGGAGCAACAGCCTTCCTGAGCACTGAAACTACCTTGTGTGGGAAGGAACTCCAGTCTGAATTCAGCTACCCCATGAGAATGGATGTGGTCTATTTCACAAGACGAGCCCTTGTCTCTTTCCACGGTATGCGTGGGGAAACCTCTGGGCCAAGGGCTGCAGGAGGCCTGCTAGCATTGTGAATTTGGCACACAAGAGATTTAGCTTTTTTTGAGAACAATCAGAAGCCTATTTTAGGTCTCTTTTTGTTTTAATTTTCTTGTATTTTTACTTTTATTTTGTATGGGATGGGGTATAAATTGTAATATAGTACACTGATGTATAAATTTGTGAAATGTTTAATGAAGACTTTAAAATAATAATTAATTTTTTTTTAAAAAAAAGAAAGAAATTTGGCACACAAAGGGGTTTCTCTGCCCCCTCTGGCATGCCCACCTGAAGTGACATCGCATGTGGGGGCAGGTAACTCTTGTGTCCGTAAAGGAACTATTAGAGCAGAACTTGCCTCTGGTGCCAATTGGGAACTTCCAACAGGTGGAGCAGATCCCCAACGGAAGCGGGGCTAACCTTCTGCATCAGATTCAGAGCCAAATGCAAGATCCGCTTTGGGCAAGAATCTTCTGTTGCGACCCTGGCTTAAATTAAAGCCATGGCTGCAAAGAAAAAATCAGGAGCATACTCAGAGCAATCTCCTGGTCCTTCTTTTGAAGTCAATCCACTTCTAGAACTGGCCCGCTGGCCAGATGCAGTTCCTAAGCGGGCCATAGCTTAGTGGCAGAGGATGTGCTTTACATGCAAAAGGTCCCATCCTCAATCCTCAGCATCACCAGGTAGGGGTGGGGGGAAAGCTCTGTCTGAACCCCTGGAGAGCTTCTGCCAGTCAGTGTAGAGACAAAACCAATGGTCCAACTCTGTATAAGGAAGTTTCTTAGTTGAGGTTAAGGTAGAACTGAGTGGTGTGTGCAAAAGCTCCCAGGTTCAATTCTTGGGATCTTCAGGTCAGGCAAAGAAAGATTACCACTGTACAGAAGGTTGGTGATTTTAGCCCACCCCGGGATGGCTGTGGACAGGATTCCTGCATTGCAGGGGGTTGGACTAGATGGCCCTTGGTGTCCTTGGTGTCCCTTCCAATGCTACGATTCTGTGGTCCTGTGATCCTTTTTAATGTATTTATGTCGCCCGTTCCTCCCCAGCTGGGATTCCAGGAGGCTTACAACATTTATAAACAAGGTTATAAAATAAAAAGCGATGAAAACAAACTTAAGCAAAAAAGAATAATTGAAGTACATTTAGAACAAACAGTTAAAATCCAGTTTGCCCTGACAACTGCATCACCTGCACCTTAGTTTCCAAAGGTGTGTCTGAACAGGAAGGTTGCCTGCTGGGAGGGTAACAAAGAGGGAGCCGCTCCAACTTCTCTTGGAAGGGAATTCTGTAACGGGGGAGCAGCAACAGAAAAGTCTCTCTCTCCCTCTTTACACCACCAATTGTGCCTCCAGTGTGGATGGGACTGAGAGAAGGGGCTCACATGGGGATCTTAGCACCCAGGCAGGATCATAGCAGCAGATACGATATTACAGGTGGCCTGGGTCCAAGCCAGAATGATCCCCATTTGAAACCTTGGGGAGCCACTCCCAGCCTGTATAGAAAATACTGGGCTTTTGGGGCCAACAGCCTGACTCTGCATAAGGCAGCTTTCTTATGTTTCTCTCTGGGAGGCAGCAGAAGAAAAATGGTGGGAGCAGCATTCGAGGAATGCGCACAGGCTAGCACTTGAGCATGCATTGTGTGGGTTGGTGCACTTTAAGCCCCCAAGAAATAAGTATGTTTTCCTGCATTAAAGCAGGGAGTGTTTTCAGTAACACCTCCCCCCTTCCACCCACAAATACCCAGAGTGGCTGCATTTGGATGTCATGATAAACTTTAGTTTATCATGGGAACCATCTGCAGCCCCTGTTCTCTCCTTGACTGGCGTACCTGTGCAGAGGTGTCCAGAAGCTTCTGTTCTGATTAAGCACCGCTTGCCATTTTGCCTGAACCCGAAAAACTTAAGGTTTGTCTGAAACTGTTGTTCGTTTGAAACAAGCCAACTCCAACACATTAGCTATGAAGCTGGCTTCTTTGAACAAACCATAGTTAGGATTCACCACAGTTTAGGGTTCAGGTGTAATGCTAAACTGCCATGGACTGGCTGGATGCAGAGGAGTGCTGGGAGGAGGCACCAGCGGGGGAATCCCCAAAGGAACTCCTAAGGGTAGAAGGTTCAGAGCCAGGGAACTGGTGGTGGGATGACAATGAGTGGTCAGAGGGAGAAGAGGAAGCAGACTGAGAAGGGAGGTGTCGGAAGCTGAAAAGGCAACAGGGTTTTGTGAGCAGGATGAGGCTAGGGTAGAAAGCAGTCCAGAATCCAAGGCAGGAGAGGAGGGTGGCCAGCAGATAGAGATGAGGCAAGCTGCTGAAGAATCCAGGGATTCTCCCATCCTGTTGAGACCATCTCCCCTCCCCCTGAACAGACAGAAAAATGTAGAGGACAGAGCAAGGAGAAGCAAGACAACAGAGCCTTAGGCTGTTGGGGAAGGAAGCAGGGGAGAAGTCTTAGAGAGCGGTGGGAAGGCAGGGACCTTCAGTCCTCGCAACTTCTTCACTGGGGCAAGTCCTACTGGGAAGACTTTCTGTGAATGCTAGGCCTGCACTGTTTTGGGTTTTTTGAATAAAGAGTAAATTTCATGGACACTGGTGTCTTTTATTGCTGACCTACTCCTGACTCCAGCTTCTGACATAAACTTCAGGTAATCAAAGACATAAGCAAAAGCTTCAGAAGGTGTGGCTTGTTTCCATTAAACCTAGGAATGAGGGACATGAGGCCCTCCAGATGTTGCTGGACTGCAGCTCCCATCAGCCGCAAACTGTCATGGCCAGTGGTTGTGATAAACTGCGGTTTACAGTGTCAGCCAAGTCCAGCCATTGGAACTCATTTCTGCTCTTCTGCATCATGAGTATTTTGACTCCAAACCATGGGATGTCCCTCAGCATCAACGGTGTCAGTTGAACTACTAGTAACTAATTCTGCTCCTTGCGATTCTCTTTCAGTCTCCATTTGATGGATCTCGCCTGGTCTTTCCACCTGCACCATCATCCCTGGCCATTGCCTTTTTCTACGTTCTTGCCAGAGTTGTATTTCCTGAAGCATTTGGGACCTCCCTCTTCGTCGGGGGGCTCTTCGGCTACCTTGTCTATGACATGATGCACTATTACTTGCATTATGGGTCACCAAAGAAAGGCAGCTACTTGTATGAGATGAAAGCGTACCATGTGAAGCACCATTTTGAACACCAGAACGCAGGTAATGGAGGGGGGATTTTGCCTCCTGAACAGCTGCTACCACAGGAATAGGAGCCTATGCCCCCTCCCCCAATGTTGTTGGACTACAGCTCCCATCATCCCTAACCACTGGCCTTGCCTGCTACTAGCCACAATAGTTCTACCTCCACTGTTGGAGACAGTAAATACTTCCGAATACCAGCTGCTGGAAACTGCAAGAGGGGAGAGGGCTCTTGGGCTCAGGTACCACTTGCTGGTTTCCCTTTGGGGAATCTGGTTGGCCACTTTGAAAACAAGATGGTGGACTAGATGGGGCACTGGCCTGATCTGGCAGATCACTTCTTGTGAATCCAACAATATCTGGGGGGCCACAAGTTCCCTATCCTGGTCTGAATAGTTTTGGGGTAGTGTTAAGAAAAAGCAGGTACTGTTTTTTTAAAAAATGAATCCATAAAATAAAAACAAAATGGAGGGGACTTTTGCTCCCTTCCTGCTGATCTCTCAGGGTTGCTAAATGCCAAAACTAGCTGATGGAGCCTCCAGGTGGCCACTATTTTGTGGGAAGGATTCAAGTGCATTCTGGAACTTTAGGTTTCCACAATTAAAGTGCTCTGTCACCTGAGCACAACAAATCCACTTTAGAAAAGAAGCAGACATGGTGTGGTTTGGAATGTGTTGGGGTGAACATTGAAAAAATCTAGGATGCACAGATGATCGATAGGAAGGCTTATAAGCACCACAAAATTAAATCTGGACAAATGCTCGTTTTGTCTAACTGCCCTACAATGAAACCTGAATGAATGGTTAATAAAGACCAGCATTAGTCTAACCACTGCATAAGCTTTGTGCAAGCAAATCAGGAAGACTGCTGCATAAACAGGGCAACTGGAAACTGGAAGAGCCCCGACGGAAGCCTCCAATGCCTTGACTTAACTCTACACCTCTCTGTCTTCCCTGTTTCAGGCTTTGGCATCACCAGCAAACTCTGGGACCATCCGTTTCAGACGCTGATCCCAGAGGAAACCCCTGAGAAGGAAGACTAGCACCCGTTACTCTCCTGCATGGTCTTTGGCTCCTGTTTTGCTTTCCTCTTGCAAGCCTCGGATGCCGCCCCCTGGGACTCTGCAGAGCTTGGAAGCCTGGGACCTGAGGAGAGAGGGGACTGTCCTTCTGCTGTGCTGCTTCTTTGTAACATGGTTCTGCTGTGCAGGTGACCTTCTGGGAGGAGCCCTGCAAAGACTAATGGAGAGGGAAGACCAAGGTGGTGTTGCTGAGTGTCTTAGGCAGGATGCAATGGCAAGGGGCAAACTCTGCCCAGCTCAGCACCTTGAGATCAAAGTAGAACTCTGGTTTTAGACACGTGTAAGAATTTCATTGTTGAGCACATGCCACAGCTGACTTGGAGGACTGGTATCCTGTGATGTGTTGAGCGGTAGGCAAACTGCTCTGGCTCTTAGTATTCCTGATATCTAGCATGGTGTTTGGGTGGTGGGTGCAGGATTGCATAATGGTGCAACCCTGTTGGCATCCTTTCTGTGTAGACAATGGGCAGTGGTCTAAGTCCAGCTTGTTGCATGCCACCTACTTGGCTGACCTCTCCAGGGGAATCACTAGGGGAAAGAAAAGACTGCTGATTTCCCACAAGCTGGCACCAGGTGTGCGGAATGGCCACCCCTTTTACGCTCAGTGTGATTCTGATCTCTTTAGAGCAGAGCCCTGTGGGTTCTGGATTTGCTATGCAAGTGGCTGGATACAAGCCACCGGAGCTAGAAGTTATTTAAGAGGTCATCAAGTGTATCTCCCTGTCTAAAGACGGAGGATCTGGCACCAAAGAGTCCCTGACTGGTCCCTATTCCATTACTAATGCAACTTCTCAACCCAGAATTTGGGGGTGAAGTGAGATTGTAGTACATAGCCTGATTTGGAACTGCTTGAGTTTGGGGACTGACTTGGTTGCAGACTGAAGTTGGTAGGCAGAGGTGGGATTTTAAAGCAAAACCAGGCAAGCAAGAAAACAGAAAGAAGGGCGAGCCCCTTTCAGAAAAATGACAGATAAATTGCCACAAATTGCATATTGCAAAAAATCATTTATGCAAAAAACAGTCCTGCTTGAGTCAAATGCAAAAAGCCAACATCTGTCCAAAAAGACGCTGCCTAAGAATCCTCGGAAAATCATACTGGGTCAACTGACTTCAGCTTTGCTTTGTATACACTACAGTATTCACAATCTGATTAATCTGCAAAACCACATTGGGCTGTCAATGAGCTGTATTCTGAACCCACTGATGTGCCTTACTTCTCCTCCTTTGATGGGATGGCAGCCTTTCACTCGATGTGCCATGTACCTTAACCGTGACATTTGAGAAACTGTCAGTGATCCATAACTGTTATACACAAAGTGCAATAAAATAAAATACTTAGTCCACTGTAGGGATAATTGCAGGCAATAATTACAGAAACGAAGAACAATATTGTTTTTTGTATAACTCTACAGTATGTCATTTTTGCAACATTAACTGGCCTGCTGTTTATTGTAAAAGGGGAGGTGGTTTTTCCCAGAGGCAGTGATGAAGCATTTGTTCATCCTTTGTTCATTGGCCACCCTTTGGGAAGAAGACTTACCATAGCTGGACTCTCTCCGCATCAGGCACACAATTTGCATTCCCAGATCCACTTGTCCTTGCCAGGAGCATTCTCATCCCACCTTCTCAGACCTGTAAGGGCACTTTAGGAAGATGCTGGTTTGTGGTTGGGATCGAACCACAACTGAAGCGGATTTGGCACTTTTGCACAACAAACCTCCAAATTTTGTGCAACAAACCTCCCCCAAATTGGGTGGTTTTTTGTGGGGGGGTTTTGCAATAAGGAAAGTAACAGAATACAATGCTGAATGTGGGTAAACATTCCTTGATGAAAAGTTGTACAACCTCCCTGCAAACAAATCAGGATGAATGCATAATAAGCAGGTGGTCTGGAAGGTGGCCTAAGATGTGATGACCTCCGGGAGTGTTCCCCGAAGGTCCAACTTGCCATGCAGCAGGCTAGCTCTGGTCTAATCCTGCTCGTTGTGTTTTTCTATGTAAGGGGAAGCTGCTGTAAGCATCTTGGACTATGCTTTGGTGTTGTGGCCTCCTGTTCCCTTGTCGTTTTTGCCAGTGACTCCAGGAGCCAGAAGGTGGTGACCTCCAGTCACAGGATTGGGGTGGGATGGTTATGTCAAGAGAGCAGAGTTGGCAGGGTTCTTCTGGGAGACACCCTCCAGGACTAGGATGCTCTCCTGCACCTGATTCCAAGACCCTTCTTCTGCTGGAAGGTGAGCGGGCAGAGTGCTGTCCCTCTACAAATGGTCTAACTGCACAGTAGTTCAGGGAGGTCACTGTTGGTATCTTCTGGCTCCTCTGGAAGAGGCAATGTCTGCTGGTCTCTCCCCCTTTGGTCTTTGAGGGCTTATCCACACTTACTGTTCCTGCATGCTTTCCAGGCATAGCCTGCACTTTATGGCTCTGTGTGCGATTGCTCTTTTTGTTGGTTTGTTGCTGTGGAGCTTTCTCCATGAAAACCTGCTCTTTAGCACTGAATCGGAGCAAACAACAGTCTACGGGAAAAACAAATTCTTGTTTGTTGCACTTCAGCTTTGAAGAGCAGTTTTTGCTGGGGAAGCTCGGGGGGGGGGAGAGAAAGGAGTGCTCAGACATGGAGCTTTAAAGTGCGGACCTCTGCCTGAAAAAAGTGGGGCAAAAGGTAAGCATGGATGAACCTTGAGTCATCGTTTTGCTCTCCCTCTCTTCCCTGCCAGAGCACAACAAAATTGTGTCAAATGTGGTCCTTCGTGCTGATAAAGAGGGAGGGCGATGGCAGCCACTTGCTAGATGATGTGCCAAATTGTGGTCCCTTCTTCTCTTCATCTTTTTACCTCTGGTGCTGCTTTCATGTGTTGTGGCCTTGTGAGGTTCTGTAGTGTCTACACACAACACGAGGCAGGAGAGGCTCCTTCCCCTTGTTCCACTGGGAAGATTATGGGGCTATAATCAGAGGGAGAACATTGCACAGATAGGGGGCTACTGCAGGACAAAGTTTTGCTCTCTCCCTGACTGCCACTGTCCGGAGCGTCCTTGGAAAGGAGGACACAGAGAAGGACTTTAGACTTACAATGTCAGGTTCTGGACAAGTTCATATGGGGGAAGGTGGTCCTTTAGGTATCCTGAGCCATATTAGGCCTCTAGATCCCCAACTCTCTGGTGAGATTCCACCATCCCCATAAGAGGGCGAACTCCAAGCCCAGCAGCATCTGTTAGGCCATGATGGCTTTATACCCTCTTATACTTGGGTATAAGATACTTCTGTTCAATGAGTTGTTTGTCAAACCGGCTTCATACCAGTTGGAGTCCACAAATGGTTGTTAATTTGTCTCTAGCCAAGGTGCAAACACTTTTGTATAGGGTAAAGACATCAAAGGAATCAAAGCTGTGCTGATGTGAACATCTGGAGGGTGGTAAAGCTGCTTAATGCACTGGGAATGGGGGAAAGAACCTCACTACATTACAAGCCGGTAATATGAACACACCCTGGGTCTCTCTCTCTCTTTCTCTCTCTCTTACTGGGTCCCAGTCTTGAGTAATTAGATTGTGGAAGACTTCAGGTTCTGGGGTCACCACCTGCTTCCCCTCTCCAGCCCACAATCACAAATACAAGTGAGCTTCTCCACCACTGTTTCATCTCTCCATTCCCAAACCTGTGTTTGGTCAGGTCAATTTTAACGGTGTGTCAGCTTTTCTATGCTACCCTGCCCTTTTGCCTGAAAGAATTTATGCAAACCTCGACTAACCTGGAGTTTTGGCCTTCCAGTAAAGGCAATTGCAAAGAGATGCTCACTGGGTTGTGGATTTTGTCGCTGTTTTCGGTTATACCCAACCTTCTGATTTCTCTTTGCCCTCCCTCCATGTTTGCCACAGGATTTTTTCTTTAAAAAAAAAATAAGGATGAAGTTATATAAAATTGTAGACGTTAAGATAATTGTACATAGATATGATGTATATGTTGAAAAAATTAAACCATTTGAAGTGTTGATGTGTGTGGCGGCAACATGCTTCTGGAAGAGGGGAGGTGGGGGAAGGCGCAGCAGAGCAATTGTGGCTGCTGTGTTGTGGGTCTGTTGTAGCTTTTGGAAGCAGAATCACCTAGAAGAGAGCCTTGCAGCAGCTTGCCATGAGGCTGTCGCAGTGGCCAGCTGCTGCAGTCACCCCAAGCAAAGAAGGTAGGAGGGGGACTGTTGGCCACCTCTCATCTCCCTTTTCTCAGAGACCCCAGTGCAGAGGTGGTAGCTGTGACTTCTGACATTGCACCCCTGCTCGGGGTTGCAGGCTGGGTTAGTTTTCAGCAGGGGGCCGGTCCACTGTCCCTCAGACCTTGTGGGGGGGTTGGACTATATTTTTTTTTTTGGGGGGGGTGAATAAATTCCTGTGCCCCACAAATAACCCAGAGATGCATTTTAAATAAAAAGACACATTCTACTCATGTAAAAACATGCTTATTCCCAGACTGTCCGCGGGCTGGATTTAGAAGACGATTGGGCCAGATCCGGCCCCGGGGCCTTAGTTTGCCTACCCATGCCATGGCCCACGGTAGGACACCTGCTCTGCATGCAGAAGATCCCAGGTTCAACCCCCAGCACCTCTTCCATGAACGTCCCTGGCCTGAAACCCTTTTCATACATTCTCAAGTTGCCTCCCTCTGGCATTGGCCTGTCACTGGGCAACCTGCTGCCAGAAGCATGTTTGGCTTTTCTCTCTCCATCCTGAAATGCCTCTTGCTTGCCTAGAAGGAGAGAGAGTGTGTGTGTAAACCTCTTGTTCCTGGACGCCTGGAATGTAATCACCTGAACAAAGGTAAGAGTTGCATCCATTGCTTTGCCCATCTTGCCTATGGCCCCTAGAATGTTGGCCAAGAGTGAATGCTGCCTTCAGGCTCAAGAATGTTTCTGACTCCAAGTTCAGATGATACTGAACTAGCCGTTCTATAGGGCAGCTTCCTATGTTCCTATTGAGTGTGCATCACTTAGAGGCCTTTTGCTCCAACAAGTGGAGTACACAAGTGGTGCCAGGCGTGCAGAGACAAATGCACCCCCCCTCCCGCCAACAAGTGGTAGTTGGTTCTGGGAAGCAAAATGCGCTTTTAATAACAGGTAGGCCAGTGATACAATCCTAGAACTGTAGTGTTGGAAGACAGCCAAGGGGTCATCCGGTCCAACCCACTACATGACTGAAGCAGCCTTCGCCAACCTGGTGTCCTCTAGATGTTTTGGGCAGCAGCTGCCATCAGCCACAGCCTACACTTCTATTTTGTAGCCCAAAATGTTTGGAGGACCCTAGGATGACAAAGCTTGGGTTAAAGCAGCCTTTCTCAACCTGTGGGTCCCCAGATGTTGTTGAACTACAACTCCCATCACCCCTAGCTAGCAAGGCCAGAGCTCAGGGATGATGGGAGTTGTAGTCCAACAACATCTGGGGACCCACAGGTTGAGAACTGCTGGGTTAAAGCATCAAGAAAATTGCGTCCTGGGATTTCCCTGTCCTCAGAGGCAGCCCACCTCTTTGCTTGCTCTGGATAGAACCTCAGGTGCCTCCAAGCACTCCACACACCCTTCCCAGCTGAAATGGGCCAAACATCTGTATTACCTGTAGAACAAGTTTGCTTTAGTCGTGACAGAAAGACCCGACTTCCACACCCCTGAGTCTTTATTGAAGGCAAAGCATCAGCTGCTGTTTGAGAAGTGGCTCCCCTGCTCAGTTTCCCATCCCATCAGAGTTCCTGTATGTTTCCTCATTTAACCCAGCCCCCCACCACCACCGCCACTTTGGACGTAGTGGAATAAGTTTCTTCAGACAAAAAGCCAGTTTCTTTTCTTTCTTTCTTTTTAAAAGCACCTAGTTGTATGATTTGAGGGGAGAGGAGTCCTTCCCCCCGACTCCCAAGCAACCGGAGAACAAATTGGTAAGCTTTTGCCATGTTGGTGCAGAGTGAAGGACTAGGACCTGCAAGATCAGGCTTCAAATGCCTCCTCAGCTCACTGGGACAGTCACTGTCTCTTTGCCTAGCCTACCTCACAGGGTTGTTTGGAGGATTCAAAGGGGGAGAGGAAAACCAATGGGTGCTGCCTCCTCGAGTTCCTTGGAGGAAAGAAGGTGGGATAGAAATCGTATCTATAAAGAAACAGCACACACACAAAAACTCTACTTGCTTTCTACAATGGTAGCTAGTTTAAAAACCTTGAGAGTAATACCATCCGACACAGTGGAGTTGCATAGGACTGGGAATTCTAATCTGTGGTAGCCATGGTGAAAATTGAAGCGGGATGGGCTTTATTCCAGGTCCATGAATCCAGAGCACTTTGGTCTTTGGTGCTGTCCGTGGCTGGCATGCAGGATATGATTCCTGATAAATCGGCTTGCCCCAAGAGAATGGAGCCCTCAAGGAGGTGGGCAGCCCATCCCCCTTCCGCCCCATATGAAATATCTCCTCCTGGACATCTTTGGTCTGTGTTACTTTAAGCACCTTTCTGGAAACAAGCCTGTCCTTATATATGCAGAGGGCAGGTTGTTTCCCAACACCAGTGGCTGTCTTTTGATACAGTCCATAACAATTTATATACGTACATGCATAAAATTTTGTATACATGCAAAACCAGTTTGTTGGCTCTTTAATTTTGCTCAAGCAGCTTATTTTACACAGAACTTGCTGAGATTCGGCATCTCGGCCTACACCGAGGCGCAAGATTGAGCAGTGACTGGGCAAAGTTGTAGAATGAGGCATAGGAGGGAAAAGGTCCTCAAATTAAAACAAGAACCCAAAAATTAATAGTAGGGAAGAAGTGGGGGGACTTTTGCAGCCCGAGGGCCACATTCCATTACATGCAACCTTCTGGGGGCCACATGCCGGTGATGGGAGGGGCCAGAAGCAAAAGTGGGTGGGGCAAATGGTACCTTTGTGCAGTAGGATGCTTTCCACACACACACACACACACACACACACACACACACACTGCAATGTGTGGGAGGAGGAAGATGTAGGAGATTACCATGGGGTGATTTCTGCACAAGGGGGGGGGTACTACAAGAGAAGAGGAGAGGAGGCATGGACATGGGGGTGAGATGGGGTGCAAAGTGGGGCTGTGGAATAGAATGAGATTGGGAAATTGAGGAGGTAGACTGGAATAATCTATGGGCAAAAAACACTTAAGATAGATGTCTGTCATTACCAAAACTCTTAAGATGGAGTGGAAGAGTGAATGAAAAGAAGAGGAAATACAGAGCATGTGTAGAATGATTTAGTGCTTTCTATGCCAACCTGATACCCTTCTGCTGGGATGCCTGGGACTGATGGGAACTGTAGAGCGAAGGATCCACAGGAAAACAGGTTGCTGATTTAGTGTTTTCAAGTGTTTGTGTAGAGCAGGCGTCAGTTCTTCCTGGAAGTGTCACATGGCAAGAAGGGAGTTTTTCATCTCAAGGCTGTGCCTAATCAATAGCTCTGAAATATTTTCTTCCGTTTCTTTGCACAACTTCACCTTTGACCCTGGGACTCGATGTGGGATCTAGGGCTGAGCTCCAGCTCAAATTAAGCCTGGGGTGACCCAACCTGTGTGTGTCCCCGAAGCATGTCCAAAGCCTGTCATTTGGAGGATGCAGTTTGCCCAGCCACCCACCTCTCACACAAGGAGGAGTGCTGGGGAAGGACAAACCAATCCTAAGCAGGCAGCTGCACTAGGGGAAGATACTCCAAAGTGAATTCCCCTGTGTCAAAGTTCACCCTAACTGCTTCTGGACAAGGCATTTGTTTGGGGAGTAGTGTAAACATTTGTTTTCTGCCTTTCCATTGACTCCTGTTGAGTGAACTTTATTTATACCTGTGTTTTTAGTGGTGTCTGCAAGTATGTTTCACCAGCTAGGAGAGGTTAGGATGTGATGGTTTCTCTAGGTGTCCAGGTTGCATTGTAAAGCCATGTACATAGAATACCACCACCATCTTGTGGTGACTCCTTGTAAGTACTGTTATTAGGTCAATTGGTTGTGGCAAAGGGGGTTGAAATTACAGTACAACACCCTGACTACAGAATCAAGAACTGAAACCAGTCCATGGGGGGCTCCTGCTAAAACACTGAGGCCAAAGGCAGCTTCCCTAAAAACATTTGTCAGTTTGAGAGAGTTCGACAAAGGACTGTTAGGAGCACAGACAGCTAACCCTATATGAAGTGTCACCCCCCCCATTAAGATTAGCACTACTGTTGGTGGATTGTAGCATCTGACAGGTCCCCACACCATGGGGACAGGCACCCCCATGAAACACAGAGCCATCCTTCAAAATTCACACATCTCTGAATTTTGCAATGCAGCTGTTCCACTGAGTAAGGTGTACGGAAGCGCACCTCCTAAGGTAAAGTGTACATAAAATGTCGGAAGTCTGAGCATCTCTGACTTAAAGGCCCTCCTGTGCCCATATATAATCTTGTGGGTTTCCATAAGATGTAGCTCAGAGGGGTTGCCTGCTTCAGAGCCTGCAGGTAAAGGTGAATAGACTGGTGAGAAGGCATAATGGGGCCTTCTCTCTGGTGGCTCCAGTAGTATGCCATGCCATTCTTGTGGGCACTGGACAGGCCTCATTTCCCATGGTAGTTAATGGCCGTTGGGTAGGGCAGAAGGCAGGGAATCCAATGACAGGCAGAGCCAACTAATTCTTTCTTTTCCCTGGTGAATTTTAGAAGGGGAACACTGAGAATGATGAGAAGGGGGAAGCTGAAAATCAAGGCTTGAAATCCCCTGGACTGATTTTAAGGAGGTAGGGAGGCAGGTATGGGTTAACTGAGGAAAGACTGAGGACCAGCCTCCACTGCCCATTTCTCACATTTTAAATGAAGGCTGTAAAAACCCACCTTTTCTCAAAAACTTTTGATGAGCAGGGTATGGGGGTATTGAGAGATGGCCTTTTCCCTTGTACACCCAGTAGATCCCTGTGGTCTGTGGAAGAGTTTCTCCAGCAAGTTCCAAACATCTCAGAAGCCTCCTCTGCAGTAACTCAGAGAAGGCTTTCAGTGTGGCTGCTCCCGTTCAGTGCAAGAGCATTTCTGCCCAGTTATGACAAGAGCTCACTCTCTGCACTTTCTGGAAATGGCTGAAGGCATTTTTGTTCTGACAGGCGTTCCCAGCTTGATAAAGGTAAAGGTACCCCTGCCCATACGGGCCAGTCGTGTCCGACTCTAGGGTTGTGCGCTCATCTCACTCTAGAGGCCGGGAGCCAGCGCTGTCCGAAGACACTTCCGGGTCACGTGGCCAGCGTGACGAAGCTGCTCTGGTGAGCCAGCACCAGCGCAGCACACAGAAATGCCGTTTACCTTCCCACTATAAAGCGGTACCTATTTATCTACTTGCCCTTAGGGGTGCTTTCGAACTGCTAGGTGGGCAGGAGCTGGGACCGAACGACGGGAGCTCACCCCGCCCCGGGGATTCGAACCGCCGACCATACGATTGGCAAGTCCTAGGCACTGAGGTTTTACCCACAGCGCAACCCGCGTCCCCTTCCAGCTTGATAGATGGATCTTTACCACGAGTGTCTGTTTGTCAGAGTTTTAGTCTTCTTTTAAATGTATTAGTTGTTGTTTTTAAGTGCTTTTTATCACCCTGTGTGTAAATCACCTTGAGATGGTTTAGAAGCCTAGTAACACGTCAATGGTAATGATGATGATGATGATGATGATGATGTATGGCTAAGGCAGTATCGCTTTCTGCTAGTAGTTTTAAGGTTATTGTTTCTACTTGTAGTGCTAGCTACAGGCACTTCCAGGCTTTTGCTATTTTTAGGTGGGCATTAACCACAACCTGGAAAATCCCGGTTGCACAATTAAAGTTGCTTTGGAGCTCTTGCATAACAAACCACCTTGTAGTTTGCAAATATCACACCTGAATATCACACCAGGGCAGAAGCTTAATAAACAAGCTGTCTGGAAAGGACACATTTTTGCTTCGAAAGATTTTAGGAAACAAGTTTGCATTTGAAAACATTGTAGCCACTTTGTGATGGATTTCCTGAAAAAGCACAAGTACTGTACAGTGGTACCTCAGGTTACATACGCTTCAGGTTACATACACTTCAGGTTACAGACTCCGCTCACCCAGAAATAGTGCTTCAGGTTAAGAACTTTGCTTCAGGATGAAGAACAGAAATCGTGCTCCGGCAGCACGGCAGCAGCGGGAGGCCCCATTAGCTAAAGTGGTGCTTCAGGTTAAGAACAGTTTCAGGTTAAGAACAGACCTCCAGAATGAATTAAGTACTTAACCCGAGGTACCACTGTATACACCTCTCTCCAATAAAATAAAGTCAGTTGAATTTCTGTGTCCAAAGCACGTGGCCTTCCCCTTTTGAGAACTGAAAGTAAAACAGCAGCTCAACCAACGGGAAGGTGTCCCACCCGCCTTCCTAAAGTGCTCGATCCTCCTTCGACAGGAAGTCAGGCCAACTTCTGGGAAACGGGAAGCTGAGAGTTCAGCAGTTGGAGCAAACTCTTGATCGCACGGCAAGAAGAAAGGGGGGATCCGGAGACCACCGATAAACAGGTAAGCAGGAGCTGGGCGGAGGAGGGCAAGGAATCCTGCTCCCCTGCAAGGGCTGAAATGGGCACTTGGGGCTATATTTAGAGGATTGGGAGACCTCACACAATACACCAAGTAAAAGAAAGAAAGTTTTACCACCAGCCCTCTCCCCCCGCCCCTCTTCTTCCCCAACCTTATGCTGTATATAACATTAATGTCTCACACTGTGTGTAACTGATCAGTAGAAAAGACTCTACGAACTGAAAATAGAGACAATGCACGTACCTTTGTAAGCCAAGAAAATCTTTAATAAAAATTGCTTAAAATAAAACAAAATAGGGGATGGGAAGGAGAGATTAGTGGACCAGGTGCTGGTCTTTCTGAATTCATACTAAGTGCATTTGTTTTATTTTATTTGTTCCTTTTCTTCCAGTGTGGTGCACATGGTTCTCCTCCTCCCCATTTTATCCTTGCAACAACCCTGTGAGGTAGCTTAGGCTGGGGGGCAGTGATAGGCCCAAAGTCAACTAGTGAGCTTCATGGCTGAGTGTGTGTCTGTGTGCAATTAAAGCGGAGAACAGCTGAGTGTGTGCAAATCTTTAACTGCTTTCTGCTTTTCGCTTCTCCCCAATGCTCTGGCCGCAGCTGAATTTCACTCTGACCATGGGTGGCATCTGGCCTCAGGCTGCAAAAGGGAATTTAAAGTAAAGCCAGTCCACGGATGAGGCTAGCTGAAGCATCTGCCTCCTAAGAGGCAGCGTCCTGCCCACCACATTGCTTCAGCCCCCTTGCGGAACTCGCTTCTCTCTCTCACCGAGTTTGGCGAGAGAGGGAGGGAATGTTCCAGCTTGTGGTATAAATGGGGAGGGGGAGGGGGTGACACATTCCCATTTTGCCGTCGGGTGGTGAAAGGGGATGGGCCACCCATGATCTAACAGCTGTGGGGTGGAGGCCTCCCCATCCCCTCTGGGCATGCTGGATCTCTGCTTTGTACAAATGCAGGGGCACATATTGGGGACTGCAGTTAATCCCCATGAGATTCCATCAGGTGGAAATCAAAGAGGGATACAGTGGTACCTCGGGTTAAGAACTTAATTCGTTCTGGAGGTCCATTCTTAACCTGAAACTGTTCTTAACCTGAGGTACTATTTCTGGGTTAGTGGAGTCTGTAACCTGAAGCGTCTGTAACCTGAAGCGTATGTAACCCGAGGTACCACTGTAGTCTGTTGTGAGCTTCCAGGCATGTGAGGGCCAACTTAGGAGGGTAATGGCGATGCTCAGTGCAGATCTGTGCCACTTTTCCATGCCGCTGACTGAAATATTTTGTAGACGAGGCCGTGGCACCAAGCTTACGTTTAATTTTAAAAAACAAAACAAAAAACACCTTACCGGATTTCTTCCTGGAAAGGGTAGGTCTGGATCAAATTGCGGGGAAGATGCCAGTGTGGTTGCATCTATTTCCATAAACCACCACGTGTACATTTTTTGTCCTCTTTTTATTAATTGTTATGGTAATGTACATAGGTACCCTAGAACAGTGCTCAGCTTCAAAATGCAGAAGAGAATTCCCCAGAGCATGTTCCACCCCTTTAAAAAATATTATTTGGATGATGATGATATATTTATTTATACCCTGCCTTTTTCCCTGATGGGAGTCAAGGTGGCTTACAGATAAAAACATAGTAATATCAATCATTTAAAAACAATTAAATATTGATAGAGTTAAAACTATATACACATATAAAATCTGTTTAAAATATCACCAAAGAAACAGCAAGGCACCGGCCCTCTATCTAAAATCAGTCAATTCCTAAAGGAATTGGAACAAAAAAAATCTTCCCCTGCCGGTGGATGGACAGCAAGGAGGGAGCCAGTCCAGCTTTTCTGGAGTCTGGGAGTAGCCACTGATAAGGCCCTATCCCATGTAACCACTAAGCATCCCTGTGAGGGTGGCAGGACTGAGAGAATAGCCCTCCCTGAAGATCTCAGGGCCCGGGCAGGTTTGTATGAGTAAATGTCTTTCAGATAACATGTACAGAGCATGTGTTGAGTACAATTATCTAACAACGAAGTAAAGTGGAAATAGTGCAGGAGCAGAGAAAGCTCCGCAAGGCACACCCCTCCTTTGGCAATCTTCACAGAACTCTAGCCCAATGGTTGCCATCAATTTGATTTGAATTAATTTTATAATGAAATGATTTTAGAATGTTGTATTATTGTTGTTAGCCGCCCTGTGCCCGGCTTCGGCTGGGGATGGCGGGATATAAATAAATTATTATTATTATTATTATTTACATTTAAATTTGAAACCAGTTCAACTTCCCGCCTAAAGAATTCTGGTAACTTGCTGTTTTGTGAAGATGCAAGGGATTTTCTGACAAGGCTTGGGCAGCAACCATTTTCATAGTTGCTGTTTGGAATCCATCATGTGGCTGGCCCTACCATCAGGCAGGGTAAGTTGCCTGCTTCAGGCAGCAGAACTTGGGTGTCATGAATGGGCAGCAAGTTGTCGAGCCATGTAATTTAATTTATCAGGGTTGTACTTTTAGGTCCAGGAATAGAGAGAGGTGTGGTTGCCACTTCGGCCAGCAAAATACCTTGGGCTGGCCTCAGGTCTCAAGCTGGTTTAAGGCCACATTCACTCTGTACATTTAAAGTGCTATCTTGTTGGCATCCATCTATCTTAAGAGACAATGGAGTTCACTTCCGGGAGTGACGCACCCTTAACAAACTACAGTACCCAGAATTCTTTGGGGGAAGCCAAGTCTGTTTAAAGTGGTATCATTGCACTTTATATAATGCAGACACTTTCAACAAGCAAGTCTCCACTGGATGGTGGTGATCACGAGCTGTCTTGTGTTGCCCAGCAAATCCCGAGGGAAGCACCTGTGTTCTGCTTTGCTCCACCTGTGTTCTGCTTTGCTCACCATGTCCTTCCTTTCCCGCAGTTATGGATACCATCCAGGCCATTCTGAAAGTTTCGGTCACCATCTTTAACCAATGTGAGAAAATGACGGATTGCAATAAGCACAGAGAGCGCCTTGTTGAGCGCATTAAGACCCTCCGGCGGCAGGTCAAGCGCTTGCACCAGGTCTGCACCAGCTTCTCCGATGACCTGGTATTGATGCTGAAACAGACGCTGAAAGTCCTGAAAGAGGCCCAGACGAAGCTTTGCGAGTACGGTGACATGCCCCAGTTGCAGCGGTTCTTGAAGGCTAGCAGAATGCTGAAGGACTTTGAAAGAATGAACATAGACATCAGTAATGTCGGTCATGACCTAATGAGGCAACTAGAGATCGAGAAGCTATTAGCTGACCGTCAAGACCTCTTGAAATTTGAGAAGCCTCTTGTGACCCAGGAAGGCAGACAGGATCTTGTGGAGGACTGTGTATCTTTGAAGGAGATGAACAAAGGTGCTCCTGATCCTCTGCCTTTGAGAACAGTGGGGAAGGGAACAAACAGACCAGCATTGGCAGCGGGGGGGGACGGGGGACGGGGGACAGCAATGGTGGCAGCCACCAGCCAGGGGCTTGTCCTTAGGGAGGGATATTTGAGTGGCAGCATGATTTAAGTCACTAGTCTTCAACCTTTTTAGACTCAGGACCTGCTTCTCCCCTAGGAATTATGGGAAGTGTTGTTTGTTAAAGATGCAGAGAGTTCTTGGGAGCCCCCTCCCCCCAGTTCCCTCACAGTTACAGTTCAGAGTGGTTTAACAATCAATCCTTCTTCCCACTGAACTTGGGAAATTGTAGTTTGTAGTTTTGTGAGGGGAACAAAGGCCTCCTAACATCTCTCAGCACCCTTAACAAACCACAGCTCCTGGGATTCTTTGGGGGAAGCCACAACTAAAATGCATGGTGAATGTGGCCTAATTCAGGCGTCAAAAGTCGCCTAGGTGCCCCACTGGCTTCTGGGTGTTTCAGTGTATACAGTAGATCTCTCCCCCCCCCCTTGGGAGAACCACAACCTTATGCTGTGCTCTGTGGCCACCCTGTACCCCAAGAACAAGGAAATACATTTGGCTCATTATCACTTCATTGCTGTGCTCTGAAGGAGTGTTGCCTTGTTGGGGCCTTGCTAGGAACTCAAAAGACTCAGAGCACAAATTAAGATGGCAGGTAGCTGAATTCTCACCAACACTGGACCTTGTTAACACACTCAGCCACCTTGTAACCATTTTTTTTTAAATGATTAAAAAGGCCGGAAAGTGGCAGAAGATCTAAGGCTCACTGCAAAAGATTCTGGGTTTGAGCCCCTTCTAGTGCTGCTGTTTCTGTGCTTTTCCATTGAAACCTTTTGGAACCAGAAGTACCTGGGAAGATATAGAGATAACTCACATACCTTGTTTTCCCCGACACCTTCCAAGCTCCCAAGAAGCAGCTTTTGAAGTGAGTGTCTTAAAATCATTCCCAAGCTAATCTCTCAGTTATGGGGGCCAAATGTACTTGCCTTAATTAGAGAGCAGGAGGCCCAGACACATGTCCGAGCCAATTTCAGAGCAAAGCGTGCAACCAGATCAGGCAAGCTTCTCAAAGCCACAACTGTCCTTTTTTGCTACACCACTTCAGCTTCAAAGCTTATTATTCTGGCTCGTTAACCAACATTAGAAATGAACAAGCATTCGAAGGCCCACCGCATGATCCTTTATAGATGGGAGGGCATTCCACAGGGTGGGTGCGACTGCTGAGAAGGCCCACTGCCTGTTTCCCTGTGCCCTCACTTCTTGCAATGAGAGAACCACCAGAAGGCCCCTCAGAACTGGATCTCAGTGTCCGGGTTGAACGATGGGGGTGGAGGTACACAATGAAGGTTTTGGTACTGGTCTTGCTGCACTCCAAGGAGCCTGGCTTAAATACAGTTCAAAGGGGAGGGGTAGATGACACACAGCTGGCTCAAACATCTCCCCTCCAGAGGAGGCTGACAGCAGCAAAAGGTGAATGTTGGGGAAGACAGTGATGGCAAGTCTCTCTTCCCCAGCCCTCCTGGAAGTACCAGCTGCCGGTGCAGGTCTTACTGCACTTCCAGTTTCTTTTCTTCTGAAATACTGAAACTTGAATATTGCCAGCTCACCATGTGGGGATCTCCAAGTGACTGTGGGCCTCTCTCCCAATTCTGATCTGTTTCCATGGGCTTCTTTCTTACCCCCTTCCATTCCCTCCAGGCCAGGATGCTGCTGCTTCCATGGAAATCACTGAAATACCCAAAAGCCAGATCACCAATGTGACCACCCTGGCGGAGTGTGAGAGCTACACCCTGTGCAGTGGAGAGTACAATTATTGCTCTGTGGCCATCAAAGTCTTCAAGAACCCTTTGAATGAGAACAAACCACAGTGAGTGCCTCTCTTTGGTCCTCTTCCTGAGTGATGGGTACAAGTGGCCACCTCTATATTGCAAAGCTAACCTAACCACCCTCACAGAGGGAACTGATGGAGAGACTTTCGGCTCCATCACAGAGACTGATCTTTCTGTTGCTTCCCCCAGGGATGTGAGGAGCATCTTTTGGACCGAAATCAAGACTATGAAGAAGTTTGAGTCTCCCCACATTGTCCGTCTGTATGGGATGTGCATAGATGAGAGTGGTAAGACCTTTGCTCTTTGTGTGTATATGTGTGTTTGGGGGGGGGAGGTAAGAATTCATCCTTCCACAGTAGTTAATGCATGTCTGTATTTAACTTTCTTTATGTGGTTTTTACTGTATGGTTTTATGTATTTTTTTGTGGTAAACTGCTTTGATATTTTTCATGAAATAGCAGTTTCTAAAATATATTTTATAAATAAATGAAACAGAAGAAAGAATACACAGCCAGATATTGAACCAAGAAATGTCCATTGTATTCATACATGCTTTTGGTGCAGTGCTGTGCCTCACCCTCAACTTCACAGGAGCGAAGTTTTATTTCAAATAGCACCAGGTCTTCCACTTAGCCTCTCCTGACCAGGAATATGTGCTCTCCACTCTGTTTTCATGAATGTGTCAAGGAGCTGAAAACTGTTTGGTAGCAGAGCACAAAAGACAAAGACAGCCACTGACTGAAATGGAGCAGCAATTCATCAATTGTCTTCTTTGCCCTAGGCTTCCCTCCTGAATACTCCATCATCACGGAATATTGTGAAAAGGGTACCCTGAGGCAAGTGCTGAAAAAGGAGCCTGACCTATCCTGGAACATTCGCTTGGAAATGGCAAAGGATGCTGCCATCGGCCTGTACAGGTACACTGAGCCTGGCTAGAGGGGGGAAAGGGCTCTGCCGTTGTGTTTGCACAGCACCCTCCCACTCTCCCTCCAATAAGTGGCAGTGACTCTGCTGACTGGAGGTCAGGTACACAGAGTGTTGGCTTTTTCCTCCACTTCTTGGCTCTTTTTGACTGCAGGTTGCATCAGACGGGGGACAAGCCTCAGGTGCATTACTGCATCAACAGCACCAGGTTCCTGGTTGACAAAAACTACTGTGTAAAGGTGAGAGCTGTGTAAAGGTGTCGTGGCTTCAAAGAAGGCTTAGAAAGGCATATCTGCCTTGCACACTTTCAGTGGCTTAAGGATCATTTTCACCCTCCAAGGAAGTCCGGAAACTGGAGACCTGCAGGGAGGGGCTGATTATTGGACAGGTCTGCCCAATATATTCCATAAAAGGTAAAGGGACCCCTGATCGTTAGGTCCAGTCGTGACCAACTCTGGGGTTGCGGTGCTCATCTCGCTTTATTGGCTGAGGGAGCCGGCGTACAGCTTCTGGGTCATGTGGCCAGCATGACTAAGCCTCTTCTGGCGAACCAGAGCAGTGCACGGAAACGCCATTTACCTTCCCGCTGGAGCGGTACCTATTTATCTACTTGCACTTTGACGTGCTTTCGAACTGCTAGGTTGGCAGGAGCAGGGACAGAGCAATGGGAGCTCAAATACCCATACCCACCTTCAAATGTCTGCATCTCTAGCTGGGTGTGTGTGTGTGTGTGTGTGTGTGTGTGTTGCATTCCTGACCCTTGGCTACAGAGCTAGAGTCATAGAATTGGGAGGATCCCCCAAAGGTCATCTACTCCAACCCACTACTGCTGTGGGTACCAGCCTCCCTGGTAAACAGCTATCCAGCCTTCTGAGGCACACTCTTCCTCAAAACAGCTCGTCTTGTCAGGATGCTCTCTTCAACGTTTAGCCTTAACCCCATTTTCCTGATCACACAACATTCTCTCTGCTCTTCTCAGCTCTCTGGGTTTGAACTGAGTCAGACGGTCTCTTCCATCAGACGGAAGCCCAAGGAGAAACCCAAAAAAGAGGTCAGTGCTTCAGCCTACATCTGCCCCGAGGGCCTGCGGTCAGTGGAGCATCAATACAACCTGGCCAGCGAAATATACAGGTATTTTATCGCAAAGTACTGCCACACCCTATTTTTATTTATCAGGGGCATCTTCATTCCATTCTTTAGCCAAAGAAGCTGCTTTACAAAATCCCATAGTAAGGCAACCCCTGCCTGCAGGCTTATACTCTAAAATACATAACACAAAAGGAAAAAGGGATGGGGTGGGATGAGGAAAGAAAGCAAGCTCAGGCACCTGTTGGGGTGGAAACAGCTTGAAGGATGGACTGACTGCTGCTAAGTGAGGGAAGGTCAAAGGCAGCTGGCCGGTCTGTGGAGGTACTTAGGATCCCCAGAGGACCACAACTTATGGACAACTCATGGGCTGGGTGGGCAGAACCAGCCCATGTCTCCTGCATGTGTTAATTAAATGAGATGCATGTCATCATAAAGTTTCTAATTACTTCTGCACAGGGCTGGCATCAAGGGCTGGTGTTGTTGGGCACCTGCCAAGGTCTGAGTTCGTGCAGGGGCACCACTGCCACCTCCTGGTCCTGCTTCTCTTCCCCTTGCTGTCGCTGCCAGTTCACCTGCCCTCTCTGAGCAGCTGGAAAGAGGGTGGAGGTGGGACAGAATCCTAGAGAGCCCAAAATATTATTTCATTTAGGTGGGGACAAGTAATTAAAAGAGGGAAGAAGAATGGGGGGAGTGTATGGAGTGGAGTGTAAGGAAGTAAGAGCTGTTCGACAGTGGAATTTGCTGCCAAGGAGTGTGGTGGAGTCTCCTTCTTTGGAGGTCTTTAAGCAGAGGCTTGACAACCATATGTCAGGAGTGCTCTGATGGTGTTTCCTGCTTGGCAGGGGGTTGGACTCGATGGCCCTTGTGGTCTCTTCCAACTCTATGATTCTATGATTCTATAAGTATATCAAAGTTCTGATTTTCCCTGTGATGCTTCTTCTCAAATGTGAAATTCCTTTTAAAAAACCCAACTCATATTTTTGGCACACCCTAAGCATGTGCTTAGTTTGCCTGTTGGGTAATCCAGCACTGGAAGCGGGGCTACCTCTAATGGCTTCTTGCCTGCTCTCCGCCCCCAGCAAAACAGCAACCACCACCATGCGGCTGGCCTGCCTCCTACTCTTATTTGCTGCGTGCCTCTTGTGGAGGGGAGGGGACGTGCCGTGCACAACGATGCCTCAGAACCATCACTGGGGAGATGGGAAAGTCAAGCTGGGGAGCTACCAACCAGTCTGGTAGATGCTGCTTTCTACCAAATTCCAGAACAGCCAGCGGGGTTGACATTTTGTCCACTGTTTCCCCTGGAAAAAGGCCTTCACCATGTCCCTTGGTTGTTCCCATCATCATCATCATCATCATTTTTAATTGTATACAGTCTTTCTATCTTACTATACTCAAGGCGGTTTACAAGCTGAAGAAACAAAAAATGTACATCTTATAACAATCTAATGCAGGCTTCCTCAACCTCGGCCCTCCTGATGTTTTTTGCCTACAACTCCCATGATCCCTAGCTAGCAGGACCAGTGGTCATGGATGCTGGGAATTGTAGTCTCAAAACATCTGGAGGGCTGAGGTTGAGGAAGCCTAATCTAATGCAGTACAAAAATGTGATAATAAAACAAAACTTTAAAATAAGCAACCTTCATCACAAAAGTAATACAGTGGTACCTCAGGATGCGAACGGGATCCGTTCCGGAGCCCTGTTCGCATCCCGAATGGAACGCAAGATGCGATGGCGCATCTGCGCGTGCGCGGGTCATGTTTCACTGCTTCTGTGCATGTGCGTGACATCATTTTGAGCGTCTGCGCATGCGCAAGCAGCGAAACCTGGAAGTAACACACTCCGTTACTTCAGGGTTGCTGTGGAGCGCAACTCAAATGCGCTCAACCCGAAGCACATTCAACTCGAGGTATGACTGTACTCAACAATCATTAGAATAGTATAAAATAATAATACCAACATATAAAAGTTAAACAGAAATCCACTCAACAGTTACAATAAATAATTTCTAAACTATAATCAGTAAAACAATGGCAAGCCACAGTACATAAAATAATACAATACAAATAGAGAAGCAGAGACTAGAGGGTGGAGCAAGGCAGGTGGAAGAAGGCCTTGCCTGACGAAGTCTCTCCCCTCACAGTTCTTCCTCCAGGACCGGCTCCCTTATGAGGACTCCTAGGGCCGGAGGGTCGGGCAAGGCAGGTGGAAGGATCTTCCTGTCCACCTAGAAATGGATAGGCCTCCATGCAGGACTGGCCTGCTCAGGAGGCGAGGTGAGGCAGTGGCCTCAGGGCAGCCGGCTCCGGACGGCTGGGAGGGGCTGCAGAATCTTCTCCACCGCCCACCCATAGGTGTGAGCAATGCTGGGTGTGCATTGGAGGAGGAGCAGATGGCATGGTGCACATGGCATCTTCTGTTTCCACTTTCGCAGCAAAGCGTCCTGGCCAGCCCTGCCTCCCTGAAGAGCGGCTGAGCTGGTAAACTTTGCTACCTTCCAGCTGTGGAGGTTCTGTGACATCGCATTCCCTAGGCATGGCTGAAAGCAGGCAGAGAGCCCACCTGCCATCTGCTGGCCATAGCCTTGGGGGTATAGGTCAAGCATATCATTGCATTCACACCACAGACGTGTTTGCTTCGTTTCAGCTTTGGGATTGTCCTGTGGGAGATCGCAACTTGCAAGATCCCATTTGAAGGTGAGGCATGGATGGGGGCAGGGTTGGGCTCATTCTTTTGGGAAGGGATCAGCAGGCAGGCTCTGCAGACTTAGGAGCGCAACTGAGACTACAATCCGAAGCTGCTAGGGGAGGGGGGCTGTTTTTCAGAAGCCGTCCGAGATTCCTTGCACTTCCCTTTACATGCAAATATTACAGACTGGCAAAGTGTAATTCCTGGTGAAATAGATGTAACTGCTCAGCTTCAATCTGGCAAAGCTCCAGGCTCCTCCTCTATCCTACCTGGTCAGTTAAAATCTATCCTAAAGTGCTGAGCACCTATTACCGTACTTTCAGTTCTTGGATTAAAGCTATAATAATCCCTGTTTAAAAAGCTCAAAGAAAAAGTAGATAAACTTAGCAGGATTAATTTTAGCAGCCTCCTTTCAGTTATAGAGAAGTAATGTGCTGGGTTTTTAATCCAAACTTTTCTGACTTGGGTTGAAGACAACCATCTCCCAGGGGAGAAACAGATTAATCTCAGAGCAGGTCAGTGTATTATTTGTTGCAGTGTATTAGCCCACATTGCAGAGAGAGATACATACCTCATACCACATTGCAGAGAGAGATACATACCTCATTTCCTGGCAGTAGGTTTTTCTCTTACTTCCATTGATTTTAAGTCAGCTTTGGACTTGGTTCCAAAGGAACTGTTATGATCCAAATTCAGTAAAACCCTCTGTGGTGAGCTGAGCCTAGGGATAGATGAATATGTCAGTTCCTGCTTCTCTCACTATCTATTTCCACCTCCCCACCCCCAAAGTTCAGTTCACATTTCTGCATCACTGTGCTTTTTTCTTTCTTTTAAAAGTCCTCATGAAAATCCATCAGCATTTCAGTTCACAATATACACATTTTGTATGCATTTTTGCCCAGTATGCACATTTTTGCAAGCATTTCTCCCCCAATACATTTTCACTAATAAATGAATTTTATACACTTTCACACATTTCCTCCACTTTCCTCTCCTTCCTTGGAGGTTTTAAAGCAGAGGTTAGCTTTAGCTGAGATTCCTACATTGCTAGGGCTTGGAGTAGATGACCCTTGAGGTACCTTCCAACTCTACAATTCCATGATTTTTTTGTACACAGCATTCGGTTGTAGAACTGCATCAAAAAATTCAGAGAGGTGTTAATTTCAAAGAATGGTTATGTCAGTTTTAGTCTGCGTAGACTCTTTGAGATGAATGGACATGACTGACAGGTTTATTAATGTCAATAGGTCTACTTTGAGTAAAACGCAATTGGCTCCCGCCCTAAAATCCTAAGCAAACTGAATTTCTCCCACATCCCTAACTGAGCCATGTGTCCATCCTGCTACTATCTTGAGGAAGTAGGACTCCAAACCTTTGCATGTACATAGTCAGAATGCCCCTTTTATGTTGATGGAGGAGGCACTGTGGTGGCACTGTGCTTGCTGGAAAGGGTGGGACGACGTGGCACCAAGAGAGCTGGGAAGCCACTGGCGCCAACCTGGAGTCTCCTTGCTTCACCCCATCCTCATGCAGATTAACACAGTGCTGTTGCTGCTGGGAGGACACCGCTGCTTCCAGCCACACATTCCAAGAGTCACCACTAGAGCACAGGTCTCTGTGTGGTTCTGTATCATTTCCTGACCTGCTTTCCCACTGCAACTCTCTTCCCCAGCTGCTTGTCTTCTTATGAAATCCCAGACAAGGGAAGATAACACATCTAGATCCCAGTGGGTGTGTGGAAAGGATTGGAGCAGAACAGGGGCTGGCAGGGAACTGCTTATGTACTTACCCCGTCACTTCTCCTTTGAAACTTGAATGCCCTCCCGCAGCAGATTTCATAACAGTTTTGGTCCCTGCCTTTGCAATCAGTGTTCATTGGGGCCTAAGAGCAAGGAGTAGGGTTGTATATCTCTCTGTGTGTCCACATGGAGTCCCAGGCCCAGATTCCTATCCCTGGCTGGATCTACACAGATATAAAAAATGCTATGGGAGAAAAACGCACTCTCTCTATATTCCCAATGGAATTTGCCGTTGACTTTGGATTGCAGCTCTACAGCCCCATCTGGTGTCACATTTTTATAGCGCACTTATAACATTATAATTGTAGCTGTGTAGCTGAGTCTCCTGTGATTATTAACTCAGGTTGCACTGCAAAGGAGATCCGTGATAAGGTTTGCAATCAGGAGCAAGAACCTCTGGGAGACGACTGCCCCCCACGTCTGCGGGACGTCATCAACAAATGCCGGGATTTCGACCCTTCCCAGCGGCCAACTGCTGAAGGTACCAGTGACCTGGCCTGTAGCAGGTCTTGGGGACCAGAGCTGTGGGCATGGCAGCTAAAGGGATCCAAATCATCATACCCTATTCTTCCTCCACAAGCAAAGCAAAACTGGCACAGGTAGCCTCTCCCTGCCCCCCCCCTTGCTTGGCCTCACTATTTGGAATGTTCCATTCTTTTCTTTAAAAAAAAGGTAACTCGCAACTTATGCACATTTAACTTATGCACATTTAATTCAGCTTTAAGCACATGGCAAACAAACAAACAGGGAGTAGGGGAAGTTCAGGAAAAAAGAATTTGGCAATCCTACTTGCCATTGAATGCAGTGTGTTTTGACTATACACAATTTTTGCCTTATGTGCTATCCCCGAAATGTAACCCCCATGAAAGATGAGAGTTGTCTATACTATCAAACAAGCACCAGACAACAATAGCATACAGAAAAGGGAAACAAAAGCAAGCAACATGTCCCCACTCAGTAAAAAAGCAAACAAGCAGGCAAAACAACAGGACATACCTGTGTGCCCTGCAATGGTCTAAGACAAATGCAATATACATCTGAAAACTAACTGTGTTAACAAAAAATACTAGAGGCAATACACCTAGAATTAAGACACCAGGCCCCTCCAAAACAACACAACAATAAGCAACAATGGTGGTGGTAGTGTTCCTCTGGGTAAGAATTAATAAAGGAAATAAAAGGGTAACCAGTCCTCATGGAACTTGTCTCTATCAAGTTTCACCCCTCACGACTTTACAGTGTTGCTTTAACTTGCAGTTCTGCAAAAGTAATTGATAAGTAACTCATCCACAAAAATGCAATCTCCATTTGAGCAGCCACCCAAAGGTGAAGTGTTAACGATTAAAATATTACACTTTTATTAACTCCATTCTGAAAACCAGCTTGCCTTTGTTTTTGCAGTGATTGTGAACCAACTCATTGTTCGTGACCTTTTGAAGGAGTGAGAGCCTGACCACATGATGGGGGACTGGAATACAAGAACTTGTTCTCAGCACCATCTTGCAGGGCCACCCTGAGCATCAGCACAAAGCCAAGACCTTTTCTTTTTCAACCTGGAGTGCCTGTGCACATGGCCAATGGGCATGTGCCTACAGCCCTTGGTCAAATTGGCGCACTGTCATAACTTGTTAATTTGGGCCTGGTTCACACGCAATGCTGTTTAACTGTGGTTTGTTTACTGCTAGCAAACCACAGTCTCGATCCATGGTCTGCTATTATCTTATAAACCTTGGTTTGTCTTCACTATGGCTTAGTGTTACAGGTGAACCCAGAATCCTTCCTTAGCTATGATTTTTTAAACCACCCCACCCCAGATGCTCATCAGATTCAGCAGCAGTAAGTTTTATTATATGGTCACAGACCTGGAAAACTAATCCTTACAAAGGCATGAGGCAAGAGCTGCTGGAAAACAAAACAAACTATGGGAAAAGGACAGCTGGTGGTTCACTCAGGGCTTCTTGTGTACATGACTTTGCATTATACTATTTGCACATTATACAAATTGTGGCTTAGTGTTATATGTGAGCATAGCCTTAGTAAGCTTCAATGCACTGTTGCTTCTTACAAGCCAGCTCAAAGATTTCTTTTGGCGGAAATGGTTGCCCCACCCCAATGGAAATCAATGCATGTTTTTAGATCTATTAATTAGCACAATAAGAATTCCAGACCCAATGCTTCATTCTTCAAACTTAACTAGGGGTATTGTGAGGTGTTCTGTAATTCAATAAAATTATACTGAACCCATAGTAGGAATTTTTGTGTGTTCTTCTGACCACAATTTAAAGAAGGATGATATGGAGCCAGAAAGAGCATGTAAGAGGGCAATCAAAATAATGTCCTATGAGAAAAGACTAAAACGAGTTGGGGGCGGTTGACCTTGAGCTGGCCTCCTGTGCAAATTTTTCTGCTACTCCCCCCCCAACCTATTTTTGGCATAAGCGACAACAATAAAAATAAAATAGCTACAGTAGCAATGGAATGGATAGAGCCCAATGCTCTGATGGAGTTGCTGCAATGATGGGTGCCAATCTGAACTTTTTCTTTGGTTTATTTCTGGAGAGCATGGCATCAATGTAGTGGGCATAACTTGATATAAAAAACCCCATTATGAACTGTAGTGATTCTGGTACTATTCCTTACCTTAAACATGTCCTGGAATGTATGAGTAAGTACCCTGAAATCTTAACACTTAATCTAAAGACCAGCACACTAATCTATGCTACCAGCCAAGTTTGATTATCATCTTCTGTTGGAAAAAAATGGGAGTTCTGCAGACAACGGAATGTTCTTCCAGAGGGAAAGTCATGATTCAAGAAGCATGCAAGATAATTGGTGAGCTATTTATCACTAAAGTCATGTCCTGTCAGCTTCAAACTTAGCAAGGTAAACAGAATAGCAAACAGAAATAAACAAAGGTACAAAATGGAATAAAGATGTTATAGCACACACTCATCTGGGAAGACCCCTCCCTTCTCCATATGGTAATATTGACCCGATATTTTGCAGGTTTTCAATTGTTGGGTTGCTCACATGCTTCAGCTGGACCCCATTTTTGCTTTAAAATCTCAAGGACCGGTTTCATGTCTCGCTGGACCATGGACCAGGTAATTGGGGTGGGTGGGTGGGGGGAGACATTAGCCTTGCTGGTACAGGCTATAATAGATCGGGAACGGGACAGGTTCAGCTTGGTTCTGAACAGATAATACCCTTCTGCTCCCTTTTCTCATGTTACTTCTAGTGTGGGTTTGTGGCATTAAGATCTGAGCCAGAAGAAGGGCCGACATTTATCTTTGCTTCTACAGTACAATGCACTGCGGTGAACTATGGTAAAATTTTGCATTTTCCCATTGTATGCTGTGAAGAGCTGTCACTTGATGCTTCGGGTCAAAAGCCGGAAGTCCCGCCGCACCTATGGCTATTGCAGTTGTCAGTCTTTGAACCCTTTCTGCGCATGCGCCTTGCCAATTGCGACCTCAACTTTTCCCTTCCGCTCCTAGAGGGCGGGGCCCTTCAGAAGCGTTTCCCACCCTCTCCAAAATTGACAGACGTATAGCCCAATGGAAATGCGACGTACTCTCCGCTCTGTCCCAATAGGAGCCGAAGCCTGCTTTCGCGCTCGGCCTTTCGCGGCTGAACGAGCAACCAATAGGAGCTGGAGGCGGAGCAGCAGCAGCGGCGGGGCGCTCGAGCGACTGCAGTTGAGGGAGAGTCAGGCCCGGACTCCTGGGTCCCTCCCCTCCCCTCTGAGGGGAGGACATGTCCCACCAGGAAGCGATGGACGTGGACTTCGCGCCGGCGGCCGAGGAGCCCGAGTCGCCAGCCGCCGCCAGCCGCCTTCAGGAACCGGCCGCGGCAGACGGGGACGCCTCGACGTCCGGGGCGCCTCGGCCGGCGGCTTCTCGCTCTTCATGGGGCGCCTTCGTTGGGGAGCGCGAGCCGCGGAGGCCGCCGCCGCCTCGAGCCAGGAGGAACCCGCCTCGGCAGCAGCAGCAGGGACCGCGCGCGGCCTCAGCCGCCGCCTCCGCCTCCTCCTCCTCCTCCCAACGGGCCTCCCGAGCCAGGTGAGGAAGGGAGGGAGAAGGGCTCGGATCCTGTGGGGAGCTTCTCAGAGTGACCATGGGGCCTGAGAGAGTACGAAGAAGCCCCTGTCCTAAGGGGCTGGGGGAGGGGAGCCCCTCGGAAACGGGGCTGGGCGTGGTGGGCCCCGCGGAGGAGGGAGAAGGTGCCGTGCCAGGTAGCGGGGGAAAGTGCTGGAGGCAGCTGGGGTTTGTAAACAAGAGGCCTTTCGCGTTCCCTACCCTGGGGAAGGAAGGCTGTTAGGCTTCTCGGGCGCAGGTGGCTGTCAGAACGGAGGAGGAGGAGGAGGAGGCGGGTCCTCGGGAGCCAGGGAGTGGATTCTGGGGTGGGTGAAGGGAAGGGCGGGGGGCCTTTCGCAGGGGTTGTGGATTTTGTGAATCTTGCGGGGTGGGGTGGTAGAGGTACCTGTGGGTCATGGGTGTGGGTATGTGAGTGGGTGGAGGGGGTACCTGTCAGAGCAAGGAGAGTTGCTAAGCGAGGGAAGGAAGTGTGTGAGTGTGTGATGGTCATAGAAGGAGCTTCTCAGAGCCAGGGGATGGATCATAGGGTGTGCGTGTGAAGGAGTGTCTGTCACAGTGGGGGAGGAGAGATCCTGGGGGAACACATGTCAGAATGGGGGTGGCGGCATGGAGTCTGCAGGGTTGGTTCTTGGAGCAGCAGACAGGTTCTGCGAGGATATGTGAAGGTGGTGTCTGTTGGAGCACATGCTGAAGGCAGCTGGTATTTGTAAACAAGAGACCCCTCACATTTTTCTCCCTGTGTTCCTGAAGGGGAATGGGCTACAGCACTGTCATAGTGTAGTGATAGAGCACATAGGCATAGGCAGGATTTTTTTGAGCGGGGGTGGACAAAACAGAGTTATCTGCAATGCAAATGGTCAGTTAAGTATTTCTATTTATTTACTTGATGTAGTGGGGGACAGCTGTCCCCTGCACTCTCCCTGACTATGCCCATGGTAGAGCATGTGCTTTGTTGTGATAGAAATTGTGATAGCCAGGTGCATTTTTCTACTGGCGTGGGTCCAATTGCAACCACGTGGATGCCAGGTTGGCAACTAATATCTTCATCTGGCTGGCTTCAACAGCTTTCTTAAGTAGTAGGTCAGCAGAAGAGCTTGCTTATTACATTTATATCCCATCCTTTTCTCCAAGGAGTACATGGTTCACCCCTCTCCTACAGTGACCCTGTGAGGTAGGTTAAGAGGCTGTGACTGGCCCAAGGTCACCCAGTGAGCTTCATGACTGAGTGGGGATTTGAACCTTCATCTCCCAGGTCTTAGTCCAACACTCTAACCACACTGGCTTCCTTGAGTCCTCCTGCTATGGGGCAGCTATATAAAATAAGTAGACTTCTGAAAGGTTTAGAAAGGAGGTACCAGGTGGGGTTGAATCCTTGGTATGCACTGTTGGCTCCTATTGGGGGGTCAATGTTGCAGTGGGGGAAGGGGGCTTCTCAGACCCAGAGAAGGGGATACTGAGTGTTTGTGAAGGGAAGCTGCTGTCTGTGAGGAATGGATACTGCAGATGGGGGCCTGTTGGAGTGGGGGTCAGATCCTGCAAAGTTGGTCCCTGACAGAGTGTATGCGAGGGGTGGATCCTGGGTGTGTAAGGTGAGCATCTGTCAGTGTGAGGGTTGATCTTCCAGGGAGGTTCCTGTTGGGGGGATCATGTGGGAAGCAGATCCTGGAGGCAGCTGATATTTGTAAGCTGGCTTCTAGATAAACTCATGTGATAGGCGTGGGGCTTTAGCTTGGTGGTGGAGCTTGTGCTTTGCCTGCAGAGTAGTTGTTTCATGTGTTCTCTACCCAGCTCTCAGAGTAGCTTTCAGTTAAAAAAACAAAACTCCAGCCCCTGCCCTCAGAATTTACCATCTAAAGACTTAGCACCAAAAAGAAAGGGATGGGGAAGCAAACCCAAATACCCATTTTGTACAAGGACCTGCTGGGATGGGAGATAGTTGAGGGAGAGAAGATGCACTTCACAGGATTGGGTGGAAGGATGAGCAGTGTTTGTTGAGCCACACTTGGCTACAGAGTTGCTAGCTCAACTTACAAAGCAATGTTCATCTTGATGGAAGGTAGCGCATTATGAAAAGTTGGTTTAGAATCTAATGAAAAGTTGTGGCTTCTGAGGCGGAGGGGGAGAGACAGATGTGTAAATTATTGAAGTTTGTGGCTTGGAAATGGATGGGTCATATTCTTCTTTCCATCTTACGTTTTCTAATGAAAATTTATGCTTTGGATGTTCAGGTCCACAGCACAATTAGACAGTTATTTCCAGATCAACAGGACACAAGCGACGGCAGCATCACACATCCTAGCAGGTCACAGTGGGAACAGCTCAGATGAAACTGTGGTTCTAAGTGATTCTGAGAGTAACAGCAGCAGCAGCTCCACTGAGGAGGAAGAGGAGACAGTGGGTGTCCTTGAGGAGGCACCTGGGCCAGCCAACTTGGGAGGTTTGTATTGGTTCTTTAAAGGGGCCTAAAACTTCAGAAATGGCTCATGATGCATTGCCTACCTTTGACCACAACCATCTATTTGTTTACAGTCATACCTCGGATTGTGAACGCTACGGGTTGTGCGTTTTCGGGTTGCAGACCGCACCAAACCCGGAAGTACCAGAACGTGTTACTTCCAGGTTTCGGCACTTGCGCATGCACAGAAGCACAAACTGACGTCATGCGCAGAAGTGCCGAATCACGTTATGCGTGTGTGCACATATGGCGCTGCAGGTTGCGAATGTGCCTCCCGCACGGATCACGTTTGCAACCCGAGCTATGACTGTATTCATTACCTTCTGCTTAGGGCAGCTTACTTAAAGTGTATGACATTTGTATTTTCATAACAACTCTGAGAGGTAGGCTAGGTTGGGAGAGGATGACTTGGGCCTGACCATACCATTTATTTCATGACTGCAGAGACTTGAACCAAGGCCAGATTTCGCCAGTGTATCCTGCTGTCTTTGAATAATTGAAAGCTGTTTTCTGATCTTTGTACAAACCTTGTTAAATGTCAAACTGAGGTTGTGTTATGCAAATAGGCATGCTTATTATTATTTAATTTATTTCACACATACACAAAAAGGGTTTCACAGAGGAATTTTGAGAAGGGGTTTATAGGGGAGATTCAGGTACCATATACATTTTATTTGTGCATGGTACTCCCTTTTCTGAACAGCAAGAGAAGGTTGGACGTTTTTTAAAAAGAGCAGATAAGGATAGTAAAATTGCAGGAACAAAGGTGGGGCATCTTGGGAAATGAGGGAAGAAAGGAAGGTTGGAGCAAGCCAGTTATGAACATAGGTGGAAGGGGTTTGTGCTGGGAAGCCACCATTGGAATTTGCAGAGGGTGTCTTGCTGGATGAGTTATTTTACTATTTTCTGCCAAGTTGTTTTTTTAAAAATTGCCTCGTTAACATAGTTTGAAGGATTATCTTGGTGAAAAAGCTGCTCTATTTTATCTTTTTTTCTTAGGCAGCAGTGGCTTTGTGTTCAGTCACTTTGAACTTCCCTTTTAAATGCTAACAATTTGTTACTGAGTTTTTGTTTATGTGGTGCTAATTACAACCTGTCCCCATCTCTTCCTATATTAATTATTCCTTTGTTTCTCCCCTGCAGTTTCTGATGCAACCCAAATGGAGCCTCCTGGAGGGGATTCTGTTGGGCCAGAGCATCCTGATGCTAGAGGTGCCACTGCCCTCCAGAAGAAGGTACGAATAATTGGGTGTGTGCTGTGGAGGATGTGCAGCCAATTAAGATAAGCCAAGATTGCATTTGCTTGACCTTTTCCATGTTCTCTTGTTTCAGACAACTCCATTAAAGAGAACTCACCTAGCTGCTCCTCTGGCTCCTCTGGGTGAGGAAGAGGAGAGTGGTGATACCTGTGCCATCTGCTTTGAAGAGTGGACAAATGCTGGGGAGCACCGTCTTTCTGCACTGCGGTGTGGGCATCTCTTTGGCTATAGCTGCATTGAGAGGTGGCTGAAGGGACAAGTGGGCAAATGCCCACAGGTAAAAGCTTGGAAGAGTATTTTGTTTCTTCTGTCTGATGCATAACCTAAATCTTCCTCTCTGAAACCCATTTATTCTTTTCCTGTCTTTGGTAAAATTTGTGGGCAACAGTTCTCTCCAGATTATTTTCCTTTTTTCAATTCTCCCTTTCTGCATTACTTTCCATGTCATCTTCCTCTTTTGGCTTGCCTTCTGTAGACCTTCTTGTGTTTTTCTTTGCACTCCCTGAGTTGTGTTCCATTTTTTGGATGCCCTCTTCCTTGTTTTGGCACTCAAACTGATTGCAGGATTTCAAACAGCACTTTAGCCAGCGTTGAGCACAGCAGGACTCCTCAAATCTGGGCTCTAGGAGTTGCAGCAAGTTGTCCTTCCCTTTGGTCAAACTCTTCCTGTGAGGAGAGTATTTTTATCAGCATTTGCCAACTTGGTGCCCTCCATATGTTTTGGACTACAAATCCCCTACCAGTGCCGGCTAGCACAGATGTGCTGGTTAAGTCTGAATGAAGTCATGTAATCCAAAATTTCTGGAGGACACCAAGTTGGCAGCAGCTGCTGTACATCATATTTGGTGACAGAGCAGTGGTAGAACTTCCACCTGAGACAATGGGATTTTTGAGGGGTGGTAGTAAGGTGCTGTTTACCTTTTTAAGTTGTTGTCTTTGCTTTATTGGCTAAGTTCAGGGATTTTGCCTGGGATCAGTCAGGTCAACAAGACTACCTGTTGGCACAAGGAAACTTTGAGAGGAGATGCTTGGGCATGATGTTGAGCAGGTCACTTTTGCATGTTTGGGGGAGTCCCACTGATAGTTCTGGAGAACTACTTGAGATAAGGCGAGTCTCAGCAAGCCAACACTGTGTACATTCACCCCTGCTTTTGCAAAGAGATCTATTTGAAAAGCAGTATCACCACTTGGCTTGTGTAGCAGTCATGAGAAATTAATAGCAGCACAGTATATTTCCTTTGTAACCAATAAATTGGCTTATGTTCACATTTTTTCATTTTTTAGTGTAATAAGAAAGCCAAGCGCTCGGATATAGTAGTCCTTTATGCTCGTACCCTGAAAGCGCTGGACACCAGTGAACAGGAACACATGAAAAGGTATATACTCACAACTTTCCTCCTATAAGTTTGAGGGTAGCAGTACCTGGCATAAACACCTGTCTTGGCAAACTATCACTATGCCTCAGCTGAGTCAGATGAGCGTCTGTGTGATTGCAGAAGATACTTGTGTCCTAACACCAGGCTTTAGTTCAAGGGCTTGCTTTGTTAGACTTTTATTAGGTAGGTATGATAGGTAGTGTTTGGATGTCCCTGTGAAGATATATGCCTGCTTCTGTAACTTTTTTTTTTTTACTAGTATATATATTTAAGATAAAATGAGATGCATTTTCTATTGAATCTCTCATGGTTATTCTGAAATTGAAGTATTACTATTTAAATGTCTCTGTCTAAATTCAAGAGACTGTTATTATGTCTCTAAAAGTTTTTGGGCAGGCAGGAAAATGGAATAGAAAATTAATTCTACTCATCAGTGAGAGAGAGATGGGTTGGCTCATGAGCTTCCTTAATTACATTTGTTGTACTTTTCTCCTGCAGCTCTTTAGAGAAGGAGCAAATGCTACGAAGGAAGGCAGAGCTGGAATCCGCACAGAGCCGCCTCCAACTGCAGGTCTTGACAGATGAATGCAGTAAACTTCGGCAGCAAGTTCAGGTAGGTTTAGCTGTATCCTGTTCATGCAGAACCTTCTAAATCCCCTTCCCATGTACAAGAAAATGAAATGCGCTATCTTCATGGCCTTTTCTCTCACTCTCTGCTAATGATGGACAGGATAATAGGACACCCCAATTCACTGACGCCAACTCTAGGGGGCCCTGGTTGGCATGGCACCCACACTGTGGGGCTCCAATGCAACCTCTGAGGCGACGTCTGAGGCCCTGCCAGGCTTCCAAACGTGATTTCTGGTAGAAACGTTCCGCTGATGTAACATGACGTCATGGTGTAACGTTACGTCGTGGGTGCCATTGGGCACCCAAAATCTGGGGCCCAGGTCATCACCCTGGCCCAGTTTCATTCCTTGATTTGAGTTTGTATGTCAAAGCTTGTGATTTGGGGAAAGGAGTCACAAAAACATTCCAAATCAAAACTCTAATCTGGTAAATTTTATATACCCTCAGTGAATTTGTATAACTCAGAAAACTTCCAGAGCAGTATTCCAGAGCACAGAAAAATCTGAATGGGGACCCACACAAGACATCCCCTGACATACCCCCAGAGACAACCTCTCAGAACAGTTCTGAGACAGCGCTCTTCTTTGTCCCAGCCTGCATCCTCCAGACACTCATCACATCAATACATGGAGAGGAAATAGACACAGGAAGGAATAGAAATTGGATCTGGCAGGGAATAGTGAAAAAACTAAGGCAAGCTCAGCTAAGGAACCACCTTGCAGAATGAAAAGTGGCAAGTTGAAGGGTAGGATATCCCAGCTATATTTTAGCTGGAGGATGAGATGGTTGGGCATTAGAAGGGCTCTACAAGCAAAAAATAGTCAAGTTGTATAGAAAAGCAGTAAAGAAACAACAACCCAGAACAAGTTGTTCCTGACTTTTACTACTGTTCTGCCTGTGGAAACATCCAGTGCTCTCAGCTCCACACATGCTTTCTTTGCCTCATTTTTCCTGCTTTCCATTCTACAGGAATTAAAGGCCCTGATGGCTCGCCACAACACCCTTTCCTCTCAGCAGCCCAGCAACTCTCGCTCATGCTTTCCAGGCTGCCTCTCCTCCAGCCAGGGCCAGCACAAGTACCACTTTGAGAGGGCCACCCTAGTGTCTCAGGTGGGCAACTGCCGGGTTATGGCATACTGCGACCCACTGAGCTGCCTTGTAGTGTCACAGCCATCTCCACAAAGCACCCTCATTCCTGGTGAGTTGCCTGCTGAAGCAAGTCCCTAAGTTTTATGATGGAAATGGTTTTTTCACTGCCTTGGTCAATCAAGAGGACAGATATTGCAGCATTTGGACTCTAGCAGGGTGGGCTTTCTGCTGATCAGTTTGCTTTGTGTCTCAGGCTGTGGAATTAAGATGATGAGTGCTGTCAACTCAAAGAGCAGCCAATATGTCCCCATCCACAGCAAGCAGATCCGGGGCTTGGCTTTCAGCAACCGTGCAGATGGCTTGCTCTTATCTGCTGCTTTAGACCATACCCTCAAGCTTACCAGGTGAGTAGTGATGATTATGATGCCTGCTTCCTTTCTCTGTGGTCCAGGAGATTGTGTAAGGATCTTATTCTGGAAGTATTTCCAGGCACCTGCAGAGCAGCTTTGTCTGAACTGTGCTGTTCTGCCCACAACTGGGTATCTGCTGGATAGTGTGGGCCATGTACAGAAGTGCTAAGGTCCTCAATGGGAGACCGCTTTGATATGTAAAGCTACGCTAACTTTCCCTCAGCTTGACTACAAACACCGTTGTGCAGACATACAATACTGGTCGACCTGTCTGGAGCTGCAGCTGGTGCCTGGATGACACCAACTATGTCTATGCTGGCTTGGTCAACGGCTCTGTCTTGGTGTATGACCTGCGGGACACAAGCTCTCATGTCCAGGAGCTTGCTCCACAGAAGTCCAGGTATCGCTTTCCTGCTTTATACAGCTAGCTTGTCCTTTGAGCATATGAATTAAGATTGTAGAGGACTTTGAAGCAGATGAAGGATGATCAGTGCTTGTAGAACTTTAAAATTTGCACTCCATGTGTTATTGGTATATCTTTCCTGGCACAGAATATGCAGAACACTAACTTTTACTCTGGTTGCTGGTTACCTCCCCACTGTAACCCAGAATGAAGACCTTTGAGCTTGGGATAGTGGCCTAATGGCAGAGGTTTAGCCTGATAAACTTGTCTGGGATCCATTTCCAGTCCTTAATGCATTGCACTAAGACTTCTCAGAATGTGTATTTTTCAATCAGTTCTGTGGATGAGGAATAGGAATGAACATTGGGTGAGGTAAGCCCTGGAGAGATTGTCATACTTGCAATGTTGCCTGCAGTGATTGACTTCTACCTTGTTCTTTTCTGGCGTTGTGAACAGTCATGGTGATATGGAGCTCAATTTGTTTCTTACTCAGAAGTCAATTGTGCAGTGTTCAGTGGTGCTTGCTCAGAGGTAAATATTAATAGGATTTCTCAGTCATAGCACCAGTTCTTTTGGCCAATGGTATGTAGAAGTGAGAGTGATTCTCCACTTCTCTTTGAAATCCTTCCTTACTCATGCTCGTTCAGACTCACAACAGCAAATGAGTAGGGAAAGTGGAATGGTTTGACATTGTTGGTTATTGCTCTTTCCTCTGTCCCTCATAGGTGCCCTGTGGTTTCCTTATCGTATCTTCCCCGAATGGCCTCTGCCTCACTGCCCTATGGTGGACTGGTATCTGGGACACTGGAGGGAGCCTGCTTTTGGGAACAGAAGGCCAGTGGCTCTTACCGGCCTCACCATCTCCTCCTGGAGCCTGGAGGTTGCATTGACCTTCAGACAGAGGCCAGCACACGGCACTGCCTTGCAACATTCAGACCCAGTAAGTTGTGATGTGTAGACATCAGGGCAGGGCTATTTTTATGCAGTGTTGGGATTCCTTTCACCCTAAATGTGGACACAGTTACAACTGTGTGGACAGAAACCACTTACCATGTTTGTTGTTGGCGTCTCTCTTGCACACACATTAAAAGAGAAGAGGATACCTCTGGCCTGCATCTAAAATGCTGCACCAGTTATTCTGTACCCCAGTCTTCCCAAATCTTTTCAAGATGATGGGGCAGAGAGGGTGCAGTCTCCCATCCCCAAATACAATATGGATCTTTTACCGGGGGCATTATTTCCACCCCGGTGAAGGGTAAGTGCCAACTACTTCAGGAGTCTATCCCTCCCTAGAACTTTGCAGCTCCCAAGAGGGACCTGCTGTGCAGTATGAGCACTCCTGCTTCCGTAGGATGACATGCAAGGAAGGGATTGCAAGTGAGTAGTATCCTAAGGAAATGGGGTAGTTGCCATGAGCGGTGAGTGAAGCGGTCAGGCAATGGCCTCTGGGCTGCACTTAAACCAGAGTACAGTGTTTTGTCTTGATACCTTCCTATGATACCTTGATACCTGTCCCCTGGAAAGCTCTTCACTTTCATCCCACAGATAGAAACAACAACTGTTTACGGTGTGTGGTCATGGAGCTGACCTCTACTCAGCTGACTGATGGGACAGAGGATGTGATCTGTTCATGTCGTCCAGTTCAAACTCTTACTGCGGGTCCATCGTGCAAACTATTGACCAAAAATGCCATCTTCCAGAGTCCTGAAGATGATGGCAGTATTCTTGTGTGTGCTGGGGATGAAGCATCAAACTCTGCCATGGTACCATTTTTTGTTCTTTGTTGTAGGAGTAGGACGTTGTGTCCGGCTCTGTGTTAATAGTCTAAAATGCTGGAAGCTTAATGCCGGGTCACTCATTGAGAAAAGACTCAGGCCCTTGTTCTAGTGAAAATTCTGTTTTGAGACACTGGTATAGCCTGTATCTGCCTCTTTGGAGCATTTCCTCATGGCAATCACAGTGCCACTTTCCATCATATGGACATGGGGGCTCTCTTGTCCTCCCTCTTCTCACTTTCCTTGAGGCTTGACTCTGGGTATGGACATGCATGTTTTCTGTGCCAGGGCTGCAACCACTCCTCCTTGTACACAGGGAGCGCCAAAGAGGGATGTCTTCAGCATTACACCATTTGCTCACTCTGAATCCACCCAAAATGTGTGGTGATGTTAGGCTGCTTGCCAATGTACAGGAAAGTAACAGTTCAATACTTTTGTAACTTGTCTCCTTGCTACATCCCAACTAGTAACAGCTAGAGCTGTATTTTTATGCAACAGGATTCCTGATAAGCTGTGACTCTTATTTGTTTATCCTGCAGCTCTGGGATGCAGGGAGTGGCTCCCTGCTGCAGAAACTCCCTGCTGACCTTCCTGTGTTAGATGTCTGCCCTTATGAGGTGAACCGCAACAGCTTCTTGGCTACCTTGACAGAAAAGATGGTGAAGATCTACAAGTGGCAATGACTGTCTGCTGCATGCTGCCCCAATGAGCTACTCTCTGAACTAAGCCAATTTCCCACAAGCCAGCTCTGCTGCTAACTGGATTCTAGCTGCCTTGAGTGCACCCTGCCAACATTGCTGCACAAGCAAAATCTTGCTCCTTAGAACAGCTCTCTCCCATGCCCAGCCCACACATTTGTTCCTTTTTAAATTTATGGATTTTTGTTTCCACCTCATCTTAAAGGAAACCACTTTTACCTTATTGTGGACCCTGTGCTTTTCTGGCTTTACTGCCTAGGCAGATTATGGGGCCCTTCTGAGAAAAAAAATTGGCTGCCAGTTTATATTTCCTGGAAATTTACCATTGACCTTGGATGAAGATCATGATCTCTGCTCTTCTTTTGATTTTGGAGGCTTGTGGCATGGGCAATACTCCTTTGGCAGAAGACTGCTTAAATTTCTGTTTCAGCCCATCTAATAAAGAAGATGGGACCTTGTCTGAAGTGAGCTGTTCAAGTTATATCTCTGGACCATGATTGGGCTTGGTAAAAGGTGGTGGTGAAGCCTGGTGGGAATTGGCTGCTAAAAGACATTGTGAATAAGAAAATATAATTGTGGCCTGATGATGAATGGGCAACTTCAGGTATAAATATGTTCCTGTAAGACTTCCTATAGACCTCCATTGAGAACTGGGCAGAGAGTGCTGTGCCTGACAGATCATTGGGAGTTGAAACATGAAGCAATTTCAGAACTCTACCAACTCTATTGACAGAAAAAAACCATTTGCTGGGACTGTTGGTGATTCATCTTCTGCTATAAATTAAAATAGGATCAAATATTTCATGTATGTGTTCTTGCCCAAGGCTAACAATCAAGAGAGTGATGCAAATTGCAAGACCAATATTAGGGTTGTTTTTTTTTTTTTACTTTACCTGAAGCCAGTAGAAATCACACCATTGTGTGCTACCTGAAGTGATGGGTTACTATACAGAATTACAGAACAACATTTCTAAAGTTTAACTGTATGACCCATCTGTCTAAAAATGTACATGTTTCCATTGAACTGTGCTTTGTGTGTGTGAGATACTACTTTTATATGCAACAGGAAGAATAAAGAATGTTTAATATATACAAGAGGAAGAATATAGACTGTTTAATATCTCTGGCTTTCTCCAAATGGCAAAACCCTCTATTGCAATGCTAAGTTGCTGCTTGCACTGCCTGACAAGCAACCTGCAATGTTTGAGATATAAATATAGGATCCTCTAAATGCCAAATAAGTCCTGAAGTTTGGGTTAGTGGATCCAATATCTTGTGGTAATTACTGTATCATATATGATTGGGATATTTCCATGTAGCAAGGTAATCGTGTAGCAAGCTAATCTACCAGAGTTTGGAACAACTGTGAAACTTACCTAGTTTGCTGAAAGGTGACTGCATAGTCTCCACTCTAAATGACAGAGTGAATTCAATGTTTATCTTGGGTGAAAGGTAGGCGTGGTGGTGTTTCAGGGTCTCCCTCCCAACAGTGCTGTTATTGTATATCTGGGTGAGGAAGGGCAGCAGCGAAGTTGGAACTGTGCTGGTGCAATGGTAAAGCCAATTGAGTGTCTGAAACCACTCGCCATTTGGAATTTGAGGTACACTGAACATATCAATTAATTACAGTGGTACCTGTGGTACAGTGGTACGCTAACCCGGAAGTAGTACCTCAGGTTGAGAACTTTGCCCCAGGATGAGAACGGAAATCGTGCGGTGACAGCGGGAGGCCCCATTAGCGAAAGCGCGCCTCAGGTTAAGAATGGTTTTGGGTTAAGAATGGACCTCTGGAACGAATTAAGTTCATAACCCAAGGTACCACTGTACTATGTAGCAGTCATACTCTTGACCATTAAAGTGTTGATACAGGAATTCAGCTCAGTATTTGTGTTACTGAGTTTCTAAAGCATAACTGCTGGCCTAAGCCTCAAAGAGGCTTACTTACAAATAAAGATAGTTTAATCTCTAATAATATAAATTATCAACAACAAGGGTAGGACCTGCAGTAACACCATGTTCTTTCCTTTCTCTGTAACGTGTGGGGGGCTTTAGTATCGTTACCTATGTAGAGAAGTCAGGTAGACGGGATAACATTTATTATTACTATGACTACTATTGTGTTCCTGTTATTTATATTATTATGTGTGTTTATATCCCACATTTTTCTACAAGTTCATGGTGGTCTACATAGTTCTTCCCCTCTACATTTTATCCTCACATCTCCCTGAAGTAGGTTAGGCTGAGAGTGAGTGTCCATCTGAGCTTCCTTGGTGACTGGGGATTTCAACCCTGGTCCCTGAGACTAAATACACTAGCTGTATATAGCAAGGTGGCATACAAAATAGAGTAAAAACAACTAAAAGCCGTTAAAACCAACACAAAAACTAATAGAATATGATTTTTTAGAAGTAGTACAGAATGGCCAACCTTTGCAGAATCATATTCATCCTGGCTGGGAAGGTGTTTGCTGCATTAGCCACAGGTTATGGCATTTGCATGACTTGTGAGCAAAGAATGTGTGCAAAAACTACTCCCACGGCACTTAAAGTACAGATAAGAAGGAAGTTCCATTGAGCCTTAGGCAATTTGCTGGGCACACAGTTCTGCTTGCACAGAAAATAAGATTACTGTGTGTGTGCGCGCGCGCACACACACACACACACACACACACACACTGTATATACAGTAATCTTAACTTGATAAAAATAAGTGTTATGGGCAAGAAAGAATTTCCTAAAAATTAGAATAACTTTAGGGGAAAGTTAGAGGGTCGGGGTGTATGACGAGAGAGAGAGGCGACAGAGGAAAGCGCCATTCCGGTTCCTTTCCCTGAAAGACCTGCCAGTAGGTGTCGCGCCGCTCTCCGACAACCAACCCTTTCCTCTGGCTAGGTGGTGACGTCACCTGCCTCGCTCTGCTCGCCGCGGCGACGTCGCCGCCGTCCTTACGCACTCCGAGAGGCGGTGGGCGTGACTGCCAGTGCCGTTGGCGTTGCGCGCGCAGGCTGCGGCGGGCGGGGCCTAAGGCAGCGAGGCCGGGCCGGGCCGAGCGGAGCTGAGGAGAGGAGTCGCATCCAAGATGGCGCCGTGCGGACGTGTCCCGGCCCGGAGACGCGGGCCGGGCCCTCTCCTCGCCGCCCCTTTCCTCTGGCTGCTCGTGGCTCTCGGGTCAGCCCGGGCACAGCAGCAAGGCGGGGCAGCGGCGGTCGGGGCCGCCCAGGGGTTCCCGGGGCAGCAGCCGGCGGCCGTAGGGGGATTGGGGGGCCAGCCGCTGCCTCAGTTGGGGCTGGGAGCACTCCCGGGTGGCGGCGGAGGCGGAGCTGGGGGTGGCCGTCTGCCCCGCGGGGGCTCCTCGGCGGGAGGCGGCTGGAAGCTGGCGGACGAGCCGGTGTGCCGCGAAGACGTGACCCGCGTCTGCCCCAAGCACAGCTGGGCCAACAACCTGGCCGTCCTCGAGTGCCTGCAGGACGTGCGGGAGGTGAGCGGGGCGGGGAGCCCCTCCTAGCTGGTGGGGAAACTGAGGCCAGGGAGGTCGGGGGAGGGCGTCGGGGCAGTGGACCCCCATGGAGCAACTTTTTTGCGGCGGGCGGCTGCAGGGAGAGGCCAGCCCAGGTGCGGAGCAATGCACATAGCCACTCCTGGCAATTTTAGGAAACCTGCATCTGACCCAGGTTTACCCTGTCCTCCGTCACTCTCCGGTGTAACCAAGAAGTGGCGTCCAGGATGGAGGTCTGCGGCCAGGACCATGCGCGCATGCATAGCTCCTCCTGGCCCCGGTTGCCAAGAGTTAGGGAGCAAGTGCAGCCCCTTCGCCAGTAGCTCCCTTTCCCTTCTGGCGCAGGAGCAAATCCTTGTTTTCAAGGGAAAAGGCCGAAGGGCTGCACGGGAAAGCGAGGACACTTCTGTGGGCAGAACCCGTTTTCTGGCTCAGGCAGGCCTGCCGACAGCGGTGTTGCCCATTCCTGGCATTCATAGTTTAAAAGAAAACGGGGAAAGGAGCAGAGAGAGAGAGAGAGAGAGAGAGAGAAAACGTTGCTGTTTCAGGGAATTGGCCCAGGTGAATATACTTAACATGATAGTCCCCCCCACCATTGTGATGTTCTTGAAGATAAAGCTTATGCTGGGTACTTTGTGAGTAGGGATTGTCTTTCGGTCACACCCTCGTGGCTGGTTGAGTTGTGTTAAACTGAATCAATCCTGCTATTTCTATTCCAACAGAGGTAGACAGCTTGATCCTATAATTCAGGACTGGCAAAACTCCTTACCTGGCTGCTTGCGACAAGAATCTCCTCTGTTTGTCCATGGAGGGAGGCTTTTGTAAATACAAGAGCTTTCTTTTTCTTTCATGCACTGTGCCACAAATGACTAATATAGGTAGGTGTGTGTGCGGTCAGGCTAGTAACACTTGTGGCTTTTAATCATAAGTCAACTACAGGTTCACTTTAGCAGCTGTAGAGCAAATAATAGTTTGCAATTTGAGACGCATATGGGAAGAGTAATTGATCTCTTGCCATAGTGAGTATGGCATTTTGTGTTGGGTCATTTGTGGGTCTGTTTTCAATATCAACATGTAATATGCCTATTGAAGCAACCTTAGGTTGACAATCTGTTTCCAGCTTCAGACTAGCTAGCTTGGCAGGAATGTATGAATTCAGAGTTACTGCTGATAGAAATTGTTGTAAGTTTAGCTGGAGTTACTAGATTGTTACACAAGTTATTGCTTGTAAACAGAAAAATTGGAACTGAGGAAGCTGCCTTATACTGAGTCAGATCATTGCTCTGTCTAGCACAGTAGTGTATACATTGACTGGCAGTGGGGTCTTGCAGGTTTTCATATAAAGGACATTTCCAGACCTACCTGGAGTTGCTGAGGACTGACCTTGCAAACTGTAGGACACAAAACAGATGCTTTACCATTGCCTTATGGCCTGTCCTGTAGGCTGTTCAACTTGAAATTCTTATCTGTGTTTCTGTGGTTCAGTATAGGATGTACAAGTCTCAGAAATGACTTAACAACTGCTCATTGTCATTCTTTGAGATACCTTCTCTGAATAGAAATCAACCAAGTTTATTTTAGGTCTCTGGCTATTTCTGCGTGTTTTCATAAGAAGTGGGGAAATTTTTAGGAAGCTCTAAGTTGGACATCCTGAGAACCCTAGATCCCAGTGCAACCTAAGTCAGTACAGGAGTGTTTCCCACAATCTTGTAAAGACTGTACAGTGGTACCGCAGGTTACAAACACTTCGGGTTACAGACTCCGCTAACCTGGAAGTAGTACCTCTGGTTAAGAACTTTACCTCAGGATGAGAACAGAAATCACATGATGGCGCAGCAACAGCGAGAGGCCCCATTAGATAAGTGGTACCTCAGGTTAAGAACGGACCTCCAGAACAAATTAAGTTCTTAACCAGAGGTACCACTGGACTCAGATACACTGTCCCAGCACATTAGAGCTACATTGGGCACTTCTGGCAATGCAACTGATTCTGGGAGAAGTCCAAGAAAGAGCATATCAGTTGAACCTTCCAACCCTGGTGAGAAAATGTGCATAGAAATTTGCTGCAAGCAGAAAAGATTGCTGGTTGTGAGATTTTGGGGGGATATATTTTAAAAGTGAACCCTCCACCAATATTTTAATGAAAGTATGTAAAACACTTATTTTGTGATTAAACTGTTTATAAACTTTTCTAAATAAATGACTGAAACATAGTTTGTTCTTTAAAGTGAGATTGTTTACTTATTTAAATTAAAAGATAAAGAGCCCTAACAGTCATCTGATGCTGTGACATTAACATTGGATTTGAATTTCTGAATTCATTGTTTAGTATTGCATTTATAGATGGGTAAGTTCCTGGATTCAGAAAGTGTTTCACTTTCTGGCTGAGCCAAACTAAGTGAAGGCCATGTGAACGAATCACCATTTCCACTCATTCCCTCTTTGCTTGGTTTGTGATATGCAGTATTGCAGGGGTCAGGAGTTCTGTGTCACATTTGTGTATCCCTCCAACATCGTTCCTGGCTTGAACTTAAGCAATTAGACTGCATTGCAGGGTTGGATTGAGACACAGGAAGCATGCACAACCACTGATCTAATGGCCCAGCATACTGTTTTGATGCTGAGGAGTGGAAACAGGGTCCCATATACGTCCCTCTGTGTGCAGGTGCTGTGCCTGAACAAGTATGAATTATGTCTGGATGGTTTCCTATCTCTTGGTGTCATTGCTTGGAGTGCAGTTCAGAAACTGAACTTTGTGAGTTGACATTCATTGTCAATATATCTTCAGCATGAACAAGCATAATGCAGAATGTGGTGTGTATGCCTCTCTGGATTGTGGCCTGTTTCTTACAATGTTTGTAGAGCTTTCAGGTATTTAAAGCACTTCACATTTATTAACTTGTAATCCTTACAACAACCTTGTAATATTACAGTATTATTATCCTCTTTAAAGCAGATAGAGTGTGGTGGTGGGGGTGAAGTAGGTGACTAAGGCTGAGAGACTGGCTTGTTTAAGGCCACCTAGTGAGGTTATTCCAGAGGAGAGAATTGAACTAGGGATATTTGATTACTGATAGCTCAGTCTCTTAGTCATTATGCCTAACTAATTGTAGCTGACACTTGTCGAGTATTTATTGTACAGGTGTGCCCTTTAGTTCTCTGTATGAATGTGCATTAAGATGTAGCAGTATCAGAGAAGTAAAGTTTCGTAAGCCACAGACATAACACTAGTTCTCCACAGTCAAAACTCCTAGAGGGTGCTGCAGCCTTCATTGGAGCGGTGTGCAGAGTCAAAGTGCTTGCTCGTGTGTGTCACAATATGTTATGTACTGATAATGGGTACATAATTTAGCTAAATAGACAATTTTGTTGCTAAATTAATCCTGTGATTTGTTGATTATATTATAGGGATGTCCACACACTCACCAGCAGCCACCTGCAATATAGAGATATACTCACCTTCCTTAAAGAATGGTTGCATGGGTTACTAAAATGTACTTGAAAAGTTTTGTTAGACACATGGAGTTACTACATCCACATGATCACACTGGGGATTTCAGATTCCTACATCTGAGTAATTGCCTTCCTTTTAAATTTACAATTTTCTGATTTACCTGTATATTCTACTGAATTCAGTAATGCTTACTCCAGATTGGTGTGCATAGTTTGTAAAACATTGTAGCTTCAATTCAGTAACATATTTTTGCAATTTATATTGTTCCCACTCTGTGCTACATTGTACAAATTTGTTTTATCATTTGTACAGCAATCCTATACTGTATACACATGACTATGTCTAAGGCCCATTGAACTAACTGGGACTTCCAACTGGGTTGTGCTGTAATCATTTTAATTTCATACCCTTAATTTAAGGGGTGGGAACTAGGAACCCTTTTTCTATGGCATAAAAACATTTAAAATGTTACATTCCTTTCTCACTTTCTTGTCTTGTATCATCAGTTAAAAATCCAATAGGTAGTGTAGCAGTGAGAAATTAATGTAAGCAAACTTGAGTTGGCGATGTAGTGGTATGGCAGAACGGACTGTCTAGGCATACTTTTTTAATAACAGTACAAAGCTGAAAATGAATGAACTGCAGCTAAAATCTTATATTCATTTTTCACATGGTCGCGTCCTCATTTGAAGACTGCAAAAAACAAAGCCATGCTTCCTCTGCCTGCCCCCCTAATATTCTTAAGAGGGTCTCTTCTCCAGTCTTTAGAGAGTGGCTGGAAGTGGGGAGGCAGAAGAAAGGTCCTCCTTTCCTTCCACTCTGCAGTTTTAATCTGAAATTTTAGGAGCAGTACTGCACCCAGAGCTCAAAAACTGCTCATGCTAATGAAATTCCATTTTGCAAAACATGCCTAGAACAATGGGAGGTTCGAACGCTGTTCGCATCATCAAATTCTGTTGAATTGGAATGTCACCCAGAGGGTTCAGTTTTTTAGCCTAAGTGTTTCTTGTGCTGCTATCTGATTTGTGTGTGTTAAGAGCTGTCAAGTTGCTTTAAATTCAGTAGATAACCTAATATGTGTAATATTTGTGATGGGTGTAGACTGTTTTTGACAACATCTGTTATCTTCATAGAGCCGCCGCCGTTCTGTGGTGTGCAGGATTCTGCTTTGTCTGGAATTTGAAGTATTTGTCACATACTGACCTAGTTTATTTAGAAAATGGATAAGCCACTTAATCAAAGAGTGTTCTCTGGGTTTGGGTGTATTGTTCCTGGTCCAACAAAGTATAGCTTGCTGGAGTGGAAAAGAGCAACAAACTTAAATAAGTGCTTCCTTATCACAACCTCCAGTGGAGACTGTTTTGTTAAATCACAGTTTCTCCATTACATTGCAACAGGAAGACTGGTTTTAACAAACCAGAAAAACTCTGTTTTGCAGCTGGGAATGAGAGAGGAGGATATGGGGGAAGGAATGCTCTTGCTCATTGCTTGTTGCAAGAATATGGACCAAAAAGTGTTAAGTGTGAGCTGGGTCAGTGTGCCTTTTGCTTGGATGCTGTCTTGTACCTTCTTGTGGAACAGAGTGCTTTTTTTGCCCACTTCTGCCAATAAGTAACAGAACCTTTCAGAAAGGTGCCCAGAAAATTTATTAGTCCATTAGAAACATTACCCATGCTATTGGCATGTACCTCTGGACTGCAAAGCATCTTGAACAGTGAGTCTGATATGTTTTGTCTTAAAGGAGTTGTACATATTTATTTATACTGAGAAACAATTGTCCAAAGAGAAAGATAAAACAACAAGCTCAAATCATTTTTTTATTTTTTATTGATTACACTTTATAGCCCACCTTTCCCCCCAAGAAGTTCGTGGTGCACATAGTTTTCCCTCCCCAACTTATCCACACAATAAATTTGTGAGGTAGGTTAGACTGAGATACAGTGACTGGCCCAAGGTCACCCAATGAAATTCATGGCCGAGTAGGGATTTGAACTCTGGTCTCCCACGTCATAGTTCAACACTCTAACCATTATAATACACTTGCCCTTAAAAGAAGGCAGGTCCTTCTTTTAGGTCCCACTGCATTCAGGTAAGTGTGAGGACTGCTGCCTCAGAGTAAGTCCTCAATGAGACTTACTTCTGAATAGACATATTATATATGTGTAAGTCTTGTTACCAGATGGACAATGAACTGATGAAAGGTGAATGTGAAAATAGAACGTTAGTAAAATTTGCAAGTGTCACGTAACTTCAAGAAAAAAGGTGACTATTTTGCAGTGATTCTCAGTTAGTTTAGCTTAAAGTAATTTGCAGTAACAAAGTTGTTGATGACAACAATTTGTAGGTCACTATTTGATCTTAGTTTAATGAACCTGCTGAGCCTGAAACCCTTGACTTCATTTGTGTCCATGAAGTTATGGGTAGAGTGGATGACTTGTAAATACCACCTTTATCCTAGAAGGGGATGGAGTAACAAAACATCAGTGCTTAACAGGATTGCTGTCCTTGGGTAGATTAGGAGCAGAGCATTGCATTAATGATAAATTAGCAGAGTTTTGTCTTCTGTCCCCTGCAACTCTTCTCTCTGCTAAAATGTGCTATTATGCCTCTTGCATATTGCAATAACTTTTCTGGGTTTAAAAGTAAACCTACATATGTTGTTATTACAAATTGGAATGTGACTGCTTTAGTGAACTAACCAATTAAGTGTTGATCAAGACTTTTAAAGCATTAACATTGTAAGAATAACAAAGAAAATCACCAATGAGTTGGATACCTATGCTAATTACAAAAAAACAAAGACTGTTGTTAATGCCTTCCTACATAACACTAAGCAACAGTTTGTTTAAGAGTTGTCTCATAGATGAGCAAACAAGTCATGACTTGCTTTTCCAGAGCTTGGTTTATTTTCCTGCCACTGTTGCTTTTGTAGCTTGGTGTTTGGGGTTGGATGGCTAAACCAACCACTCAAAGTAGTTGACAGTTTTAAAAAATGGCTTATGATCCAATATGATACAAAAAGAAAAATAATGAGGAAGAAAGAAGAAAACAAGCAAATTCAAGCACCAGAGCTTTCGTAATGGTACATAATGAAGTTTCATGCAGAGAGGTGGTATGTTGGAGACAGTTCAGGAGTGTGGGAGGTAGAGCCAAATGGCTGCTGATCCCAGCCTGGCTGTTGTGCCAGGATGGTATGTCTAAAAAAAGCTACATGGAAAACTTTATGTATGTATATGTTTAATAGGGGATTCCAGCAAGTGTTTGCACGTGTGCCTGGTGTTCTTGAATTGATATCGTGTTTAACTGTTCTTGAATTGATATCATGTTTAACTGTTGTGTCATTGTAAAATGTTTTGAATGCCTATATTCTTTTGCCTGTGCCTTTTGCAATAAGACAGGCATGATAACTTCCTGTCAGTATGAAAATTTAAGTGAGCAGATGGTGCCTGGAGATTTGCAGCAGTGTCGCTAGAAGAGTTTCAGTCATTAAGCAGTTAGTATAGCTGTTTAACTCATTAGTTAAGGCTCATTAATGGGTAGTTGACAATAAAAATGTAGTAAGCAGGTAGTTTACCTATTTCCAGCAGAGTCTGGACAAGATTCTCATGTTCACACTTGTATAGCTTGAGTAAGAAGCATGAACTGAAGCAAATAGGGATTGATGTACTCTGAGGATGTGTCTTAAGCCTTTGGAGGAAGGGAAGCTGATTAGAGTGGTCTTCTTCCCTAGGCCCCTGCACTGCAGTTTGATTAGTTAAGGTAGATAATCCCCACCCCTGCATCTCTCTAACCACAGAGTAATAGATTGCTGTGGTGATGAGTCATGCTTGTGTTTTAACTGCTGTTACTTGAATGCTCTGGCAGTTCTATTCCTTTTCACTTATCTAGTTTGAACTGTGTTAAAACTGTGTTTGCTTTCATGCTCTGAATGAATCTTCTAGAAAACTCATTGTACTTGTTTTTCCCCTCAGTATGTTGCAGGTTCCACAGAATCTGAGCTGAACAGATACTTCAGGGAAACGCAGTAAAAGTAACGGATTTGGATTCCACCTTTGTGCAGGAATTGTACAGAGAAATAGTGTTCTTCCTTAACCAAACTTTTACTAGGTGCACATGATTTCTTAGAACAGTTGTGCCTGTTAGAAATTAGTCATATGCAGGCTGAGAGCAAGTGGGATAAGAAAGGTTGTTTCTCAACATTCTGTGTCCTTGGTCTTCATGGCCTTCAGTGTGTTGGTGGTGAAGCTGATTCACTTTCTTGGGATAGGTGGTTGTGGTTGGAAGTGATCTCTATGTTCTTCCCAATCATAACTCTGGCAAAGTGGGATTTGTCATGACAGGGGTCCCCAGAGTGTCTTTATTAATTTCTTTAGAAATTTTTATAGATTTCCTTAGAAGAATTTACATGGCTTAATAAGAAAACTCTTAAGCTGCCAACATTGCCACTATTTTTGTATGCGCAAATGCTACGGGATATCTGTTTAAAAAATGGTAGCTGTCACCTGCCTGACATTGTGGCTTGGAGTTGGTGAGTAGGATATTTGCGGTTTTAGCAACAGCACAGAAGAACTAGAATGAGAATGTTGAAGGTATAAGCAGCATTCAAAATTAGCTAGGTGCTAGTTGCATTTTAAGACAGGCTGCTGGCCTTTTGCGAGGCAATGAAGATGTCCGGGTGCCAAGTTTGGTGCCTAACATCTCCATCTGGCTGGCTGGCATGAGCAATCAGTTGGTCTGCAGAGCAGCAGGCCTGCTGCACAAATCAGCTAATCTGTGGGGTAGCAGTGTCCCATAGATCACCTGGCTTACACAGCAGAAAAGAGGCATACCTTTTGGTACTGTGAGCCAGGTGAATCTCCTCACCTGGCCAGCTGCTCCAGCTCCTCAGCCTCCAGTGGCTCCACTTCATCCAGGAGGCTTGTATTCTCCTTGACTCCCTCTACTGCTGAATTGTCTGCTGGCACTAGGCTGCTTCCTGTTGTGCTGTTTTCGCTCAACAGAGGCTGCTTGGGCCTGGCCTTGTTTGGGCAAGCCCTGCAGCAGACAGTTGCTCCTGGTGGTGGCAGGGGATGGCAGCAAAGTCAGCCAAGAAACCTTTTAGGGCTGCCGCCTGGAGCTCCACTGGCACTGTGGATGTGGAGCTGCTTGTTCTGCTTCTCCAGCTGCCTCTCCAGCTCCTGCACTTGGGCATCGGGTTCACATTGGAGTTAATGTCCTCCATGGTGCCCCATGACTCTACCCAACCCCATGACCCTCTCTGCTGCTTCCTTCTCGTCCCCCTATTCTTCCTCCCTCCCTTTCTCACCATTGCCTTCTGTACTCCAACAGTTTCAGAGTTAAGGCTGGGCGGGGGGGGACTTAGTTTCAAATTGTTTGTTTTGCCTATTAGTTCTGTTTTGTGATGTTGCAGGTGGAGCAGAGGCCTAGGCCTTCCTTGAGGGATTTCTTGTAGATCTCTGTTTTCTCTTTGACCCAATGCTTTATTCTCTTTCTTAGGTTAGATCTGGTACGAAAACATTTACAGTGGTACCTCGGGTTAAGAACTTAATTTGTTCTGGAGGTCCGTTCTTAACCTGAAACTGTTCTTAACCTGAGGTACCACTTTATCTAATGGGGCCTCCTGCTGCCGCTACGCCGCCGCCGCACGATTTCTGTTCTTATCCTGAAGCAAAGTTCTTAACCTGAGGTGCTATTTCTGGGTTCTGTAACCTGAAGTGTCTGTAACCCAAGGTGCCACTGTATTTGAACCAGAACAAAGAAGCAAGCAATTTTGGGCACATGGTGATATTAAGTGCGTAGGCTTTTGCTGGCAGATGCTTAGCCTGTCTTGTGTCAAGTAAATATATATCTCCTATTTCAGATCTGGTGTTGAGCATACTTTGCAAGTTTCCATTTTAGTTTAAAGAAAAATCTCCCTGCTATTTGATGTCCCTAAAGTCTATGGATCAACTTTTGTGAAACCCAAAGTTTCTGATCTTTTCAGAATTAAATACATACTGTTTTATAGAAAACATTTTAATGGAAACAAGCAATGCTGAAAAGTGCCCAGATGATATGGAAATAACTCATTTTGTAGTGATTATGTAAAGAGGGAGGAAAAGGCTATCTGAGATGAATGGGGAGGAGATTCTCACCTAATTTACATGTAGGATAACTGCTGGGTGTTCTGATTCTGCCCTGTGCTGTGTTAATGTCCTTTGTGGAGAAATCCTCATATGTGTGAGAGCAAAGGTCCTGCTGCTTTTGTTTTGTGAGTCAGTTCATAGTTCTATGTTAGCACTGAGGCAGGAGGCAGAAAATTGTATCAGCTATTTCTGGAAGGTAGGATGAGGGGAGCAAGGAGTCCAGCTTAAATATGGCATGAAATGTTGCATTTGTGTACTGTATGTGTGTTAAGCTTTAGTTCCACCAAAGAGAGTAAGAGAGATTCTCTCATAAAGTTAAGAGACATAATACATTTATTTGGGTATGTGTGTGACTCTGCAGGGTGGCATTGCATCCTGGCGCCATTACGCCTTAGGGAGAATAAATGGAACCAGGCTGTAAACTGTTCTACCCTTTTGCATTAGCTTCTCATCATCAGAGCTATAATTTATTGTTCACTGATCTGTGTCTTCAATTAACCAATATTGACACAGCTGAACCTTCCATTAAGGAATGAATATTCACTGAGAAGCTTGAATGTGGCAACTACTGGGCTAGTTTGGATTATCTCCATATCTGTAAGCCTACACTGGCCCTGTTTAGCAGCTGTGTAACCAAACCAATGATCTGAACCATACTGTGATGCTCAGTCAAATGACAGATTTCTAATAGTACAGGTATAAGCCCTTGCATTTACAGACAAATGTGTGTTTTGGGGGCTCATCTGCTGTAAACATTGGTTGGAATAAAAATATCAAAATATAGGCCTTATTATAGGGAAGGCGTCTGAGAGTGAGCAGTCATATTGGATGGTGCTGCTCATGTTCTTGTGGAAGGACACAATCTTCTTCTGAAGCTTAGGTGGGCATCCTATCTTGTTGAGCAGTGTGAAGAGTCCTTTTTGGCTGACGAGGTCAAAGACCTTTGTCAGGTCTATGAAGACTATATACAAGGGCATCTCAATTTTCAGCATTTTTCCTGCAGCTGGCGCAGTAAGAAAATCATGTCAAAGCCCCATTGTGACTTTGGATAGACCCTAGTATGATGATGTGTGGAATAATGCTGTTTGCCCATATACATAAAGAACGAATTCAAAGTGTAGGTGCAAAAGGCAGCTAGAATTAGGGTGTGGAATGCAGGACCTGGAAAATGGGTACAAACTAGGTGGGCTTTTTTTTTTTTTTTTTTTTTTTGGCGATTCCTTGTGTGCCTGTGCACAGTCAAAAACTTTTGAGTGTTGGCTTGCAATTCTTGAACTGTTTGATCTATTAATATGTCTAACCCAATATGCTGTCGTGTGTTGTGCTGTTGCCTCCAGATGCAAAATGGACATTGTGGCCTTTTCACTATTATTTTGCACTATAAAGACTTTCAAATGAGAATAAATTAAATGCCAGCATCTGCATTGTATTTGTAGAAGCACTTTGGTGTCCATCTAAGTAAGTTTCCGAATGAGAGTACCTTTGGGAAATGTGCAGGTTAAGTCACATAGGAAGCTCCTTGATCTTGTGTCTTGTACATACTGACTGGCAGCAGCAATATTTCAGACCAGGAGTTTTCCCAGACCTACCATATAATAATGGGGAAAAATGTTTTCACCTTTGATGCACAGTGGAGAGCATACTTGACTGTAGACAGATTGCTCTCATGTATAAACATGCAGCCACCAACAGTAAGGAGGAGAGCACAATTGTTTGATGGCTAAGATGTGAGGTATACAAGATGATCCTCAAACTTTGATTATATAAATGACAACCGGGGGGGGGGGGAGTGCATCATGGATTACTGCAAACTGATGCAAAAGTAATACATGTTGCAAACTGAACAAGTGCATAGATGCTTTCAACATTACTGCCATAACTTTCAACATTACTGCCATTGTGGTCAGAACAACAAACCTGTCAAATGTTAATGTTACCGTTGCCTTTGGCTTACTAATGACATTGATATTCTGACCACAATAATTTCACATGCTCTTGAAGAAGGAATGCAAAATGCAGTCAATTAGGAAACCTGCAAAGGTTGAGCAGGCAGAACAGTGCAATACTGAGTTGGTCTATGTACAGGGATTTTATAACTCACAGCAAATCTTAATGATATATGTGGTTGTTTGGATTTGAGAGTTTTTGTTTGAGAAATATAAGTGATATGATCATGTATCCTCACAATTCCAGCTAATGAATGAGTTGAGAATCCAAGTATCTTCCAAAGTGAAAGTATTGACTACTAATGTCTCTCCTTTTTTGCTGAAGGATGCACTTGCACGGACCTTTTGTTGAGTGTGCGGTGCAGGTTGTCATGACGATTTGGGCACTTTTCAGTGATTGATGGATCCACTGATTTCTGTACAAAGTGTGCTGTGCAGAGGTGTTGAACAGGACAAGATCGGTCATTTCTGAGTTAGTTAGATATATTGACAGTTTCTCCAGTAAGATGGCAGCTGACAGGCATAATATGCAAGCACTTGTTAAGACATAGCTGCTACTTACTTCACAAATTTGTGGTTACTGTGCTCAGCAGAACTCAGCAAGAGGCTTCCCCCTTGTGTTGGCTTAAATTTATTAAACATTTATACACAGTTAAATAATATTTGTATTTTGAAAAGCAGTTCACAAACTAGGATAACAGTGAAACTCATAACATGCAATCTATGAGCAAGATGAAGGCAGCACAGGAGCAAAGTCATTTAATGATCAAAGGCCAGTAGAAGCAAAAGTGTTATTTAGCAGGGAAGATATTGTGTGGTGTTTTCTTGGCAGAGGATCCACAAAATTGGGTCTGCAACAGGGGAGGTCCTACTTCTAGTGGATGTTAGCCTCGTGCAGTGGAATTCATTAGAATATCTTATGTACTGGTGGATTTGTATGGGAGAAGATGTTCTCTGACAAAATCAGATTAAATCCAATTGACAGCTAGTGCTAATATTTCAAAACAGGTTATATATGTGCACCTGGATCTACATGTGAATATCTGTCTATACCTGCTAACATGCAGGCTGCCACTAGCTAATGTTTCTAAATCATTTTGAAAAAGCAGCTCTGGTACTGGCCAGCTCTTCTATCTTTTTAGCAGAATTACGGTAGATGCTAATGGCTTTGGGTTTTCTCTCTTTTCCTGTAACACTGTGGCTGGTTTAGCTTGATGGGCCATCTAGAGTAGTTTGCTTTGTATGTCTCTTTCTGCACAATTCATGCTCTCCAATTATGCTGTGGGTTGCCAATAGAGTTTAATAGACTTCAGCTGCCTGTTGGTTCCTGCATGATTATTCTTTGTAGTTCAGCGTGCTGGGGTTGTCTTGGATCTGCACTATGATGTTGATCAGGACTGCTGCTCATTGGCCAAAGACTCTGGGTTGATTGAAGGAAGGAGTCCAGATAGTATACTTGCATGCTTTCAATTCCACTTACTGACAACTGCTGTGTGCTGAACCCATGGGGTTCATATTTAAACCACAGTAAGAGTAAATGTATGTAACTAATGTCAAGCCAAGAAGTATATCTTACTGGTGAGGGGGTAGTATTAGGGGGCAGGAGGGAGGGAGCTGCTTGGCATCCATGTTGTATCTCCTGATATTCTAACCAGAATAGAATATAGAATTGTAGATTTGGAAGGGCTCATGGGGCTCATGTAATCCAGCTGCTTGCAATGCAGGAATCTTTTGCCCAACATGGTGCTTTAACCCTGTCTCATGCTCTACCAACTGAACTATCATAGCATAGTCCTTTGGGATTCCTGCTAACTGAGCTCTTTTTAAAAGTTCTGTTCACTTTTTAAAAAATGAAGCAAATGGCTTATCTCAAAGCAGTTACAGATGTTGCAGTTCTTAGTAGGAGGGAGCCAATCCAGGTGGACTTGTACAATGAAAATGCTGACCGAGGAAAAAAATTCCTCCCTCTAGCTCAAATGTATGAAAAATCTCGTTTCATAGCAAGACTTTGCAAAGGAAAGCCAGAGCAAGACATTACTAAAAGCAAAAGCATAATTAGTTATGCTCAGTGTAACAGCCGTGAAAACTGTGCTGGGGACACTTTTCAACTTCAGTCTTCTTGCTTGCATGAGTCTACTCTGTTCCTCCTACTAAAGGAGTGTCAGTGCTAATGCTGGGGCTGATGGGAGTTGTAGTCCAAACATCTGAGGGTACCAAGCAGGCAAAGACCAGTCTATGCTTAAATGAAATGATCTGGTAGGGCTTTGAGACCAGTAAAAGGTGAACAGGAACTTCAGTTGGAATTTCCAGTATTTGCGGATATTTGAAGAGTAGCTAAGTTCTAAGGTCTCTAAAACAGTAGTTATTGCTGTAAATAGATGGTAGGGAGCAATCAGTGGGATATAAGTATATGTTATAGTCTGTCTTTCCTTGTGCAGTCTAAGGCAGTTAACACAATAATAAAATGCCACAAACAAAAAACACCATTAACAATGAACCACTTAGAATAGCTCAATTGGGAGTGTGGCGCTAATTATGCTGCGGTTGCAGGTTTGATCCCTGAAAGGGCAGCTGCATATTCCTGCATTGCAGGGGGTTGTGCTAGATGATCTTCGGGGTCTCCTCCAACTCTATGATTCTGAAAAACGGCAGCAATAACAATGGAATAGATTTGTACGAGTATAATAAGGCTGAGCTGTACGACCCATCCTTGGGAAAAGGTATTGACGCAGCAGCGGAAGGCTGATGAGAGCTCCCTAGGCAGGGAGTTCTGAGTCTAGGCACAACAACAAAGAAATGTGGACTTGGAGCAGACAAGAGGGTCCCTCTGTTGATGATCTTAATGAGCCAGGCAGGCTCACATATGGAGAGGAGGTCCTTCAGATATCTTGCTCATAAATCAGAAGACTTTAAAGGTCACACATAACCAGGCTTTTCAGTTAGCCTGGAAACAAATAAGAGAGCTGGTGCAGCAGTTTCAACAGTGAGGTTAATCAGCTACCTGGCTGCCACGTTTTGAACAAGCTACAGCTGCTGGACACTTTCAAAAGCAGTCCCACATACAATGTATTTTCTTTGCATGCAGACCACCAATACAACGGTCCATTAATTTCAATGTGTTTACCCTGAATATTATTTTGTAAGGTTTAAAAACCAAATTCTAGTTATTTTTTAAATAGCCCATTCAAGTCTGAAATCGGCCTTAATAGTAGTTAATGGGTGTTGAGAAGGTACTGAGATGAGAGTAAGCGTCAAAGTTTTAAAAGTATGGGCAATCTACTTCCACCATCTGCTTTTACAAGGGATGATTATTGTTGTGCCATCTAAGGGACTACCATGCCTCTACCCACTACTTCATTAGTGTTCCAGTAGTGTAAGGTGCTCACAAACAAATTAGTTGGGTTGTTCTTGGCACTTAAATGAAATGTGAACCCTTTTAGACATAGGCAAGGCAAGTGTTGCTTCATCATTGTGAGATTTTCTAGAATCCTGTGGCTTCTGGCCACATGAAGTCTCAGCTGAGGGTCCCTCTGGGACTTCCACCAGAAGGTTGCCAAGCTGTTATTGCATTACCTTGTGCTCTGCTTCCTTTGTGGCCTTGGCTGAATTTTTTGGGGCAATTTGGACAATGACTTTTTGTTGGAAGTGCCTTGTCAGTCACTTGGATGTGCGTAGCTTGCGTCAAAGTCTCTTTTCTAATTAAACTTTGCTTTTTAAAATATTTGATTTAGGCTGGCTTTTAAACTAATTAATTTTAAAAATAAAGTCTGGTGGCATCTTAAAGGCTAATGGAATAATAAAAGCTTTCATGAACAATCTACCAACTGAGGATAACATTTCACACATGTGCTGGAGCGGGCCATGGCCCGCAAAAGCTTCTGCCACATAGATTCTGTTGGTCTTTGCAATGCCACAATAGACGAACACACCTGCCTTTTGATAATCTGTCACTATGATTAATTTAACGTAGGCTTAATGAATGCAACAGCTCAATGACTGCATCTTTTGGGTGATCTTGAAGGAAGCGGACCACAGCCTTCTGCTGTGGAGAACTTAGTAGCAAGCAAGCAAGCTGCTACTTGTTGCTGGAAGGGATAAGTATTCTTCCTTTTCAACAAATTTACCAAAATGTTACCTATTTGTAATAGGGCATAAAGGTTGCCAGCCTGTCCCCAGAAGTGCCCTAACCCATAAAAGTATGCCAAAATACAGTCATACCTCCGTTTACGTAACACCCTGGTTACGTAAACTTCGGGATGCATGCGCGGCAAACCCGGAAGTATTTTACCGGGTTTCACCGCATGCGCAGAAGCAACCCTCAGGTTGCGGAACATCAGGATTCGACTGGACCTCCGGAATGGATCCTGTCTGCAACCGGAGGTACCACTGTATCTTGTGTAAATTAATATGCCTGTTTATTCTAGTTGGGGGTTTATTTGGACAGGGATGCGGGTGGCGCTGTGGGTTAAACCACAGAGCCTAGGACTTGCCGATCAGAAGGTTGGTGGTTCGAATCCCCACAATGGGGTGAGCTCCCGTTGCTGGGTCCCTGCTCCTGCCAACCTAGCAGTTCGAAAGCACGTCCAGCTGCAAGTAGATAAATAAGAACCGCTCCGGCAGGAAGGTAAACGGCGTTTCCGTGCGCTGCTCTGGTTCGCCAGAAGCGGCTTAGTCATGCTGGCCACATGACCCTGAAGCTGTATGCTGGCTACCTTGGCCAATAAAGTGAGATGAGCGCCACAACCCCAGAGTCGGCCACGACTGGACCTAATGGTCAGGGGTCCCTTTACCTTTACCTAATGCATGAGACATTCTAAATTTCAAAGAAAATAATTCAGCCATCTGTATTAAGGAAGATGAACTATGATTCCAGTTGAACGCTGCCAACTTCTGTTATTTTTATTTATCAGAAGGAAAGAAGACAATCATAGGGTTGGAAGGGACCACAAGGGTTTTCTAATCCAACCACCTGCAATGCAGGAATCTTTTGCCCAATGTGGAGCTTGAACCCATTATCCTGAGATATCCATGCTCGTACCAACTGAGCTATCCTGGGTTATGTGAAACATTTTTATCCTGCTGTTCACCCAAAAAGGTTTCTAGAGCAGCTTATAGATCTGTAAAAAAGACACATTTACAGTCTAAAAGGTCTGGTGCTAGAAAAAAAAATTACGTGGAGGAATGTTAGGAAGACTGAAGCTCAAGTTCAGGGGTGACGAACCTTTTTCATCCAGAGAGACACATTCCCTAGGGGATATATGCCAGTGGTGGGTAGAATCAGAGGCAAAAGTGGGCATATCAATTGGGTTTTTGTATCATAGGGAACAGCACAAAAGCCACCCACTCTTGCATTTCTCCGCAAAACTCATTGGTGAGCCATAATGCTTTAGAACAGGGATGTCCCAACAGGTTGATCACGATCTACTTGTAGATCCCCAGGAGGTTTTGGTCAATCGTGAATCCGGCCCCGGCCCCTCGCCCTGCCCTCCGTTGTTGCACAATCTGCAGAACGGAAGGAAAAAAAAAGTTCAACTTTGACCTGAACCCCCCAAAAAGGGATTTGACCACTGCCAGTTTTTAATTCTGTGAGTAGATCGCAGTCTCTGGGGACTTGGCCACCACTGCTTTAGAGAAACAATGTGAGTTCATGATTCCTTCTTGAGACCATTGCTATGTGACTTCAGTAAAGTTACTAGGATCAGTAAGCATGCATTGCTTAGGGTCTTGAAGAATCATCCAAGTTGCATCTCAGTCAGTGTAAAATCAGTAGAGGACATTTGGCTTCATTCTTCCTTGCCCTTGCTTTTCTTGAGGGAAATCCCAACATTTTTTAACAAAATTGGGGAGGGGGCACTAAAATTTGTTTCTCGCCTCTCTGCTTTGTCTTCTTGTCCCCCTTTTCCTTGAGTGTTACAGTTCAAATAACCTAAATCCCCAGCTGTGCATACCATGATGGTGATGGACATTTTAGGAAGCAAATTTGACGGCATCTTTTATTGGGATCCAGGAAAAATCCATTGTGGCTTGCTCTCATTATGAATATAGGGCAATCTTTATTGCAGTTCAAGGCTACAGGAGCAGGTCCCACTCACTATATCAGCATTGCTCAAACTCTGCATACCTGGAGCATAAATCTTTTATTAGAATTAAAACTGGAAGCACATTTACATTCGCAAAAAGTATAAGAACTGACTAAATCAGTTAGAATAAAGGCAGTTCGTAATCTTAAAGTATGCTAATGTTTAATGCTTTGCCAGAAGAAGTTTTTATTTCACCAAGAAAATGATATTGTCACAGGAAGTCAAAGTTGAAGAAAAGATTTTGGAAGATAGAAGGGGAAAAATATTTACTTTCATTATTATCATTTTGGGTGTGGGTGTGTGGGTGTCTGCACATATGTGTGTTTTTGTATGGAATGTTTGGGAAGAAATAAGACGGTAAATAACAAATAACAAACTAAATATTGATGTATGTGGTTTTTATATCTTGATTGTATTTGGTGGTAGTGTGGTTGTATTGTTTTTGTGTTGCATAGAATCATTCAATAAAAATTATTTTTAAAAAAGAAAAAAGAAAAGAAAATGACATTGTCTTCAACGCAATCCAAATTTCAATGCCAGAAATGTTTGCCAGCTTAATTGTCATGTTCAATGAGAAACAGAAATTAAGCGGGCATTTTAGCAGCTTCATTTACATGTCCCTTGTGAAGAAAACATGAGCTGGTGTTTAGACTAACTCACCTTAACTTGGCAGGGCTAGAAACATTCTGGGTGCTTGGTTGCTCATGCCCTTCCACTGCTGATGCGGATGACTATAAATTTTAAATTTGCACCTAGACCACTGAACAAGATCTTAGGGCTATATATAGGTATCTGTTCCATTGTTAAAATTTATTGCTGGTTTGGGGTATATGGCCAGTCGAGATGTATGAACAAAATTATGCTGATATTTTAAAAAAGAAAAAGCTTAGCTTGGCCATGTATCCTAGTAGACAGTGTTAGATACTGAGATAGGAATGCTAGGAGTCATGTGGCTACTGGGACCGAGGTTGTGGGCGCCAAAACAAAATGTCTAGGTGCCATTTTTTGATGTTGTTGCCCTGCTACCAATCCAGGCAGCCCTGCAAAAAACCCAAAAAACTGCAGGGAGAACTGGGGTTGCAGGGTAGCATGGCAGCAAAAGATGCATTTTTTGCTATCGCTCTACTCCGCCAAACATCTGATTCACCTGGCTGCGTGACAGCAAAATAAAGACACATCCTTTGCTGTTGCACTGATGGGCAAATCTGGTGTTTGGTGGGGGTAGTGCTGTGCAGAAAAAGACGTGCATCTTTTGCTGCCGCTGTGCCCAGCAGATCAGCTGACTGCACCTAGGCAGGTGGAGATGTTAGGCGCCAAGGGTGGCTCCTGGACATCTTCATTCAGTTGCAAAAGGCCGGGTAATTTCGAACACTTCTAGTAGATGAGAAGGCATATGGCTAAAATGCTTTGTTGCTGCCTTGCTTGGAAGAAGCAAAAAACAATTCAGTAGGACCACTGTGGATTAGAGCAGCCCTCTTTTTGTACACTCTTTGTGCTAAATAGGCTTATGGCAAACTGTTTTCAGAGAAGTGGACTCCTTTGTCGTTTAAAAATACCACATCCTGTTTGCTGGGATATGGATCTCATTGAAAGGCTATATAAAGCTTGTCTCTTTCCACCGACTGTGTAGACTGTAGAAAATGAAATGGTCTTCTCCTTTTTTCTTCCCCCCCAGAGCCTTAGCCAGTGTAATAAAATAGTGTATTGCTTTTAGCTATAGTGATATTGCTCAATAGTGATCCTGATATTTATACTTAAGCTTTTACTGTTTGTAAGTTGTTATGGATGACCTCTGCCTGAAAATGTGTCATATATATCTTCATTTGTTTTTTGTTGACGCAGAAAGGGATTGGAGCCTGTTTCCTGGTGAGGGTACTAGGAGGATAAGCAATGAGACAAAAATATTGTGCATTGAGGCACCAAACATAAAACATCACTACTTGTGTGATTGTTTGCTTACTTTATTTAAAAATCATGTTATTACTGTTATTTTGGGTTCACTTTTCGACCCACAATTACTGTCGGCCAAAGATAACATTTTTTAAAAAAATCAGGCCTTGCCATCTGGCTTAGAAACTAAAAAGATAAAAGACACACAAGGAAGGTAGTGGAGAGCAAAGGTAGAGAAAGAAGAGCAAATTAATAACAAAGCAGGCACTTTTATCCAGCTTGGGTGGGGCAGGTCTTCCCTGGCTTGAAAGCAGCCGGTGGCTCCCGACCCTTTGGCTGTTGGATGGGGCCATGAGAGTGTCCTTTGCCTTTGCTAACTTCTCCAGTCCCAGGGCAAGAAGCTGCTGAAGTTGCTCTTTCTCTGGCTGACATTTAGGGCCAGGTTCCTCTTCCCCTTGTCAAGATCCTTTCTGGGAACTGGGGGTACAGCCTCTGAGTGGCCCTCGGTCCTCTGGCTGGTAGCAGAGGCATGAGTGTGCTTCCATTCACCTCTGCAGCCACAGTGCATAAATATCCTGGAGGGCTAGAGAAGAATTCTTACAATGCAGGATGTGACCTGAGTCTCTTGCCGAAAATTACACAAGGGTCAGGGTGCTCCAAGATATTGCTGCTGGGTCTCGCCCACTGAGGCAAATACTGATATCACATGGCTGCTTTGCAAGAAGTAACAAGCAGCTGTGAAGGCACAGTGGTTGAACTCAACCTGAAGGACCTTTGCCAAGGAAGCTCAGAGAACAAGCAACCCAGTTCAGGTTGAGGGGAAATGCAGAGAGAGGCTCACTGAAGCCTGTGCTGCTCCCATTGTGAAGCTGACGCCTGTGCATCTACAGTTTTGCAGAATCAAGGCTGTTGTGGAATAGCAGTCAGCTTTCTGACTAGGAGCCAGAATGAGTTCCACTGGAGCTAGCAGCAAGGTGGCTTGGGGCACAGGGAGCTATGAGGCTGGAGGGACTGAGTAGTTTTTCTGGCCTTTTGATTAGGGATGGGTACAGCTATCAGCATTTCATAAATATATGGAGTCATTTGTGCACATGATGCTTCATAGTGTTATAAACAAAGAAGTCCCTACCCACCAAAAGCTAGTGAATGTGAGCAGATGAGCTTACATGTACTTGAGCATAGTTAATCTAAACACATTACAGTGGTACCTCTGGTTGTGAATGGGATCCGTTCCGGAGCCCCGTTCGCAACTTGAAAGGAACACAACCAACGTCTGTGCATCTGCGTATGGGCGGGTCGCGATTCGCAGCTTCTGTGCATATGCGTGATGTCATTTTGCGTGTCTGCGCATGTGCGAGTGGCGAAACCCGGAAGTAATCCTTTTCTGGTACTTCTGGGTTGCCATGGGACGCAACCTGAAAAAACATATCATGAAGCAAATGTAACAAGAGGTATTACTGTACAAAAAAGATTGGTTTTGCAGAAGGATTTGAAGGGGTAATGGTGTAAATATGGCACTTTGTGATGTGCAAGCAGGGAGCCAGAGGAGCCAGAGGAGTTCTGATGGAAGTTCTGGCTGAGCAGAGACTTTAATGGCTGTGTGTGGTAGTTTTCAGGCAGGCCTGGGTGGAGGGCAGTTAATACAGCCTCTTTTTATTCTGTTCCACTCTGTCTGGGCAGAGACTTCATAACTTCTGGACTTTTGCTCCAAAGGGAGCAAAATAAAATTCATGAGGGTTTTGTTAGCACTTTTCTTCAAAATTGTAATTCCTAATTGTGAACTGTGACCCATGGACAGGATAAAAAAATTCTGGATGGCCTATGATCTGAAGAGGTCATGAGAAATATTTCATGAATTAAATTCTACTTGCTTTATTTTTATGGAACCTCTAGTGTGCCTTATAAATCTCTGGCTTGTCTACACTTCATTGCTTTATGAAATAACACTATTGCAAAAGCAATACAAGACCACTTTTCCAAAAAAGCAAAGCATCCCATGACTGCTGCCTTTCAGTCGAGGCCATTTCCCTGGGCAGCAGAGATTGATTAGATTAGATAAATTTGCCTTTAATCTGTGAGTTGACAATCTCTTGTGGTCTGATTTCATCATTTAATAATGCACATTATTCTGAAACAATAGTTTGTGCCTGTTCGTGTGGAAGGAATACAGTGCAACATGACCTGCTCAGAATTAATGTCCCTTTCTTTCTTTTTCCAGCCGGACAATGAAATCTCATCAGACTGCAACCACGTAAGTGTGCTTTTTTTCTGTAGGGCTGGCACTTGCTTCTTTATTGATTCAGTGATTTATATTCTGACTTTTTCAAGGTGGCTTAGAATAAATATAACATTTAAAACCAATATCTTTTAAAAAAACCTTAAAAGAGCAGCACCTCACAACTTATAATTAGACCAGTAGAAAGCCATATGCCAAAGAGAAAATACAGTTTAAAATAAATAAAATAAAACCAGATATTTAAAGCCCTTTTAAAGAAAACAGGGAGGGAGCTGTAAGTGGCATTTATTATTACTTTGCAACATTTGCTTCTGGCAAATTGGCTTCTTTCAGGGATCCTAGGCCAACTCCTTTTAAGTAGTAAAGGCTCCTGTTTGTTTATTTCTCTGTGATCTATATAGACAATTTAGATTTTTTTGTGACCATCTTGGTAGGAACATAAGTACTAAATCCAGTCAAGTAGGATAGTATGATGTTTGGGCTTATGTATGCACAGAAGAATGCCTTAATTAAAATGATACTATTCGGTGGCACCCCAGCTTGTTAAACTGGTGCTGATATTACAATCTTTTTGGTGCAAAGTTAAGATCTCCTTTTTTGCCCAGGCATTTTAAAGTGACTTCATCTGTCTTAGGTCTCATTTTTGCATTTTAGCTGCTGCCCTTTTAGTTTTTACTTTAGAGTGGATTATATTTCCCTGTTGTTGTATTTTAATATTGTTATACATCACCGTTTAGATGAAGGATGGTTAACTTAAAAAATAAATAAAGTAAAGTAAAAAGTGGACTGGAGTACATTCTGTTAATAGGATGACTCTTTCAATGAATTGGGTAGACAGGGCATTTTAAGTCTCTTCCCTCCTGTTCCACTCATCTACCCGAAACAGCTATTCACCGACACATATCTCTACCTATATCTATATCCCTGGGGTACCAGGCATGCTTACCAGGGCCTGTTTTTCGTTTTGGACAATGAGGCACATCAGAGATGGTGGCAGCTTTATGATACATGGTTTATTTACACATATATACAATCTTAGCCTAGATGGAGGGAGTTCAGAGCATTCACATCCCAAGACAGTCCTGTTCATTCCATTACTGCAGCCTTGAATTCAAAGAGCTCCCAAACATTGTGTCTGACCCTTTCTTCATTATAAAACAGACTGTCATCCTTTTTTTTTTTTTGCGCTCCCCCTCCCCCAAGCTTGTAAAACAGACATCTTTTTCCTGTTCGCTTCTAACAGGCAAACTGTAATCCTAAACCAAAACTATTGGTCTTTTGTCTTACTAATGATCCCCTCCTGTTTGTGGCTGGCACAGCTTTTGCTTTGCTGATGGCCAATCTTGATGGATCACGACTGTCTTTGTTTCTTAAAGATGATTCCTTGATCAGGATAAAATCAAGTTTAGCATGTATTTTTACACTGCTAAATTCAGTGTCAGGCACCTTCTGTTAATTCTTCAAATATTGGTTGAATTCTAACATTCTAGCCTATAACAATCAAAATACGCATACACACACAAACTGAGGGGTACAGATAGGTTATTTAACTTTCTCTGCAGTGGAATGCTCTCATGGCATGGCATGGAGAAGACTGATTGGCCATGGGTGCTGTCATAAGCACAGAAGCCCAAGTTCCACTAATTATGGCTCTGTTTGTTTTGAGATTCTTCATGATTATGAGCCATAGAAGTAAGCTCTCATTTGATTTTTTTAAAAAATGAGATTTACACACCACATGCTTCCCTAAGTTCTGTATTCTCCATATGTCAGAGCATCAGTATATTAATGTGTTTCTGAAAATCACATGAAAACTGCTGTACAGGAAATGCGTTGGTTGGCTTGTGTTCACATAGATTTAAATTTTAACCTGCATAAAGCAGCCTCAAAACCACAATAAAGATATCATTAGTTTGTTTTAAGTCTGGCTCATGAAAGATTCTTGCAGTTGAAAAATAACAGTATTGTGTTTCTTCCCTCCCAGCTGTTGTGGAACTACAAGTTGAACCTGACTACAGATCCAAAATTTGAATCAGTGGCTAGAGAGGTTTGCAAGTCTACCATATCAGAGGTAAGGCTGAGGAAGATTAGGTGGTGGGCAGTAATCTTAATTTTATTTCTAAATAAGAAAGAATTGAAGTCTTGTTGAAATGAATATATCAAAAGGGTTTTTAATAGAGAATTATTAATATGTTTTAAATAGTGCATAACAGAACAGCAAGCAAGCCGTGAGATCTTTCGTTCTGTACGTTTCCAAGGCTATTTTAATTGATGGAATGGGTGGACCACCAACTTTTACTGTAGATCTAGACCATCCTGTACTTGCTAGCAAGAAAGGTACACTAGAGAAATATATTCTGGAAGAGTAACAGGTGATGTCTGTGGATCAAAGTACCAACTGGTATGCCAACTGCATCCTCTCCTGGGAGTTTCAGGATTCAGGAAAATGTCTAGAATTGTTCATTCATCCTCTGAAAACTCTATAAAATGTAGTCTCTAAGGTGGCGTTGTAACACTGTTACTGTGCTCATAAATTCTAAAGTTAAAAAAAGTAATACTATGTTTACTTGAAGAGCTTCAGTCATTCACAGTTTCATAATTGTTTGTATAATTGCTGGAAGTGTTTGCCTTCAGGTCATTAGCACACTGATGCATTTTCCAGTAAAATACTTTTCTGAATATTGCTCCATTGAGGCAGTTTTCCGAGCACTATTTTTCTGAGGGCTACTCATAGTTTTCCTTCTCTCCTGATTCAAGGTAGTGATGGCAAGACTTGGAAATCTTCATTTAAAGGAAAAAATAAATCTGGAGGGATATTGCTTACCAGTGAGGCTTTGTCACTTGTACCTAGTGTAAGACCTTTTGGCTAGGTTGAGAGGAATGGAATTTAGAATGTAGCATAAATCTGTGAAGGGTTCATTTCCAAAGTCAAGGGTTGAAACAAATGGACTAGATATAATTGGGATACTCTGGTTGTGTAGTGGTTGGGACCCTGCATAAATGACAAATAAAACAAGTGTTTCTGCAGGTATTTGTGATTTGCTCTAGTTATTTCAAGGTTAAGTTGAGAAGGTTGTTCTGTTTGACAAGCAGTTTATCCTAGTGCTGCCTCCTCTTATACTCTTTCCTTTTGTGTGCCATACCATAAATTCAGCTTTAGGTCGAGTACTTTAAAAACAAAAAAACAACAACAGGCAGCATTGTGTTGACGGCAAATGCAATTAGATTTCTTCAATATTAGGCAAGCACTAAAAAGTGGCTATGCTCCGTATTGGCTTTGCTGCTCCCTTTTTAGCTATCTTGAGAGAGATGTCTCCATGGTTGTAAAGTACAGAAGCAACCCTTTCTCTCTCCCAAAATCATACCCCTTGAACTTACACACCTTGGATAGGACCAAATACACATGAGTTCTGTTGCTATTAAATAATGAAGTGGTAAATAAAATTAAATGGCTCAAACAAAAAACTTCAGAATCAGCAAATAAACCAGGCAAAATGCTAGCATGGTTACTTAAAAAGAAACAAAAAGACAAAACAATAAGCAGTATAATAGATAAAGGAGAAATTACAAATGACTTTGAAAAAATCAAAAAAAGTTTTGTAAATTACTATAAAAATTTATACAAAGCAGAAAAGATCGAGGAAACTAAAATAGAAAAATTTCTCATAAACAACAGATTGCCAAAAATAACTGAGGAAGAGTGGAAATACTTAAATACCCCTATTGATATTAGCGAAACAAAAGAAGGAATTGCGACCTCCAAAATCGGAAAAGCTCCCGGTCCTGATGGAATTTCCATAATGTATTATAAGAAACTGGAAGATATAACATTACCAGTCTTCGAAAAAATAATGAACAAAATTCTAGAAGGAGGGCAAGTACCAGAATCATGGCAAGAGGCCTTAATTACATTAATACCGAAAAATGGATCCAATTTAGATGAAATAAAGAATTACAGACCAATTTCACTTTTAAATTCAGATTATAACTTGTTTACCAAAATTCTTGCTAGATTAAAAAAGATTTTGGTAATAATAATTAATAAAGATCAATCAGATTTTTTACTGGGAAGACAAATATACAGCAATATAAGATTGATAGTAGATACAATAGGATACCTAGAAACGAGACCAGATAAAATGGCAGCCCTGATCTTAGTTGATGCCGGGAAGGCCTTCAACAACGTGTCGTGGGATTGTATGAAAAAAAAACCTCTGGAAATGATGAGCCTAGGTGAGAAAATAAGTAGCGGTATAAAAGCAATTTACAATTTCCAAAAAGCAAGATTGATTATAAATGGCGAAACATCAGAAGCCTTTAGTATCTCTAAGGGAACTATATATCACAGTCCTAGAAGTATATTTAAAAGCAAAAAGAGAAGATCCTAGGATAGAAGGAATTAAACTTAGGCAAAGAACTTATAAGGTTAGGGTCTTTGCAGACAACCTAATAATCACAATGGAAAACCCACTAGTGATTATTCGAGCAACATTGGAAAATGAAGGAATTTGGACAACTATTAAGATTCAAAATTAATGCAGTAGTACCTTGGCTTGCATATGTCTTGGTTTGCATATGTTTTGGATTACAAACACATCCAACCTGGAAGTGTGTGTCCCAGTTTGCAACCTTTTTTTGGATTACAACCCATATTTTTTGGATTATGAACAAATTTTTTTTGGAGGCCCCATTGGCAAAAGCGCGCCTTGGGTTACAACCTGTTTGGGTTTACAAACGGACCTCCAGAATGGATTATGGTTGTAAACCAAAGTACCACTGTAATAAGAAAACAAAACTCATGGTGAAAAATCTAGATATATGAGAAAGATCAGATTTAGAAGCAGAGGCAGGACTTAAAGTAACAAATAGAGCAAAATATTTAGGAATTTGGATTACTATGAAAAATACTAATTTATATAAAGATAATTATGTAAAGGTATGGAAAGAAATTAAAAAAGATTTAGGGATCTGGAGTAAATTAAAACTTTTACTGTGGGGAAGAATATCTTCAATCAAAATGATCATCTTACCAAAAATGCTGTTCCTTTTTCAATCCATTCCGATCCTCAATGGCCTCAACTGCTTTAAAGAATGCACAGATTCTTGGCTAAATACATATGGCAGGGCAAAAAACCCAGAATTAAATTAAAATTACTAACAGAAGTCAAAGATAGAGGAGGGTTTAGAATGCCACATCTTAGGATTTATTATGAAGCTGCTTGCCTGGTTTGGCTCAAGGATTGGATGATATTAAAGAATACCAAATTACTGGACATTGAGGGCTGGGATAACATAGTAGGTTAACATGGTTATTTGGGCTACAATAAAATTAAAATTCATAAGGGATTTTTAAATCACATTATTAGGATAGCTTTACAGGAAGTATGGGAAAGGAATAAAAAAATATTCGAACCAAAAACCCCATTGTGGATATCACCAATGGAGGCGGAGGCGGTACAAAGAAAAAATATGGATTCTAACTGGTTGACATACAAAGATCTATTAGTAGAAGTTAATAATCGATTACAAATGTAAACATATGAAACAATTAAAGGCACAGGAATATGTTGGTTGCAGTAGTAGTAGTAGTAGTAGTAATAATAATAATAATAATAACAATAATAATAATATACACATAACCAGTTATATGAAAAGAATGAACCACATGGAGTTAGCTGGAAGTCATCTTTATTCCTAACCCTATTTCTTTTTAGCTTCTTTCTTGAAGTGAATGTTTTCTTTTTCTTAGGAGAATATAGTGTCTATATTCTTGTCTGTAGTTTTTGTTATCATCACTGTATTTACCGTATTTTTCGCCCTATAGGACGCACTTTTCCCCCTCCAAAAATGAAGGGGAAATGTGTGTGCGTCCTATGGGGCGAATGCAGGCTTTCGCTGAAGCCTGGAGAGCGAGAGGGGTCGGTGCGCACTGTTAGATAATATTGATTTATTGCTCAGATAAGCGTGAGGTCCGGCACGCTTCCCATCACAGGCCTCTGCATTCCAAAAGACCGACATCTGAGCATAGCAGAGTTTCGACAGCGGCAAGAGGAAACTGCAAAAAAAAACTCCAGTGCATTCTTCAGTGTGCTTAAATAAAGTCCACACAGGATCTTGGCAGCTAAAAGCAGTTTTATTTACAGCAGGCTATCCATTATCTATCACAGCGAACAGCATCGTGAAAAACACGTCCTCTCTCCTCAAAAGCGAAAGTAGAGAGACAGAACAAAGACTTTAGTCTCTCGGAAATGACGCAGCATTTCCCCCCTCCCACCAGTACAGTCTGAGCTGTTTAACCCTGTAAGCTCAGGTTCTCCTCTCGCTCTCCAGGCTTCAGGAAGCTATCTGCAAGCCTTGGGAGCCCGCGGGAGTTCCCGCCGGGCTCCCACGGCTTGCGGAGAGCTGCCTGCACCCCAAAGCCCCAGCGCGCTGAGCAGTCGCGCCGGGGCTTTGGGTAGCTCTGCGCAAGCCGCGGGAGGGCTCCCACGGCTTGCGGAGAGCAGCCTGTTCTGGGGTCGGGGGAAGCTCGGGCTTCCCCCGCCTCAGCCTCGCGCCTTGGGGGGAAAATAATTTCCCCCCCCAAAAAACCTAGGTGCACTTTATGGGCCGGTGCGCCCTATGGGGCGAAAAATACGGTATGTGGGTTTTTTTGCTTTGTATGTTTCTGGTTTTGTATTACATGTTCATTTTATTTATTGTTTATTTGTATGATGCATAAGTGTACGTAAAGTATTTTAAAAAAGAGAAAGAGAGAGAGAGAGAGGGAGCAATGTCTCAGTGCTCAGATTTCAAGCATAGTGACCTAGCTTTTTTCAGACCTAGTTGCATTCTGTAAACAGGTGACCAGTGGGGATGGTCTTGAAATTTATTTGCTTTTTTAAAAAAATCCCATGTTGCCTATTTCTCCAAAGAAACTCAAACATAATCTCATCCGCTCAAATTAATGTTAACAATATTCAACCTGTTTAACTAGTTCCAGCAGCATAAGAGTAACATTGAGCTGAGCCAGCAACAAATGAATATTACCCAAAGTTCTTCTTGTCGTGTGTGGCTTTTTCTACTCACATGTGCAATGAAAGGAACTCAGTGCTTTTAAGGATTTTCTCCAAAATTTTGGGATGGGTGGGAACTGTCGGTAGATTGTCACAGTAGGATGGGGAAATCCCAACCCAGATTGTCATTCAGCCAGAAGCTTACTGAATTACCTTGGCCAGTCACATGGTCTAGTTCTGAGCTACCTCATAAAGTTGCTGTGAAGATCAAAAGAGAGAACTGTTTTAAGCTTCCTGGAGGAAAGAAAGGACATAAATGTAATAAATTTGATGGATTGTGTAAACTTGACTTAAAGGTTGATCCTCTGAAAAAGCACACAGTACCTCAGTCCCTGCTCTATTTAAGACCATGCTCAGAATATTGGTTTCCAATACCAGCCCTGAGCAGCTTTTCTCCATTTCATATCTAGTTGTCTTTATCATGCTGATATTTCATAGGAGAAAACTGCAGACTGCACTTCATTCTCTGATTTAAAAAACCATGCGTAATTACCCCTCATACTTGTGAGATTGCAGGAATGCTGCTATGTCACTTGCAGCTATTTCGGAATGTGGAAGATCGGCTTTTATTATTGGATTAAGCTACTACAGCCATGTGGTTACAGTGGCTACCAGAAGATTAAATACAAAACAGCTTTCAAGTAACTGAATGATACAGGCCCTGGCTACATTTGAGACTGACTCCTGACTGCCCTTGAGCACCATATTTTTTATGTAGAGTCTAACAATGACATCTTAAATTATTGAGTGATTACAGCTTGCTTTCATGGTCTTTTTAGTGTGGAGCTTGCAAAATTTATGTTCATTTTTGCTTTTAGGGTGAGGTGTGAGGGCTGACACCCCACATTTTCCCTTCTTCTGGAACCTTTAGGGAATAAACAGTTGGTTCTCCTTTTCCATCCCCTTTCCTGAAAATTGGTGTCATTGTTTTTATATAATCTCTCTATATTGAGAAACATCCTGAGTAGGCAGTAAATAAAATGATCTGCAAATGCCAGATAAAATACAGGCTTCTTTTTATCATGGGTCTTTCTGGACAGATCAAAGAGTGTGCTGATGAGCCTGTTGGGAAAGGTTACTTGGTGTCCTGCTTGGTAGATCACAGAGGAAACATCACTGAATACCAGTGTCACCAGTACATCACCAAAATGACAGCCATAATTTTTAGTGATTACCGCCTGATCTGTGGCTTCATGGATGACTGCAGAAGTGATATTAACATCCTGAAGTGTGGCAGCATTCGTCTTGGAGAAAAGGTAATTCTGTTACAAAGTGATTCCATGTCCATTAAATTGGAGGTGGGAGGGAAGAGGATATTGTCTCATTAGAATCAATGTTACTCCGAAGAAGCCAGTTGAAGTGTGACCATGTTCTATGGTCAGCATTTTAAATTACTATCCTATCTCCCTGTGATTTTATACCAGTGCTAGGCAGAAGGAATGTTTCTTGTGTGAGTGAATCTGGGCTGTCCTCTGGAAGGGGCACATCCTGGGAAAGTGCTTTTAGCCTTTGGTAGATTGAGGGTGCCTTCAAATTCAGGTCAACTGCATGCTCTTTCAGGCTCAGGTATTTCCTTGAGATACAGTGGTGTTTTCAGCTGCAGACTTTTTTGGGGCGGGTGGAGGACAGAGATTCAGGACCACAGGTGTACTGAACTGAACCATGTTCTTTCAATGTACAACATGCTTCTGTAGGCTCCTAATGCAACATGCAGAAGAGCTAGATGGAAGTGTGTCTTGCTGCTGCTTAGCTTCTTTCTCTTCTTTCAGGATGTCCATTCTCAAGGAGAGGTGGTGGCCTGCCTGGAGAAAGGACTGGTAAAGGAGGCAGAAGAGATTGAGCCAAGAATAAAGGTCTCAGACTTGTGCAAAAAGGCTATTCTCCGTGTAGCTGAGCTCTCCTCTGATGATTTCCACTTGGATCGGCACTTATATTTTGCCTGCCGGGATGACCGGGAACGCTTCTGTGAGAACGTAAGTTGTTGCTTGACATCGTCCTTCCCGTTGGACTAGCATCCATCTCCCCACCCTTTCCCCTCTCGCCTTGTCATTCAGTAAATGCTCCTACATGTAACAAATTAAAGAATACAAGAACAGATCTCTCAAAGGTGCACTACAGATAATACAGGCAATATATTGAACTCATTTCAGAAATATACATGGAAGTGTTAGTCATGAGCACGCACAACATAGATAAATGACAGAGGACTTGTAAATCACAAAATGTTGGCCTATGATAAAATGTAGCCAGTGTGATGTAGAGAATGGAATGCTGAAGTTGGGCTGAAGAGACGTGCATATGTGGAGAAGACCCATGGAAATTAATGGGTCCATTACTTTCAACTGGTCTGTTCTGAATAAAACTTGGTGGGGTACAAAACCTGGGTTTTAATAGCCACTTAGCTATCACTCTCATTGAGTGGCCTTAAACAAATAATTTTGCCTAACCTATTTAATGGTTTTGTTAGGGTAACATGGGGATAACTGCATGTACCTTTGCTTTGAGGTCCTTGAAGAAAAAGGAGGCTATGAATGTGTTAATTTTTTTTTTTAATTATGGATACCAGGATACTCCTAATACGTTTCCATATGACATTCATGACCAATATTGTTGCTCTGTTTCACAGACTCAGGCTGGGGAAGGCAGGGTGTACAAGTGTCTCTTTAACCACAAGTTTGAAGACTCTATGAGTGAAAAGGTATGTGCCTCTTTCACCTGGCCATTCCACTATCTTTCTTGACCCCAAAGCTCCTGCTTCTTGGTCGCCTCATTTATTTTCAGCATGCAATGGATAAGAAACAAATTAATATACAATATGGTGTGTTATCTGAGGGTTGGTCTGCTCCTGCCCCATCAGGGTGTGGTGGGTGGAAGAGTGCATGGAATCCTGTGCTTCGGCTCAGAGCTGTGTTTTTAAAGGCAGCCGTAACTCTGTGACCTGTTGATGAACTTCCCATCTCAGTTACAGAGTTGCCTTGTGTGGTAGCAGTTAAATTGCATCAATAAGAATTAACATCTCTGAGGAGGGAGAGCTGCTTTGTTACCTTCTCTAAAGGCATGCGTGTTTTTCTTTGAGATATGTTGTTACATTCCTGAGAGACAGTGTTTTGAGTAAAGTGCAGACAAAGCATTTTATTGATCATTATTCCAGGTGTAATGCCCCATTGCTTCCTCAACGCTTTGAGCAGTATATGAGCAATAAATAGCAAATTGAAATGACAAGCTATGCTTGTGGTTGAAATGCTTTAAGAACTCTGCACTTTTGCTCCCCACGATTATTTCCCTTCCTCCTGCTGTAGGTTGCCTTGGATTTTCTAGAAATAGTGATGCATTTGAAACTAGCAGCAATGTATTCTATTTCTAGCGGTGGCTTGTTCTGAAAATTCAAGGCCAGCGGATTTTCTGTTCTACTCCTTTTGTCCAGTGTGAGCCAAATTATCTCTGGTTGACAAAAGAATGCTGCCTTGATGTTCCCTTGATCAGTAGCACAAGATATCTGATTGTTTTCCTCAGTGTCGTGACGCATTGACAACCAGGCAAAAGCTGATTGCACAAGATTACAAAGTCAGTTACTCATTGGCAAAGTCCTGCAAAAGTGATTTAAAGAAGTACCACTGTAATGTAGAGAACCTTCCTCGTTCCCGAGAGGCCCGACTATCCTACCTGCTAATGTGTTTAGAATCTGCTGTGCATAGAGGTAAGATATATTTCTCCCTTATTCCTCCAATTGCTTATATCTGATAAATAATTTGTGAAATGAAAAGTTGTGTAATGTGAGATTTTCAGGGCTTTATTGAAAGAAAATGGACATGGCAAAAGAATGTTTTTGGAGAATGTCTTTGGGCATTAGGATTCTGCTAGTTATCCATTACTCCATAGTTCTGCATCCCTGTCTCCCTTGTGCAATACCTTCTCTGTCTGTCCTTGCTTCCTTCTCCATACTGCAACCCTCCTCCCCCTGAGCCTTGACACTTGATGTTTCAGCTTGCTACCTTTGCTTCTTTGCATGAGGCTGGTTCTAGGTCAGACAGTTAAGTGAAGCATGTTAAGGGGCTAGCCTGTCTTATGTCAGCAGACCATTCACAGTTGCCCAGGAGAAAGAAGTTCTAGCTGTTCTGTTGTATTCTCTATCTTGCCGTTCCGTAATACAACATGGGCTTAGTTCTCATGGAGAGCGATGACAGCTGTGAATGCTGTTGTAAGTGGGGGCTCACTTGATGGCATGCTCCCCTGTGAAAGTAAATTCCCATACCTAGAAAATGAGCATGCCACGGTTAGAATTCTTCTTTCAGAAGTGTCAGTTTTCCTTTCTGCAGAGAACGTTTCATATGGAGGATCATTCATCATGTGACCCCCACCTGCAGTCTGAAGTGGTACAGCCCAAGCACAGATTTACCACAGCCATCAGAACTACTACTTACCCAGATTCTAATCAGAATGCCACACTTGCATGATTAATCCCATCTCTCCGGAGAGCAACAGAGCAAGTCAGCTTTCTTTGACGTGTTCCTAGCATGCATTTCTTCTAGGTTAGAAGAAAACAACAGTAGCCACTGAGGGCATGTTTAGCCCTTTTCATGCAGCCTAGTGGGGGATGTATTGGTTCACTTAGAGGAGTATTGGGAGTCAGTTGTTAAGCATTTACCTCACAGGGTCCCTCCAGGCATCCTTTTTATTGCTAATTCATGATGATTTGTGCTTACACTATCAGGCCAGTCTTAAATGATTCTGCTTCAATACTTTTGGCACCTGTAAAAGTTTGGGGTATTCAAATGCTTACTTTCCAGTCAGTGCATGTCCTGGAACTTCTGCTGAATCCCAGAACTTTTCATACCAAAAATGTTGTTGGTGGGGTTTGTTTTTGTACTGGGTTTGTTGTGCTATAGCTCCTCCAGACAGCAATAATGTGGCATTGCAGAACAACTGATAAAGCAGAATAAATCCACCACTAAAGCATCTTTATGGTGCCAAGAACATGCTTCAGAATTCACTGATAATAAAACACGTGTCCATAATACCAGACCATTGATCCAGCTAGTTCACTATTATCTGCACAACAGCTGGCTCCCCAGGGTTCTCAGTGACATCAGTCTATTAAATGTAACTTGTTAGTATTTGCAGAAGGACAGACCTCTAAACTATAAAAGCTATAGCTATTATATAACACCAACTTCATATTTTCAAAGTTACATTTGAATCTAATTGATTTACACCTGAGCCAACATATACATTATTTAGGCTGTAACAGACTGACTCCCTTTGGTGCAGAGGTGGTTATCTTTTTTATTGTTCAGGTTCAAGTGTAGTGGCAGGTGCTCCATTCCAGTAGGTGTGGCTTGAGCCAATGATGGTTGGACCCATTCACACAAACATAGACACACTCCATGGGAAAGACAAACACAGGGAGAGTTTACCCCCCTTCCATGTGCCATCATCTTCATCACAGCCATGCTCTTCCCAGCTTGCCAAGCAATTGTGTTGCTAATAAGGGGCAGAGGGAATGTGATTTACATGGAGAAGACATTGTATGGGCTTGTGGGAGCATGAATTTGGGGAGGCAGCAGTTTGAGGAAGGGAGTGAAATGGAATGTGGCTGTATGGAAAACTCTGAGGGCTCTGGGTTTGCTGACGTGCTTTGAAGACTGTTTCTGTCTGTAGTGTCAAGTGTAGCTTAGTGCATTCCACTGTTGTCCTCTAGAAGGTCAGGCAGATCTGAGTGTGAGAATGGCAGACTAGGCTTCTTTTCCAAAGCACAAGGCCATGTCTGCAAGCTGTTCTGCGCTGAATAGCCCTTAGCCAAGGGAGAAGCCATCTCATGCCTTTGGGAATTCTTTGAATGGGTAATATTGTGGACAACCTATTTGCTTAGTTACTTCTCTGCTGTGACAGACCACACTCAAGTCTTTACACCAGGGAGCTTTTGAGCAATTCACTAAAGATGTTAAAGTTAATGTTCGTAGTCTTTATTCTTTCCAAGGAAAAGTAAATGTTAGTATCTTTCTGCTTGACATAGCTGAGGAGAAGTGTGGGACTCCCCTTGAGTTCCCCCCTGGCTTGATGGTTTGGCATTGAGATTCCATTCAAACCGGTCAGGTGGCCTTGGGGGAATATCCAGTAAAGCTGGGTGTTTTTCTCTAGCTGTGGTTCACTTTCTGCAAACTCAGCATGTTGCATTTGGCAGTGTGTGATCTTGATAGTCTCTGTTTTCAGGTTATGGTGTTCTTTCCCCCACCTGCAGAGCTCTAAAAGCATTATTAAACACAGGGGTAGGCAACCTTTTTTAAAAAAATCATCAAGTCCTGCATTTCCTCATAAATAATACGTTGGAAGCCGCATGCAGGTGGTTGGTGGAGCTGATGATCAGCAGAAGCAAAGACAACATGTTCTGGACTGCTAATCCAGAGTAAAGACTGCCCTTGCTTCAATTTTATCATAGCTACTGCAGATTAGAATCCTAATCAGGTCTTTTCAGAAATAAACCCCACTAAGTTTTGTAGAGATACTCATTTATACATCTTTCCCCCTTAAACCATGCAACCAGGAAAAAAGCAGTGTGTGTGTGTGTGTGTGTGTTTGTGTGTGTGTATGTGTGTGTGTGTGCGCACACACACACACACACACACACAATATCAGTTTATCAAATAGAATCCTGCACCTTTCATTTGTATTGAAACTACATAAAAAGAAAAGTAAACAGCTTTTTAAGAGCCAGGGAAAGGAAGGAGGAAATGAACCAGAAGGAAGGCAACAACTCTGATCAAATGAAAGGGTAGGACAGCTTCAGGAGACATTGGGGACTGCATAAAATGGCCCTCAGACAGATGGTTGCTCACCAATGAATAGATGGATAGGCAACTAGTGGTCCAGAAGGACCTGTTTTTTCTACCTGCTGTGGTTTGTTAAACCTACTGCTAAGGCATCTTTCTCTGAATCAGAACAGTTCTTATCCCTTTATGAAGTAGTCTAGAAATGTGTGGCAGCATTCTTTTATATACGCAGGGCAGGCTTAAAAGGCAGTGGGTGCCACCACCAGCATGCTGCTAGTCCTGAGATAGAAAATATTTGTGTTGAGTGTCAATTTTTTCTGACTTCTCTGCTGAAGAAAGTCAAAATCAATATAATCAAGATATGGTACTCAGAAATGAGAATATTTTCTCTTTGTATCTTTTGCTACTGACTAAAGGAAGGATGACAAGCTACACGCATCACTGAAGACCTATCATTGATCCCTGGAAGTCTTGTTCAGCTCCTTTTCTCTCCCTGGCCTTTCTCTTCACTGCTTTGGCAATTTATTCCATTGCTGCTCACATGCTTCAAGCACAGTGTATCCAGTAGATTAAAACTGGTGTTCTTGTAAAGGATATTGTGCACATGTGCACAGAGGAGGCACAGTCCTGATTGCTATGCACACTCCAGTGCAACCTGGTGTTTTCTCTGATTGCCTGTGAAGAAATAGAATACAACCCTGTGATAAGGAGAGGCTGCAAAATAGCTCTGAAATGGTAGAGCTAATGGCAGTAGTGCTTGTGGCTCTTTAGGGATTCCAGCTGCCTGGCCCTATCTTCCTTCCCAGTTAGCTCTGGATTTCTGCATAGAATTTGTTTTCTTGGTGTGTCATTTGATGTAATCTTTAAAAGCAGAATGGCACTGGTCACACTGATGGGGCTGCATTGCACATGTGGCATGTACCTTGGCTATGTTCAATGTCCCTTGGGCTGATGTCTTATAACCTGTATCTACTACGGTGTGCCTTAGGTCGGCAAGTGAGCAGTGAATGCCAGGGAGAAATGTTGGACTACCGGCGCATGTTGATGGAAGATTTTTCACTGAGCCCAGAGATCATCCTCGGTTGCCGCAGTGAGATTGAGCACCACTGCTCAGGACTGCATCGGAAGGGCCGCACCCTGCATTGCCTGATGAAAGTTGTGCGAGGAGAGAAGGGGAACTTGGGAGTCAGCTGCCAGCAGTCGGTAAGGTTGTCATGGGGAGCAGAAGAATTTGCTTGTGTGTCCTGCCCACTATTTTAGCTTTTGTGGGCTGATGCTGAAGTAAGACCTGAGTTGGGATGCAGGTGGGAGCTGTAGGGAGGCTTTGCCCTCAAAGCCCCAACATCCATTTAGGGGAATCCCAATGAAACAGTTGGCTAGAGCTGATTAAAAAGCTCTATCAACTACTTGTAAAAAGGCTTTTCGGGTAGCTTCAGGCTATTAAACTCAGAAGCTGTTATGTTATTCCAGGCTAACCCACCTTCTTTATAAAGTAGCCAAGAGGAATGTAATGGGCATAACATATTAATTCAAGCAAAGCTTTTGACCTAATCCCATGTGACTTCTTAAGTTCTTCAGGGGGAAACGTGAACTGGAACAACTTAGTGTAAGGTGTTGGATACGCATGGTGATAGAAGAAAATTGGATTGAACTAGGAGACCAGTGACTATTTCTCTCCAGCTCTTAGGCTTCTCATAATATATGCACAATTCATTTTGCATGCATTGGAAGTGTTGTATGCATTTGGGAGGAATTTGGAGTAGCTTCATATTAATTACTTTCCCTAAAACAAATCTAAGTGTAAAAAAAGAAAAGCCTTTATCTTGTAACATGTGATGGTCAGAACATATTTGCATTCTTCTGAAAATATACTGCTGAGGCAGACAAGAATGTACGGTGGCTGCTCAGTCCCTATCCCATTGCATAAAAACAGATTCACTCCTTCACTTCCATGGGCACCAGTCACTGCATGGAGGCAAAACTTGTGTGCTGAATAGTAAGATTCTAGCCCTTATTGTTGTAGATGAAAAACTGAAGATGCAGAGTCAGTGTGTACTTAAAACTAAGAAACCAGAAGGAGATTGGGACAAAGTGGCCGATTCCACTAGTTTAGCCTGGGCTCCCCAATGCAGCACCTGTGGATACCAACTTTTAATTTTTTTAATCATGTTTCTGGCTGGTATGTGTAGGGGACCTACTTTTTGTCTTATTTGGTGGGGTATAGGTGATTTGCTTGTTGGGTTTTTTGGGTGGGGATGTTTCTGAGTATTGCTAGCTTTTCTTTGATGGAATGGGTACTTTTGTTGCCTATGACAATACTTTAAAAGGTGCCTCTGGGCCCGTAAACATTGGGACCTTTGTATAGACATAGGACTTTTTTACTTGGCCCTGTTCTCTGCTTCACTTCATGGCTCCTGATAATCCACCCCATGCCTTACTTGCCAATGCTGCTGATCTTTCTCCTCAAAATCTCATTTTTCCTCTGAATGATTTATTCAGGTTTCACTGTTGGGTAGCATTTTTGGAGTAGTATTGTGCAGGAGCTATGTTCACCCTGCTACCACATCCTTGTTTTTATGTAATAGGTGTCCTAATCTTGACTGCTGCCAATAGCAAATGCACTAAAAAGCTTGACAGCCTTATAGTTTGGAGGCTGGGGGCGCCCAAGCACATGATTAATGACATTGACACTCACCCCCCCCAAAAAAAAACCTTCCCTTTTTCTCAATGCTGATCCCAGCATAGCTCACTGATGATTGCCTTAGACAAAATCAGAAAGCCCATCAGGCCATGTGCCTGCTTGTTCTTTTATATTGGAGATGGCTTGGTGTGATTGTCAGGCTAGATTCCAGGGATCTTCCACCTCAAATGATGAGAGCAGGATAATTGTTTCCCAGGCAGGAAGAGATTGTTAGAACATGGCTATTTCCCCCAGGCAGCTTAGCCTCAATTCAGCATTATGACTCCTTTGATGTGTATACTTACACAGTGAAGTTGGGGCTTTGATGCTACTAAACACTCCTCTAGACTTGACACCACTTTACTTGATAGGCTTTGAGGGGGGCATTGCAACACGTGCTGGTGGAGAAAGGCTAAAGTACCGTTGTACTGTTGTGTGATGCAACCTGGCAGTTTGGCTTCTTGGAAAGAGCTTTGCTGGCAGAGAAATGGGAAGTGCCCCGATATCTGCAAATGCTGCCCTGTGGTTCTGTCAAGGGGAGCAAAAAGAAGCAAAAAGGCTCTGTGGTCTGTGATGGCTCCATGGCCACATGAATAAATGGCTTTGCCCCATGCCCCCACCCCCAGCATTTCACTAGATTCATCTCAGTTGAGGTTAAGATCAGTGATGTAAACAGATTCCTAAATTTGAAATTGGCTTAATTCCCAGGCTACGGGCTCCACTAGGAAACAATCAGTGCAGAAATCCGCCCATTCTCTGCTCCTCCAACTTTGTAGAGCTTAATTTCCAAGAGTGAGTGTTACATGTTGAAGGAATTCTTAAGCTCCATTGGCTTTTTCTCAGGCCTTTATGGTGAGATGCCATTTAGCTCTGCTGCTTTCTGCTGCTGCTGCTTTAGCAAAAAAACCAAAACAACCTGTGTTGCATAAGTCTACCTGCGCTGCTCAAGTCATGCTTCAGTGGAGTCTGAATCCTTGAAAGACCACTTCTCTGCTAGTATACCTTTATGAGCATGATGCTCAACTCAGTCTCAACAGTTGCCTCTTCACCGCCCGCCCACCACAAATAAAAGCACTAGGCACATGTTCCTAGCCCCAGGCTGTCCTTTGTTACATCAGGCCCCTGTGCCATTTTCTTAGGAAGGCCCCTGTTGCTCATGTACATGACAGAGGTTCTGGGTTTGGGAGATTAGATCCTCCTGCTCCTTCTGCTCTCTTGGCTCTCCTCCCCTTCAGTTTCAGTGGCAAGAAGGCCTGGTGATGTGGCTGGCTGCACAATTCAGCTCTGTGTACTGTCGTTATACTGAAAATAGAACAGGGAAGTCCCCAGAGTTGCAAAATGTCTGGATTGCCCCATGCTGTAGGGATGACCTGACACCTTGGCTTTCTCAGTCATACCTGCAGTTTCTGGATGCAGATGAGGTGACAGCAACATAAAAACTCTGGTTCTGGCTGAGTCATACACAAGGGAGAATGCTCTTCCATTTGGCACATCTTAGCTGTTTGCCATTAACTGGTCTTGGTCTTGGAAAATAAATCATTTGTTCAAAGGCTGCTTTTCCTTGGCAAACGGTTAGCCCTTTTTGTGTGGGAGGGAGCAGTTCACATCCATGGGAATGTTTGAAAGATGTTCTCCACTTCAGAAGCTGGTACTGAAATGAGATGGGAACGGGGCAGAATCCCTTGAGGTTAGCTTTGCAGTTCTGCCAGCAACAGAAGCCAGGAAACCAACTTCCTGAACTGCTCTGCCATTGTTGTTAAACTCTTCCCCCCTCTTCTCTTTCCTCCTCCAGCTTCAAACTCTAATCCAGGAGGCAGACCCTGGTGCTGATTACCGCATTGACAGAGCATTGAACGAAGCCTGCGAATCAGTGATACAAACAGCCTGCAAGCACATCCGTGCTGGAGACCCCATGTAAGTGATGGAGATCCCCTGCTTTTGCTACAGTTTACTGCTGTTTTAGCTTGGGCTGAAAGAAGCCTGTTAAACCTGGGGGAAGAGATGGACTCAGATTGTCTCTTACATAAAGACAGATGTTGACTTGGGGTGAAAGGGTTTCTTGTGGGCATACAGGCAGACTTTTATTATGCAACAGCTTCTCATCACCCTTACAAATGCAAGCTGTGGGAAAGTACAGGCCAAAGGTAGACCACTATGGAGAAGCACATGTGCTTTAAAGCATGCAGTTACTCAGCTCCCCCATTCTACAAATACCTCCTTCCCCTCCCACCAGTGAGAGGCTCGTTGTTGCAATGTCTGGTATGAAGGCTCCTGAAGATTGCATATATCAATATAACATGACTTTCTTTCCATAGGATTCTCTCTTGCCTTATGGAGCATTTGTATACAGAGAAGATGGTGGAAGATTGTGAGCACAGGCTCCTGGAGCTCCAGTACTTCATCTCACGGGACTGGAAGTGAGTGCTGGGCATGGGGACTCTCAGTTCTGTTGCAGGACTTTCTAGCAGCGGCAGTTGGGTCAAAAAGGTCTTGTACTGCGGGGCCACGGGTGGCTTTAATTCTCTAGTCACTAGCTAGAGGTTCAGAAAGAGTTCTTTTCATTCACAACTTGGAGAACTTGATGTTTATACACAACCGTTATTCCCCAAATTTCTGTCAATGCCTGCTATAGGAGGGGGAGACAAATTAAAGTAGAGGTTCTGGCCTGGGCATTACCTTCAAGAGCTGCCTCATATTGAATGTGCACCACAGGATAATGCCCTCTCACCCCAAATTTCAGCCTCCGCCTAACTATAGAGGGTGTCTCAGTGTAAGCATTGTGTCAAAAGTAAAGTTTCCTGTACTTATGTATTATTAATAGTGTTTTATGAACTGTCAGCTCATTAAGAAAAAATTGTGGTGATGTACAACACCATCAAGTTATAATTATGTTTAAACATCATACAATTATAAAAACATGAAATACAGAACAAATGGCTTAATGCTAACTGACATTCTCTAAACACACTTAAGGCCTTTCTGATTACACCAGTTCTAAAGTACTGGTGCCACTATGCTTTTTAAATTTTTTAGTTTGCATAGAAACCAAATGAAAGTATGATAACTGTTGGATAGTTAGAAGGGCTTCTCCAGCTGATCACAGTTAGCTGGCTGGTATAAGAGCATAGGGCCTGTTTCTCATGAGGACATATTTCTTTCTAGTGTAGGGTTTAAATTGTTTTTGCTTCTTAAGAGCAAAATTCTTATGTATGTTCACATTCTTATGTGTACCAATGCACTTTAACATTTGCATCAAATTTTATAGCCCCAAGTGGCTTACAGAAAATCTTCCTAATCATATTAAAATCTCAGACTGCAAAACTGTTACACAGTTGGAATTGGTTGCAGTAAAAAAACACAGATATTTTATTGGCAAGACTTTAAATATGTCTCAGTTTTATTACTCAGGTGACTCGCAACTTGTGTGCATTTAACTTGTGCAGTTGATGGCTGACCAGTTGAAATTGCACAAATTAAATGCATGGACGCCTGAGAACTTAAACGCTCTTTTTGCACATTGTTTTCCCAACACAAAAAAGAGCTTTTAAGCTCTCAGACTTGCTTACTGGGCTCTGGGAGGATCTTGAATAATCTCAGACAGCCCCATGAGATATTGTGGAAAACTCTTTGCCTTGCCTGGGGGCGGGGGTGTTATAAGACCCATTCAGCACAACAGCTCCAGAAGGTAAGGATAGTCATGTAGGAGAGATTTGACTATACGTGTTTTTGAGTATATGCACTGTCCCTGGAACATAACCCCTGTGCAAGTTGCGAGTGACCTGTATGGCTAAATGGAAATTGCACCTATGAAGGTTTTCATTTCTGATTTGCTACATTCTAGAGGTGAAATAAATGTTGTGTTGAAGTGAAATGCTGTTAATCTTAGGTGTGTGAAGAAAGGGCATTTTAGAACCTCATGGTGGCTTCACTGATTCTTCTACTTTGACAGACTGGATCTTGTGCTCTATCGCAAGTGCCAGGGAGATGCATCCCGACTTTGCCATACACGCGGCTGGAATGAGACGAGTGAGATGATTCCTCCTGGGGCCATCTTCTCCTGCCTGTACAGACATGCCTATCGTACAGAGGAACAGGGGAGGAGGGTAGGCACCAGTCAGTTGCTTTAGCAGTCTTCCTTTATTGGAAAATGAATGTGATTTGGGGGCATGTGCTAGTTTATCTGTGGCTTCAAATGTAAGCTTTGAATATCTCTTAAGGCAGCAGAGAAACTGAGCAGGTGATACTGGGGAAAAGCATGGAGGCAAGCCAACTATAGTCCACTCTACAGGTCACCTGGATGCTTTGCGACAACTAAGTAGGTATAACAAATGGAGACCCCCTGTGCATCTGTGCACCCTATGAGATTGGGGTTTAATGTTTGAGCCTCTGGAGACTCAAACAGGCGTGCAGGAATTCTCCTAAAACCCTTTAGGAAGAAGCCTCAGGAAACACTTTTGTAGCTAAGGTATGTGGTCTTGCCTCTGCTTTTTGTAGCTGAGGTCAGTGCTGAATATAGTGGGAAATCTCTTCATATGAAGGGTGGAGAAACAAAATAGGTGGCTTGTTGCATGAATGGCTGGTGAAGCTGTGACCACCAGACAGATAATCTGTATCCTGTAGGTGGTAATTAGAATGTGGTTGGTGATGAGCTGAGTTGCATAATCAGGAATTCATGTGAGTGCAGTTTTTGCTGGGTTGAGTCATTTCAGACTCGGGGGTTGTGGGAAGAAAAAGGGAATCCATGTGTGAATGCTTTCCGCATGTAAACTTTCTCCACAGGCAGAACTAGCATGTTGGGGAGAAGTGGGGAGTTCTCAAACATCATCTCCCACCCACAGCCTGAAATAGTGAAGCCTTGCAAAAGGTGCACTGCATGACTTCCTGGCCTTGTATTCCAGTTTATAAACTTAAGCTGGGGAGGAGAGGACAGTCTGCTGCCTCTTCTTCTACAGCATAAGTGATACCCACATACCTTTTCCCCTTCTCACCTTCTGAAGTCAGAAGGTGGCTGGTTGCTGCTTTGTGCCTGCTCAGGAAAGAACTGTTGAACAGACTTGGCAGCTGCTCAGTTGCTTTGCAAGTCATTCTCCCTGTGGGGGAGAAAAATGGAGTAGTGCCTTGCTCCTTTTTTCTGCCTCCTTTTTCTGCCAACATGAATTGTGGTGGGTCTCCGCTTGCTATGTCTAATTAGTTTTTAGGTTGTGCAGGATGCCATGCACAGCTAGCTGTCCCTGGCACTGTTTTCAGAGTACCAAGAATTTTAAATCCCCAAAGAGTCCTTGCCATGCTCTAGCAGATCCTTCTGACTTCTGCTAGCCTGGAGATTTGAGGTTATCCCTACCAATCTAGCACTAGGCTTCTTTGTCTGTATTTTATTGGCTTCTTCTCTTAAACAGCAAGCCAGCCCCTCCACACACGTGATGCCACGGTATCTCGTTCACTTTTTGACAACTTGTTTAGACTTGTCCTTCAATTAAACACCTTCTGTCTGGATGTGGGGACTTGTCCATCTAAGCTGCAGGGAAGGTTAAAAAAATGAGGGGAGGGGCCTGCATGGGAGGCCTGCTCTGGGCCTGTGTGGGAGGTGACCAAGCATAGCATAAAGAGAACTTTACTTTTACTAATGCTGGAAAGAGCACCTTCCTTCCCAGATCTGAGCAGTTGGGGTTGTTCATCTGGAACAAATTTGTACACTTGTTCTTGGCAGCTATCCCGGGAATGCAGGGCAGAAGTACAACGAATTCTACACCAGCGTGCCTTGGATGTAAAACTGGATCCAGCTCTCCAGGACAAGTGCATGATAGATCTGGGGAAGTGGTGCAGTGAGAAAACAGAGACTGGACAGGTATCTCAAAAATTTAAACCAATAATCTCATGTTGAAATTGTTGTATAAGTTAGAAAGCAAAACACATTCACTTTAAATGCCCTGGTTCTGCTATTTCTTCATAAACATTTCTGAATTTTACTAAATTTTAATGTTCAAAAGTTTCTGTATTGCGTTTTGTGCTTCGATTTAGCTTAATTAGTGAAGGGAAGGCACTAAACCCATGTGTGCATCAGGAGAAAGCAAAGCATTGTTTGTCCCAATTTATCCAACCTAGAGCAACCTGGAGTGGTGACTTGCTGATCCCCGGGGTTATGTTGCATTGCAGAAGTGTGGTGTTGGTTGGGGTGAAATGAAAGATGTCCCAGAGACATAGCAAGGTGCATTTGGGTGGCTTTCAAGCGATTAATGAGATGAACCCATTTGTTCTGTGTTAAGATTCTTTGTGTCCCCTTTAGGAACTTGAATGTCTCCAGGACCATCTGGATGACTTGGCGGCTGAATGCAGAGACATTGTTGGAAACCTTACAGAGCTGGAGTCTGAAGTAAGTAAGCTTTGTCTGGAAGGGAAAGCTCCAGTATTTAGTTGTTAGACTTGCACCATGTGAATGGCTTGCTGATTTTTGGGTTGCCCTCCCAAGTATCTTCAAAAGGGTGCCATTTTCATGTATTTGAGTCATCTAAGAAAGAAGGTAAAGTATCAGATCTTAATTGGTTGTCCAGATAAAGTAACTCAAGCCTGATATCATTAGAAAGTACGGAGTATTCATGTAAATGAGTCTTTCTTTCTTTCTTTCTTTCTTTCTTTCTTTCTTTCTTTCTTTCTGTCTCTCTGTCGGCTGTATGTGTAAAAGTTGTGCCTTTCTATGGCAGGTATCATTTCCTTAAAACGGCTGTGTTTTGGTCAACTCTAGTTAGCTTTTATTTGGGGCAGCAAACTTTAAGGCAGCCTTCCCTACCCTGGCCCCCTCTAGATGCTTTGGGCTTCACCTCTCATCACCCTCAGCCAGCACAGCTGGAAAAGCTGCTTTAAGTGATATTTTTTGCAACCTGTTCCTGCTCCCAATGACTTCTTACAGTAGCTGTTCTTGTCAACAGAAGTCTTCCTAGCTTGTCTCTAGGGATGCTCACATCCCAGGAGACTTTCCCACTCTGATGTACAAACATAACATGAGCAACAGTGTGAACTGTCAGAAAAACTGGGTGTGGCCTTGGGTGGACTTATTGCTTTCTCTCTCCCTCTTGTAGGATATTCAGATAGAAGCCTTGATGATGCGAGCATGTGAGCCAATTATCCAGACCTTCTGCCATGTAAGTAACTCTTACTCATACTTGTTCTAATTTGGATAAGGATTGAGTGTAGAGTTCCTCCATTAGTATCATTTGAGGGGAGGAAGACCATAGCCATGTGCATGCCTTGTAGTTCCCCCTTCATGTTAAGCATACTTTGCTGGAATGTCCATAATTCTCAAGGCCACAACCAGCCTTCTTGCATCCCCAGTTCCCTGCTCAGAACTTAGCCTTAATTACAGTGCTGGTTTGGATACCCAAAAGTCATAGCAAGCAGGTACAAGACTGCATGCGTGCTGTGATTCCATGGGTGCACAGAATGGGACAGTGGTAATTCAGTTTTCTGGCCTTTTTCTTCTTCCATTTTCTAAAAGCAAATATCTGGTTTCGCTTGAAACTCTTTAGCTGGTGCCTGCTGAAATATCTGAATATAAGGGGTGGGTGAAAAAATTTCCAGTAGTCTTGTGCAGGACTTTTCATTGTTAGTTTATTGATGCTCATCATGCACAAAACCAGAATAAATTATACAGAGTAGGAGCAAGTATGTAGAATTCAGCTATTGTTGCATAGTCTTTGTATATCTCTGGCATACCAGCCCTAGTTAAATTGCAAAATGTGTTTATGGCATTTAATAGATTGTGTTGCATTTTTGGGTCCAGTGGGGGCATGTGCAGCTGCAAAGCAACTTGAGAGCTCTGGGGCTAACCAGCCCTGACTAGTCATTTTAACAATCAGGTTTCAAATGTAAGCCAGAGAGGTGCAATTACCTTCTCCAGCTTTAAATCATGGGTCCCGTTGCTTCCTCAACTGAGGTACAGAGACTTCCAGGAAGGGAGTTAGTTCCCGACAGGTTGTCATTAGTCTGTCTGTCTGTCCCATCCCCCCCAATATCCCATTCAGGAAGTGGCAGACAACCAGATTGACTCAGGAGACCTCATGGAGTGCCTCATTCAGAACAAACACCAGAAGGAGATGAATGAAAAGTGTGCAATTGGAGTCACACACTTCCAGCTGGTGAGTGTGGCTGGTTCTCCAGCATCCCCTAGTTTGACTGAGTCTGGGAGCCAGACAGCCATTATCCCTTTTTGCTCTGGAAGGCCAAAGGCATTTTCCTGTCTGCTGGAATTTGAACTGTTATGGCATAGTCCCCTTTTCAGTGCTGCCTTGGCTTATTTGCCACAAATAAGCTTCCGGATGTTGACTACTTTGTGCCTTTAACCACGTTCCTTCCAAATCTGCCATTCTCATTTTGCAGTTGGAGGCAGGTGGTGCATGTGGTTGGACCCATAGTGATTTGGATGGGAATTGCATTCAACCTTAGCCTCACTAGAAGGGATAACTTGAACTGAAGCTCAAAGGTGGCAAGGCAAGAAGCAGGGCAGAGAGATGCCATTGACTGGGGCTGCAGTAGCAGATATTCTTTGAAAGACTTGCTGTGCCTGACCTTGAGAGGAGCCTGTTTGCTTTTCTTTCTTTAGGTTCAGATGAAAGATTTCAGATTCTCCTACAAATTTAAAATGGCCTGCAAAGAGGATGTCCTGAAGCTGTGCCCCAACATCAAGAAAAAGTATGTGTGTGTGTCAGAAATTTGGCCTCATGGCTTTTGAATGCTAGAGAAACTTTTGTCTCTTAATCAGAAAGTGGGTGATAACCAAGAGTTTTACACCAAGATAGCCTGGTGTTATAACACTTCTGTCCTCTTCAGGGTGGATGTGGTGATCTGCCTGAGCACCATTGTACGCAATGACACGCTGAGAGATGCAAAGGAGCACCAGGTCTCCATGAAGTGCCGCAAGCAGCTACGTGTTGAGGAGCTGGAAATGGTAAAAGTTGCCCTCTTGTTACTCTGAGGCTTCACAAAGGCTTCTGTGGAGGGTTGCATCAGCTAGCACTACCCTGAAAATATTTGGCTGCCCCTCAGTGCTAGTTTCCTTCTCTCTAATTACCATTTCTTACATTCTAAATCGGGCTTATAGCAGGCTTCTTTGCAAATGTTGGCTTTTCCTGGAACCTTGCCACAAGAGGCAGTTTTTGCTGAGCCAAAACCAGCCCCAGCTGTTGGGATTTGTTCAACCAGCTCCCTTGGACCAATAGAACTGCAAGCACCTTCTCTCTCTCTCTCTCTCTCTCTCTCTCTCTCTCTCTCTCTCTCTCTCTGTGTGTGTGTGTGTGTTTTTAAGGGATTTTTTCCAGAGCTCTCCTGGGCAGCCAAACTGAAGACTGCACTGCACAAGTGTGTTATATTTTGATTCATAGCTTTGGCCTCAAATAGCTGAAAGACTGCCTCTTCCCAATCGACCTTCTAGGGCAGCTTTTCTCAACCCTGGATCTTCAGATGTTCTTGAACTACAATTCTCATCATCTCTGACCACTGGCCATGCTGGCTAGGAGTGATGGGAGTTGTAGTCCAACAAAATCTAGGGACCCAAGGTTTAGAAAAGCTGCTCAGGGGTGTTAAGACCTGTAGAGGGTAGTTCCGCCACCCTCAGAAGTTGAAGGAATGGCAGCCTGGGAGAGGGTTTTCTCTGTGACAGCCCCTACATTGCGGAAGTCCCTCCCTATAGAAGTATCTCTAGCATCTTCATCGCATAGCTGAAGGCATATCTCTTTCATCCTGGCCTTTGACCGTTAAAGTATTTGTTTTGTGGGGCCTCTTTTGCTGAATTTAAAGTGTTCTGTTCCCCTTGGAAAGGTTTTGCTTGCTTTATAATTATTAACAGCTTTATAAATTTATATTATGGTTGTAATCCACTGTGCAGCATGAGGGTGAAGAAGAATGAGTAAAGAGAGCCTATTAAATAAATATATAACCTCAAGAGTGCTGATGGTTGCCTGCAGAAAATTTCCTAGTTAGAAGATAAACACTTGGTTCTCTCATGGGCTTTTTACTTTTTTAAATTGGATTTGTTTGCTTTGGATGTTCAAGCTTTCCACCTCCCCTTTGAGTCTGAATCCTTTTTCAATGTGATTCATCTTGCAGACTGAGGATATCCGCCTGGAACCAGACCTTCATGAGGCCTGCAAATCGGACATTAGGGACTACTGCCAGAACGTCCCCTATGGCAATGCTCAGGTGATCTGCCTTTTCAGTGTGCGCTCTCTCGATGTTTCTGCCTAGCCAGAGAGGCTTTGACTGGAATACATTCTGCATCAAAGCCCATTTCAGTCTGCTTTGATTTACAGACCTTTTGCTTGTACTCTGACTCACAGCCAAGTCCACTGGATGGGCTGATCAACTTCCTAAGCACCACTGGCAAGTGTTTCTCCAGCACGACAGAGCACTTCTCCATGGGCTCAATTTTCCTCTAGCTCTTCCTTAGTCAGTGGCTACAAAATATCCCACCCTTCCAAAGGAGCCTGGTTTACATTGAAACTACCAGGTTGACTGTTGAAGAAAGAGCTTTTACTCGCTGAGTTGAACTTTCAGCCACTAAAGCTTTTTCCCCCCTAGGCTAAGTGAACACAGTGACTTCCATCTTATGAGTTGGCTTTTAATATAATTTCTTTTGGTACTTCTAAACCCTCCTCAATTTAGCATCCTCCTTAGAATACTTCACCCAAAATGTGCTGTGGGCGAGACCTCCTCAGTGCCACTATTGCTCCTGTTTTAGATGAGGTGCTGCTTAAAATAATGCAGGGGTTTGGCTATTTTGTTCCATAGCCTTTGCTTTGTTATTTTAAAGCCATTGAGTCATTTACTTACTCCCAGATTAGCAATGCTGCCATCTAGTGTCCAGTTACCCTTGAGATGTTCTATTTATTTAACTGCAGATTATTGAGTGTCTTAAGGAAAACAAGAAGCAACTCAGCACTCGCTGCCATCAGAAAGTCTTCAAACTTCAGGAGACGGAGATGATGGATCCAGAACTGGATTATACTCTCATGCGTGTTTGCAAGCAAATGATCAAGGTAAGGATGGCTGGTTGATGAGGGGAGGCTTAGAATCAGGCCACATCATGTTGCTTTCAGTGTAACATTTTCTCTCCATGCAAGAGTACATGTAGCTGACATTGCCTTGAAATAGGAATCCACATGGATTTTTGTAGGAAGATTTTTGGACGTTTAAACTGGGTTTCTGCCTGCTGCTGCTCATGAAGACTTCTCAGATTTGTAGATTTCCATATTTATTTGTCTGCAAAGGCAAAATCTTGCATTGGGAATTGGCCCATCTTGTACACACACCCAGAGGCCATTTCTGCATAGCATGGGATGATTTGTTAATATTCACAATATTCTATGGTGCAAACCAAATCTGACCATTTTTAGTGTACAAGCTTGACTCTTCATTCTGGAAAGATTCAAACGGTTCTAATCTTAAAACATCTCCTGCCCTCAAGTATATATTTTTAAATATCTAGCTGTGAATATGCAGTTGATATTCAACCATATTCTAATCTTCTACCAGATATTCAAGCATATCTGGTGAAAGATCAGAGAAGTAAAACTGAAATGGCAAAGTGTCAAACCCTGGTTGAGGGGCAAGCTTTTTCTTTCTCCTCTGCTGTAACTTCTGTAGAACTTCAGGCTTTCTCAGAACTTTAGGCAGGTGCATGCCCTAAAGGCCTGATACTAAGGGGGATACAGCAAAAAAGCTCTTGGAAGTGCAGCGGCTCTTTGATTTCTCTTCAAACTACTCAGACCAGCAAGAGGATCATGTGGAATTATAGCTGAGCGAAGCCCCACTTTTCCCATCTCCCTGTCCTGTTCTTGGTTCAATGTGTTTCTAAACTTTCTCTGCAAAAGTACATTGATTCAGAGGTGCCATTCCCACCACCTCTCCTGACATTAATGGGCATGGGTATCAACACAACACCTTTTAAGAATTCATTCCATGCCAAGCAACTTCTGGGTTAGCCTGGAAGTGCAGTGATGCCTGACTTGTGCCTCTTCATCAGTTTGCATTCAGGCAACAAGAGTCCTGGCTTAAGATGGGAAGTGCTGTTGCTCTCCCCTTGCTGACTCGTTGGTGCTTTCTCTCCCTCTGTCAGAGATTCTGTCCAGAAGCAGATGCAAAGAACATGCTGCAGTGTTTGAAACAGAACAAGAACAGCGAAATGATGGATCCCAAATGCAAGCAAATGATTACCAAGCGCCAGATTACACAGAACACAGGTAATGGTGGGGCTTTTCTTGGAATTGGGCCTGGGGTCTGCACTTAAGGGCTGTAATCTTTATTACCTGAAATGTCTGATATATCCCATCTGGACTACTGTAATGTGCTCTACGTGGAGCTGCCTTTAAAATGTGCTCAGAAATTTCAGCTAGCCCAAAGAGCTGCAGCCAGACTGTTGGCCAGGGTTAGATATAGGGAGCAAATGATTTCCTTTTTAAAGCATTTCCAATGGCTACTGGTCTGTTTCCAGGAACAATTCAAAGTTCTGGTTATGACCTTATAAAGCCCTATACAGCTTAGATCCTGGCTATCTGAAAGACCATATTCCCTCATACGAACCTACCTGGGCCCTGAGATCTTCGGGGGAGGCCCTTCACTCAGTCACACCACCCTCACGGCATGTTTGCCGGGCACACAAGATAGGACCTTCTTGGTAACTGCTCCCAGACATTGGAACGCTCTTCCTAGAGTCGTTAGACTGGCTCCTTCCTGGTTGCCCTTCTGCTGGCAGGTGAATACTTTTGTATTTCAACAGGCTTTTAGGAACTGACCTTTTTTAAGGAAAGGGCTGGTGCTAGGATATTTTATAGTTGTTATTTATACAGGTAACTCACATCTTATGCTTATTTTACTTACACGATTGTAGCTTTGTGGGTGGCTGGTAAATAAATAAATGGAGAGCCAAGGAAACCCACTCTCCATTTATTTATTTCCTCCCCACACGTGTGCATAGCTGTGATCACATGCTTATCCTGCTTTGGGAAGGCTGTGGGAGGGCTCTGGCAGCGTCCCAAGTTCAGCCTTCCTAGACTAGACTGTCTTGTTTGCTTTGTTTGTGTGGCATAAATGTTTTGTCTATTCAGGTCTGCTGTAGGTATAATCCCCTCCAAGGCAAACTTTTCTTGAGTGTTAAAATAATTTGTCCTCTCCTTGCACAACCCCATGCCTTCACCATTCAGCTCTATTTATATGCAGTACTGGTTAGAACATAACAAAGTTGGAAACCAGTGTGTTTTGGATAGTTGTTTTTAAATTTTGATATCCCTAACCCTGTGTGCATCATCAGTTGATAGCCACCACAGAAGACTTTCATATCACCTCATCCATGACACTTGGCAATGATTTAGCATTGGCATGCCCTCCCTATCACAAGCAGGACCTACAAACCACAATCCGTACCTAAATGTTACGTATGAATCAGAGATAGTAGTTTGTTGTGACCCTAACAAACCACAGTGTAAAGCTAAAGCTTGTTCTTGGCTTCCTTGTTCTTCTGCATCCTTTGAGCAGAACAAACAACATTGCTGATGTGGATATGATGCTAAGCCAGGGTTTGTTGCTTGCACTAGGGGAAGAGAGAAGCAGGAGCAATCTCCATATTAATGGTCAACCATGACCATGAGAGCTGGGAACTGGGTAAGCTGAATTCTACAGCTTGTTCTATGCTCCCACAGGATTGTGGGCATCTGCTGAGCCATGTGTGTATGTAGCTGGTTTCCTGAGAGCCAAGGCCTTGCAATTTGGCTACATTACGGGCAACTCAGACAGAAAGAACTCCAGTGCTAGGCTGCTTAGTAAAAGTGGCTCAGTTCTGCAGCTGGCGCCTCATTCCAGCGGCCGGTCTTCATCACTAATTTTGCTCCTTTCTTCCTTCGTAGATTACCGCCTGAATCCAGTGCTCAGGAAGGCCTGCAAAGCTGACATCCCCAAGTTCTGTCAGAGCATTCTGACCAAGGCCAAGGATGATTCCGAGCTTGAAGGGCAGGTCATATCCTGCTTGAAGCTGAAATACGCAGACCAGGTGACTTATGGGGCATGTGTTTCACAAGGACCTAGGGCCAGAAGGCCCCCAAAGTGACTTGTTATGCTATGTGGCGTGTGCCAGTCAACAAGCATGTTTAAAATACAGGCAGGTCTCAGAAGCTTAGGCCCAGTTATACAGGTCCTCTGGGAATTTGTAACAGTGATCTGATTTAGTCAACCTAAACGTAAAAGTTACGTTTATTTAACTTCAAATTTAAAAAGTGTGCTGTGTAAATTTTACATGCTGATTAACTAAAGAATTTTTCCAGCAACCAAGCATTTGAAATGAATGTTGATTATGAGAGAAAAATCAATAAAACCCACTTAATAAGACATTTTAAGATGGGACAATTGAAAACATGCAGTTCCATACACGGTTTAATGTTTGTAAATAATGGAGTGTTTAACATTAATTTTATCAAGTCCTAAAAGTTAACCACTTATATTTGGAAAAAGTTGTAACTATATTGAAATCGCACAATTCATTATGTTATTAGCTTATTTTTTGGAACAGTGAATTTCTGGTAATCCATCTGGTGTCACTGATCAGCCTAAGTGGTGCAATCATTATGTTAAAAGGAGTGATGTGTAAAGCAGCCACTGAGAGTTGAGAAGGCTTCTTCTTGGACCTGCAGACAGAAAGTAGAGGTGATCATTGAGCTGCTGGTAGCCTTCCTCTGCTTATCTTATCTCTTTATCAGCTAAATGGCCCTGCTCTTTTCCCTCATGAATATATTGAGGGATATTAGGAGACAGAATATGAGCATAGGCAAACAATGAAGGAGGACTTATCTCTGCCTTATCTCCCTGGAAGCATTCAGAATTCCCAGCTGTCAGAGGCTCACTTGCATGGAGCTTCTTCTGGTGTGGTGAATGTAACACATAATTACCCTCTTTGATCAGATTGCTTTGGCTTGCTGTATTCTTGCATCTTGAACTGAATTGCAGGTTTTGTCTAAGTGCTGCCTCATCTGATGTTTTCCCATATGAAGAATTCTCCCTATAGAAAAAAGCCATATACGAAGCTGCCTTTTGCTGTCAAAGATTGACTTTTAAGAGATTTTTTTTTAATGATTTTTATTAAGGTTTCAGTAAAAAGTTAAACAGAAAAACATAAAAAAGAAATACACAAATACACAATACATAATCCAAAAAAGATAAAAGCACAGAAAACAAAAAAACAAAAAAAAACAAAAAAAGAAACAGAACATTTAAAAAGAATATCACCTTTTCATTTCCGTTTTTAAATTTACTTATTTTCTGGACCTCCTCATACCTCCCTCTTTTGTATTCCAGTTCAAATTGTTTGTCCAGCAATTTCTTTCCCACCTTTTTAATCCCAATCTTTAATCTTAATATAATATAGCATTAAAATTTTACCTCTTAAATACCAAATTTCCATTTCCTTAAACTTCTTTAATCCTAATCTTTAATCTTAGTCTATCTATAACTTTAAATCCTGTACAGCTGGAAACCACTTATTTTCAATCCAACATCACTCTAGCATTCTTTAATTTTGCAGTGTTTCTGTAAATAATCTTTGAATTTCTTCCAATCTTCCTCCACCGACTCTTCTCCCTGGTCACGGATTCTACCAGTCATTTCCGCCAGTTCCATATAGTCCATCAGTTTCATCTGCCATTCCTCCAGCGTGGGAAGTTCTTGTGTCTTCCAATACTTGACTTTTATGAGATTTTTAGTGCTAAAAAATGCACCAAAAATACATGATTGCTCAAGTTAGTTAAGATTAGTGGTTAATGGTTAGTAGTTAAGATTTGTGCTGAATGTGCATTAATGATTCTGTGGCATGACTGTTCTTGTTCTCACCCTTAAACAGCGTCTCTCTCCTGACTGTGAAGATCAGATTCGAGTGATTATCGAGGAATCCGCTCTTGATTACCGGTTAGATCCTCAGTTGCAGATGCACTGCTCAGAAGAGGTAGGAGCTTTCAAATTCAATCCTCCTTCACACTATATATGTTGGCAAGTTCTCATGAGCTCCTGGTAATACAGTTTGAACTATGGCGATCTTGATTGAATCCCCCAGTAGTTTAAAATCACCTTGTGGTTGTCACCTTTTGTGGCATTTGCAATTTGCAGAGAATAGATTTGTTCCAAGAGCAGCTTATAGAGCAAAGCATTATGGGAATCCAGCTTAGCATCTTACACAAAAATCGTTCGTATTTCATATGGAATCATCCTGTCCAGAGTTAAGTTGATATGTAAAGTTCCTCCCCTTGGTCCTTTTCATGCTATGAGGAATAGTGTGTGGGAGACTCCTTGTTTCATCGTAACTGATATTTAAGGACCTCTTTGAGAACAAGCCTCCCATGAATTTGGAAAGGAACAGGAAGCTTAAAAGCAGGAGTAGACGGCCCCTAATAGTATTGCCTTGCCGAGCAAAGACTATTATAATAGAAGCATAGAATCCTGCTCTTGCAGGGTGGAGAGTAGGTGCTGCTTGTCACCTCTGCTCATTTCCAGAAATTGTTCCAGGCTCTGCCAGCTGGAATTTAGCTTAAGTCAGGGAATAGCTTCCAGCCTTGGCCTTAGGCAACATCCACAGTAGAGGACCTCTGGATAATGTTGCTAATCCTTTGGGCTATGTTACACTATAAGCCTTTCCTCAGTAATAAAGGGCTAACATATACTGAACCGGAAAGTAAGGTTGCATTTGTTTCCCTTGCTAGATTCCATGTTTTGGACCTTTTTGTCACATAAATTTGTTCTATCTCCCTCCAAAAGGAGGCTAATTCGTTGGCCTGTGGTACTATAACCTAATGTATTTTATGTTTTTAAAGATTTCTAGCTTGTGTGCTGAGGAAGCAGCAGCCCAGGAGCAGACAGGACAAGTGGAAGAATGCCTGAAAGTGAATCTGCTAAAGATCAAAGCAGACATGTGCAAGAAGGTAAAGAACTAGGTGTGCTTCTGTGCTAATGGCAAGGGGGAGAATGCTAGATTGTGTACAGCTCAATCCGTTGGTATTCTCCTCACTTCAGAACTTCTTCGGCACTACAGCTTTGTTCTCTAGCTTGGATGTTCCAAGGATTCCTAGGGCTGGTTGTGATTTGCTTTCCCCTCTGTCACTGCTCCTCAGTCCACTTCAGTCAGCCAAAGGAAGGCATCCATTCCTTCCCCTTTGCATTTTTCTGTTGCCACACTTCAGCACATCCCTTTCAAATTCCGACCCGGCAACAGTCATAAATGCCTTCATGACTTTGAGTAAGACTACTATAAATGTGCTCCATTTGAAAGCAACTGGAGTCTTCCACACTGAAAAAAAATTCTTACTTTATTTGAGAACTGCTCAGGGCTATAAAGCAGGGTTTAAGTATTCCAAGTATAATGAAGCAGCAGGAGGATGAGCAAGTTAAGATGAAATATGCAAATCATTATATTGAGGGTGCATTGCAATTTTCTGCCCTTCTAGGAGGTGCTCAACATGTTGAAGGAGAGTAAAGCTGATATCTTTGTTGACCCCGTCCTTCATACGGCCTGTGCCCTTGACATCAAGCACCACTGTGCTGCCATCCCACCAGGAAGAGGGCGACGTAAGTCTTACAGCTTGCTAAGAAGCCCAGGAAGCATCTCTGCCACCAGTAGTGCTACTTCCACAGATTCAGTTGTTTTTAATCTTCTGTTCCTGCCCTTGGTATTGAACAAGTCTAGGCACAATTGCACTCTAAACAACTTGCTTAGGATAGATTTGTACACTTCCTAGAGATGTGAAGGACTAGTGGATAGAATCCCCCCACCAGTGGTAAAAATCAATATACTTAGGGGGAAAACAGAGGAACTTTCATACAACTTTCAGCATCATTGTTTAGATTAATGAGTAAAATCCTTTCTAAGCAATACGTATTTTCTAAAAATATATTAAAAATATGTTAAACACTGGGATCACCAATGTGGTGCCCGCATGCACCCCTGATGATTTTGACTGGTGCCCATGAAATCTCTGAGCCCCCCAGTGCTCCCCCCGCCCATGAAGTGGTGTGATGGGATGGTCGTTAACTGTTTTGTCACCTTGAGAAACACATAATAGCAAGAGGGTGGGAAGATCAAGATCATGATGATCTGAGAAAAACTGTGCCTTCAATCATTTGTAACACTCTTTCCTCTGTTCTGCAGAGATGTCTTGTCTGATGGAGGCCCTGGAGGACAAGCGTGTGAGGTTGCAGCCTGAGTGTAAGAAGCGCCTTAACGACCGGATTGAAATGTGGAGCTACGCTGCCAAGGTGAGCAAAGCTGCTCACTTTATTCCTCCAGGAAGACCTCTTCTGGGTGCCTAGGGATTGTTGGGGATAGGAGGGAATTGGAACAGATGGAAGGTTCCAGCATGATGATGTGTTGGTGCTGAAGGCTGTGAACACATGATGGAATGCTGCTACTGTAATGACAATCCTTGAAACAATATGCTAGATTGGTCTTGGAAGTGAAACTGAGTTACCGGCATGGACAGCCGTAATATGCATGTCGAGCATGGCTCCTCACCACTTCTGTGCAATTCTAAATTCCATCTGTAGAAAGCTATGCTTGCCAGGGCAAGTGCAGCACAAAATATAACAGTTGCTGTTACAGAGCAGGGCCCCATCTCTTGATATCTGAGCTCCTGGCCCCTGAAATGGGGGGGGGGGGCAGGGAGAGAGAGAGAGAGAGAGAAATTTGGAAGGCCCAGCACAGGGCAGCTGTGGGAGGGCAATACCATCCTGCTGTTGGACAAGCATGTAGCACCCTAGTGGGGAATCCCCACTCCTCCTCTCCAGACACCTTGCTGCACATACCATGGTTTGTGTTTGCACACTCTGCTGAGGAGAGATTGGTTACAGAAAGAACATCCTGACTCTCAAGGGAAAAGCTTGCAGTTGAAAGGATATAAGGAGCGTAGGACTCCTCTTGCTACTTTTAGATAGATAGATAGATAGATAGATAGATAGATCGATAGATCTTTATTGTCATTGTCCCATGCAGGACAATGAAATTGCAAAACTACATAAAACTACATAAAAACTACATAAAACTACCACAAAACTACATAAAACATTCAAAAACCCCTAAAAACTCTAAAACCCTATTTTAAAATACACTATACTGTAGAAACCCCTTATGCTGCATTTAGAACCAGAATTGCATTTGCATAGAAACTGTTTCTCAGGCGGCTAGTCCTGGCCTTTATAACCCTGTACCTTCTTCCAGAAGGCAGAAGCTGAAAGAGATCATTTCCGGGGTGCGTGCTATCCTGTGCTATCTCTGCCGCTTTCTTATGGCACCTGGCAGCATAGATTTGATCTAAGGTGGGAAGAGTGCACCCAATTATTCTCTCTGCAGTCTTTACAACCCTGGATAGCATTGTTTTTTCCCTGGCCGTGCAGCTCCCAAACCATACACACAGACCATAAGTTAGTACGCTCTCCACAGTGCAATGGTAAAATGCCATCAACAGGTCCTTTGAGAGATTGTTTTTGTGGAGGATTCTCAAAAAATATAACCTCTGCTGTGCTCTCTTCACCAGGTCTTTGCTGTTCTCTCCCCAGGTTAGGTCGTTTCTCAACTCCATTCCCAGAAATCGAAACACTGAGACCTGTTCCACGCACTTCCCCTCAATAATAAGTGGCTGAATATTCAATTTACATTTCCTAAATGTAATGATCTCTTTTGTTTTCTTTAAGTTAAGGAGTAAGTTGTTTTTCCTGCACCACTCCCCCAACTGCTCAACTTCCTTCCTACTTCACAGCTGTAGATCATTTTGTGTTCAATACCATGTGAGGGAGGGATAGGATCAGATACTTTTAAAAAATCATTTATTAATGGAATTTATAAAGCTACCCCATTACACAAAATCTTTGATTGATGCCCAAAACAAGCACAATTAAGGTACAATATAAAGCGATAAACTAAAACTTAAACTAAAAACACAAAACAGTTTTTACAGCCAAGAAGACTAGTCCATAAAACAATTATTTCAAAGGCCCTTAGGTGAATAGAAAGGTCTTCACCTGGCTCTAAAAAAAATCACAAAGCTGGTGCCAGGTGATCATCTTTAGGAGGTGTCACTGCTGAAAATACCGTCTCCCTGCCATACTTTGTTCCTTTATTTTTATTTGAAAGAATTTACAAGCTGTTTAATATATATTTTAAATTTCTTAAGCCTGTGAAGAAGAAAAGAAAGTTCAGGTAAGCACCTATGAGAGAAGGAGCTGGCAGAACACCAGCATAACATGGACAAACGGCCTAGCCCAGTTTATGGTCCTGCAACCCTATTCTGGTCTATACAGGGTTGTAACAAATCGGGTGGTTTTAGAGAAGATTTGTTTGAAGCACTGACCCCTAAATTTCATCTGTACATTGTAGACATCTGTTACGATTGATTTGGGAGCTGACTCTTCTTCCTCCTTGCCTGCCAGGTTGCCCCAGCGGAAGGCTTTTCTGATCTTGCCATGCAAGTGATGACCTCTCCATCCAAGAACTACATCCTCTCAGTGATCAGTGTGGGCATCTGCATCCTGTTCCTGATTGGCCTGATGTGTGGGCGTATCACGAAGCGAGTGACACGAGAGCTGAAGGACAGGTAGAGCCTGCCTTGGTAGTCAAAGGGAAGAAGGAAGGAAAGAAGGCCTGCCTGCCTGCCCGTTGCCCAGTTTGTACAGCCCTCCTCTGTATAGTCTCCCCTCCCACCTCTCCGGAGAGTACAAACAGATTAGAACAGCAGCCCGTGCCAGCTGAGTGTCCCATCTCGTCCATGGCTTCTCCACCCTCGGAACGAGTTGGCACGTGCAGCCTTGGCGGTCCAGCCAGCAGCTTCGTTACCCTGTCGTTAGCGACTGTTGTTTGCCTGCCTGTAGACAAGTTTTTTCTCTTTCTCTTTCTCTCTTTCTCATACTGTCGGAACTGCCTTCACTCCCCAGACAGACTGACAACCTGCAGCTCAAGAGGTTTTTAAAGCAAATTTTTAAAGATCTGTTCCAGACATAGTGTTGGACAGTAGGTCTTGGTGTGGAAGTGTTTGTGCTCCTTGGCTTAGGCAGGAGAACCGAGGGGAAGGGACATCACCCACCATTCACAGCTGGCCTTGCTTTGGACATCTGGCTCACCCTGGAACAAGCATCTCCAGCACATAATCAGTCAGCAAGAGTTGCCTCCAGAGACCCATCATCATTTCTACTGTTTTTGTGCTTTTGTTACTGTATTCTGTTGTACTTCTTTTTTTCTTTTTGTGGCTTGTTCCTCCGTTTTTGCCAAAAGGCAATGCCTTCCATACTTCTCCACCCCCACTCCAATCTTTGGGGTTAATAAAATATTGACCAGATTAAAGAAACTTCAGTGGTCTTACAGGCACCCCCTGCAAAACCATACTGTATCTCAAGGGAAGCCTTTGGACAAGCTACGGTGGAGCTGTGGTCTTGGGTAGTAAGGCGGTGGTTTTGGAAGAAAACGAGGATTTGGGTCCTCCCCAAAGGGGTTGGACCCATAGGGTCCTTATTTACAAGTTACTGAAGTTTCCTCCCTGAACTGTCAGGGAGGGTGTAAGACTTTTCTTGCTGTCAAGAATCCATCTAAAGAGATCATCAGCCATTTGGGAAGTAGGGAAGCTGGCAGGGCTCCCTACACTAAGCAAGGATGGGGGAGGGGAGGGGGGATAGCTTTCTGAGAGTTGGATGGGAGAGGTATCTTTGCTGAAGTGATGCTTTTAGTAACAGTACTATAGTACCTGTTTGCAATAAGCAGGAGTGTGCTCCTTGTCTGTTGATTGGAGAGCACAGGGAGGAACTTGAAGAAGAGGAAATACGCATGTGCAGGCTCCTTGTGTATAGTAGGATATCTATCAGCCTGTTAGACATGGTTGCCTGTATGCTTTAGAGGGCTAAATCATGAGTCTGCCCGACACAAGGCTTGAGTGCAACATCTTCTTCCCCTCCCTGCCCCTTTTCCTGCTTTGCTGCAACTGCTCAGTCAGATGTCAACTTCTCAGCGTTCTGCATTAATGTCACAAAAGCGAGGGGCTTTTGGCAATGGGACCAGCTGATCTTAATGATGATGTGGACACTCAGCCATACCACTACTGTGAATATTTTCTGCTGCTCTTGAAGTGTTGGTAAAAGGCACAAAAGTTTTTAGCTTTAGGAAACCTTTATTTTTCATCCTACTGGAAAGCAAGTCGTTCAGAGTGTGGCTTTGTATTCCTGAGGATGGCAAACTGGAAAAGCTTGTGCAAGAATCTCACCCCACCCCACCCCTGAGGCCCACTGACTGTTTCAGGCCTCCAAAATTAAGGAGAGATGATTAGGGAAATCAAAGATCAGTGGGTGAGCCTGTGTGTACTGAAGGGTTTTTTTGGACTGTGGCCACTAGATTGGATTTCCTTCCCCTGCTTCTGATATTACTGAATCTATGAATGGTGACATTGGAAAGGGGTGTGTGCCATAGTTCCCCAACTAGTGCGTGCTCAGTGCATTCCAAAGCCTCTATTTCCTCCCCCCTCCCTTTCACCCACACGTGGATGCCCTTCAGTATTGTGTTTATTCTGTGTTTTAACTCTGAGGCAAGGCATAGACTTCTTTATCCTAAGGAATCCACCTTGACTCTGAAATGGGGTGGCGATGGTGAGGATGCTCCCAGGGCAACTCAAGTCACTTGCAAGAGAGGCAGCCAGCAGATTAATTGCAGATGCTTAGAGCTGCCATTCATACTGTAGGAGGCCAGGAATAACCTTGGTCATATCATCTTCCAAATCCTACACAACGTTGGGAAGAAACTGGCACTTGCATATGGTGACCCTGCAGCAAATGCTGTGAAAGGAGAGGATGCCCCCACCATCCTGGCTAGCACATGCATTCAGATAAGATGCACGACGTATTATTCTTACATTGCTTCCCTTCAGCCAACTACAATTGCCTTCCCTCGATCCTAGTGGGAGTGCCCCATTGGTTAATGAAAGAAAAATGCTCTCCTGAGTAAATTCCCATAATCAGCAGCAGTGGTTTTTGGAGGCATATAGTGATGCTACCGAAGAGGAGCTTGTGCGAGATGCACGTAAGGGGACTAGTTGCCTGGGAAGAGACAGAATGCTGAAGCCATTACAGCCAGCCAGTCACTCCATTCTCTCAGTGACCTTGAACGAGCCATTGTTTTAAAGAGACGAGAAGCAGCCTCTTGAGTTCCAAGCACTGCAGGTCTCTGTCTCAGCATCACCTAAGCCTCCATGCAGTCTCCTCAGACCCCGTCAGTTTCAGTCTGACAGCTAAGTATTCCTGCTTTGGGGCTTATTTGAGGGACGACTGTTTACAAAAATGATCCTTCATCTAAAGTGGCATTGTATTGCAAGTGTTGTGCTTGTCACTTCCTCCTCAGAATACGTGCAACTGCTTGAGGAAGATGGAAGGGGCTGTGCTGCAGTTTGAATGTTTGAAAAGTACTTAGGAATTGGGAGCTTGTTTTTCTGCTTCTTCCCTAGAAGGTTCCCTGTTTGAACTTGTAGTACTTGCTGTCTTCATCACTGTGGCCTCGACTGTCTTGTAACACGAGCTCCTCCAGCTTCTGGACCCTGTGCTGCTGCTTCTCCTTCCTTGTGTCTCATCTAAAGCTGTGCTGATGCTGCTCTCTTGGCTCTCATCTCAAGGAAGGTCCCCTGGTTTGATGCATTGGAGATGGAAGTACGCAGGTTGGGCACTGCTCTATGCATAACAGGATTAGAGTTCCTGCAGAAAAGCCCTGGTGGGGCCTAAGGAGCAGGGATTTCTTGGCTCTTAGTGGTGGCTCTTAGATGTAGCCTAGGGTATTCTCTTGTCCCAAAGTAAGTTAAGGAACTTGGTGAATTGGAAAACTGAAGGATCACACATCCTGTTCCGCTTCATAGTTTGTACAACTGGATTGATAGGTTACACTCTTCCTACATATATACTACATGTGCATCCAGAGCATTAATACTAACAAACTGGAAGAGTGCTGGGTGGAGGGAACTGTCTTTAGGAAGTGGTGCCATCCAGCATGTGGTATCAGCACTGTCCTGGCCCCCGGCTTGTGCTGACACCTGTTCTCATATTGCTAGTCCTTCTGGACAGCTGTGACCAGCATGATAATTGGTTCCATTTCTGTGTAGATTCTGAGCATCAGGTGCGCTGCTTCCCCGACACTTGCAGACTCCTCCATCCAGAGGCTCCCTAGCTGGCGCAAAGAGAATTAAATGACTTATCTCAAGGTTCTTGGAAATGCATCAGAGGCAGGCTGCAATTTCCCTTCAGGTATGCTTTGGAACTCAATATAAGTGGTGTTTGATTGAAGAATAGGCGTGTTTTGTGTTTGAGAGAAGCAAAATGCAGGTGCACAGAACAACTCAGGGTGGCATAAAAGGGTTCGTATTCAGTGCTCCTCCTGCAGCTTGCAAAACCAGCCCTTTGGAGTGACAGTAAATTGGTAGATGATACAGCTAATGTTGGCTGACCCTTAGTCCTTTTAAAAAATGTAACATTAACAAAGGTTTTTTTTGTAAATTGTTTTTCCTTTCTGTACAAAATCTTGGCTGTTCTTTCTTTTTACATGTTCATGCTGTGTAATTTTGAATTGTTAACGGAGATTCTGAACATAATGTGCATTTTTTTCTGTACAGATGAAATGGGAGAATTTAATAAAAAAGAGTCTGCAGGTTTTTACTTGTTTTCCTTGTGTCTCCATCAACTGTGAATAAAAAGGGAATCTCCCTCCCCAAGTCATGCCAGACAAATTGTATCTCCTTTTCTTTTTAATCCAGAAAAACTTTTGACAAAAACTCATGTGGTACCTTTGTTGACAAGATGGTAAAATGTAGGCTGGATTATAATTGTTGTTGAATGGATCCACAGCCGGTTGAGTGACCATATCCAATGGGTGTTCATTGATGGCTCTATCTACCAAGAAAGAGGTCTCAATTGTCAGGGCTGTGTTCCTGGGCTGTTAAACACCTTTATAAATTACTTTGATTCTGGGGGTGTTTATCAAGATTTGCAGATGGCATGAGACTGAGACTAATTATAGCTCTATCTAATTATAGCTCTATAAAAGATAGAATCAAAATTCAAAATGATCTTGAGAGGCTGGAACACTAGGCTACAAGCAACTGAAATTCAACTGAGATAAACATCAAATCCTGCATTTAGGTACCAAAAAAGAGCCAGATTTAGGTTGGGGTGGGGACCTAGCTTGGCAGTTGGGCATGTGAGAATTTAGGTTTCTTAGTCAATCACAAGCTAAACATAGACCTACAATGCATTTTTGCTGATAAATAAGCAAACACAATCTTCAGCTGAAATTAACACAAGCATGGTGTCCACAACATGGGGAGTAAAAGTTCTGCTCTGATTGCTGGTCAAGCCACATCTGGAGTACTGTTTCAGTTCTGGGTGTCACATTTAAACTACATTTACCATCTTGCATTTTTAGCCTCCCTTTCCACCAAGGAGCTCAAGGCAGCAGACATGGTTGCTCCTTCCCCTATTTTATCTTCATAATAACTATATGAGGTAGGTGAGACTGGGATATAGTGGCTGACCCAGGGTGGGGATCTGGCCCTACCCACCACTGACATGTGGCCCTCAAAAGGTTGCCCAGAAGAGGGTGTAGTTCAGGCTGAAAAAGGTTCCCCACTCCTCCTGTAGGTGCAAGCAAATCTTGCTTTGGAGCAAAGTGCATGATGCCTGTCAGCCACAACACTTCTTGGTCTGCCTTATGTCAGTTTTCATGAACCATCCCTGACCCAGATGGGAATTCCCTGTTGCCCAAAGTGATAGTTTCTCTAAGAGTGATGCCACGAGCCACTGTGTCTCACTGATGCAGTGTGGGGTAGGCATACTTGGCTTTGTTAAAATATTACAGGATGAGGGGAAGAGGCATTTGGATTGTATCTGCATCAACAGTAGGCTCAAGTGATGGGGAAGGGGGAGGGGACACTGGAACAGTGGTAACCCAATAAAAGCAGATCGCTTCAAAACTGGGATGCCTGTCTGTGGCAAAGAGCTAGCCCAGGATGGAGAAGATGTGGTATTTTTCTTCTGGGCCAACCTTTGTTTTTTGTGCAATTGGGAGAATGTAGAGCTTAGCTGTTCAATGGTGAGTTCCTAAACTGGAGGAAGAGGATCTTGTTCTATGTGAATTTGGGGCTTTATGAGAATACATTCCCTCCAACTTAATCATGCAAAGCTACCCAATTTGGCTTTTTGGTTGTTGGTTTTTAACCTAGTGCACTACTAAAAATTAATCTTCAACTTTCTTCATATGAAAACTGCTGAGTTTCTCTTGGTCTTGCACCTAAGGACCCTGTGTCATCTAAAAAGATACAATGGCGTACAGATGGATGTATTTTTTTAAATGGGGATGGAGCAGTGGTCAACCATTGCATGCTTCTTTGTCCCAGCAGTAGGAGGTGCAGCCTAAAACTTGCTTCAGCGCACAATAGACTGGAGTCTCCTTTGTTCGCCACCCCCACCCCCCAATATTTCATCTGAACACTGTCCCAAGATGCAGGCAACTTTAGGGGCGAGGGAGGGGGCCCTTTCTCTGCTCTGGAGGAACCAGGAGCCTCTTATCCAGCTGAGGATGGCGACCCTGCTGTGCTTTACAGATTGCCCGCAACTTTACGCCATTTTTGGAGCCTACGAGTTTACAAAAACGGATGGCAACATTAGACCGGAGAACAATCACATTACTTACTTTTTTAAAAAATGTGAACAGTCAGTGACAACCGAAGTCGAGCTTTCGTTCATTTATTACATCAACATATTTCCATTCCTGCAAGTTGCTAGGGTGCACGGTGCAGGCACTCCTCCCCGTTTTCTTCTCCGTAACAACCCTGCGAGGTAGGCTGGGGTGAGAGACCCACCACGGAGCAGCTTCATAGGTCAGCGGGGTTCACCATGTGCAACGGTTCCACCACTCCGGCAGAAGCCTTACGAACGATCCCGCCAACAGCGACTCGATCGGTCCCTCGTTGCTTCCCCAAACGTTTTTAACATATATTTATTTATTGCACTTGCAGGTATGCAAAAATTAATGCAAGCTTAAAGCAAAGTATTTTTTTTAATAAAGTAGTGGGAAGCTGCCTGGAAAATATGCGCCCCCCCCCCCTAGCACTGGCAGGTCCTTGGCGAGCAGCGCGCACAAAACTCCCACTATCCAAAAAACTGTGTCCAGGATAAGCGGAACAGCATTAACGCCGCCACAACCGAGGAACTGCATACTGCGCCTGCGCGTCGCAGAAGCCTCTCTTTCTTTCCCATCCCCGCCTCTCTGTCTTGGACTATCACTCAAAGATAGCGGAGTGCGCTTGCGCGGACTCCGTAACCCCACCCCCGATTCTGATTGGCCGCCGCGCGGCTGATGTACGGCACCGGGTGCGCTGCTGTCGCGCGGTCCGGCCGTAAAGCGCAGGCGGGAAATCAAGGAAGGGAAGGGAGAAGGTCGCGCTCCGGAGGGGAAGCTGGCGTAGGTGAGGCGGCCCTTGAGTCGGCCCAGGCCTCGCCTGCCTCCCTTTCCCCTGAGCCATGTTGGGCGGGGCATGCAAATAAGCCTTGCGTGGGCGGGGCCGGCGCATGCAAACGAAGGCTGTGGAGGCGGGGCCGTTGCATGCAAATGTGGCCCCAGGGTGGGCTGGTGGGTTGCGCCAGGTGTGCCCTTTGCTGCTGGGGCAGAGCAGTCTTGCCCTCTCGCCACCTACAGAAATCTAGGCCTACCTTGCAAGGTGGTTGTTGCTGGGCATAACTCTGGAGTTCTTGAATGACTGATAAATTCCTCTTCGAATGTTAAGTTGTTGTTGTTTTGATTGTTAGATACTTCAGGGTGAGGAGAGTGTTGGGCTGAGACTGATGAAGAAGACCCTGGTTCGAATCCCTCCTGCCACGAAGCTCCCTGGGTGACCTTGGAGCACTCACAAACTCCCAGCCTCACCTACCTCGCAGGGTTTGTTGTGAGGACAAAAGAGGAGGAGAGCCACACCTTGCCGCCTTGGGCTCTTTTGAGGAACGGTGGAACGTGAGTGTATGTGTCAATAGCTGGCCTGGAGCGTTTGCCCTCTAGTTAAAGAATCCTGGAGATGGAAGGATCCAAACTCCTGCTGTTGCAGGGAACCTGTTATTTCAGCTTCCCCGTTTGGTGGCCACCCAGCCTCTGTTAAAAAATCTCTCGTGAAAAAGGCCACCACTTTCCGAGACAATCTGTTCCATTGTTGGACAGCTTGTACAGCCAGGAAATTCTTCCTCATGTTTAGGTGAAGTTGCCATTCCTGCAATTTGAACTTGTGAGTCAGATCTTTCCCTCTAGAACAAATTAGAATAAATTTGCTCCTTCACCTCTGTAGCAGCTGTTCAAACATTTGAAGATTGCTATCATATTGCCCCTTAGTAGTCTCAGTGCTAAAAAAAATACACAACTCTTGCAGCCTTCTTCATAGGGCTCTGAACATTTTTGTTCCATGTCCCTCCCCAATGTTCTAGCTTGTTGATAGTCTTTTATTATTTCCGGTTGCTCTGTATCTTTTCCAGGCGGTCAGCAATCTGCTTCGTGCTCCAGATGTGGTCATATCAGTGCTGAAAAGTGGGGTATGTTTATTTATTTCACCCAAGCCCTGGAATATTCTTTTCTCAGTGACATAACTTGACATGAAATTGTGTCGGAGCACAGTGGTTCTCCTTTGCCTGTGCCTTTGGTGTGGCATGTGAAGTGTATAATATCTCACGTGGGGCGGAAAGGGTTGGGTTGAGAAAGATAGTACTGGGTTTTCTAGATGTTGCTTGTGGGGCTGCATTTAACGGTCTGCAGTCTCCTGTCTTTGTGTTCTTGACTTTGGCAGAAACAGCTTTTCTGTAACTAGTTCTTCTCCATTGCCTTTTTTAAAACAGCATTTTTGCCTTTCAAATCTCAGTGTATGATTTCCCGATAGCCTGCTTAAATTTTAACTGAACGAAAGCAAGAATGTAAAAATTAAAAACATAATTTTATTTTTTATCATTTCCTTGTTATGCTCTACTATTCAAGTACTAGGTAGCAGTGGTTCAGTATGTTCAGTATTAAAAAGCATTTGTTCTGTATGTGCTGTAACCAATTTAATTAATGGACCATAGCAACACAGTTCCCCACCCAGCCAAAAAAAGACCTTTTGTTTGCACTCTGTTGATGCTAAATACAAATTCAGTATTTTATGTCAAGCAATTCAGCATTTGAACAGAGTTGGACTGCCTACCTGGTTTTTATTTATTAATTAATTAAGGAATTGCTATAATTCTGCAAGTGTTGTTACGCAAAATAAAATAAAAAATCCATGCATCGTTGGCTTTCTCTCACATATTTTTCAGCAATGTTCAATTTGTGACAGTGTGTCCTTTGCAATGATCATCTTTTGCAGCAGGACCTGAAATCACCTCTGCCTAAGGCTATGGGTGGCTATTGTCTGGGTTTACAGAACCTGGCTGGGGGAACTTTTGCTCCATGTCAGTTACCTCTGTATAAGTCAAGGAGATTGTGATGCTGGCTGATGTCCTTTTAAGCCATGATACAGTTTTGCAGATTGATTTTGCATAATAATGTTATGTTTTCCAAAAATAGCAACTCTTGGGATTTATCTGTGGGGCCTTGGAAAGGGCTAAAGGATCCTCATCAAGATGTTCCTCCGGCTCTTGTCTGATGTCCGGTGGCAAAGAGCTAGCCCAGGATGGAGAAGCATGACCAGCTCCCGGCACAGTAGCACAACTGGAGCAGAACCTCACCTGACCCCTCTGCCATCACATGCACAGGTGGTTATCTGTGGGGGTGGAATCATGGGCACATCAGTGGCGTATCACCTCTCGAAACTCGGGTGGAAGGACATCGTCTTACTGGAGCAGGGCAGGTAAATAGTTTTTTTTCCCCCTTTGCAAAAAAAAAATAAATAGGTGTTCGATGCAGCAAGTAATGCTGTGTGGTGGAACTGGGAAGGTCTTATAGCAAAGGTAAAGTGTACACACACCTGTTAGCTAACTGTAAGATTCAAGCTGAGAGTTTATCTACATCTTCAGAAAAGGCATTTGTATTTTCTGGAACTGTATTGCTTCAGGTTAGGACCAATATTCAGATGTTCTCCTCACTTACAAACAAAACAGGAATAGGAACAGAACCTCCCCTTGCATGTAGAAGCTCAGCATGGTGGACTAGACTCAGCTAGAACCTTCTCTGACATGCTGGTTTTCCACAGGCAGCGGTCCTTGTTCAGTAATATCTTCCCTACATCTGATAGCTTTCTTATGCAGCATCTTATCTTTGGAATTCGTTTCAAGTTGCTTTGTCTCTGTCTTTCATGGGGATGAGGAATTTGTGTTCCTCCAGTTGTTTTTGGACTCCAGCTTGCATCAGTCCTAGGAAGCATGGCCAATAGTTAGGGTGATGGGAGCTACAGTCCCAGCAACATCTGGAGGGTTAAAACCTACCTTTTCTGTTTTCCTTGCTTCTGTTTGACTCAACATCTCATACCTTGTTTCGTTTCCTTTACTTGTGCTTCTCCCTGCAATGGGGGTATCTTTAAAGACTGTCTGGCTGGTTGAAAATACAGCTGCTGGGCTACTAATTGGGACCAAAAGTTGGGAATGTTTTCAGCTGGTGGCTTGGTGCTTTCTTTAAAAGCCTGTCGTGGCTTGGGACCTGTGTACCTGAGACAGCACCAGTTCTCACATAAACCTACCCATGTGTTGGGATCATGGGGGGGGGGAGGCTACAGGAATGCTGACAGTCTGGGGGTTTTATTCCTGAGCAGTTGGAATGCTTATAAAATTAAATACAATTGCACCTGCTAATACTGGTCTAACAGGCTTCGTTGCTACCAGCACAGAGTCAAAGTTTCTGTAGAATTTCTGCATGCTTATTAAAATCATAGGGTGTAGACTCGTGGTTATTAAGCTCTGTCTTCTTACACTTGTAAGCAGGGTAGTAAAAATGTTCTAAAGGAGTGAATTCCCCCCATTATTTCAGTGCATACTTAAGATTGCCTTTGAAGCTCTGATCTCTGCTGATTTGGTGTATGGATTCCTGGCATGGTTGTTATTCCAGATTAGTTAACTTTTAGTACATTGGTGTGATCTCACCTGTGTGACAACAGGGTACACAAGGGTGATCGGAATGAAATGCTTGTCATAAGAACATAAAAAGAACCTGCTGGATCAGGCTAATGACCCATCTAGTCCAGCATCCTGTTTTCACAGTGGCAATCCAGATGCCAGTGAGATGCCTGCAAGCAGGGCTGGAGCATAACAGTACTCTCCTCTCTGGTGGTTTCCAGCAACTGGTATTCAGGAGCATTACTGTCCCTGACCATAGAGGCAGAGCATAGCCATCATGACTAGTAGCCTTCAATAACCCTTTCTTCTATGAATGTCCCATGACTTTAAAGTATCATCAGTAGCGTTAGCTGCTAGTTTGGCATTAGAGGACAGCATTGTGTATGTTGTCTGAGTTAGTCTTTAAGACTGAAAGAAGCCCTGCCAGAAACCATCCGGTTCCTTTACGTTTCCTTTGCCAAGGAATGCTGTCCTGACCCTGTGTGCTGGCATTGCCCTGTCAGTGGCATGCAAGAGCAAATGTTTGCCCTTCCTTTGGCTCTGGTGGCAGAGATTGCCTCCTTGCACTTGGGCTCTCCTTGTGAAATCTGGAATGGAAGGCAAAGCGTGCCTCTTGTCAACACACAGCTAAAAATATCCCCTGCCATATCTTAGTGGCACACTTGGGCTTTGCGTGCTCAGCACCCAAATTGGGTTTCACAAACTCCATCCAACACACAATTGCTGACTGTGCCTCACTTCTTCAGAGGAGCGCATTTTGATTTTGTTGTGTGCTGGGAAGAGCATGGAGGAAATCAAGGAAAAGGAGATTGGGATCTACTTAGTGACACTTTATTTCACTTCATACAAACTTAGCACTTCATATGGAATTTAAAAAGAAGCTCTGACTGACCATCTAAGTAAAGATGAGGTGTTCCTGGCAATCTTGAAACTGTGTGCTGTGAGAGTATGTGATTGCTTTTCGATACTTCTAATTGTTTTTTAAATGTCTTAAATACATTTTTTTAATTGTATTGTATTGTTTTATCACTGATGCATTTGCCACACTAGGCTCCTTTGGGAGGAAGGGTGGGATGTAAAAATAATAACTAAATAAAGAGGATGGGGCTTGAGGATCTATCTAAATGCAGAGCTTGTAAAGGTTAAATTATGTAAATTATGACAGGTTTTCCAATAGAAACCAGCCCAAAGAAACAGAGCCTTTCAGTTGCCTTTCTTCTAGCCCCTGGCAGTGATTTCATCCAGTCCAGGTCCCCAAAAGAAGAGGAGTAGAAATATCAGGCTCACAGGTATGGTTATGTAATCTATCTGGTTCCAGACAGGAAGTCGCTTCCCCTGGCCTCGGTGGTCTGTGATCCCAGTGTACAGGTCATGCCACCTTTGTAACACTTGCTGGTGGCAATGTGGGGAGGTCTCCTGGGGGAAAATATTTTTCCTTTCTCCAGGAGCTGCCCAAAATCCCCACTAAGTGCTACAAGTTTCCTGACTGTGGGCTCAAGAAACAGCCTTCTGGGTGTACCCACAGAGTCTTAGGAAGTACAGACAATTGTATAAGGTGCAAAAGGCCCCACTCTTTAATTGGTGGAAAGCCTTGCCTGCTCCTCCTCTTCCCTGCCTGATTCCATAGGAAATGACTCCCTGGGTCATTTGCATCTAAATGTTCTAAGTTCAGTCTCCAGATAGGGTTGGGAGAAGCTCCATCCGGAAACCTGGAGTGCCAACCACACTTAGCTGGTGAGCCAATTGGCCTGACTCTGGGTATGGCAGCTCCATACTTTCTTAGGGAGCCCTCTGCCACTGACTCATGACCTCTCCTCTTGGGCCAAACAAGCTTCCAGAGTCCCCACAGACCCTCCTGGGTTTCCCTCTTTCAGGCTAGCTGCTGGTTCCACGAGGTTTTGTGCGGGCATCGTAAGCACAGCGCGGCACCTGTCCATCGAGCTGAAGATGGCTGAATACTCCAACAAGCTGTATCAGCAACTCGAGCAAGAGACTGGGGTAAAAACGGGTAAGGAGGGGTTACCACACTGAGCTTTGTGGCTGAGCAGGGGGTGGGGGAGTCAAACACAAAGTAATTCGCCATCCTGGCATTCCCCAGAAGGGTTGCAGATATTAGCCACCATTTGCACCCATCTGAAACGAACCTTTTCTGGGGCTTTCCTGTACCCTGACAGAGGGTTCCTGTACTTGTTCCAGGTTACGTGAGGACTGGCTCTATCTCTCTAGCTCAGACGCAAGACCGGCTGATTTCCCTGAAGCGCATAGCCTCACGGCTCAAGTAAGTGTAAGAGGAACGAGGAGGAGGAGCACCAGGCATGTGCCAGCCTTTCTGGAATAACTTATAATCAGGGCCTGGCCAGTTGGTGCTGGTCTGTGTGACAGGGCCTTTTCAGTGGTGGTTCCCCAGTTGTGGAATGCCTTCCCTAGCAAAGGTGCTACTCTGTCATTATTAACTTTAAGGAGGAATTTGAAAACATTCCTGTTTCCCAAGGCCTCTGGTGGCTGAAGAACGCTGTTCAGGCTCCTCATTGGATGGAGGAATGTTTTTAACTGCTTTTAGAATGTTTTTTTAACTGTAACTGATTTTCAGTGTTTTTAATGGTAATTGTCTTTAAAATATTTGCTTTCTTTGCCACCCTGGGCTCCTTGGGGGAGGAAGAGTGGGATGTAAATTCAATAAATATAAATAATAGTGACTGGCCTTAGCTGTGTGTGTTCTCCAACAGGGTCATGGGGATCCCATGTGAGCTCATCCCGCCCAAGAGAGTGACGCAGCTCCACCCGCTTCTCAACATCCACGACTTGGTGGGGGCCATGTACCTCCCAGAGGATGCTGTCGTTTCATCAGCCGATGTGAGCCTCGCCTTGGCCAGCGCTGCCTCTTTGAATGGTACGGCCTGGCCATGTCTTTTTGTCGGCAATACCGCTTGAGTACAAACCTCATCGGGAGAGACATTGCTGATTTGTCTGCTGCTTACATTTCTAATTTGCAAAGTAGATTACAGCCTTTAGTGCAGCCTTCCCCAACTCCAGATATTTTGGACTACAGCTGATGGGAGTTGTAGTCCAAAATATCTGGAGGGCAATTGGTTGGTGACGGGTGCTTTAATGTGTATTCCCTTGCAGGCATCCTGTATGGAAGCCTTCCCCGACCATGTTTTGGATCACAGCCATGCTGGCTATAGCGGATATGAGTTGTAGTCCAAAACCACTGAAGGGCAGCAGGTTTGGGGGAAAGTGCTGTGTGAAGTAGGTCTCTGCTCCCATTTTTCTGAAGGGAGAACTGAGACTGAGGGCCGAACTACATGTAACCAAGAACTTGGGCTGCTGCAGAAACTGACAGCTTCACGTCAAGGTCCTCCCTCTCACATCTCAAGAGGAGGGGCTGCAGTTCAGAAGCAGAGCCCATGTTTTGCATGCAGAAGGTCCCAGGTTCAATCCCTGACATCTTCAGGAGGACTGGGAAATCCTGGAAAGCCGCTGCCTGCCAGCGTAGACAAGAACGAGGTGCTAGGTGTACCAAAGGGCTGACTCTGTATAAGGCAGCTTCTTGTGTTCCTGGAAAACGGGCCTTCATAACGACATCAGCTCAAGTTGAGCTACACAGTGCAGAGGCCGAGGGGAGAGCTCAACATGGGACTGCTCCTTTGGGTCATATCACTCTGCTCTTTGTAGCACGTATCTCAGCTTTAAGGCTGCCGTCCTACACAACCCTTGCCTGGTGTGCAAGTCTCACTGAATTCAACAGGGCTGCTGTGTAAACATATAGGAACTGTTTGCAAGAAAGAGTGACTTGCCACTAGCCACACAGCGAGAGTGTGGCAGAGTCCTCTTTCCCACCCACTATGCCACACTTACTTTCAGCTTGTGTGAATGCTCTTGCATGGTCTACTCTTCCGTCCCGCTAGAATCCTCATGGTCCACTGGAACATGTTAAATGTGCAAAGCAAAGTTGTATCCTTCAGAGCTCTTCCACAGTGGAGGCGTGATTAACCCACTCTCTGTTAACCTTGAAGCCTACCCACGAAGCTGCCTTATGTCAGTTTGGGCCATTGCTCTGTGCCGCATAGGATCATTTCTTGCCATAGGAAGGCACAACCTTGTGCCCTCTTAAAGTGTTGGACTACAATTTATACAGTGCGTTTTCCACAAATGCTTGTGGTTCACATTTTTTTAAAAAAAATCTTAAGTACAGTAGTACAATAATGATACCTTATAAAAAGTATATTACCACTACAAATTTAGCACAACCCTCCCATCAATTACCAGTTCATTGAACATATTTCAACATTTAAGTGAACATAAATCTCACCAGTAGGTCAAGTAAAAATAACCAATAATTTCACATCCAAAAGTTGCCCCAAAGTTGCTGGTTAGTACCTAGCAACCCCCATCTCCCAGTCCTTCGTACCACAAGTCCAAAAGGCCAGAAACTTCCCTTGGCCTTCTCCTTGAAGTAGTTGGCCATGCTGTCTGGGACTGGTGGGAGCTGTACTCCCAGCACCTCTGCGTTGCATCAGGTTGTCTGTCCCATGTCTGCTCTGACCTATAGCAGCTCCCCAGCCAACTGGGGTCCTTTTGAACATGCCAGAGATTGAATGTGAAAACAAAGCAAGTGCTTGAGCTATGGTCAAGTTTAAAAACCCTCCTCTAAGGACGTATGAAGTTGGCTTTTTTTGAATCAGAGCAATGTCAACCAAATCCAGTGCTCTTTACAAGAATCCTCCCAGAAATTGACCAGTGGTTCAACGTCAGCACTCTGCTCTGCCTTCCGCCCACCCCCTGCTTTAGTGCCATCTGTGTTAGGCTGATTGCTTCTGGGGTACAGCAGTCTGCTGCTTAATCTCTCAGCTCGTCCGTGAGCATGCTGACCTAATTGAGACTCTTGATTTGTGCCTCCTGTAGTGATTCCACTTTGGCCAGGGCCAGGCAGGGGGCAAGAGAGGTGACAGGTCCAATGGACCTACTCGGCAAGTAGCTTTTCTTTGGAGCAGGGAGCAATTGGAGGGGGTTGGACTGGATGACCCTTTAAGGCTCTTCCAACTCTACAGTTCTACGATTCTAATTTCTGGCTCCCTTTTCTGCTTTCTCCGCCCAGGTGCCCAGATCCATGAGCGGACAAGTGTTATCCACGTCTTGTGCCAAAAGGGTTGTGTGGCTGGAGTGGAGACTGACAGAGGGATGATCGAGTGCCAGTATTTTGTTAACTGTGCTGGGCAGGTCAGGTGCCAATTGTTTTGTGTGGGTGCCGTTGCCGGCGTATGTGTGCATTGACTCAACAACTGCTGTGAATGAACTCAGATTTCTCCTGATGCTTCTTTTTCAAGAGGTTCTGGGGAATGCTTTCCAAATTAGCAAAAAGTTGTTCTCTCAAAAAGGCAAGCCTTTTGTGCTGGCATACACACACACCCCCTCGGGCTTACAGGGCTTTGTGTTCAAACTAGAAAATGGTTATTGTCGGGTGTTTCCTTCCATGCTGCACCACATGTCTAGTGTGAACTAAGGCAGGGCAAACCTGGCTTCCTATGCTGACTGCATGGCGGTGGGAGGGAAGGGTCCTGCATTCCCAAGTTGGGTATTTTAGTCTAGGCTATATGTAGTCATTGCTTGCCATTGGAATTGTGAGCTGCAGAATCAGCTAGTTTAGTTAATGGTGAATAATTAATTTGCCTCTAGTTGTAGAGAAGGGCAAGAAGCTTTGATTGTTGTTAGCCGCCCTGAGCCCGGCTTCGGCTGGGGAGGGCGGGATATAAATAAAATTTATTATTATTATAAGGCACTAGTGCCAGCCTTTGCCAAGCGGGTGCCCTCCAGATGTTTGCACAGGATCTCCTTGCCCCATCTCATCCGGCACCTTTTCTGTCTCGCTTCCCTACCCCCTTCCCTGCAGCGTTACCTGGCATGTGATCCCATTAAGCTACATGGTGGTACAACCTGCCTTCCGCCTGAGCGCTAACTTCCCTGCCTTCATTTCAGTGGGCTTACGAGCTGGGCCTTTCCAACGAGGAACCAGTCAGCATCCCTCTGCACGCTTGCGAGCACTTCTACCTCCTGACCCGGCCCTTGAAGACACCGCTGGAGAGCAGCACGCCAAGTAAGGACCCTCCCTCTGCACCCTCTCATGGACCCCTTTGCCTTCCACGCAGGCACTCAGTGTCATTGCTCAGTTGCAGTGCACAAATCCTGGACGCAGGACAAGGAGGGGGTCTGGGAAAGGCCTTTGGCTGAGACAGAAGACAGCCCACATCAGCCAACCAGTGGGCTGTATTGGGTCTGGAAGACCCATGGGTGTCTGGCTGCTTTTAAGGAATTGGGGAGGAAATGAACAAGGAGGCATTGGGTGAAAAAGTTGTGCTTTGTAGTCCTCTCTGAGCAGCTGTGGATGTGGGGCTGCCCTTGCTTGCCCAGTGACTCTTAAGCAGTTTTTGTAAATCAGGGGTGGGGAACATTTTCAGCCTGAGAGCCACTTTCCTTCTGGGCAACCTTCCAGGAGCTGCATACAGAGTGGTGGGTGTGGCAAGAGTGGGCGTGGCCAGGCACACACCATCCAGCCAAGTCAGAGGTGCCGTGGCAGTTAAAGGGTGCATTCTAGCCAGGCAACCATCATGAGAGGAGGACACACCAGGGCCAGATACAGGGGGCTAGAAGGCTTTATTTGGGCCCTTAGCCTGAGGTTCCCCACCCCTACTGTAAGCCGAGGATAGCAAACAGCTCAGCAGCTGCAGAAGAAAGGGGAGGAAATTTTCAGGGCTGGTTGGGATGCCACAATCAGCTAAAGCATTGGTTTTGACTGCACCTTGCTCTAGCTGCTACCCAGGGGAAAGACTTTTGGTCGCATGTGTAAAAGCCCAAGAATCAGTGTAAGGTCAACTGTGTCTCCCCAAAGCAGGCTCTAGCCTTCTTCCCTGATTGAGCTTGCAGGGAGCCTTCTGCCCGCATCCAAACAATCACTTCTTTCCCTTCCTGCCATCCCCCCCTCCCCATAGCTATTGTGGACCCTGACGGGAGGATCTACATCCGCAGCTGGCAGGGGGGCATCCTTTCAGGCGGCTTTGAGAAGAACCCCAAGCCGATCTTCACGGAGGGCCGGAACCAGCTGGAGATACAGAACCTGCAAGAGGACTGGGATCACTTTGGTACGTTGGGTGGACCAGGAAAGGGGGGTGTTTCCAAGTCCTCCAGATGCACCTTTCCTAATGTGAGACATGTTGGCTTGAGCAAAGCATTGTGTGAGTGAGTGAGTGAGTGAGTGAGTGCCTGGCTTGGTGAGTGACACCTGCACTTCCTCTTTGCTTTTAGAATTGGTTTATAAATTTCTCCTCCCTTTCCCTGCCTTGGCTGGCCCACTCTGGGCACATTGCTGATTGGTGCTGTGAGCAAAAAGGTTTATTCTGGGCTCTCAACGAGTGCTACAACAACAGAGTCAACATCTGTGGGCTGCTGTGTTTGCAAATGTGGAACTTTCTTGATGGTGATGGGGTGGGGGCAATGAGGGTTTGGGTATGCTGCCCATCCCTCCAACTAGTGATTGTTTGTTCTGTCTCATCTTGGGGAGTAGAGCCACTTCTGAGTGCCCTTCTGCGGAGGATGCCAGATCTGGAGGCGCTGGAGATCGTGCAGCTGGTGAATTGCCCAGAATCCTTCACTCCAGACATGCGGTGCATCATGGGAGAGTCGCCCAATGTGCAGGGCTACTTTGTCCTGGCAGGGATGAACTCGGCTGGCACGTCTTTTGGTGGAGGAGCAGGCAAGTAAGTGGCTCACCCCTCTCTGCATGGGAGAGGCAGAGGGCCAGGGATGAGGGCACTGCTTGTAGAACTCTATATGCACCAGCTTCCTGTAGGTGCATTTAAAGTCTGTGTGCTGCTTCTCTAAGGCAAAGCTATGCCAGGGCCCTGCAGTTTCCAGCAGAAGGGGCTGCTCAACTGCTCCTTGTCTGCTGCTAGTTTCTGTGCATGCTGGCACATCCCTCTCTGTCCTCCATCTGGGCAACTGCAAGGCATTATCAGAGTTCAAGGGCACATCTCAAACCAGGCAAAAAGATTCAAGGAGGTGCAAAGCAGATGCAGTAAGGGCTGTAGCTGGTAATGGGATATGGTCGGGGAGGAGACTTGGGGGGCAGATAGGGAGATTTTGAGGGCTGTATTTGGCTCCCAGGCTTGAGGTTCCCAATCCTTGGGCTAATGGATGTTCCTTGTGACATCCGGAGTTGCTGTGACCTTTCTGGTTTGGGCAAAGGGATTTTGTGTTTTGCTCTCGCTTGAGCAAGGAGGGATTGCAGGCAATAATGTGTCCCCACTGTAGCTCTATCTCCTACTGTGCTATCTCTGGGTGTAATTACCGCTCCCCACCACCCTGCCGCAAGCACAGTCTGTTAACTGTCTGCTCTCCTGCACTATTTAACCTTCTGGGCCTGCTTGTCTCCCTCCTTGGCCAGGTACATGGCTGAATGGATGGTGAACGGCTACCCCTCTGACAACGTGTGGCCCCTGGACCTGAAGCGCTTTGGGGCTCTGCAGAGCAGCCGCACCTTCCTCCGCCACCGCGTCATGGAAGTGATGCGTAAGTAGCCTGCAGCTGGACTCACTCGCGCCCCACATTAAATCAGGGCTGTGTAGGGTGTCCTGTCTGGACTAGGAAGGTGATGGATTTGTGTCCCTTCCAGCGCTTTGATTCTGTGATTCTGTGGCCCCTCCAGCCCTGATTTATGACCTGAAAGTTCCCCGCTGGGATTTCCAGACCGGCAGGCAGCTGCGCACGTCACCCCTCTATGACCGGCTGGACGCACAAGGAGCCAGGTGGATGGAGAAGCACGGCTTTGAGAGGGCCAAGTACTTTGTGCCGCCTGGGAAAGGTGAGAGCGTTGTCCTTCCGTACGCAGCCCTTGGAGCACGGGGTGCCAGCATCTTGTTGTTTTGACCCAAGTCTTGTGCTTCCTCATCTTCAGACTTGCTGGCCCTGGATCAGAGCAAGACCTTCTACAAGCCAGACTGGTTTGACATTGTGGGGGCAGAGGTCAAGTGCTGCAAGGAGGCCGTCTGCGTCATTGACATGTCCTCGTTCACCAAGTTTGAAATCAGTGTAAGTGTGGTTGTGAGAGGGATGTGGACCAGCACTGTGGGCCTGGCATCTGCTTCTGTAGCTTGCTTGGGTGTCTAGAAACCCTCAAAGTTTGTTCAGTTGATACAGAGCTGTCGTTATTTTATAAAAAGCAACTTTTGGCTGAACCATACAGATGAAAATAGCAACGGCAATTAAACACTCTTGGGCAGACCAAAGCCTTTAAGGCAAGAATGGGGCACCTGTGGCCGTCCAGATATTTTTGGGCTACAACTACCATCATCATCTTTCTGACCACTGGCAATGCAGATGGGAGTTGGAGTCCAGCCACGTCTGGAGGACCACAGTTAACCCAGCCCTGCCTTAAAAGGCTCACGGGAATAAATAAAAGTATTGTGGAGAGGCACTAAGAGAGACCCCTGATAGGACCATTCCAGAGGGTGGGTGCTGCCATGGAGAAAGGTCTTCCTGCATGTATCAGCCAAAACTTGCAAGATGGTCATTTTGTGAACTTTGACACTGAGCTTTTCCTCAGTGCTTCTGAGCTTCTAAGCCTTTATGATTCAAGCTGTATCTCTCCAGGCAGCTGGAATGAATCTTACGGAGAGAAATGCACCTTGGTTTGGAGAGCGCTCAGGCTGTAAGCAAGCAAAGGGTTGCCCATGTAATGTTCATAGCTATTAAAGCCTGGAAACTTGCCTTTTTGTGTGTTTTTAGGAAGGTGAGTTTTGTGGCAAAGTGGCTAAGAAAATGTGTAATTTAGGGTAAATACAGTTAGAAATGCATACACTGAGGAATGTGGGCATCTCAAGGTGCTTACTTGTGTCAGGAGCTGAAAGCCATTTCAAAAAGGGATGGACAAATCCTGCTTCTGCTGCTGTCTCTGATTTCTTTCTCCTCTCCCACCTCTCCATTCTGCAGTCCACAGGGGACCAGGCCCTGGACATCTTGCAGTATCTCTTCTCCAATGACCTGGATGTGCCAGTGGGGCACATAGTGCACACAGGGATGCTCAATCACAACGGAGGATACGAGAACGACTGCAGCATCGTCCGCCTAAACAAGCGCAGGTAAGCTTTTTCGGACTCATCCTTTAGCCTGCTCTGGCTTCTGCCTTCCTGCTTTGAAGACACACCTTCTACATTACCCAATGCCTCTGTTAGTGCTGTGCCTAGAAGAAGAGGATACGAGAAGAGCAGATCTTCCCAGATTTGGTTTGGAGGGGGGATACATTATGTTTTGTGAAGGAGGGCTTCCTTTATTCTGTCCTGAATATACAGTGAATCAGTTTCATGACAGACACAAGAAATTGCTACTTTATATGCCCCCCCCCCTTCTTGAAGTGTTACGTTCACCACCTAGATCCTTTGTTTATTTGCAATATCTATTTCTGTGGAAGTCCCATCGGCCCCCAACCAGCCTGGCCATTGGTTAGCGATAATTGAAATTGTAGTCCAATAACAGGTGGAAGCCCAAAGCCTGCCCGTCCCTACTCTAGAGTCTATCTTCCACAGATTATTATTTTTAATGTATTTATACCCCACCTTCAAGAAGCTCAAGGTGGTGTACTTCGTTCTAGTCTTTAATTTGCTTCTCAAATGAAGGGCTGAATTGAGCAAAGTGCTGCAGGCTTGCCTTTGAGTTTGGTAAATATTTGGCTTGCATTCAGGGAAGATTCTGATGCAAAATTTCACTGCCTGGGAGGCCGGTGGTCTCATTCTTCAAGCCAAGAGAGCGCAAGACAGGGCCCTCAAAGTTGCAGGAAAACCATTTGGATTATAGGATGTGAATTGTTGTTTCACATTAGTTATGGGAATACTTTGTGCTCCAGTGCCTCTGCAGCTCAGGTACAGCTTTGTATGCTTCAAGGGGCACCTTTCAGGGCCATGTTGGAGGATGGAACGCCTCCCAGGTTGAATGCAGTTGCAAGAACCTGAGAGCCTGGACTCAGTGATTATCCAGCTCAGGAGTGTCGCAAATCCCAACAGGCTTTGCTTCAAGCCCTCTGTGGGTGTGGACGGGACCACCATGCCATGATACCTCCCCACTACCTGGCCCCTGCCTTGTGCTTAACCTTCTCCATTGTACTTTGCATTCCAGCTTCTTCATGATTTCCCCCACAGACCAGCAAGTCCATTGCTGGTCCTGGTTGAAGAAGCACATGCCTGTTGACAGCAACCTGTTCTTGGAAGACGTAACCTGGAAGTACACAGGTGAGGCAGGAGGGAATATTGTGCCTGCAGATGCTGGCACAGCTGGAGCGGCTGAAGATGCTCCTTCAACAAGAAGTCGTGTTTTCAGTTGCTCTGGAGCCCCATGCTGGCTGCAGTCCAAAACAAAGGGAGGGCAGCCGTTTGGGAAAGTTGCTGTAAAAATATGAATGTGGCAAATAGGTTTTTGCAAATGTATTATCCAGGTATTCTCACAGGCGATGCTGGTTTGGTTGTGGCTCCCTACTGGCATCTGATCAGTGACAGATCCAAGCTTGGTGCTATGTAGTATGGGAAATGCTCCCTGGGCTTATATGCGAAGTTCATTTTGAAATATAGGCTCCCATTTCACATCTTCTCTTAGAATCCTCTACCTCTTAGAAGATGATTTACCCCTTGCTTTCACTACTGAGGGTGGAACTATGCTCTCACCTGGTGCCACCATCAAAAAAAGGCAGCCCTGTGTTTCTCCACATTCCCCTATCATTGGCTGTCAGGGTACGAAGACTTGCACACCACAGTTATGTCATGGCAAGGGTGCCTGAAGAGAGGGGAGGGTGGCTGTGGTTGAACTTTGTATGGGGTTTCCATCTTCAGTTGCAGTGCCATGCCAAGATTAGCGTGCAATTCCTCTGGTAGCAAAGCTAGGTTTGTGGTCACCAGATGGGGGCGCTTTAGTGCTAGTGTTAATGAGCCTCCCTGCTTTAAATGAGTCAAACGTAAATCCTTGGTGGTTCCTCGGATCCACAGATAAATTTTTTCCCATACACAATGTTGGGCAGGGGTGGGAAACTTGTTCCTCTCCAGATGTTGTTGGAGCCCAGCTCCCATCATCCCTGACCATTGGACTTGGATGGTGGGGGTTAATGGGAGCTGGAGGGCCACTGTTTCTGAAGCACTCCTTTGGGGTTTCACAATCCATCTGTATATCCCTCCCTGCATGGTGGGCTTCTCTTTCTGCAGCAGAACTTGATTTCATGCCTACTGTTATTTCCAAACCATCTGCCTCCTCTGTCAGCTATGGCCCTGAGCTGTGCCAAGGGGATCTGAGGGTGGAGTTGACTTGGGTGGGACCTTCCCTTTCATTCTGCAGATTGCTCAGAGGTAGAAACCCTTGTGCTTTTCTCTACCCAGCATTGAATCTGATTGGCCCACGCGCTGTGGACGTCCTGTCAGAGCTGTCATATGCTCCAATGACCCCAGAGCACTTTCCATCCCTCTTTTGCAAGGTATGTCACGTGTTTTTCAGTTTGTTTTAGAAATCTGCTTACTCCTCATGCAAAGGTAACCGGTTCACACAATGGCCTGGTTCACACACTGTACTAAGGTGTGGTTTGTTTAACATGAGTTAGCCAGGAGTTGTCCCACAATCCAACAAACCATGGCTTGTTAAAGCTTGGTCAAACTACAGTAGAGGAAAGGTGCTGGATTAGCATGTTAATACCAACCTTTAGTTAAAACAAACCAAGGTTCATAAGCCAACAACAAACAATGACTCTAGCTGCTGGGCAGCATTCACACATAACACTAAGCTGTGGTTTAATAAGCCATAGTTTATTAAAATGTTGTGTACCATTATTTGTAAACTCAGAGGTCCTGTTTTGTGTATCTCTCTGCCTCTACCCTCAGGTTTGTCACCTAAGACCACGCATAAGGCAGAATGGCTGGGGTCGTGTTAATGTTGTTTCTCAAAGTGGCTTTATGTGATGCTCTGGTTTTCAAACTGTCCTGGAGAAGCTTGGCTTTCTTCCAGTTTTTTATGGATTTGTGATGTGTAGCCAAGATTGTTGTTGTTGTTCATTGCCTGCCCTTCTCCCTAAGGTCCCAGGTTGGGTTACAACATTAAAATACAGTATTAAGATTGCTGCTGGGCATACTCTTGGTTTGCATGGGGTGGTGGTGAGTCCAAGAAGTTCTAGACAGTGCCTTGTGCAACCTGCGAGTATGTCATTGAATTCAGCATACAATCTGTGGTGCAAACATGGGGGCAGGACTTCACTCAAAGTTGGAAGAAGGCTCCTTAAAGATAGGACACTTTGTAGACTGATGTCTTTGTGGCAGGCCTCATACAGAGTTCAAATCTTGGCCAATTTGCAGGGCACAGGTTGTGTGTTTATCAGGCAAAGTGTCCTGCTATGTCTTCGTCTTGCTGAATATTGCAATGATTACGTTGCAGGGTGTTTCTTGCCTGTTCTGTAGCAGTTTTCAGATCAGAGGATATCTGTGGGTTGAGGACAGGGGTGGATGCATTTATGAAGGGTGCCTTAATTATTCTCTGTGCTGCTGCAATAACATCTGGAGGACACCCTGCTGGCTACCTTTGTCCTACAGCATTCAAAGTGCTTTACATTCTTGGTAATACAACAGGCCTATAGGAAACTCTTTATTATTGCAAATAAGGCAGGGAGAGGGCAGTTGAGGCTGAGAGAGAGCAGCTGGCCTAAGGCCAACAAAGTTTTTATAGCCAAGGTGAGATTTGAACTAGGCCTTCCCTGATACGTAGCTCTCTTTTCTTTTATCCGCCGTGCTTACGCGCTACAGTGGCTCATTTCATGCTTCAAAACATGACACTCCTTCCAGCACCAGAAGGAATGCTCATTCTGTAAGGCTGGTTGGAAAACCTACAGTGGGACCTCTGATGCTCTCAATGTCAATGAGCCAGTGAGGATATAGCCTCCTAATTACACCCTGGTGGTGGTGCTGATCACAAACTGGCTGCTCACAAACAAATTGTAAGAGACGCTTTTGTACGCTGCAGAAACAGGGAGTGGTTTGGAATGCCCTGAGTCGTTCTGTCCAGCGTGTAAAGCTTGGGAATTTATTTTTTCAAGTTTTTTTATGGGTGTAACTTTTTTTAAAAAAGTGTTCCCCTCCTCTCTCCAGCATATACATTAACCTTCTGTCCCCAGACAGAGAATCTTGTGTCCAATCCTTGTGAATGGAGAATGTTATCGTGGAAATGGACCCCACCCTCAAAAATGAATCTCCAAATGCAGGGGTGGCTAACCATTTTTTTTAGCACGAGGGTCACATTTGCCATTTGAGGGGTTGCATGCACACATACAGCCCCCACTCCTGGACTGATCCATGCTAATCAGCTGTAGGGGGCAGTCATCACCTCCTTTCTGCTCATCAAATGATCAATCTGATTGTGGGCAGTGATGATTAAATGGGGGGGGGAGACAAGAACCATGTAAGCTACCTTCAGCTCCTTGCAGAAAAAGGTGGGATATAAATGCAACAAAATAAATAAATAAAAGACACCCAGGAACCAGAAGCCAGGCGCTTGAGGAGTCTTTTCTTGCAAGCTCCCAGCTGCTTGTGCTCATCGCAGAAGTGTTTTTTTTAAAAAAAGATTGTACAATGTTTATTCTACCGTGTCATCTCTGCTTGCTTCTCTGGTGCTTAAGCTTCTTGATTGTCCCCTTCCTCTCAGTGGAGAGAGTGAACGGTTGCTCCCTCTCTTCTTGTCCTGGGTTGCCCATGTGCTTTTGCCAGCTTCCATTTTCTTCCTTTGCTTCCTGTTTCCTACAGGAGATGAGCGTGGGCTACGCCAACGGCATCCGTGTCATGAGCATGACACACACTGGAGAACCGGGATTCATGCTCTACATCCCCATTGAGGTGAGAGGTGCTTTGTTGTCTTAAGACCAAAACTTTGATTTGCAGGACTGAGAAGAACCTCTTCTCCCTTTTCCCATGGGATGGTATAGAAAGATCAAGAGTAAAAGACTTGGCTTAGAAGTACAAGATAATAATATCCATGCTGTCTTCTCATGCTCACCCGTTTGTCCTACTGCTTGTCTCAAAAGGGAGATCTACCTGTTGGGGCCTAAGTTTCCTCGCTTTCAGACCACATCGTGAGCAGGAAAGAATCCAGTCAAAATAGGCCCATATGAATTGCACTTTGCTAGAACGGGCAAAAGGTCCATCTAAACCAAGCTACCTAAATATACTCAGCTTATAGGCAAGACATGTTGTTTGCCTTCCGCATCAAACAGTGTCAGAGGTACTCCGCCTCTTAATTAGAAAGGCTCCATTCAAATTGTTGTTTTTATCCATTAATAGACAAATTAACAGAGAGTAGCTAATAGCTAATAATCTGTGAACTGTGCCTTGCAATATCAGACCAAGGCAACTGTGAGCTGGCTGGGTCTGCTGGAAGATCTAAATCAAAGCATCTGGAAGGCACCAGGTTGGGGGAGGCATTGCTACCACTTATTTTGTAAGGAAGAATCCCGTTTTTTAAATCCCCAAAAGGGACATAACTTGGCATTAAATTCTGCCTGCAAAAGCCACTACAGGCAGCTTTTGGAACTGGCCACAGGGAAAATGCAATCAGATTCTTACACTAAACAACTACCTAGAGCAGGCATAGGCAAACTCTGGCCCTCCAGATGTTTTGAGACTACAATTCCCATCATCCCTGACCACTGGTCTTGTTTGCTAGGAATGATAGGAATTGTAGTTCCAAAACATCTGGAGGGCCAGAGTTTGCCTATGCCTGACCTAGAGTACTGAGCAATCTTTTTCTCCTAGGACATAGTTACAACAAGCCGCTTTTTGTAAGGCAACATAGCTTCAGTTTGTAGTTTGGTGACAGCAAAATGTGGAAGCTGAAGCTGCTGGGCAAAGTTTGGATGAGCAAACAAATCATGGTTTGATAAGCCATAGTTTAATAAACCACGGTCAAGCGTTATGTGCAAACCAGGCTATTCAATGCTGTTTGCTGGGTTTGGGTGGTGGGACGTTGCCATCCGTGGCTTTCTGCAGCTGTCCAAGGGCTGCTGCCATTTTTCACTCTATAGAGTTGCAGATGCCAAATGTTGCATTCAAATGCCACTGTACTGTTTTTCTAAACCCTCCCCTTGCAGTATGCTCTGCACGTGTACAACGAGGTGATGAGTGTGGGGCAGAAGTACGGGATCCGGAATTCTGGTTACTACGCCCTCCGCAGCTTGCGCATTGAGAAGTTCTTTGCCTTCTGGGGCCAAGATCTGGATGCTTTCACCACACCGCTGGAATGTGGGCGCGAGTTCCGGGTTAAACTGGAGAAGGTGTGAAAGAGAGCTGGGCCATGGGGTGTGCGTGTTTGTGTGTGGCACAGAAAAGGCAGGCGGCCTTGAAACGAGCGCAACACAACCTCCCTGCAGTGTGGGCATCATGTTTGCCTTGGGGCTGGGGAAGTGGATTCAAACCCCATCCTAGCCATCAGTTTCCTGGGTGGCACAAGGCAAGTCACTAATTTGTGGGCTTCAGCTTCTCTTCTGTTAAGCTGCAACAGCAACGTAGGAGGTGGAAGGTACCCCAAGGGTCATCTAGTCCAAGCCCATGCAATGCAGGAATCTCTTGGTTCCTTGTAGATAAGTTCCCCATAGAATATAAAGCAGGAGCTGCCCCTTTGTCCAGCCCTGACTGATGCTTCCCCCCCCCTACCCCCCGCTCTCTCTCTGCAGGGCACTGACTTCATAGGGCGGGAGGCGCTGATGCAGCAGAAGCAGGAAGGGGTCTACAAGCGCTTCATCATGTTTGTCCTTGAAGACCACGACACAGACTTGGACCTGTGGCCCTGGTGGGGGGAGCCCATCTACCGGAATGGCCAGTACGCCGGCAAGACCACCAGCAGTGCCTATAGTTACACACTGGAGCGGCACGTCTGCCTGGGTTTTGTCCTGAACGTGGACCCAGAGACTGGTGAGGAGCAGCCGGTGACACCCGACTTCGTCAACCAGGGCGAATACGAGATTGATATCGCAGGGCAGCGCTTCCAGGCCAAGGCCAAGCTTTATCCCTTCAGCTCCCTCTTCACGACCCGCCGGCGCAAAGATGAGATGGAGTTCAGTGGCTTCCAGGGGAAATAACTCTGCTGCATCTTTCAGACTTTTTAACGCTGCTGCTCATTGGGACTTTGTATAGCCCCTCTGGTCTGTTACATTTTGTATATCATAACACTCCCCCCCCCCTTTTCCTCTTCTTTCCTTCCATACATATCTCTTCTTTTCTGCTCATCCCGGTTGTTTTCCAACATTGGCTGAAGCCGCTGAGCTCCAGGCCAAAAGGGCTCTGTTGCGTCCTGAGCTCCAGCCTCCGCTTGTCCAATCAGCAAGGACTCCTGTGCCCTGAGAACATTGGCTGTGGCCTGGTGGGACCTCTTGCGCCTGGAAGCAGCCTTGGGCCCTTGGGATCTCGCCTCTCTTGCAACGTGACACATCACCCCAGGGCCCATCAGGCACCTGTGCACCAACACCCAGTGGCCAGCCATTGTCCTTTGCCGTTTTCTTCCTTGTGCTGCCTGTCGGAGAGGCCAGCAGGCACTGTAAGGTATCATCGAGTTTTTCTCCACGTTAGGAGTGTGTGTGAGCAATCTGTGAGCTGCACCACACAGGGTCAGCATCCTACAGAAAATTTGGCGTCCCTGGAATGGAGCTGCCTGGGTGACTCTTCAGTGTCTATGGATTGTGTGGCTGAGGGTGCTTGCTTCTGGGTTTGCTGTATTACAGAATCCTCCTTCCCTTCTGCTTTCTTCTTCTTTGTGTTCAGTCTTGGATTGGTTGGTTGGTTGTGCAATATATGGTGTTCAAAACCCTCACCTGTGCCACTTAGGGGCTGACCGGCCTCTAGTCAACAGGCCTCTAGTTGATTAGAGGTTGGGGCTGAGGGCTGTGGGTGTAAGCTGCACCATCTTAACAATGGCTGAGCCATGGGTTGTGTCTTGGCACTCCCCCCCGCCCAATCCAAGTCCTGTGGGTAAGTGGTTGGTTACCTTTGCTTGGCCCCAGAATGGCTCTCCTCCTTCCCAGCACTCACCTCCTCTGCAGCTGCTGAGAACAGAATCTTGCATGCCATCTTTCACAAGGAGGGCCATCCCATCTCAGGCTTTAGGGAGTGTTTGTGTTGGGAAATGATTTGAGGCTGGGGTTTCTTTTAAGCCAGGGGAATTTGCCCTGAAAGGCAGGCATGCCATGCCGAAGAGTGTGGCCTCTGGCCACTTGCAGCAGTCCAGTTAGCTGTCACTGCAAACAAGAAAAAGGAGACTGAGCTTGAGGAAAGAGGCAGAGCAGCTGTGCCTTGCAAATTCTCCCAGCAATACAGATCGGTGGGATTTCATGCTGCCACAGCTCCCTTTGAAAAATCCTTTAGACTGGCTCCCTGAGGCTGCTTTGTGTCTTTCCCTTTCTCCCTTTTTTCTACATGCCAGGCAACTCTTCTCTCCTCCTGTCTGAGTTGCTTGACGTATCATAATGTTGCTGACCATTACCTATGCAATGTTTTTCAGTCCTGCTGCTCTTTCCGAGGGCAAGTGCCTGAGGTCCCTGCTCCCATACTCCAAGGTTGCCAGTCAGCAAAAAAAGTCTAGATAGGGTCTTCTGTGTAGATGTCTCTTGAATAGAGTTCCTTGTAGCACTGATGCTGAGGCCTTGGGCCCATCAGAAATGGCTCCTCACACAAGGAGAGGCAGAACTGAACATTTCCCACAGCAGGCCTCAGCTGCTGGGAGAGGAGACTGAGAGACTGTATTACCAAGACTCTCAGGCAGGACCCCCCCAAAACAGCAGCACAGATAGCGAGGCTTCCTCAGCATCTGCCCCAGGAAGTGTGTGAGATGCAGCTGAAGCCGGCTGGGCCAAAGACCAGATGGTCCCTTTGCTCTCCCCCTTCTAATTGTGTTGCTTCCCATTTATTTTTCATACAGTGAGCTTAAAAGGACTTGCTGCTTGCTGTGTGTATGACCATCCCATTTCGGTTTCTGGGAGCTTCTCAAGGCTCCCCTCCCCACGCTGTTTCCCAAACATGCATAAGTTTTAAAGTTCCTCCCACATCACTGTCAACTCTCATAAACAGCAGGGTTTGTTTTGTTGTTATATTTCTGGCCAGATGCAAGTAAATGGTACAGGGACGTCCTTACATCCAGCTACCTTTGCACCAAAGACAAAAGTTTTGCGGGTGGAATTCATAGCAGGCAGGCAAGGCAGGAAGGCAGAGCAGAGGTCCTTGAGCATCTGGTCCTGTGCATGAAGGCCATCCTTGTGATACCTGCAAGGCCCTACCCAGAGATGCCTCCACAGTCCTGCAGAGTTTGGGTCTTCTGCCTTTTCTAAAATAATGTTTTGAGGGATTCCTTATCTAACAGTCTCTCTCTCACTCCTGGTTCCTCCCTCCCTGCTCCTAGAATCACTCCTTCAATACTCACTCCCTTTTCATTCTCAGATGCACTTTAAACATATTTGTTCATTTTGACCTTGATTGCCAGCCCTCTGTGATCATTCCTTCATGGAATCAACTCCAAAACTAGCAGAGGTGGTTTTTGTTTTTTTAAGCATCATTATTAAATTAAGAGCACTTGCCAGCATCTCTTCTGTGGAACAGGCACCGGAGATCTGGAAGCTGGCTGAGCGAACCCTCCCCTTCACTCTGGAGTGCCTTACGCCTCATGAATGTTACCTAACGGAGGGAGCAGAGTCATGCCTCAGCTCCGTCCTGTATCAAAAACTCTGCTGCTTGGCTGCAACAGGCCACCATGGCAGGATTCTTGGGATGCTCTGGAGCCTTCTGACCCTCTCTGAGTGTCACTGGCATCAACTGCTGTTGCTGCGCCTGCACCTCTGCAGAGAGTGTAAATCTGTCTGGACTGGAAAACCAGGACGTTGGGAGATGCCCTGCTCCTCTTCCAGTGGAAGTTCCCAAGGACTCCTGGTCCAAAGCGCACAAAGGCGGGGGAGCAGCTTCCTTTCCTGTCCAACCGGGAAGCCTGCATCTTCATCATGCAGCATTTCTGCAGATATATTTCCTGCCCCACTTTGGTTTTCAATGCTACCTGGTTTGTATATCAATAAAGAGTTGTTTTAACTACTGTTGCTGCAGAGTCTGTGACTTGTTCCCCAGGCCCATCCAGGAGGCTGGCTGAGTTCTGAACTTGAACTCCCCAGCCTTTCTCAGTTTGCTGTCTGTGTGAGAGAGATTTCTGAGCCCAGTCTAATGCAGCAACCCCAATCTAGTACCCTCCAGGCATTTTGGACTATGGCTCCTATCAGCCCCAGTGATGGGAAGGCTGTTCTGATGCCCCCAACCCCAGTTCAGCAGCTTTTATTGGGGATTACTGGCTAATTGTGTGTGGGACAATGAGAAGTGGAGTTTAGGGGGCTTCCACTTTGACTCTTGCCTGGGCCATAACTTCACCAGACCTTTAGCAAGCCAGTCCCTCTTGACCTCAGCCCAGAGGGACTTAATATCCCTTTAGTAACGTTGGTGCCCAACGTGGGTGACCCTCACATGGGCCACCCTTTGTTTTAACTTTTGCTCCAGCCACACATGATGTAGCAAGGGGTTGCCAAACCACGCGAGGAATCTGCACCTCACAGCAGCTTTGCCTGCATGTGACTCAGATTGCATGTGTGGCATCCGGAACTGATGTTTAAGGTAGCAGTAGGTGCTCCTTCAATGAACTCTATATTGACGCTTGTAACTAAAAACAAGAGCATAAGAAGATCTTACTGGATGAGGCTAGTGGCCCATCTTGCCCAGCATCCTGTTTTCACAATGACCAACGAGATGCCTGTGGGAAAGCACAAGAGCCCTCTCCCCTCCTGTGGTTTCCAGCAACTGGTACTCGGAAGCATTGCAGTTGTTCATGGAATATCTTCAGGTCACAGCCATTTGCGGTGGGTGGGTGAGGGCAGAGAGAGACTTCAGAGGGTTGGCACTGGGTGTGCCTTATAAACCAGTGGTGTCCCGATACACCTGCAGTGCACAATGCAAGCCACTTGGAGGGCCATTTAATGGTTATTTAAGAAAGGTAATATTCTCATTCTGTGAGCCTCTCTTTCCCCTACAAGGACTGGACTGGAGAAGAGTGGGATTTGGTCTTTGTTTAGAAATTGGGCAGCAGGGGCTCTAGGCATCCTGTCCCTTCCCCACAACTGTCCTGGGGTTAATGCTGACCTTTGCTTTTGTGTTTCCAAAACCAGGTGACTCTAACTAGTCAAACAAACAAACAAAAACTCCAAAAGCTTCCATCAACAGGTAACTCCCAACATGGGACCATGCCTCTTTATCTGTCCCTTGGACCCCCCCCCCCATTGGCCCTCCTCGGTACCCTCCTTGTATGTTTTTGCCTGGTCACTTTCCCCCTCCCAACTCTTCTGGGCTTAGTCTGACTTGTACTTACTTGTGTTTCAAAAACATGTAAGAAAGAGAGAGAGAAACAACCACAAACAACTAGAAATGCTTTGTAATGCTGGAAGGCACAGGCTAAGAACTACATCTTGCAAAGCACCCAGGTCTGTCTCTCGAGTCCAGGCATCTCTTGCCTACAGGTCTCCCTTAGCATTGCAAAAGATGCTTCTGTGCTGGTGCCATTCTTCAGACTTTGGTTATTTGCCTTTTGATTTCTGGGGACAGAGCCTCTTCCGTGACTCTTTTTGGTAAAACTGGAGGAACCCCCCTCTATTTTTTCCGTAACCGGCTCCTGCAATGGTGGGAAGGCATTCTTGCTGCGGCCACGGGACGCCCCTGTTAATATTGGTTGGTTTTGGTCCCTTTGCCCAGTCGGGACTGAAAGATGGGGCTGCACTTTCAAGTACAGATGCCCAGCTCCTGCCAGCTGTATCTGGGAACTGTGTTGTGCCTTCCTTGCTCTGTCCCCCCAAGATGGGGGCACTGCCCATATAGTGACAGATGGGAGAGGGGATCAGTCCAGCATGGAGTCTTCCTCCAAGGGGCACAGAGGGGTGGATACATCCAGCAGGGTGGCTTTTTGGCCCCTTTTGCAGCAGACTAGTGCATTTCGGAGGAGACCAGACTTGCATCTTCCACAGCTGCTGATGCTCTTCTATGGGGCTGGTGAGGATGGGGCTCAGAATTCATACTGGGAAACGAAGACTGTGATCTTGAAGATGTGTTTCCCCAGGAGGGTCTTCCGGGCAAACTCGCTCATCTCCAGCTCCACCTCCAGTGTCGTCGGCCCCACGGCTGGCCGGGTGAGCACCAGCTCCCCTGTGTGCTGGTCCAAGCGCTGCACAACCAGCTTCCCCTGGCTGTTGCCCCCTAAGATGCTGAAGCGCAGGCTGTCTCCCACAAAGCGGCTGGTGGACATCTTGAAGAGGACCCTGGGCACAGTGCGGTTGGACGGGAGAGGCAAGTAATGGAACGAGATGGAGTTGGCCGCCCTCCGACAGGCGTTGTTCTCCATGGGACAAGGGCTGCGCTCGCACTGCCTAGGAGAGGACATAGAAGAGGCACTCAGGCAGGGCCAGTTGGAGACATTTTGCCCCATCTAAGGAGGGGGTCCCCAACATTCCCTATACCCAGAAACAGCTTTATTGCACAGAGCCAGACCTTTGATCCATCTAGCCTGGTACTGTGTCCTGAGCCTGGTGGCAGCCCATCCTGACCTGCTCCGCTACAGGAGATGCTGAGGACTAAACCTGGGACCTTCTGCGTGCAAAGTCATGGCCTGACCCACTGAGCTACTGGGATGAGTGGACCAAACATTGGGAATAACTTTGATGCAAGAGCTGTTGACAGTGGAATGGACTATTGTGGAAAATGGTAGATTCTCCTTCATAGGAGGTTTATAAGCAGAGGCTGGATGGCCATCTGTCGGGGATTCTTCAGCTATGATCCCTGCATTGCAGGGGGTTGGACTAGATGGCCCCTAGGTGCACCTCCCAACTCTACAATCCTATCTTTAATGGATGCCAGTCTAAATAACAAATTGGGGTGCTTGCACCCAGTGAGATGGAAATAGCCGAGTCCTGCTGGCTTTGTGGAGACTCTGATTGGCTTAATAAGTGGTTCTGTAAATAGAAAATAGGAGGGGGCATCTTTAGACTCCAGCCCCCATCCACTACACTGTGCCTCCAGAACATATTCCTCAGCCTTTCTAATGTGGAAATGAGGCTTGGGGGGGAGGAGGGAACTTCCAGTGGTGCCAGTGCAAGTCCCTCCTTCCTCCATAAGGCTCAATGCTATGCAGGGACTCGTAGAATTGGAAGGGACCATGAGGGTCATCTAGTCCAACCCTGAGCAATGCAAGAATCCTTTGACCAACATGGGGCTCAACCCCATGACTGCGATTAAGCGTCTCATGCTCTGCCGACTGAGCTATCCCAGACTCTTGGTTTTTGTTTGGGCGAGAGAGAGAAGTGAAGAAAGTGTTGGGAGATTGTTGGGAGACTGTATAAGAGCACAAGGCAAGCCTGCTGGACCAGCCCAATGGCCCCTGCTCTCAGGAGCCAACCACAGGGACCCTGCACAAAAACACTCCTCCACCCCACACCAGGGCTTCCAGCAACTGGTATTCAGAAGCTTTATGGCCACCCTGGCTGATAGCCTTATCCCCCATTAATTTGTCTAACCCTCTCTTAAAGATGTCTAGGTTAGTGGCCACCACTGCCTCCTGTGGGAGTGAGTTCCACAGTTTAACTATGTGTGATACAACAATGTGCTCACATCAGCTGAAAACAGTCCCTGGTCAGTCGATTCCCACAGCATCTCAAACCATTTGGCATGCAAAGTGGCATGGCCACCATCTCTGTTCTGGCTCAGTGGGCAGAAGAGCGAAAGGAAGCTCTAGGGGGCATTGGGGTGAAGGCTCTGGGAGGCTACGAGGTGCTTCTGCCCAGCACTGCAGACAGGGAGTGGAGCAGTTGCTGGCAAAGGCTGCCGCTTCCTTCCTGAGTGAACTCTAGTGCTTGTACTTACATGGCTGAAGTCTTGACGTAGCTGATATTGAGTTGTGCCTTGGGGCATTCGGGCCGCACACAGCGGAAGCCCCCAAAGACGTTGATGCAGGTCTGTCCCTGGCTGCAGTTGTGCTGGTTCTCTGCGCACTCGTCCACATCTTGCAAACACAACAGGGAGAGTTTGTTTGACGCCATGCCCTCCTTCAGCCTCCTAGAACACACAGCTCAGGGCGGTTCCTCTCCCAGCTGACCCTCAATTATTCTCTCTCACCCCACCCCCCGCAAAGGCACTCACCATTGCATGAATTGGTGTCACCCTGGAGCTGGTAGCCATGGGGACAAGTACACTGATAGGCTCCAGGCAGGTTCACACATTTGTGGAGGCAGATGCGGGTGTGGCGGCTGGTCTGGAAGAGCTTGCACTCATCGATATCTGGAGGGGAGGCAGCAAGAAGTCTGCTGAGTGACCCTACACCCACCAAGGGCAGAGCAAAAAGGGACCTCCAGCCCCCACTCAGCACTTCTGGAGATCAATGCCCAGGCGAAGGAAAACTCACCAAGCAAGGAAGGGCTACAACCAATGATGACTTGGGGGGGGGCAGTTTGGCTGAGAGGCAGCCCGTAGACAGGCACCTGGAGTTGTTTGCTTCAAGGATCAGACCCCATGAGCACAAATTGCCCCTCTGCACACCAGCACAAGCTGCAATGTGGGATGTCCACTGAGGTCAACTGAACTGGAGAAAAGACACTCTATTGGGGCAGAGCTAAATTAAGGCATGATCTTGTGGCTGTTGCTTCCTGGGAATCTGATATAGTGCTTGGAGCCTAAGCAGAGCCCTGAAGCTGGATCAGACCAAAGGCCTGCTAGGCCAGCATCCTGCATCCACAGTGGCCAGCTAGATGCTTTCAGGAAGCCCATCAGCAAGGCTTGGAGGCTATTAGCCCCCTCCTTTTCTGCTCTCCTGCCACTAACAGGGGAGGCCTAATAAGGGTCTGATTGCATCACCAGGAGATGACAGCCCCCTCCACCCCATTTTAAAGCCAAGTATTTGGCCTATGCTCTATAGATATAGTAAGGGAAAGCGTTCAGGCACTAAAAAGCTACAAAATAACTTGGCCACATCTGCCCTTGCCCAGAGTACTGCCTGCTGGTCATAACAATGGGCATTTTGGTAATGCAGAGTAATTGGGCTGGTGCCTGAATCATGAGGATGGTGCGATCCAGGCAGAAAACTCCCAAGGTGGGAATGTAAAAGGTAAAAAGGAGCCCCAACTGGATCAGACTGAGGGGCTCCATCTTGTTCTGCCTTCCCCCCAAGCTGCTGCCCTCCAGAAGCTCTGGACTTCAGTTCCCATCAACCCAGCCCAGCAAACATCTGGAGGGCATCAGGCTGGGGAAGGGATGCTCTAGTTCAAACTGAGATCCATTTAGAGCAGCATCCTGATCTAGACCAGCCTATAGCTCACTGGCAGAGCATCTGCCTTCCCAGGTTCAATTTCCAGCAGCGTCTCCAGGCAGCGTTGGGACAGACTCCTTGCCTGAAATATTGGAGAGCAGCGGCTAGTCCCTGAGCTAGATGGACCAAGGGTCTAAGTCGGTATAAGGTATAAGGCTTCCTATGTTCCCTGGGATAGTCTCCAGGAAGGCCACAAGGAGCCAGGCATGCAGGCAACAGGTGGGTTTGTCCCTAGTGCTACGTGGCATTCAGCCCAGGACAGATATATGTACAAAAGATTCCCTGAAGGAAGAAAGTCGGAAGATCCCTGGCTTGTGTGTGGGAAGATGGCCAGGGGAGGAAATCCCTCTGTTTCTGGGAAGCACGATACACCATCTCTGTCGACCTGCCAAGCCCTCTTCTCCCTTACCTTGGCAGAGGCCTCCTGCCTGCATCTGGAAGCCAGGGTCGCAACTGCACTGGCGTGAGCCCAGGTAATTTTCAGCGCAACGAGGCTGTCGGCTAAAGGATGAGTTGCTGAGCGTCGCCCAATCTGTGGTCGAGAGGCAGCTGTCAGTTCTTTGCACCAATGCCCAATAGAGAAAAGGAGCAGGGGACGGAGACCCCCAGCCGAGTCACACAGCACAGGCCTCTTATGAACCCCACGTGCTCAGCCTAACCAAGCCGATGTGGAAATATCTCCAGGCACCCACCTCTCCTTTTCCCAGTTCCCCAGGGTATTTTCCGTCATGTGGACAGGGGTACCGCAGCCCCCTGCTACTTACAGGAGTACAGTGGGGCTTGGCAGGTGCTGCCTGACCAACCACTGGGGCACAAGCAGCTGTAGCGGTGGATGCCATCCACACAGGTCCCGCCATTGGCACAGGGGTTGCTGGCACACTCGTTGATGCCTGAGTTGAGGAAAGAAGGGAAGGGGGAAACTGAATTACACTCAAACAGCCCTCATTTTGGACCAGTGGAGGGGAAATGGAGAACCTCTGAGCCCATGCTGCTCATCAGAATTGGTTTTCAGTACAGTGGTACCTCAGGTTAAGTACTTAATTTGTTCCAGAGGTCCATTCTTAACCTGAAACTGTTCTTAACCTGAAACACCACTTTAGTTAATGGGGCCTCCTGCTGCTGCCGCACCGCCGGAGCACGATTTCTGTTCTCATCCTGAAGCAAAGTTCTTAACCCAAGGTACTATTTCTGGGTTAGCGGAGTCTGTAACCTGAAGCGTCTGTAACCCGAAGTACCACTGTACAAGAATGGAGCAGAGCTCACTGTCTTTCCATGTAAACGACAATTCCTCGTTTGTTCCTTCACTTGGAAAGCCATGTTATGGTTACAACAAAATTGCAGGCCCAATTGGGAAAATTGGCCAGAGATCAACCTGTAGGTCTATCAGCAGGAGTGGGGGCTGTTAGGAGGTGCCCCTCCCCATTTTTATGATACCTGGCAACCTCAAGCTATTCCTTCTACCAGCCAGACACACTCACCTTTGCAGACAGGCTGCTGTCCGCTCCACTTGTGGTTCTCCTGACACACCCGTGTCTCAGCACCCACCAGGAGGAAACCATCATCACAGACAAAATGTACCTCATGACCCACGGACGTCCTCTTTCCCAGCCTCCGGCCGTTCAAGGGTGCTGGCAGGGGGGTGCAGCTCTCTGTTGGCGGATCAGAAAAGATGGGAGAGTGAGTCTCTCCATGGCTCCTTTCCCCAGGCTCTTTTCCTACCCTAGCCTATGGTTGTTGCTTTCTTGTATACATTAAGTAGCAAAATGCCGCTTAAATGAAATAGAGTTATAGCCAAGGCTGGGGCTCTCATGAGGCAAACTAGGCAGCTGCCCAGGGCACAGACCTCAGAGGAGCTCAGTACTGACCTCTGAGGGGCACGGTTTTATACAGATCTGTTTTTATTATATCTTATACATTTCTGATACTATTTTGCTTTTACTTTATATTGTGAAGAGTTTTATCGTTTCTGAAGTAAGTCATACATTAGAATTGTTTTTCATATAGATATGAAATAGACCACAGTTGACTGGAGGTCACACACACAGTGAAAAGTGAGGTTTTGATGTGCCTGAAAGTGAAACTTTTAATAGACTTAACATCACAATTCACAATAAATTCCAACTTTAGTATTGGAAAAAGATAATCAAAGATGGTTGCATTACTTATTCTTTCAATTAAAAATAAATTCAGCATAAATTGACAGCAGATAAATTGTGCTTTTCAATTTTTTCTACAAGACATCTGTTTTTGAAAACTGAAATTGGCATGGGGGGGGGGTGTTGGGTGCAAGTAGTTAGCTTTGCCCAGGGTGCAAAATAGTCTGGCATCAGCACTGGGTGTAGCATTACAACATTATCTTTATATGTTTTCAGCTTTTTGCTTTTTATCTGGGTTGCTTTACTTTGTGTAAGCTGAGTCCCAGTCTGGTCCAGGATGGCATATAAATAAATATAAAAATAATCATAATAGATGAGTTTTTTTAAAACCCTGAGTTGTATGCAACTTAATAATAATCATAATTTTGAAATTTATATCCCGTCCATCCTGCTGGGTTTCCCCAGCCACTCTGGGCCGCTTACAACATATATAAAAACACAACAAAGCATCAACTTGATTCTACTTGCAGTGCACCCACTGAAATTAATGAACCCAAGTTAATCATGTCTATTAAATTCAGTGGGTCTGCTATGAGTAGAGGTACCACTGGAAACAATTCCCCCTTTCCAGTCCCCATTTTTAAAGAGCAAAAAGCCATCCCCTAGACATTTAAAAAACAAAACAAAACAGCCTCAGGGTTGCCCTGTGTCCTGCACACATCCTGTGCACACACAGACACCTTTCTGCTTCTGCGGTCTGTGCTTCTCTCTCCTTTTACCATTGTGCTTGGCTGCCTGCTGGTGGAGACTGCCTTGCAAAACGGCCAGCTGCTTCTTGAAGTTGCGCAGGCTCTGCAGCTGGGCAGCCTCATGTGAAGACAGCAGCTTCTGCATCTGCCGGATGGCGCTGGAAACTTGCTGGTCACTTAGGCAGCCCTGCAGGGGGTGGGAGGAGAGGAGGAACAAAGCAGCTTTGGCAGGGAAGTGGAAGGAACAGCCCACAGGTATCACCCACAAAGGCTCGAGGCAAATTGTAACTGATGCTGCACGCACACCCACAAGCACCCACCCACCACCACTGCAGAGGCTCCATCCCTTGTTCGTTTTGGCTGCCCTTTTCTGAACCTTTTTCACCTCCACAATATCCTTTTGGAGGTGAGTACAGAATGTTTAGATCAGTGGTGGCCAAACTTGCCCCTCCAGCTGTTTTGGGACTACATTTCCCATCATCCCTGACCATTGGTCCTGTTAGCTAGGGATGATGGGAGTTGTAGTCCAAAAACAGCTGGAGGGGCAAGTTTGGCCACCACAGGTCTAGATGGTGCCCCCAGGTCCACAATCCATACTATAGGCAAGATCAGGCCTCTGCATCTAAGGCATGCAATCTGGCCCAGAAAAAACACTTCTATGACATTCCTGTTCTAAGACCTCACACTGCCCATTGCTGAAGTTTCATACACCAGCCTGTCTAAGTTGAGGGTGGTGAGAAAATGTTCTGCTTACAACCTTTAGCCATGCTGGCTGGGGGTGATGGGAATTAGAGCCCCAAACATCTGGTGGGCACCAGGCTGGGAAATCAGGGAGGGATTTCATCCATCCATCCATCCATCCATCCATCCATCCATCCATTACATTTATATCCCACCTCTCCTCCAGGAAGCTTAAGGTAGCCTACATACTTCTCTTTCCCTTTTTGTCATCACAACAAGTGGTTGCTTGGCTTGACAAGAGCTTTAGCTTTGAACTCCACTCTTTCATCTATCAGGGTCCACTCCTAAGGACCAAGCACATCTGGGCTCTGCACCTAAACCTACAGGCACCATCCCCTGCCTCCTACTGGTTCCACACCACCAGCCCTCGCAGGTTCAGGATTCAGCATCATTTATCTTACCTGGGAGTTGCTATGAGGCAACTGTAGGATACCCAGGGCCACCACAGCCATTATCTGGGGCAGCATCTTCTTTCCGGCTTTGGAGCAGGTTCAGCAGTTAGGAAAAGGACAGTGGATTCTCTGCAAAGCTTCCTCAGCTATCCTTGGCCAGCAAAAAGAAGGAAGGGGAGTCTGTGAGAGGGCAGCTAGTGTTCCACTCGCATAAGGCAGGCCTTCCTGGTGTCTTTCCAAGGAAGGAGGTGAGAGGTATTCTCAGAGCACCGCAAACCTCAATATTCCCGTTCCCAAACTGTGAGCCACCCAGCTCCACAAAGACATTCTGGCAGCAGTGCAAACAGAGATTGCCAACTGACCAGGATTTATGAGCCTGGCCTGCCCCTGTACCTTAATTAGCACAGAAAAAAAAGCAGTGTCACCTGCTGCTATCTAAAAACTATCACCATCAGCAGTCATTCCATCAAGCTACAGAGAGACAGGCTAAGAGGAAAGCACAGCTACTTTGTCAGCTCTGCTGAGAGACTTTCCTTGACTGTCAACAGATAGCAGCCATTCCATCAGATGAGAAAGCCAAGGGAGAGAAGGGATGCAGGGCAACAGACAAGGCTTTCCCCGGAGAAACCTGGGAACTGTAGTCTGTCAAAAGTGCTTTAAATGCAAGGTGTGTGTGCCCTTGGCTCTTTTCTTCATCTGTCTCCCCGCAGGAGCTGTTCCATCCGGCTTCAGCAGAGGGAGATGCAGGAAGCAGGATACTCCATCGGCTCTAACATGAGACCAACTCTTTTGTCTCCTCTTCTGGTTGAACTGTTCCCATCTCAGCTGGTCCTTATCTGAATTCTCTAGCTTTAAGAATGGGTGCTTTGGTTTGCTTCCCGACCCCTCCAAATCCATTTTGTTTCTTGTGTCTCTGAGACGGTAAGCCGAAGGACAGGGGCTCTTTTGTTTGGTTTGCCTTGATCTTACATAAGCTGCGTTGGGAGCCCTTTTCTTGTCCCCCTTCTCGCTGAAGAGAGGGGCAAGAAAACACTTTGAACGAAACAAGGAAGATCAAACATTCTTAAAGGTAGCAACCCTAGAGCGGGAAGCCATTGACTCGGCCCCACCAGCACCCCGAGGAAGTGGATGGTGAGAAGGTGCTCTGTCTACAGGCTTAGCCATCCTGGTGCCCTGCAGACGTTTCAGACTGTAACTCCCTTCAGCCCCAGCATCATAGGGCCATGTCAGCTGACACCTCTGGAGGGCACCCGGTTGGGGAAGGCTGCTCTGCTAGAATCCTTGCGATTTAACCCCTTCAGGGTTACAGTTTCCAGACTTCCCAGAGGGGACAGCATAACTCCTGAATCTCTTTTCAAGCCTGCAACGTGCACAAGAGCCTGGCTAGGCACTAGGAAACTGCTTTGCTCTGAGGCAGACCAACGGTCCGCCTAACTCAGTATTGCCAACGCTGACCGGCAGCAGCTCTTCAGGCAGAGGACATTCCCAGCCCACGGGTAGAACCCGGGACCTTCTGCTCCACCCCTTGGCTACAATCCTAACCCTAAAGCGCATCCGTGACGCCCATGCCTTCTACCAAGCGAGGCGACTGGTCCACCTAGCAGCTCAGCATTGCCTACACTGACCGGCAGCGGTATCCTCAGCCTTGCCTGGAGACGATGCTGCTGGACCCGGGACGTTCTGCGTGCAAAGCAGATGTCCCGCCCCTGCGCCCCAGCCTTTCTCCAAGCTGAAGGGCAGGGAGGAAGGCGCTTCTCCCCACCCCCACTTCAGGGAGGCTGGGAGTCTCGGCGCCGAGCCGCTTTGCTGGCACAGACGCGCGCCCCTCGCCCGACCCTCTGGGCGCCCGGAGTCCCGCGAAAAGCAGCAGCCGAGCCAGCCCGCTTCGGGGGGAGGCGGGGAGGCCGCTGCCGCCTTTGCTTGCAGCGCGTGGGACCAGGCAGACCCTCCCCAGGAACCGAGACCCCCCTCCCCTCCCCTTCCAAGCCTGCCTCCCCACGCGTCTCTCTCCCTAAAGGCACCTCGAGGAAAAGTTGCGCCGACCTGCGGGGCGGCTTCCCTGGAAGGCGCGGCCGTCGGAGCAGCAGCAGCGGCAGCAGATGGAGCCTCACCGGGTGCGCGCAGGAGAGCAGCCCCTCGGCCGTCTTGCAGACTGGGAGCGGGTCGCTCTTGCCCGCCCTGGCCGAGGCGGGGCGAGAGGTTGGCCTCGTTGGCACCAGCTCAACGGGCACGCCGGAGGCCTCGCGTGGCCCGGATTGGGCGGCGGCGGCAGAGGGCTGGCGAGGGGAGCCCGGGCGGGTCAGCCGCGTGCCCAGAAGATGCCCGCGGCCGTCCCCCCTTCCCCCTCGGCGGGAGAAAGCGGCAGGAGTGCCAACTTGGCCCCGCGACTGTGGGTGCTCGGGGCCGTGGGTGCCATGCAGCGTGCATGGTCCTGGCACCGAAATTCATGGGGGATTTTGTGGGTGCTCGGGCACCCAGGGCCCCAGGGAGTTGGCACCTATGGGAAGCGGATTGAGTGGGTGACCTCAGCTGGGGCGCTCCTTTCTCTCCCAGAGCGTCTAGGTCAGGGGTCAGCAAACTTTTTCAGCAGGGGGCCTGTCCACTGTCCCTCAGACCTTGTGGGGGGCCAGACTATATTTTGAAAAATAAAATAAAAATGAATGGATTCCTATGCCCCGCAAATAACCCAGAGATACATTTTAAATAAAAGCACACATTCTACTCATGTAAAAACACGCTGTGCAAGCTGGGGACGGGGAAGGAGATGTTGGTGTAGGAAGTACAGGGTGACAGAGGAGGACGAGGGGCTGGGGGTCAGTGCATAGGAACCAGAGCAGAAGGACGCAACCCCAGAGCCAGAGGGGCCCCTGTCTCCAAGATCACACCAGGCGTTGAGGAGTAGGGAACACTCCAGGAGGCTGAGTCAGGCAAGGGCCCACAGCCCTGCTCACTGGGCCAGGTGGGGCTTGCTCTGGAAGCAGGTGTGTGATTCCTTAGCTGGAGTAGGCGCAGGACAGGTGAGGATCACCTGCCTCATCAACCCCAGATGCTGCAATCAACATGGAAAGTATTAAAGGGCAGAGCTGAGGGGATGTGTCTGCTCAACTGCCCATGTTGATGGACCTCAGCTTGGATGCAGCAGGATCTCTGCAGGACTGTGCTTCAATTTTGGACCTTGGACATGTGGAGTGACCCTGGACTGGGGACTTGGCATACTGACTTGCTGCCAGGTAGTCCAGGGGTCCAGAACAGCATTCCACAAATGGGGAGCCACCACTGAAAAGGCCTGGTCTTGTGCTGCCACTCTCCGCACCTCCTTTGGAGAAGGGCTTCAGACGATCAACACAGGGTCTGGTTTGGTTCATGTGGGGAGAGGTGGCCTTTGAGGCACTGGGGTCCTGAGCCACATAAGGCTTTTAGGGCAAATATGGCACTTTGAATTGGGCACAGAAACTAAGTTGAGGCTCTTGTGTAGAAATAAAAAGTGGTACCCAGGGCTGTTTCTCCTGCTTCTCCAGGAACTGCAGCTGATAAAGGCTCTCTGACAACTAGGTGAAAAGTCTGTGCATGAGGGCAATTTTGAAGCAAACTCAGATGCTCTCGATCTGCTGGGGCTTTGGGCAGGGATCAAGCGTGAAACCTCAAGGAGCCCCTGTGCTTATGTACCTTCCCCTGGGAAGTGCAGACAGCCAAGGCTTCCTGACAACCAGGCTTTGCAGGAAAGCCTTTGAATGTGTTGGAGTTTGATAAATATGCTGCAGCGGTGAGCAGGAAGAAATAGTCTGGTAAAATTGTTGAAGGGATAAGAATATCCAGATTCAATCCCCAGTCTTCATGCAGGGCTGAGAGAGACAGCTGGACAGAGTCATACCTAGGCCCCCTTGTTCCCTTGGCTGCATCTTATGATAAATATAATAATAATAATCCCCAGCAGCACCCCCAGGTAGGGCTGGGAGAGACCCCTGATACCCTGGAGAGCAGCTGCCAATTACTGTAGACAATTGCTACCTGCTTTCCTATGTTTTTTAGTTCTAAATGAACCCTTGTGGTGTTCGAGCATGGGCTGAGAAGAAAAAAAAGATCAGCTTGGCTCAGGTTTGCAACTGATCGAATCAGTGGAACATCCTGGAAAGCAAGGAAAGGGCCAGTAGGGGCTGGAGCAAGCCAGCTGCAAAAGCAAAGGAGCCCCATGGAATGCAGGCTGGTGCGAGGAAAGCGGAGCCTCTTTGCCCGCCCTTTCCGCCAGGCTATGTCGGGAGAAACCACAGCTAGAAAGCGGCACTGTGTCCTCGGGAACAAGTTCCCAGAAATATACTCGGAAATTACAGGGGGCTGCAGTGCAAGTAGGGAGCTTCCAAGACCAGCAGGAAAGATCTATATCTGCTTGAGAGGTGGTTATTCCTTTTGCCAGAAATGCATGCACACACACAGGCAGGTCTATATGCCGAAAGAGCAGAACCCAGCCTCTAAGAGGGGGAGATCAGATTGCCCCATCTAATCAAGCCATCGCTTTATCACTGTCAGTTGCCCATACTGAATAAAAGAAACTTTGCACAAGTATGTCAAATACCAAACGAAACAACAAAGAGAACCCCAGCAATCGAATTACTAGTGGTTGCATTGTGCTATAAAACGTCAGGCACAGAGAACAAAATTATAAGCTTGCTAAAATTAGTCCCAGAATGCTTAGCTATCCTGGAAGTCAGAGTATACCTTTTGGGCATGGCATTCTTTGAGAGTTTCTCTCCTCTGCCACTTACACACCTAGAATCAGGCCCATGCAGAGTGGAGGACAGCTGGGTACACTTGTCCCTGGCTCCAGCAGCCTGTTGGACTTGCACTGTCAAGCCAAGAACAAGACTCCCTCCCTGGGCCCCAGACAAGCTCTGCAGGGCCTTGCTTAGAACCCAAGATGCAGCAAAACCAAGGTGGGAACCGCAAGAAATGTGGGGTGCAGTTGTATTGTTTGCTGACACTCTGCATTAATGTGCATAAAGCGGGGAGGCAGGGGGCCTTCAGGGGTGTGACAGGCAAGCAGCTGTTCTGTTGGGACAGCCCATTTCTGCAAAGATACA